ATGACATTTGTATAAAAAATTATACATATATAAAGATATTTTTAACATAAAGTACAATAACGTAAAAGATAAATATATACTTGTTATGGAACGAATGGAGTATATAATACTAGGCTAGTATTATATTGCACTGTTTTATACTCTAAAATTTATTTTGTTCTTACTCGTATAATAATGATAATCTACATACATAAATATAAATAATTTATTAATTAATCACATGAAATGAAATTATATATATATGTATATATATAGATGTACAGTAGGAATAATGCCTAGCAATGGCAAAAGAGGTCATTGATTTAAACTCCCGATACTTCAGGTCATCTGCCACATATGGTTCGTCTAGTATAACTTTTTCGTTGAATATAATTTGCAGGGTATTAGATTCGGCCGGAGGTTTACCCATTACGTACTTTTGAATAACAGGCGAATTCCCACGTCATTAGAAAAAAATAAAAAATAAAAAAAAATAAAAAAAATGTTGATTTATGATATTCACATGAGTCGCTATTCTTAACTTCCTGAAAACCCGCTTGCTTCCATGATGCCTTGTCGGATATTTTAAAATTAATTAATTAATTAGTTATTATTATAATTTAATTATTAGGGTTTTTTTTTAATAAGATACTTGTTGAAAGTGGTGTTGTAGCGAAACTGGGAAATTGCATTGATAAACTTGTAGAGAAATAAGGATATTGTCCCTTGTAAGTTGGGAGTTATTATTTGAAGTTTGATTTTATTTTTTATTTTTTTAATATTGTTTAAATTGAATTATAATGTATTTTTTCATCTTGCAAAATTATGTAATTTTGTTTAGATAGGAGATAAGAAATAAAGTTATTTTAATACTATTAAAATAAGGTAGATAAAAAGAAAAGTAGGGTATTGTAAAATTTTTATTTAGATGTGGATAAAAAAATAATTGGATGAGTAGAAAAAATAATAAAAAAATAATTATTATTTGTTAAAATATATATAATAAAATTGTGAACAAATAATATTATTTAAGACTAGACATAATTTTAGCAAATATATGTAATATAAATAATAAAAAATAGTTATATATAATTAATGTAAATTAATTTATTAAAATTATATAGCTTAATTTAAATATATTTATTTATGTAAGAGAAATAGAAATAAAAAAAAAATTATTAGTAAAAAACACACACACAACACACTACAATATTAACTTGTCATCCAACTAATGTTCACTTTGGTATTTACATGAATGTGTTTTTATATTATATATGAATTATCGTGTCGATTATATAACAAATATTCTATTTTATGTTTAATTGTTGATTTCTGTTGATGAATAAAATATAGTATATGTTATGTTAAAATATATTATATATATTTATAGTATTTATAGAATCGTACCATAAAATAATATGTTTGGTGAACAAACCCTGAATATGCCCTAAATTCTTCATATGATGAATTTACTTCATTGAAGCCTTTTTTTTTTTTTTTTTTTTTTGTGATGTGAGAACTCACAGTTGCTATCCGAAAGTACATACCGGGTAAATCCTCGGCCGATAATTAGAAGTCGATAATTACAATATTAACACTATGATTATGATTTCCAATTAAATTATAATATAAAATAATTATTACAAAACAAATCTTGCATAGAAATTACACACTCAACTTCATATATGTGTTATATTATATATATATAATAAGCTACAAAATATATGTATCTTTTGTTTGGTTGTTTTTTAATTATAAGTTTTAATACAATAAGTAATTTACTTATTTTTAAATGTATTTCATAATTATTGTTGTGCCGTGGACAGCCTGCCTTATTTGAAATAAGGAAGATATATATATATATATAAGTGAAATGATGTGAAATCATTTTGGCAATAAGTAAAAATTGAGGCTAGGCACTATCACATTTATTTTTCAAAAAAAGAATTATTCCCACAATTTGTATTTGTTACATAGATCATTTTGAGATAATTATGACATATATAAACTACTTATCCCCACTATATATATATTGATGCATTTACACACATAAGTGTGCTTTTTAGGCCTTTTCTTTCCTTTTCAAATTTTATAGTGCAAATCCATTATTTTCAATAAAAGTATATTTATTTTTGTTTAATAATATTTATTCATTTAAAAAACAATAAATAAATAAATAAGAATTAATTTGTTTACATGGTATTTGATTTTGAGTTTTATTTTAAATAGTTATTTGATTTTGATCTTATAGAAATCATTATGATCATATAGTAGAAAGATAAAATCAAACTATAGTAAACATGGCCTTAAAATATAAAAAAGAACTTTTGCTCGGGCATGGTTTTGCTCTTTGTTCCTCCCTCCGTCCCACTTCTCATATCCACTTTTTCATTTTCGTCCGTTTCATTTATTTCGTCACTTTTTTTTTGGAAAATAATTATACACTTTAATCTTATTTTTAAAAATTTAATTTTTAATTTTTTTAATTTTAATTATACTAATCAATTATCTTAATATTAATTTATAATAATTTTTATTATACGATAATTATTTTCACTAATACTTTTTTAATTATTTACTGTGTGTTTGTTTGGGAGTTTGGATTTTGAGTTGAGATTTGAATAGTAAAAATTTTGAATTTGAATAGTTGTATGATGTGATATAAATAGGTGTTAATATAATGTTTTGAATGTAAAATTGATTTTTAATATAATATAAAAAAATAAAAAATAGGTGTTTGATTTGACGTTTTTGGAGGGAAAAAATTGGATGAATAAGAATAAATCCAATCCAATCCCCCAAACAAATATACAATTATACTCCTCCTAAATTCTCGTGTCTACAGTAACGTGGTCAAATTATCCGGGACGGAGGGAGTATTATATATGAACATTATTTATGTAAAATACAAAATTGATAAATTGATACATGGTTCATTAACCATGTATGTATTAATCACAAAAACCAAATACTGCTAGCAAACACAATACAAGTATTGTTTATTAATCTGATTTTATTTTTATTTTTTTAATTTTCTTATGTTTTATATTGTTTTATTGTATTGGAAGTATAAAAAAATAATATTTTACATTAAAATTATTGATTTTTTATGAATGAATAAAATATATATTATATATTATATTAATGTATATATATTATATTTTTTTAACAATATTTATGAAGAATCGTTCCGTTAAAAAATACTAAGTGAACAAACTCATTATGTCAGAAAAAAAATATATATATAGAATAAGTAAATCAATCAACTAATGCTATTATTATTGTTATTATTACAAAATATTTTCAGCTAATATTAAAAAGAAGCAGTATGTCAGTGTTAATAGAAGCTTATTTAAAAAAATTTAAGAAAATTCAATTTCCAAGAATGATGACCTAATTGATAACTGACCAATATTATCATATATTTTCATTACAATTAAATGAACTACTGTGAAGGAACATATATGACTAAAGAAATTTACTTAAGTAATTTTCATACATACATATAAAGTATATATATATATATATATATTTCGATATCCATCGTGTGTCACTTCTTTTACTATAATTTAATACACATAATCACCAGAAAAAAGTAAAAAAAAAAAAAGAAGGAAATCTTGGATTCCTTCACACATATATAGATATACATATTTCAACAAGACTTGGGGTGTACTCCCTCCGTCCTAGCTAATTTGGGCGTATTACCGTAAACACGAGAATTTAGGTAAAATATGATAATTATAAGCAATTAAGAAGTATTAGTAAAAATAATTATTATATAGTAAAAATAATTATAGATTAAGATAACTAAATAGTTTAATTAAAATTAAAAAAATTTAAAATTTAAAATGTAATTAAAGTGTATAATTATATTTTTTTTAAAAAAAGGATAAATTATATGGAACGGATGAAAATAGAAAATAAGAACAAATTATGTAGGACAAATGAAGTATTATATATATATCATAGTTAATCCTCCAACCCCACCATAAAACAACCTTTTTAATTAATTTTTCTCTACACCTAAAAGTCCTATGCTTGATTTCACGTGTAAAGCTATATTTAAAAGAAAAAAACCCTACTACGAATTTAATTACAATTCGACATCTACCACTGTACCAACCAAAATTAGCCGATAATCAGCTACACTAAAAAATAATAATAATAAAATCAAATCAAATAAAAAAATTGGCCGATAATCAGCTACACTAAATAATTCTTCCTTAAAGATACTAGGATAATTAAATAAAAAATACAACTACTTGCATGTTGCGTTTATCTGTCTTTTATTTATATATATATACATATATAAAAATTAAATTCTTGACTTCATAGTTATAAATACTTTAAAATAAAAAAAAAAGCTTTATGTTTACATAGGAATAAGTGGTCTTAATTTGTATGGTCTTATTTTTTATTTTCAACTGAAGTATTTATAAAAAAAAAATTAATACTCTCTCCGTGTCAATATTGTTATTTTCTATTTTTGTATATCCCAAAACAAGGTAACCACTAGCAAATGTACTATCTACCTTATATAATAAATATATTTCTAACTACAATATATTACACAAATATTATTAATTTTATATTACATGGTACCAATACAATACTTTTATCTTTTTTTTTAGAGAAACTCAATATAATATTAATATTAAACAATCTACATATAAAAAGTAAACATGACACTTTCAATGGAATATAGAGAGTATATTTTTACTATAAAAAAAAATAATACTAAAAACAAAAGAACAAAAACTTAATATTAACTTTTTAAATAATTTCCAAATATAATAGTACCTAGTGAGAAAAATAAAAGAAAGTAAGAAACCACACACACATGGTACTAATTATAAAAGTTACCAAAAAGACAAACCAAACGAGGTGGGCAGTTTTTTCCCCAGTCTTTAGTAAAAGCATTCCCACGGAAAGTCCATCCACAACATAATATCCTAACCCCATAAAAGACCTTGACAAGAATCATCCATATACACACATATATATATATATATACATATATATATATATTCCTAATAATTCATATATTGATCATCAAACCCTAGCTATCTTCTCCCCCAAAATCCCCATGACTAGTAGTTTCTTCAACCTCCCTCTTCATTACAACTACGATAAAAAACATCATCATGAACAAGATCAAGAAACCTCGTATTTCTACAAAACCCTCCAATGTTTGCCGCTCCTCAGCCGCCTAAGCGAAGTGAAAGAAGAAAGAGAAGACATAGACAACAACAACGACGGGGATTCTTCAATCGAGAGCATGGCGGCGGTGGCCTTGCAAATAGGCCCCCCGCCGGCCCCCGCGATCGAAAATATGAAAGATGACGAGGATGAAGATGAAGAAGACGAGGAAGAAGTGATGCATAAGGTTAAAGGGCCACTAAAAAATATTGGATACAATAATAATAATAATGATAATAGTGATGGGGAGAAAAGATTTTGGATCCCTAGTCCAGCACAGATACTTGTAGGGCCTATGCAATTTTCTTGCAACATATGTGGCAAGACCTTCAATAGGTACAACAACATGCAGGTAATTTGATTTACTAATTACTTATTAATTAGTATTATATATTTCGATGAATATTATGATCATGATCTTGTCTTAAAAAAATTTCAGGAAGATTTGGTGAATAATTTGTGTGATTTGATTTATTTTTGTGATGGTTTTCAACAGCTTGATTGGTGTATAGTTTTAATTTTTATTCCGATCTTTTACTACTTTTGATTTAGATTTGTGTATAAGAAAGATTATATGAGTTAATTTTTGTAAGGGGTTTCATTTTTGGTATGAGTTCTGAATTCTTGATTTTTTTTTTTTTTTTTTCTTTTTTCCTCTAAACTATTGTTTTCTTCTTGAAAAGTGGATCAATCTGAATAAGAGTTATAGAGGTTGGATGTAATATTTTTAGGAAAAAAATTATATTAGTAAAATAATGTTGAAAATATAAATAGACAAAGACAAAAAGGAATTAAATTGCTTGGTTCTTATCATTTTGTTATATATATATTTTGGATGTGTATGTGTGAAAACTTCAAATTAGTTACACAGTCTGTGCAAAGCATGCACTACTTTTGTCTGATAAAACCATGTCCATTATGTGAAAACAAAATAATATATCAAAAAATAAAAATAAAAATAAAATTGTAAATATGAAAGGGTTAGCATAAATTTCTTTCTTTCTTTATCCTTAAATCCTAAATTCAGTATCATAGCTTTTTCACACAATTCTTAGGATAGGACAATGGCGTGTTTATTCTCTTTTGAATAATTATTTTATACTTCCTCCATCCGCCTCTAAAATTTTTATTTACCTTTTGCGTCATTGTATTAACATTAAAAATATCCTTACATTTATATATATTTTGTTTTGTATAAATATGATACTATTAGTATTATAAGACTAATGGAAGTATTTTTTTGTAATTTTTTCTTAATTTATACTGTATTTTTATATAATAATTAATATTCAAATATCAACACAAAAAGTAAATAGAATCCTTAGAGTCGCATGGAAGTAGTATTTTATTATTTGAAATATAAACATAGCCATCTTTACTCTATTTCCATTACTTAATACAAAATTTTAATTAACGAAGATTTGTAAATTTAAATAATTGAGATATTTGAGTGTTTCTACACTAAATGTGAATAATCTATCATAACACACTTAACTATACATTCACTAACATTATGACATGCAATAATCATCAGATGCATATGTGGGGCCACGGGTCGGAATTCCGGAAAGGTCCGGAATCCCTCCGCGGCAGCCAGCCGGCAGCTATGCTCCGGCTGCCGTGCTATTGTTGCGCGCCGGGATGCAAGAACAATATCAACCATCCTCGTGCGCGTCCCCTCAAGGATTTCCGAACATTGCAAACGCACTACAAGCGCAAGCACGGCGCCAAGCCGTTTGCTTGCCGCAAACCATCGTGCGGGAAATCCTTCGCCGTTAAGGGCGATTGGCGTACCCATGAGAAAAATTGCGGCAAACTATGGTATTGCACTTGCGGATCCGACTTCAAGCATAAACGTTCCCTTAAGGACCATGTCCGCTCTTTCGGGAACGGCCACTCACCTCACCCGACGTCGCCCCTCGATGATTTTGACAAAGATGATTAGGTTAAGTGTTTGATTTTATGTTTGTGTTTGTGCTCGTTTTCACCTGTTAGTGCTCTGTAGCAAAATATCTGCTTTTAGGGATAATTTGCCATGGAGCATTGGATATTGGTGGTGATGGCTTTATGTTATGTGTTTCGAGTTTTAAAAATTATGGAAAGTTGGATTGTGTGTGTTGAAGAATTTGAAGCTGATCAATTTTCTTCTACAAATGTTGAGGTTCTTGTGGGGTTGTTAAGAGTGGAAGAAAATGTGTCAGCTTTGAATTGTTATTTGTAGTGTTTGTAATGTTATTACATGCATTTATGCATGAAATGAATTGTTTTAAGTATTCGGCTCTTTTGGATTTCTGTAATAATAATAAATTTATAAATATATATATATATATAATAGGGACATAAATAGGTAAAGGTGTACATAGTTGGAGTAGTTGTTAATAAAGTTGGTCCAACATGAGAGACTGCCTAAATCACAGGTAATCAATCATTTTACTCTAATAATGGACTTGGAGAAAAATAAAATTGAGTAGAGAATGAGATTTAATTGTGTATGGTAAAACCGACAATTCAGTTGAGAAATATAAAAAAATGCAGATATATGAATGATCAAATAAAAATAAATGATTAATCGGATAAAAAAAGAGTTTTAACGAATGAGAATTTATGAAAAATATTTTTAGTGAATTTTATGTTTTTTTAAGATTATCTTTTAGTACAATTTCTTAAAAGATCGTAAAATTAAATACTTTAAAAATAAATTAAGTTTTTTTTTTTTTGTAAAATTGAAATAATATAATTTTTAAAAATTATAAAAATTAAATAGTAAAAAAAAATTAAATTAAAAAAAATATATATACTACAACATCATTTCTCTACGCTGGGAGATAAATGAAAACAGAGAAATTCTTTAATTTAAACAAACAAGATATTTCATTTCTATGGTCTCATTTCTCTATACCAAACACAAATAGTGATTGTTATTAATTTTTTATTTTTCGAAACTGTATATTAGTTATTTATCAATATTATGAAAATGTTCAAAATATATTAGAAATTCTTTTTTAATGAAAGAACACATACACTTTGTTATCATTATAATTTTGTTTGTTATAACTTAGAGTGCAAAAGTGGTAACATAATTCATATATGTAATAGATAAAAGATAGTATATGAATTTATTTGAATTCATCAATTACATTGAATATGATCATTTGAATACTTATGACAAATATGTTTAGTTATATATATATATATATGTTTTATGATACGAGAATGAATTTATAGTACTTATAATTTTAGTACACTAAGAAAATTGTATTCGAACGTAACAACTTACAACTAGTTTAATAAAGTAAATCACACCTTATGACAAATCTGGTTGTTATTTTATATAAATTTATTTTTAATGATATAGAAATTCACAGTTATTATTTTTTTTTTTAGTACATTGTTTATAAATTTTTTGTTGAATCTAATATTTTGCAAACTAAGTTCGATAAAACAAGTCATATTAATCGAACTATATGTAAAACCTGAAGCCGTCAAGATTTGAAGAGTATACATTTTTTTTTTGTTTTTTTTGGGTGTTTAAGGAATTGGACCGGACATGTGTTATATTGTAGATTCTTAATTAAATATTTAATTTTTTCATTATAGTTCTAAAAAGTTGTAGTAATAATTTAAGCAGGCCCAATATGGTTGAGCCCAAATCGCAGCTCAAGGGCAATATCGGAACCCTAACTATAAAAAAGAGGTTATCTCCTTCCATCTATTTGAAATCGGAATTCTCAATAGCATTCATCGCCCTCTGCGTTTGCAAAACCCTAGCGGCAGCAACTGCGATATCATCTTCAGCCGTCAAAGCCAACAAGTAATTGTTCTTACGTTCCTTTAGTATCATTTCATTATATATATTCTCAGTTTTGATTAGTTACAGTTGTTCTAGATGTATAAATGTACGTCTTCTTCTTCTAATGTTTTTTTCTTTTCGATTGATTAGATATGAAGGTTATCGCGGCTTACTTGTTGGCTGTTTTGGGCGGCAACGTCTCTCCTTCGGCTGAGGATGTAAAGAATATCCTCGCTTCAGGTTCATTTGCGCTTTTGTATTCAAACATCTAATGATTTTATGCGATTTAATTTGTCTTTCTTTTATTTCGTAATATCTGGTCTTCGGCTGGATTTTATAGTTGCGATCCGATAATTTCAATATAATTGTGTTTCTGTTGCTGTATTGAATTTTCATCTACGTTTTAAGAATTTCCATATAATGTTTATGTGAGCTAGCTAGCTGCTGTCATTGTAAAACAACAGGGTCGTGTTTCTTTCACTGTGCTTTCGGGCTATGCTTCGTTGGAATCTGTTAGCATATATAGCGTTGATTCTTCATCACAGCAACTGCTAACTTGTGGTATTAGAGAAATGTTCTTCTATGTAATCGTTTTAACCTGTGATTTATTGCTGCCTTTTTTTTTTTTTTGTTTTGAGATGCTTATCATATTTGTTTTAGTAATTTATTACGTGGTTTAGATACACTGAAGCTTTAGTCCTTTCGGGTTTTACACAATGTATTGATTTCAGTGCCATGTTGAGGTGGAAAGTGATCTTGATTGACTTACATTGTGAAATTAAACTCTATGCAATTTTATTTAATCTCCAAGATCTTTTACCCCTACAATGCAATGCATATACTGATAGTTTTTGGCTGTTAAAACGGGCTATTCTTATCATTTATAGCTTCTTACTGTTTTATTTGACATGAATTTGCTTCAGTGGGAGCTGATGCCGATGATGACAAAGTGGAGTTGCTTTTATCTCAAGTTAAGGGCAAGGATATTACCGAGCTGATTGCTTCCGGAAGGGAAAAATTGGCCTCAGTGCCGGCAGGGGGTGGTGCAGTTGCTGTTGCTGCACCAGCTGGGGGTGCTGGTGGTGCAGCTGCACCAGCTGCTGCCGAGCCAAAGAAAGAAGAGAAAGTTGAGGAGAAGGAAGAATCTGACGATGTAACTTTCAAGAACTTAGGAGAACACATTTTTTCTATCACATTTTATGAATTTGAATTGTTGACTGATGACTCTTATTATATTTTGCAGGACATGGGTTTCAGTCTCTTCGATTAACAAGCTCTGGACTTCTAGGAAAGGGGTTTCAGTTACCGATTCGGTTTATTTTAACAAAAGTTTATGTTCTCATTAGTTTTAGTTGGATACTTGGAAAATTTTTTTGCCTGAAACTAAATCGGGGCTTTCTTAAATTTTGTTTGTGTTTTTTTTGGGACACTTTTGGTTGAACAGGTTGCATTTTTACCATCTATTACTTTTGTTCTTCTAAACCCTAATCTGCTTCGTATGCTGTGTTGGTGTTACTATGCTTGATCTATGTGTATATATATATATCAGATGTTAATTGTTCTTGTGTGTCTATTTTATTTTAATTTGAATGTAGGTTGAAGTTAAGGCAATGGTTGCACTTAATGTTTAGTGTTTTTTAAAGCATCTATTTTGAATATTTTCTTGTTATTCACTTTCCCTCAATGAGTGGACTGGAGTACAAATGCAGTAGTAATTATAGTCATAGTGCTGGGATTGGCATGGCAATAAAACAAGGAACTAGAAGGGCCAGTAGGCTCATTACACGTGTATGGCTTGAAATTGTCCACGTAGACAGAAATACACGTTGCGCACGTGTAGTATATGCGTGTCCCGTATGATTGCTCATTAAAGATATGATAGTTATTTGAGATGTGTACAATTCTTTGGGCTACCTATGACACATGATTTGGTTACTACAATTTGTTTTGTCATGTCTGATCTAGTTTGCTATTGAGTATTACGTTCGATGTTCACGCATTTTCGAATATCGGCGGCAAGTTTTATAAAATATATATATATATATATGATATTATAACTTTTAACATATATTTATATATTTTTTTATTTAGTCAATTTGTGCAATTTATTAGGACGAGTTTAATTTCACTTAATTTCATAAATATGTTAGAGGGTGTTTTTTTGTTTTGTTTTTATTTAAAAGAAAACCAATTGAATTAAAATTTTATCTAAGGAGTACTAGTGTATTTTATTTGGATATATAATAGAAATAAAAATTGTTACTTTATTAAATATTATCAAGTTCTCAAGTACGTACATGATGTGGTTGACTTGGTCGGTCCGATTCTAACAGCGCCGAACTCACCAGAGTACTTTGGACAGGTATATGCTGCTTTTTCTATAATGTCGGTCTTCTTCGTCGTCGTCCTTCTTAGTTCTTTCTTTTTCTGCCATTTTGGTACTCTCAAAGTCAGTATTCTATTATTCAATCAACATCGTAATCATGAAGCAGCAAGGAAAGTAGAAGCCCACCCCTGCCTGTCCGTACAAGCCTAGTCACTTTGTTGTCCTCGTGATCATCATCTTCTTTTGTTTTTAATTGTTCTTCCCTCGGCTTCATTTTGCAGTTTTCACTTATCTCCTCGCTTTCTCTGATTTCTTCCAATCCGCTTTGTATGCTTTTCTGCTTTAATTTGTTTTTTCGAGTGGAAAAAAGGGGATTCAAAATTCCTCTTGACGGATTCCTAAACCTGCTACTTCGAAGCTTTAATCAGGTACTGCTTATTTTATAGTGATTTATTTGTTCTACTGGTTTATGCCTGTCTTTTCTATAGGTTGATTTCATTTACAGCCAATTTCACACACCAGAGTTGCTTTTATGATCTGTTCTCAGTGTTGATTTAGGCTCGACTTTGTAGGGTTTTAGAGACAACGGATATTTATTTCTGTAATTCTGCCTATTGTTTTGTTGTAAGTATGAAGCTCTCAATCAACAGAATTGAACGAAAATGGTACGCAGAATCATGAATTTGTATCATATGTATATTCAAATTTTGAATTGAAGATGATAAATGATTCTGAGTAGGTAGGTTCTATGCCATGGCATCTTAATTGTTATTTATTGTGTGATCTGAGCACCTTTATAAATTAAAAATATCTCATGAATCGCATAGCTAGTTCTAGTAATGTGAAACGAACAGAATTGAGTGAATCAAATTCATGTTATTGTTGGGAATTAACAGAAACTCGCAGATAAACTGAAGCTTTCTCTGCTCTATATAATTTATATATTCAGGTCAGATGAATCAAGAGATAAAACAATTACCAGAAGAAAATGATTGTGAGGGAAAGCGAAATGGTGCTATACATCCCAGGAAGCCATTGCTGAGGCAATTTGACATTGAAGATGACATTAACAAACTCTTTGAAGCAATAGACATTAGAAATTCTTGGCGAAGTGTTCAATTTAGAGACAGAAGTGCCATGAAAAAACCGATGAGATTTAGTCCTTTCAGCACAGGAATTTCTGAACCAGTGAGCCTCAAACAGGCTCTGAGAGGATTGTGCATCTCCCAAGCATCCGAGTTTGCCGCAATGAAGAAGAGAATGTCAAGGCCATCAGGGGTTCAGCAAGAAGGTGCTATCAAGAAGTTGTATGGCTGTGGCAATGGACGATCACATCAAGCTGAGTCGAGTTTGGTGAAGATATTCTTGCTACCTGAAAGAAACCTGGATCAAAAGCCGAAGGTGGAGACCTCGAAAAGTAGTAGTAAAGTGAGCAGCAATGAAGAAAGTTGTCTGAGTGTCCATGGTAGAGCACCCCAAATTTCAAAAGACTTGAGATGTGAAGCCATAGACGGAGTTGGGAAGGAGAAGGGGAGCTGCTTAAGCTTAAACTGGAGAGACCTGAAGTTGTTGAGGAGGCAGAGATTTTGCAGTGGTCTTAAGCTTAACAAGATGGAAGGTCCTAGAACTTTCTAGAATCGGAATATAGTCGGGAGTCACCGACACTGCCGGAGATGGTAGCTGTTCCAGATGAAGTAGAAGAAGCTGGAAGGTTCCAGAACATTCTAGAATCGGAATAATATTAGGAATTTTGTTCCTCGCCTGCGCATAATGGTACGTCTATGCCGCCTCTAGCGATTGTACAATATCTGATGACCTTTTAGGGTAGTGCAATTTTGTGTGGTCAATAAAGAAGCTGGAGGGTTCTATTCTATTTTGCCTTGTAAATGTAATCCATGGCAGCTCAGTTGCGAGTTTCTTCGTTGCTACCAAAAGAGGTGAAAAGGAAAAACCGTGATTTGAGTGCAGACGGAAAATGAGAGCTTTGTGCGTCAGTGTACACTCGATTCCTGCCGTCCGGAAATTACCATATTGCCCCCCGCTTCGTCTTCTCCCCTTCAAAACCCTGCGTCTCGACGGTTCGGCAAATAGGCGTAGGAAATCCTCGAGGATAGGGGCGGTTTCGATGGCTTCGTCGGCGGCGATCGACTCCGATAGCGGCGCAAGGAGTACGAAGCCGTTCTCTGTTCTATTTGTTTGCCTCGGGAACATCTGTAGAAGTCCGGCTGCCGAGGGCGTCTTCAGGCACCTCGTGAAGCAGCGGAGTCTGGAGTCGGAATTCTATATTGATTCTGCAGGCACCATCAATTACCACGAGGTATGTGCGTGATTGTATGGTTTTTCTGAATTGAACCGTGACTGGATCGGCGATGATTTTGTGTGTTTGATTTAACAATCTAGGGTAATCAAGCGGATCCGAGAATGAGAGCAACTTCCAGAAACCGAGGGATTGAGATAACTTCGATCTCGAGGCCGATTAGACCTTCCGACTTTAGGGATTTTGACCTGATTCTCGCCATGGACAAGCAGAACAGAGGTAGATTCCAATCGTAGGGGTTCCAGACTATAAACTATAGTTGATAAATGCTTGCATTTTTTTTTTTTTTTGAGTTTGCCATTGGACTTGCAATTCATATTTCATAATCCATTACTTGAAATTCCGTTGATGATGATGATGATGATGATTCAGTGATTTCTTTCTGAACACAGAGGACATACTTGGGTCGTATGAGAGGTGGAGGCATAAGGAAGCTTTACCTGCTGATGCTGCCAATAAGGTTGGTTGATAAACGATAAGCTCTCTCCTGCTGCCATGTGTTACGTTTTCGATGCTAAAAACTGATGATTTGTTGTTAAAAAACTTTATTTGCCAATTTGTTTGGGAACCTGCAGTTTTAGATAAAATCTAAATCAATTTAAGAATTTTGCAACATCAAAATCAATCTCAGAGTTATTGCATCCATTTTGGTAGCCACAATTTATGCATTACAGAATTCGGATTCAGTAAATGCCAAATTAGATCCACAATTTTATTCAAGGGGCTGTATGGAAAAATGAAATAAACTGATAACATTATAATAAAATTTGGGTTCGAATTCAATAATACTGCTTTGAATTTGAATATGCTCCGGGATTTGTAGGTTCAGTTGATGTGTTCTTACTGCCGGAAGCACAAGGAAACAGAAGTACCTGACCCATATTATGGTGGACAGAAGGGTTTTGAGAAGGTAACACAACACTTACAAGTTATTTGGGTTTGAACTTTATTGACCTCTTTTCACATTTATTTGGATCGTCCTTCTTTGAACTTTGGTATTTTGCTGTCTTGAGCTTGGAATATCCGAACTTGATCATTGCTAGACATGGATTTAGGAAGGGACATTTAGGATAATATAAGGTTTTTATTTGTGTATTAGAACTCCCAGTTTGGCAATATAATCTTGAGTGAAATTATTAACAATGGGATAGGTAATAAGCTAATTGACTAGATCAGGTATGGTGAGGTATGTATGCTTCAGGCTACACTGCGACATGAGAATGGTTCCTTGAGATGATGGAGTTAGAAGTGTTGTATGTATGAATTCTGTCATATTCTGTTTTTGCTGCTTTTGAAGCACAAAGGGGAAAGTGCTTTAAGAAAAAGACAAATTCCAAATTTAAGAGCTTTTATCTTAATTTTCAATTTGAAAACAAACATTATTTTTGTAATTATTGATCTACTCATTGTTTTTGCTAGGTATAGTAGGCGTATAGCTGCACAAGAATTCAATTAAAATATACATACATATATTCTTCTATAGATATGGCAATAAACTAATTTTGAGATGATAAATAAATAAAGCACATATGAGTTTGTGGCAGGTTCTGGATTTACTAGAAGATGCTTGTGAATCACTTTTGGAAAGCATTGCTGACAAAACCACCTCTGGTAAGCCTAGCCTACCCTCATAAACATCATATATTTATTATTATATCCATCTCCACCGGTTTCTCTTCTCGTTTCTGTTGTTTTTACTTAATGCAAGCTTGTTTGTGTACAATTATATCGTGAATAAAACTAGAATAGAATATAACTTGCTGAAGCCGCGGTCAAGTTGCCTGTCCTGACCGGACCCTTTTTTTTTTTTTTTTTTTTTTTTTTTTTTTTTTTTTTTTGTTTTCAATATGTATAAAGCCATAGGGTGTGTTTGTTTTGTGCTTTTGTTTTGTGCTTTGATTTGAAAGAATTTTTTTTTTTTTTTTTTTTTTTCTTAATGAGATATAGGAATTTGTACAGATATAAGATAATATGAAAATAATAAGGGTTTAATCTATTAAGTTTTTTTAGTACAAAGAACAAAGGTACAGTGTTTTAAAAAATTTAATTTTAAATTTCTGACTTTTACTTCAAAATAAAAAAAGAAAGGCTCGGTGAGGTCTTTCTCCAATTAATTGGGTCCTGTTGGGCCACATTTAATGGTCAACGCTGAAGAGGAGTGCCCCATTTTGAATTAGGCCTTTTCTAGGGCAAAGCCCGTACAACCTTGAGGCCTCCCCGAACAAAAAATTTTCGGATCTGGACTTAAAACTTTATCTAATATTGGGCCACCTTTGGGTCAAATATCATTCATGTCGATCCGTACGGAATTACCAAATATGCCAGTTGGCCCAATCTCATTTCAGTTGGGCCCGTTGTGGCTCACACAAAGTTTCAGTAACGATTACGTAGTGGACCAGACATGGGCGGAATTTGTCTTGTAGGCCCGACAGAAGCCCACTTAAAGGCCCAAACTTTAACCTTGGGTCAATCTCATTTATATCAATACTAATGTGGGCCATACAAAAGCCCAAAATATGCCGAAAGCAGTCCTGTCAATATTGGGCCCGTCATGGGCTATATAGTGAGCTAAGGTGTTTTGTTGAACTCTCCAATGGACTGGCCCAACATAAAAGCCTGCTTATTTCAGAATTGTCTATTACTATATTGGGCCTCTATGGCCCAACATAATTTCTGTTAGCCCATTATTGCTGCAGACTATATAGGCCCCCCCCCCCCCCACCTCTCTCCCTCCGCTATTTAATAATAATATACACATTCTATTTTCAATTTATATATTTATAATTGTATATACAAACAGTAATATTAGCTTATTTATTATTAATATTAAGCACAATTTTTTATATGCGTATAATTAAAAATTTTGCTATGGTATTACGTATGACAATTGACAAGCCAAGTAGTGAATCGTAAAAAAATCAGATTTATACACATTTGAAGCAGGCAGAATAACGTTTTGAATGAAAAGAAAACCACCAAAATTCCTAGGATTCATCCATAGCATTATTATCATGATCGTTGTCATTATCATAATATTCATCGTCCCGCTGGATTTGCTTGTCTTGCACTTGTCCTGTACGTCGACAGATTCTACATCAACAACCTTCGTGTATATATATATATATACAAACTAGCCAGCCAAGAAAGACGAGTATCAAATATCAATAACACTATTTTACTTACGGGTTACCCGTTCGTCAGGATTCTGCTCATCGTCGTCAAAATCAGGTATATAAAAATCTGGTGGAACCTACAATGTACACCCACAAAAAGGTTCCGGATTCAGCAAGCCAGCCAATCGCATAAAATAATGTATGTGTAACTCACTCATACACAACTGAATTATCATCGAAGATATTATCCTCTGAATATGATGAAGTCGGGAAGGGAATGAATACATACCTCTTGCATTTGTACACCAGGTGCATGTTGAATGGAACTAAGATTTTCGCATACTTGCTGTCTGATTGTGTTAATGTACGACTTACTATTTAAATTCTCCTGCAAATGAACAAGTCGAAAGAAATTCAATACATTCGTTCTATTGCCCACCCAAAGAGGATTTAAAACTATCCAAACATCTTCTAATGCAATTGTGGGGAGAGAGAGAGAGAGAGAGATAAGATCTCTGTCAAATTATATACGATCAATTACCATGTATCTACCAAACACAATTTAACAAAAAAGTGAAAAATAAAATAAAACCTTGATTTTGATACCTAATTAGCATGCCAATTATATACACTATCAATTACCATGCACCTCCAAAACACAAATTTAACCCCAGTTAAAACTGGATTGTGATACCTAGTTAGCAAGCCGATTCACGTACCATAAGTCCGCTAGGACATTTCAAGGAGAAATCTGGAGCGAAATATTTGATGTAATCGTTTTCCGGGATCTCTGCAAAAAGGAATCACCAGATTTACCAAAAATAGAATTCATTAAGCACATAATAGCACAAAAGTTAATAGTGCAGTGCAAGTCTAACAGAATTTTTTGTGGGTCCCGTCATACAACCATACCATTAGGGAGCTCCGCATCCAAAAGGACTCCTGTCTCTACAGTCCAACACCTGGCAACATTCTCTTTAGTGTATCCACCACCTCCAGTTACCTATATTAATGCTATTGCTAGTCAAAGAACAGATGTATAAATAGAAGCACTGAATAGTGTGTTGTACGCAAAAAACCAACCAGCAAAGGCAAATTGAGTTGCTTGACAAACTTGACACAAGCAGCATGCCCTGCAAGAAAATGTCCAATTCAAAATAAATTACGGTATTTTGAAATGCTACTGGTGACAAGTTCATTCAATCATCAGTGAATCCATAATATATTACAGAAATACAACAAAAAACTGTATAAATTACAAGCATAGCACCATCAATGGAAAGATTAAAGCATCCCAAACGGTCCCCAGCAAGTGAATCTGCTCCACACTGGAGGACAATAGCTCCCGGTGCATAGCACTCCACAACTTTCATAATAATCTGCAGAATTATGAGACAAGAGAACTTTTCTTTGTAACTTGGTAGGTAACTGCAGCAACTAATGTTGCGAAAGATACCACATACCGTTTTAAAGAGACGTAGAAAGCTGGCATCATCTATACCATCTTTCAGAGGGACATTAATGGCATAATTTTTGCCTTCTCTTTCACCCACATCCTTAACAAGCGAAAAGAAGAAAATTAAGGAATCAAATGTTAATTACTATACTATGGCTTCACTAGCAATAAAACAACTTACTCAAACGTCAACAAGAAAATTTATATGAATTTTTTTAACATCGCAAAGATAGTATCATTCCAAGAAAATGGCTGTAGATACCAGAAGCATTCTCATTCCAAATTTCAGACAATAAACTTGCAATGCTTTAATATGCACTGTATATTTCAATAGAAACCATCTATGGATGAGAAGAATGAAATTATAAATGGAAAAATACTTGGATTGTTTCATACAAAATCATTATAATCACACAGCTGATTGATAACATTTGAGCAATAAAAGCAGCTTTACAATTTCCAAACTGTTTTCACTTTCCATCAAAACGAGCAAACGGAAAATACATACAAATCCACTACCATTAAGGAAGTACCTTTACGTCACCTGTTCCAGGAAAGAACAAATCCCCGTACTTGTGAAAACTAACCGTCATTACCCTGTAAGGCAAAAAAAACCACAACTTCCATTAAGATGAGGAAAAAGGCAAATAATAAAAATTTTGAAAACACTATGATTCAGCTCCAATTTTTATTTTATTCACTATCTTAGACATCTGCATTCAATAAAATAATCAAAGCATAAAACAAGACATATGTGGCCATGTTCACCACCAGATCCCTTTGTTCCCTTTCAACTCTGTTCGCTACTTTATTGAAAGAATGCGCAACACTCTTGTATGACAACAAGTGCAACTAAAGTTGCTTCATATAATCAACTACTAGTAAAATTAATCGTATAATAACAATCTCATTTATTTTTGTAAATACTTAAGGTGGAATCTTATGAAAGATCATTTTTTAAAGGGATTAAATTATTGCTAATACCTATCAGTGAAATAAAAGGCTTCTTCAACCCCATCACCATGATGCACATCAATATCAATATACAGGACACGAGCATGATACTTCAAAAGCTCCAAAATTCCCAAAACTAGGTCATTGATGTAACAAAATCCAGATGCCTCACACTTCTTGGCATGATGCAAACCACCAGCCCAATTGATGGCAATGTCACAGAGCCGATTATTCAATCTCCGTGCAGCATCTGTCAGAAAAATCAGAATGGCTAAGTGAAGGTTTGGGGAACCATGATGGAAATGACAATATACATGACTACAGAACTCACCTATCGTACCACCAGCATATATTTGGCAGAACTCAAAAAGATTGTCAAAGACTGGACAATCTTCTCCAAGATTATCTACAATAAACAGTGGATGTAAAAATAGCATAGAGATCAGAAACTACAGAAGGGAAATATATATAATATAAAATAAAATAATTGATAGCAAAATCAATCTTAGCTAAGGAAATTTTCTTCTAAGTAAATTTGTGCGTAAATGAAAAATTGAGAATCATAGAACACAAGATTGCAATATCTAATCACATTAGGTACAAGCAGTGTTAGCATCATGGTAAGCATAAAACTGTCTAGATGGAAAAGAATCAGTTAGAACATTAGAATCAAATGCTCATGGTAAGCATAAAACTGACTAGTTAATTAAAGTTAGGTTCCCAAGGCTTTATAACAATGAAGAGCTGAGATCAAGTAATTACTAACCAATTCATAAAAGTGTTATGCCCAACATGACTAGGGGCATAGATAGACACGTTATGTTATAATGACTTATTTTCAACATAAATTTAAGAGTTCTAAAATTACATAACAAGCCTATAAACCTAAAGGAGTGTTAAGCCTGAACTTAAGTAGGAGTCTACAAAAATTATAGCTGAATCAAATCAAATCAAGAGAAAATGTTGAGCCCTGGCTCGAGCATTATATTGTGCTACTACTTAAGAAGCTTCAAATACTTAGCCATAAGATCCATTGACTCTTCTCAGGAGTAAATTTCCAATTGGGGAATAGTTTCATTTCTTAGAATTTCACCACAGAATGTTGCACCACTTTCTAAACCAGAACAACAGATAATACACTATGCTAAAAAGAACATAAGAGACTCAAATAAAATCTAAAAAGCTTGAGGATGAAAGGATTAGTTACATTTTGCCATCTGAGTGGCGAATAACTTCTGCGTGTTGGGAGTGATGCGCTGCAGAAACTCAACATAATCTGGGGAATGGAACTGTGCTAACTCCACTGGATATGCTTTGTGAGGCCTCTAATTTAACAGAAAGAAGCCAATTCTCAAAACAACCAAAAACTTGAATTTATATATACATATTAAAGAAAAATTCAGTAGGAAGCATACGCACGTAAATTTCCATCTTGTTGTGGAGATCATACGCGAGAACCAAATGGTGAGTCATACACAATCGGTGAGGTTTCATAGGGTGATTTGGTCCGAAATATACATTCCCCACATCCCCTACAATACGTAAATCTCCAGGTCAGTACGGTTTCACGCAAAGAAATGCATCTAAGTTACAGTGTGAAAAGCACATCAAAAGAGGACAGATCGAAAAATCATACCGTCGTAGAAATACGAGATTCTGTCCTTGCTGCGCATTGTGGAAAGCGACGGTTCGGCGCAACCAAATCAGTAACTGACCGCTGATTGTGCGATTCCTTCAGGAGATTAAAAATTCGGCCACTCACATGGGCAAAAAGAAACGAAACCACAAGCAATCGAGAAGCGAAACCCAGAATCGAAACCCTAATTGGGGTTAGGGTTTCAACAGATGCTATATATGTAGGCTATATATGATTAGAGAGTAGAAGCAACTGCCCCATCTATGCCCGGAGTTCGATTCCTCCTCAGCACTTGCAAGCGAATGTTGATCCGACGCGTCAGGTGTGCCGCCGCACGGAAGCCCGCAGCCATGGACGAAGGTCGAAGTTCGATATATAATTATGGTTACAGTTAATCGCGTTAACTGGAAAACTGTTTATTAAGCAATTATCCGAAGAATGATAAATCGCGTCGGCCCTTGTTGGAATATTTGTTTTTATCATTGCATCATGTATTTTTATAAATATTGTTTAAAATTTAATATTTCGTTACAATTTATATTTATATTATTCAATTTTTATATAATTATATTATAAAATATATCAAAAGATATTAAAATTATTTAATATATTTTCGTATTGTGATGAAAAGAATATTAAGTTGTTATTGTTTATGTTATATTGTGAGTATTAGCTTTATTTTGATTTTTCTCTTTGATTTTTTTACCATATAATTATATTTGAAAATACTGTCCTTTTCTTTAAAAAATTATCAACTTCGATTATTATTTAAATATAAATACAAAATTTAATTGATAACTTTATATAAATATTAAATAGTAAAAATAAATAAATAAATAAACAAATTATTTATTTTAACAAAATATTACATTAAAATACTATTTAAACAAAAATTTAAATAAACACCTCATTTCAAATCAATTTCAAACTATAATCAAACAAACTATTAGAATAGTTAAAAAAAAAATTGCATTCATCCAATCCAAAAACAAAATCAAAATGAACAAAACCAAACCATTGTTGGTAATAAGGAATACACCCTTAGCTTCAAATTAAATTCAATATACAAATATTTTAAAAATAAATCAAAGTGAACATATGTAGTAGGGGTGTAATTTAACAACAGCTGAGCTAAAGATCAAAGATCAAAGCCCAATGCTTCCATGGCATAAACAAACAAATTGAAGCTTTCAAAATTCATTCATCATGAAACAAAACCAACTTCCATGACAACATTAAACAATCAGAAATTGCAAAAAGTGAATAAATTGTCTGCATGCAGATTTATTAGCATTGCAAATGCAGATTCTCAAGACAAGATTCAAAACAATCAAAACTTCAAAGGGGCCAATCTCCTTATTCCTTCTTACCGATCCCATGACTCATGTTGTAGATCCCTCTCCCCTGGACAGTGTTTGCAGTGACAGTGAGTGATAATAATCTTTTAAATATATAAACAAAGAAATTTCGGACAAAAAATGTCATAAAGTGGAGATACACTCACAATGAGAAACAAAGAGGATCCAGCCAAAGCCAAAGGAATGGCAACGGACGTTATCTTGTCCATTGGCCCTTTCAGGTGCGTATGCTTTCGAATGCTTTGGAAATACCTTTGCTTCTCCAAAAGCTTCTCTCTTGGCCTGAAAGGTGGTTCAGTCATCCTGCACGAAGAACATGTTGACTTAAGACTTTGCAGGACATAAAATGAATTTACTCAAGGGTTCTCCAATCTCCAGCCATTCTTACTTTAAGGGATGATTGGGGTAAAAATGCATAAAAGTATCGTAATTGATAATTTCTATCCTACCTGTGGGTAAGGCTAATTCAATATTTTTAATTGACCAAACAAGGTTTCTCTATCCAATCAACTAATCAAGGGATTCTATATATTAACATGTCCACAGGATGACAAGACTAAGTTGGATAAAAAAAAATTATCCAATTTAATCCCATTCAGTAGAGATGGCTTTAAATTAGTTATAATTTATTTCATTGCATCTTTCCAAAATATAAATAAAATTAATTCTGATCTTTGATGTTGCAAAGTTGAAATATTGCACCCGATTTTCTGGACTAGAGTCATCACACATTCTGTTAACAGACTCATCCAGATACACATTCTGTTAACAGACTCATCCAGATGAAGAAATGGACAGCTTAATTTTCAAAGATAATTTTTCTGCTACAAGTCATCTTCTGTAGAGCTATGATCCTAATACTTCAATGAAACATGGATCCGGCTTCAGTTGCTAAAAACTTTCGTAGACAATCTTTATTAGGCACAATGGCTATGGATTAGCACAATCCCACATTGTAATGAATAAACAGCAAGACGTAATGGAAACTAAAACTATTATTCTGTACAAATGTTGGAAGTTTTCCTAGGAAACTCCAAGCTTGTCAGTTCACCATTAAAAAATAAATCCATATGCCAAAACCTATACAAACAGATCCAACGCCAACCGAACCTCAACGTCGCACTAAACATCGGAATAAAAAAGACACTCATAGATGCAAAATATCAAAATTAGAATATCAACGACAACAGTAAAGCGTCGTTGCTCAAAATCCTGTGCCACAATAACATAATAACGAAATCAGATTCTATTTCTCTGAAATCACAGATAACAAAAAAATTCTAAATTCATCATCCAAAAATTCACCAATCAATCAGCGCCGAGAGTAACAAACCCTACCCCACTGATTCACAATAGACAAACAAAAACCAAAGATCAACCGAGAATAAACCAAGCAATAACAATAACAATTCAATCGGAAGAGCCACGGACTCACCTGTGATTCTAGATTCGGAAGACAACGAAGAAGAGAACAAATCTGTGGAAATGCAGAAATGCAGCCGGGGAGCAAAATGGACGAAACGAATATGGGAACATGAAATCTTCAGAGGCGGATGCGGTCAAATAGGCAGACTAGTCGAGCCGGGCCGGGCTTCAGTTAGTTAAACGGGTTGGGCCTTTGGGCCTATTCTGTAGGCCCATCACCAGCTTATCGTATACGCTCTCCGAATACTTTTTTTTTTTTTTAACAAATATTAAAATTAAAAGCAGAAATTTGAAGCATTGTTTATTTATTTTTTAAAAGATATAATGTCGATTAAAAAAAAAAGGAAAATATATCAATAATAATATATACTATAAACATAACAAATATAAATCGAGATAGCTAAATTATTCAAACATCAACACACAGTTACTAAAGTTCTCATCATTTTTCCATCGAAGCTTAAACTTTCGTTAGTTTTCATTGGTAACAAAATTAATTTGCGACTTCGATCCATCCTCGGGTGGTTCATCGACTTGTTGCGATTCAATATCTTCCTCGACGAAATGAGATTTATCATCGTCCATAATGTGAAAGTAAAGAAACATAAATAAAATCATTTTCAAGAGAATTGTCACACTAAAGATAAATAAAAGTGATGTGATCATGGCTATCTTATATGCGAAACTTAATTTTGTTATTGCAAGATATATATATATATATATATATATATAGACACACATGACCTATTAATATATATGTAATCCACGATATATGTTAAGGATGTTGAGAATGGGATTTTGCCAATCTAAAACAAGGAGAGCATTGTTAAAATTTGAAATGTTTAGGTAGGAAGAAATCTATGGTGTGTTTGTTTGGGTTAGTTGATTTTGGATTTTGATTTAAACAGTAAAAAAAATTAAATTTAAACACTCCATCCGTCCCATAACAAAGTATACATTTACCTATTGCGTTATTCTACTAACGTTAAAAATATTTTTATATTTGTATAAATTTTTATACAAATATCTTTATATTAGTAGTATAAAAATATTTTTGCAATTTTCCTTGATTTTTAATATGTTTTGATATATTAATTAATATTCAAATATCAACACGCAAAAAATGAATACTTAGTTATGAGACGGAGTGAGTAGTTTTTTATTCAATATAAATAAAAATGAATGTAATATTTTGAAGATAAATATGATTTTTAGGGTGTGTTTGGTTACAATATTTTTCTCAAAATTTATTTTTCATTATTTTTATTTATTTTTTATATTATACTAAGAATTATTTTTACATTTAAAACATCACATCGACACTTATTTATATCAAGTTATACAACTATTCAAATTCAAAATTTTTACTATTCAAATCCATACCCCAATACAAACACACCCTTTTAATATACTCCCTCCGTCCCAGATACAATGTCCACGTTGCCGTTTCTGTCCGTCCTACATACCATGTCACTTTTTTTCTTTAGAAAATGATTACACACTTTAATCTCATTTTAATTTTTTTTTTAAATTTAAATTAAACTAATTAGTTATTTTAATTTTAATTTATAATTATTTATATTATAGGATAATTATTTTCACTAATACATTCTTAATTATCTACTAATTACATAATTCCTAAAATATCGTGTCTACAGTGTAGCAGACACGATATCTGGGACGGAGGAAGTAATAAATAAAAAAATAAATATTTAATTTTATATTTTTTTTAAAAAAATTACGAATAGTGAAAAATAAAATAAAATCACCCAAACAAATACATCCTAAAATCTTTAATTATGAGAATCTCTATTTATCACAATTAAACGTATTTGTCTTTTTATTATAGTAAAAATAATCAAATATTAATACTAAAATATTTTAAATTTTTGTATAAATTACAAATATATAATTATAAATTACATAAATGTGTAGCAACTCTATAATTATGTATATCTAAACTATTGTAAATGCATAGGCAACACTTACTCTTATTTTTGCAGACTAAACCCGACAAGACAAGCCAGGGTCATGACTTCACGATTACAAGTGCATCCTATACCACCTAGTCATTTCTTATCAAATACATCGTATATCACCTGATCATTTCTTATCAAATACATTGTATATCACTTGATCATTTCTTATCAAACATTTTCAAGTTTGTTTTAAAATATCAATCAATGTATTGTCCGCTAATATATATTGAATTTTTTTTAAGTTGGTTAAAAATTGAGTTACATTTTATTATAAAATAGCTGATTCTAAAGTCTTGCTGGGTGTGTTTCTTTTAATTGAGTTTGAGAAAAATAGTTTGTATTTGATATTAAAATAATATTTAATAAAATATTTTGTAAAAAAATGTATTTCTTAAAAAAAAATATAGTTCAAATCGTAAAATTAGAAGAAATTTAGTTAAAAAAACATACCCAATCTAAATGTATTGATATTTTGGCTTTCACCTTTTTTTATATACATATAATTTATGGCTCTATATATATTTAAAAAAAATTGTTATGATTTTTTAAAAAATAATTGTTTACAAGAATATTAAAATCTAATAATATTTTTATTGTATAAAAAAATTTTTCTTCAAAACCTCTAAACTTTTAAAAGATAACTTCTAAAATTTTTAAAATAAGAGTATTGGAGAAATTTCTGTACCAAAACATAAAAATAACCCAAAAAAAGAACTCACATTGATTATCGACAAACAAACGCCGAGTGGAGAATTAATCTGCTACTTCGCGCTTAGGCTGCACCACATCAATCTTCCAATAGTGTTCTCCCACGGTGATGAGATAAGGTGCAGCACTGCCACGTCATCATGCCATATAGGTGAAACAACAAGCGTTAGAAACAACACGAAACTATAATTAATAATAATAATATTATAATAATAACAATACAGAATAAAAAAGATAGAGAGAGAAAGAGAGAGAAATAAATTTAAGATCAGTAGTGGTGCGAGTGTGAGAGGAGATCGGTGAATGCTTCAGCAATTGTCCCTTTCAGAATCTACAATCTCTTCGGTTTCTTCGCGATCCGAATCAAATCATTCCTTCGCATCCATAATCTCGCCTCTGTAGAGATAAATAATCCGTTTGTGGTTCGCTATCAATGGCGTTGAGCCTCGACGAGACTTTCAAGCCTAATTTTGCCTTCTGCGGACCGACACCGTCGGATTGTAGGGGAGAAATCTACACCGTCCGATGCTCGGTTGAGAAAGCAGAAGGTGAAAAGGAAATCTCCGTCACGAAGAGGCGCCGCCTGCTAGATATCGATCTGAATGCTCCGCCGGAGGACGATTCTCCGGCGCCGGATTGCGCGGAAGAGAAGGAGAGTCGCTGCGCTTCCAACTGTAGCTGGGAAGCGCTCCTTGATGTGGCTGAGGTTGCTCTTATTGAGTACGCCGAGAGGAGAGGCGGAGTGAGTCCGACTCGGAGCGGTTGCGGTGAGTCGACGCGGAAAACTCGAGGAATCGGTTGCGGCGGCGATGTTGCACGGCCGCCGCCATTGGTGAAATCGAAGAGGGGGAGGACGGTGGCGCTTCCGAACAAGTATAGAGACTCGTTTCTCGGGGAGCTGTCGGAGCTCCGGAGCGGCAAACCGGCGAGGAGGTTGCGCTGACGGTTATTTCAGTGGGAAATGAGTATTTTATTTTATTTTTTTATAAGTAAAAAAGAAATCGATTTCTGTGGAAGTGGAACTAATATATTTTTTGTTTTTTTATTTCTTTGGTATGATTTGTAGCATTTGTTGCGTACTATTATGTCGACTCGGCCATAATATGTTTTAAATAATATGTTTTGGTTATAAATTTGCTAGGATTAAGAGATGATTTAGGGTTTGGCTGCTGGAGGTTGCATAATAAATGTCCTAATTATAAGTATTATTATTTAATTTATAATAATATTTTTATATCTTAATATACATTATATTAAAATTTATTTTAATTCAAAGTGTTCTTTATATGTGGAATAATTTTAAGTTTCATTTCCACTCATCACTCATGCATACATCACAGTATATTTTTGAAAATTTCGATACATTTATCAACAATAACTAAAAAATATATAATACAAAATAAATATTTTTCACAAAAAATATAATTAAAACGAAAATAAAATGTGAAGGAAAAGTGTTTTGTTGATCAAGTTTTCAGCTCTGAAACAGTAATAAATATTTTACGTTATCTAATAAAGAACCGCCCACAGGATATGCAGCAAACCATTGGAAAAAGTTAAAAATATCTGACATCCAAACAAATACTCTATAACAGAGAGCCCTTGGATGTTTTCAGTTACTAGGCAAAATATAAATAAATAAATACATACATACCAGATTGGGTTCTCACGTATGGTCTGCATTCACCTTAACCTTTCCCGCACAACATCCCTTTTTCTTCTCACTGACTTGGTCCCGCCTCTCCAAATACTCGGAATTCTCTTTACACACCTCCCCATTGCTATACACTTCTTTCTTCCATATCGGCACAGTCCCCTTCACCTCATCGATTATGTACTTGCACCCATCCAATGCATCGTTCCGGTGTACCGACGACACTGCGATGAATACGCTCATTTTGCCCACCGGGACTCGCCCTATGCGGTGTGCCACTGCAATGGCGTTCACCTTCCACGATGATCTCACGGACGAACAGATTGATTTTATGCGCGAATTGCCATGGGAATGTATGCCTCGTATCTCAGCTCCACCACTGACTTGCCCTCGAAGGTGTCCCGAGTAGTCCCAGCAAATGTTGCGATGGCACCACAATGCGGCGACTGCACGTAGTTTATGTATTTGTTTATGTCGATGGGGATGTTCTCCTCTAATATCTCGACTAGATTCTTCTCTTCCGCCATCACTCTCTCGGGAATTGTTCTTCTCCTGATGGCAATATTGATTCAATCCTTGTAGAGATTTGAGCCTGCAGTAACAAGGCACAGCTTATGAATCTTACTTTAATCTACTACAAGATGCAAAACATTTCTGATGTCAAAATCATGCAATGGTTAGTTGAACTTTATTAGATGATCAAAATGATTCTCTTGCCTAAAAATTTAAACTCTTAGTTGAGACGATTGTTCAAATCTTATTAAACTTTTATATGAGAAGTTCATTCCAATCCTCTAACATGGTATCAGTGCCCTAGATCTGGAGTTCAAATCTCACCGGTTTCGTGCAACATATATCCTGATATCTGTGCAGGTTTCGCATATATCTCCTTGCACTAGAGTAGCGTGTCAGTTGGCTCTAGGTATCCCTAATATAGTTTAAACTTTAAGGTGAGAGGGTTATTCCTATCATCAACAAATTTGTGGCTATTTTCGTCAAATTAGTAATTAACAAACATGTGTTCTTTTGTATCACATCACACTAACTATTCAAATTAACATTTTACTATTCATAAATCCAAACATGCACTGTGAATCGAGATCAATAAGAAACTGGAAACAAAAAGAAGCCAGAAATTTGCATCCATCCACGGTCAGAAATCAATACAAAATAAATAGGAAGACCAATCAACAGAACACTTACCTTAAACAAAATTCCTTTTTTCGGCTCCAATTCTCGTCTTTTGTCGCATAAGGTCTCGGCTCACTGTGGATTATCTGTTGGCAGATTTCGGTATAACGTTTGTTATTTTACAAAAATAACTGGGCCAAACTTTCTGTTACCCAATTAAGACAATTGGGTCGACTTGTTGGGTCTGTGACACTTAGATATTCGTGAGTGGGTCTTTCATCAAATGCATAGAAAATGGGCACTGAAAAGACAGATCTAAAATAGAGCTTAAAATGTAAAACAGAACAAAAGAATCCACCAGAAACTCACGGTTAGTATTCCAATTATGAAAACTCTGCTTGCATATATATATTTACATATATCAATTTCAACGCTAAATTCTTAACAATGTTTATACGAAACACAGTAATTCATATATGGAATTAAGCTTCCCATATTCATAGGCAAAATATCAAATCAATAGCATAATCATGCATTACGAACGCCATTATTCTGATTCATTCACATTAAATATAAATCATGTCAATTATTCTAAACTTCAAAATTCATCGTCTATCAAATATTAAAGAACATGCAAACTGCACACAAAAGTAAACAGAAGAAAAGGGAAACATCTGAAGGGATGAAAACTATAATTTCTTATTTGCATAAAACTAACTATACCGATCGCAGTGGGATTCGAACCCACGACCTTTAGATTCGGAGTCTAATGCGATATCCACTCCGCTATGCGATCATCTCTAACCAATGGTCAAACGAAAACAAAATCAACCGATGTGCCTGGCATTTTCATGCTTCTGAATTCGAACGAGACAAACAGCAGTAATATGGAAGCGACAAAACGAGAGAGAATTCAAATCGTGAAATTATGGCAAACATCAGGTAGCGATCCTTCCAGTATTGATGCAAAAACAAAAACGCCGCAATTATTGTCACAGTCACAACTCACAATCGAAGAATTACTCTAAAAAAACCAAAGCGAAAGCAAATAAGAAACCTCACATTGACGGGGACGCGATTCAAGAACCACAACATCCACTCGATTGCACCGATGGTTCTCGTCCGATCTCATCCTATCAAATCCGCGCGACAGTACCAGAAACGACCAAAAAAATAAAAAAATCCGTGCGGGAGTAAAATTGAATTAGGGTTTTCGATTTCCTAATTCGGTGGAGGAAAGCGGTTAATAAGTAGCCTTACTTATTTTCTCTAGGCCCTTTAACTTTTCATATTTACATTGGACCCATAGTTTTGTATGCCCCTCAATTAAATGACAGATTATTAATAGCCTTACTTATTTTTTCTAGGCCCTTAAACTTTTCACATTTTCATTGGACCCATAGTTTTGTATGCCCGTCATTCTACTTAGTTATATAATTGCATCTACCATTCAAGTTTACCAATATTCTTAATTTCAAGTAAAAGACAGGTTGTGACATATTAATTACCAATACTTTCACATTATTAAAAAATGAATTATCTGTATCTAAAAATTTATTTTTTAACTAGTTTAGGCGTATATACAAATAATATTGGACAATAGAATGTAAGAACACGTGCTATAAATGTCTCTCTAATTTGGTCCACAAATAGCAGAATGTTTGATAGAATCGTTTGTCCGTGAAGGCTTTTATTGGTTTTGTAATGATTAGTTATCAATTATCGGGAGGTTAGGGTGTTGATTCGCATTAATTAATATATATATAATTAAACAATACACTTTTTAACTCATACGTCATATGATGTATTAATTGAAATTACATACTCAGAAGTCATATACTCCCTCCACCCCGGAACTAAATATCCATTTATTTTTTACACGTAGTTTTAGAAATATTAGTATTATATTGGAATATAGTAGGAATAAAGTAGTACGTGTGATATAAATGTAATGACATTTGTATAATATATTATAAGTTGTAAGGGTATTTGTAATGTTAGGTAGATAGTAACCGTTACTAAAAAAAACGAAAAATTGCCTCGGAATTTATTCCGAGGCTGTAAAAATACAAATAAAATAAAATCAGGTGGATTCGAATAATTAAAATGGCATCGAAATTTCAAAGACCAATGTGAAAATATATTTTATTATATTAAATAGCCTTGGAATTTTTTAGACTAAATTTAAAATATATTTTATTATATTAAATTAGTTCAAAATTTTTGAGACTAAATTAAATATATATTTTATTATATTAAATGATTTTAAAATTTTTCGAGACTAAATTAAATATATATTTCTATTATATTAAATGACTTCGAAAATTACTAAATTAAATATATATTTTATTATATTAAATGGACTCGAAATTATTAATAAATTCATATATATATATAAAATTAAAATAAAATTAATTACATGGCCATCGGATAAGAAACTCACAGTCGCACGTAGATTTGCGGCCCGGTACGGTTACCAATGCGACCTTCCTACAATAATAATGAAACCTTAAATATATAAATATAAATAACTCAAATTGTATTTTAGAAATAGGATAAATTTCATAGTATGAGAAGTTTCTACGTAATAGATCAACCATACTTTGTTGCATTATCAAATTTAAATATAATTAAATTTCATTTAAAATAAATTTAATTACTTTTAATATAACCTTTGTGTATTGGATGTACGGTTAGCTTCCCAAGATCTATTATATTTTTCATAATTTTCATATTAAAATATCAAATAAAACAAAAGTAAATGAAGAGAAACACACATTGTTTCGACGGATTAAGACTAATGATCGAATAACAAAATTAAGAAGACACTGATTTACGTGGTTCACCAACAACATATTAGTTATATTCACAGACATAAACGAAGAACAAATTTATTAAAAAATAGCTGCAATACATATTACATAGCCAAGCCACTTGGCCGCACATTAAAATAGAAATACAGGTCTATTTATAGCATAAATCTATTCTAATAATATTCAAACTATATCTTTATATTTAGAATATAATATCTGTTATTCAAATTATATATTTAGTTTTAAAGCATATCAACAAAATCGCTATACTGACTTGAATTTATTTATTCGGTTTCAATGTATTTGGTGACATGTCAATTTATAACGCATTGTATATGTATATATATATATATAATGAGAAATTAAATAAAGAGAGAGAGAGAGAGATGACAATTTGTAAATAGCTTCGCCTTCAATTATTGGGGCTTCGTCAACTTTAGGCTCATATACATATCTATGAAGTAATTAACAAATTAATTAATTTTACATGTTAAGGACTCTTTAATTGCCATACATGCATACATACATACATATTGCATACATACGTTTTCTTTATTCTTTTCACATAGGATAGGGATAGGGGTTTAGGTACTTCACCTGACTTCCACATCCTCGTAATTTTGGACATAAAAATAATAATAATAACATTTTATTCGCTATGACTATATTAGAGTCGGTAAAAACTGACTCGACACGATTCGAAACGAAATAATTGGGTTTGAGTTAAATATTTCAATTCGATTATATATACGAGTTGACATGAACCGACACGATAATAAATGAGTTGGGTTAAAGTTGAGGCTGTCAACTCCAACCCGACACAACAACCTGATTATAATATTTTAATATTGATTAATATATTTATTATATATGTAAAATAATCATAATTTAATATTTTTTTTCATAAATTAATTTAAATTAAGTTCAATTTTAAATAATTCTACTTAATTTACGTCTCAAATAACACGACAACACAAAAAAAAGTTTTTTAATTTGAATTAAGAAATTCGACTTAATTATGTATACGGGTCAACACGAGTTAACCCGAACCCAACACTATAATAAACGGGTCAACACGAACCCAACACGATAACAAACGAGTCGGATTAAAGTTGAGTAATTTAACCCGTTTAAAATATTCAACCCGACACGAATCGATCAATTGCCAGCTATAGACCATATACATTAAGGGTGTGTTTGTTTTGGGGTTTGGATTTTGAGTTGGAATTTGAATAGTAAAAATTTTGAATTTAAATAGTTGTATGATGTGATATAAATAGGTGTTGATGTGATATTTTGAATGTAAAATTGATTTTTTGTATAATATAAAAAATGAAAAATAAGTGTTTGATTTGATATTTTTGGGAAAAAAAAATGAAATAAATAGTGAAAATTAAATCCAATCCCCCAAACAAACACACCCTAACATTAAGGATTAATGTAATGTATTAATGGATAAGCATTAAACAAATGTTATTAATATATCTGACTTGGGGGATAATTAGATGGGGCCTCTATTTAAAATTATTGCAATATTAAATATTTAACATAAAAGCAAATAGCGAGACATCATATTCACGAACCTATGGCAAGTTGCTTCTCATTTCTCAACCTGTCCCAGTTACTAACTCGACTAATATATTATATTCATAATAAAAAATTATTACATATTAAATTTTATGTATAATTTAACCAAATGTTTTAAATAAAATTGATTTATTATATTTATTTAATTATTTGCCGCAATAGTCACACAGGCCGTAGTTCTGCCACGTGAATTTGCCTACAACCAGTCTCATCATGCCACGTGTCAGAATGTTTTAAGAAGTTGCTTTTCGCTAAAACACGTTTTTTGTTCCCTTCAATTAGGCACGGCAACCTCAGAATGAATAATTGCGCAATAATGAGAATTAATTATTATATTTGCAAATAAGTCCCTGAAATAGAAATAATTAATTACGAATTTCCTAAAATTTCAGAAATGAACTCATTTTGCATATAAATAATTCCATTGCATTTGTATCATCGACCGGATGGAGACTACTTCCATTGAATCTCCACACGCGATTCCTCTGTTTTTTCCACGCGCCGCCGTGTTCCTCCGCGTGATTCGGTTATGTCTGCCGGCGACGGTGTTTCTGAATTATCTACTCCTGGATTTCCTCATCTGCGATTCTTCCGCTATCGCCGTCTGAGATAATTTAGTCAGATCTCAGTGATTGGTAATTACTATATATATATCGAAGAAGCAGTTTAATTTTTATTGTTAGATTTCGATGCCGTCGCCGGTGAGGAGGAACCGGAAAGGAGGCGGAGAAAGCTACGAGAAGGATTATAAGAAAGAGAAATTCTTATCGGAGAAGGCGACGTCGTTTCACGGTAGAGGATCTTTCACTGCGGCGGCGGAGGAGATGCTTCCGAGGCCAAAAACAGTTCCTGAATTGTTGAAGGGGAGAAAGGCGGAGGACATGGCGGCAAGGACACAGCCGGCGAAGCCTGCAAAGTTGCTGCTGAACGTGACGATACAGAGGAGTACCGGCGCCGTGCACGTGCTGCTGCCTCCAGAGGCCACCGCGGAGGACCTTATATCGGCGGCGCTGCGCCAGTACGTAAAGGAGGCGCGGCGGCCGGTCCTGCCGTCGGCGGACGCTTCCGCCTTCGATTTGCATTATTCCCAATTTACCCTCGAATGTAAGTCTCCGCTATAATACTCTACTTAATAAATACAATTATTTTTTATTATACAGTACTATTTGCGACCAAAGAAGTAATAAATAAATTTTTTATATATATTTTTTATACTTTTATTATTAATTGTAACATTGGGTGCAAACCAAGTCCACGTTCAAAATTGTAAAAAAAAAATTTCTTTTTATAAGTTCTAAATCAACTTTACTATTAGGTCTTTTCAAGAATATCTAAAAATAAATTTGTGCAAGCTCAAATTAAGTTGATCTAATCCAATCAAACACATACAATCTCATTTTTATAATCATATATTATTTTTTTTTGTATTTACATATCTAATCAAACAAACTAAATATTAATTATATCCTTTAATCGTATACAGGTATAGAAAGGAAGGAGAGGGTAATAGATTTGGGTTCTAGAAACTTCTTCCTGTGCCCCAAAATCGCCGTCGTACCGTCCGTTCCGGGTTGCTCAAAAGAGGTCGGAAATAGGGAAGCAATAAAAAATAGTTTACCTTTGCTTAAATCCATGAATTTTTTTCTACTGTAATTTAATTTAACTGATCAGATCAGATATTTGCTCTACAAACAATTAAAACATTTATAACACTACTTATGTTTCCAGATGCAAGATTTGTATAATTCTGAAATTTAAATGTGTAATTATTATTATTATTAAAAAAAATATGTTTACAGTAGGAATCTATACACGTGAGTGACAGTCAATATTGCACTCAATAACTCACGTTCGAATCCAACGAAATAAACATTTGAAATATTTATAAATTTATTTTTAATAAATATATATATTTTACTGTCAAAACATTTTCAATATCTTACCCATTCAATACATATTTTTATATTAATTAAAAAAAAAAATAAATACAAACACAGCATATTTTTCTCTTGTGTTTGCGCAAAGAAACCAAGTAGGACAAGCAATGTACACTTCCTTTTGGCAGGAATCATACAGAAATGTTCTAGACTTGCGTCGGTTATCATTGGACGCTTTGTAAGAATAATTTGTCAATTAAAAAATCCAATTTATATCTACTACTTGCCATATATTTGGTTTTTTAAAGCTCCCACAACGCATTCAAAAAATAAAAAATAAAATAATAATAATAAAATAGTTTAATACCACTTTCATATTTTCTCACAATACTTTCAAATTTCTAAATAATAATAACAAAAAATTTTAAAATCACAAATACTAAGAACACAACCACAAGAGTTCTCATACAATAAATGATGATACTTTTCTTTTACTCGAAGAACCCGCCACTAACTACAAATCATTTGCGTTAAGTATTATACAGATATACATTATGTATAGGTATTATCTTTCCACACCAAAAAACAACGCCAATATTTCCGTACACATTTCAAAAATAGTTTAATACTACTATTCATCAAGAATAATTTCATTTTTCAAAAAAATTAAATAATAATAAATATCCATTTATTCTAACAAAATATAACATGAAGTAGCAAACTTTTTACCATTTACCATTTTTTTTTGAAATTCCCAAAAACCTCTTAAATATTTAACATTTCAGCACTATTCCCTAAAATATAATATCCAACATGTATTTTTTATTTGAAACATTACACAAAAATTATTTTTTTTGACATACCAAGCAAAAGTTGACACAACATGACAACAGAGAACCCAACACAAAATAATTGAAGTTAAATACAAAATTTCAATTAACCCGAGAATTAATATATAATTATATATATATAATAATTCTAATTTGATTATTAACCCAAATATTAATTTAAACAAAATTCAATTTTAAATAATTCAACCTAATTATACATATTACACTAAAACTAATATAAACTAATATAACATTGCAAACAATAATAAATAGATCGAGTTAAAATTGAGTAATTTAGCTCATTTAAAATATTCAACCGAACATGAATGAACTTATTGCTAGATCTAATAAAAACATCAATCACAACCCACCTTCTGTTCCGCTAAAAGATAAAAAAGATTGGGGGTTTACCCGGTACGCACTTTCGGGTAGCGGCTACGGGTTCCCGCGTCATAATAAAAAAATTAAAAAAAAAAAGATAAAAAAGATGGTCACAAACCCAAGACATTTTTAGATACCATTTCAAATTTGTCCAAAGTGACACTTAAGCCCAATTCCAGTTACCAAAGCATGCACAAATGCATCCAACAGCCTAGCTGGTTGCCATAACAAAAAATGTTTGCCTTTCTACCATTCATTTTATCAATCAAATAGAGAAAACAGTAGATGTGTACCTAAATGGTAAAAGAGAATTCCTGCTGCTGCTCTCAAGTTGCAAAGGAAACAAAACTAAACATGCATAAACTTGTTTCGAAACAACAAAATGTCTACAAACCTGTATCTCATTCACCCAACCAGCAAAACTAAAAACACAAGTCGATTTTAATCCACCGGTGTTGATACATCCATCCTGCAAATACTCTGTTACCAGACAACCAATTCACGAAGAGCAAGAACACCTGTAAAAAAAATTACAGAGTAATCCTGCGTTAAAATCATGGCTCATGTTCTTACAATGCAGGGTACCTGTACCTGCAAAACTAGTAAATTGCGTGAGAATCAATCAAAATTCAAAAGAAGCAAAAATTAGTTGTAAAGGGACATGAACAAAAAGATTAACGAACACTCACAAAGCCTGGATGTGTCGCAAGGTTCAGGATACCTGATGTGAATGATTTTCATAAAACGTACGTAGTAGGTAACGGTGAGAAACGAGGCATGGTTTATTTACAAGGAATTTTCATAAACTAAGGTAAACAATCAGTCAAAAACTTAAATGGTAAACTGATTCTTTAGTGTCCTGTAATAAGACCTTTTTATCATTTTAGTCCTGTACTTGAAGTTTATCGCAAATTAGTCCCGTAAATAAATTTTTTTCGAAATTTTAATTCTATAAGCCACACGAGTGCCACGCAAGCATCCCTAGCGCCGGAGGAATAAAAATGCGAAAATTTTCCACTTATGGGACTAGTTTGCGATAGGCTCCAGTTACGGGGCAAATGATAAAAATGTATAGTTACGAAACTAAAAATCAGTTTAACCAAACATAAAATAGCAAGTGAGAAACCAAGCATGGCTGATTCAGAAAAATTGGGAAGACTAGGAAAAAAATTAAAATAGCCCTACTAGAATAACATATACAAATCATTTGGCAGAAAAGGGCTCGAAAAACAGGAGAGTTTTAACCTGAGAGAAAAATGCATTCAAAAGGACTAGGTGTAGTAGCGACGTAATAAAATGAAACTACCTCTCAAGCTGTAATATCATCGGCAGACAAGCAAACTAATATCTGAAGGACAAGAAGATGTCTAAGGGGAAGGATTAGGAGTGTCGGAAAGGACATAGGACAGATTTAGCTATTAGATCATATGAAGACATGCATCATGCTCATAAAACATGCATTTTAGACAAGTTAAAAAAAGCACATAGAAATGGCAGGCATTTTCTAATCATGTTTTCCTTATGATAGAATTGTAAACCTGCACACCACCTGCACAGTGGAAAATGCGCAGTGAGAGGTACTTTTGTTCTCTTTTCATTTAGAACAATTTTAGATTTTTTTATAAGAAAAAGAAATAAGAGAACAAACCATTGTAGTCATCATCGCTACCGACGGGTATCCTGTTGTGGCTGAATTCCTAATCATCCCTGTTTTCATTTCTGCTTTCTTTGCCACCTTCAGTAGCACGTTTCGCCTCGTCCCTTTCCCTGTTCCACATCTCAATTTTTGCGCGCCTCTCTTCGCTCCCTTCGCGGATAGGACTGCGGTCCCTCCTGCCACCTGGGCTCCCGCTGCTTCTATTCCTCTTATGGTCTGGACTTGTGCTCCGGTGCCTCCTGCTCCGGCTTTCATAGTAATCCCGGTCGTCATGCCTTCTGTGATGGCGACTTCCATGAGAGTGATCCTCGTAGCTGCGGTGTCTGTAGGGACTTCTGCTCCTGCTGCGCCTTCTCCGGTGTCTCCCAAACAACTGGCGCCTCAACTCCCTATTATTGCAAAACATACTGTTGTAATATATCCGAGGATACCCACTCTCTAAAAAAAAAAAAAAAGCTTTATTTTTTTGCATTTTTAAGTATGATGACAGGGTGGTGCAGTACCTGCTAATCCTCTTAAGATGCATAAAATTACAGTATCCACCACGGTTGCAGGCATCCTCCTCATACTGCCTACAAGTCGCTTCACGGAAATCCGTCACAGGAGAAAAATCAACAATTATGGGACGACCTGCAATTAAAACACAAAATAATTTCATTTGGCAACTCCACCAAGAACAATGCACTGCAAGCTGCGTTCAAGAAAAAGGAAATGATCATTTTTAACCTGCATAGTATCTTCCTGTGAGATTTTTCAGAGCATTTGCTGCATGTTCTTCCTCTCGAAACTGGACATAGACATTACCTACCTGAAAAGGGAGGTATGTGCCATTAGTACCCAAATTATCAGCTATAGAATATATTGAGGAAAAATAAAAAACAAAACAATGAAAGAATAAGAAATGCTTACCATATGATCAGCTAGATTGTCACAAACATTCAAACTTTCAATCTCTCCATACTTGCTGAGTTCCTCAAATAGGTCTTCATAGAAATCCTAACAATACAAATGAATCCACAATTAAAACCACCCCACAACCTAAATATTACATGCCAAAAGTCCAGGAGCAAAAAATAACTCAATATCCTTACAATCATTAAAACAATAGGTAAACATATTCAAGGAAAAAAATATTATAACGCTAAGACATTCAATTATAAGAACAAATTCTCCCTTAAACAAACTAAAGAGTAATTCAACTGAATTGCTAGAAAAGACGATGCAAATGCTGTGACACAATCGATATTAAAAACAGGTGAAGCCGTGAAGCTCTTAATTCGATGATCAGTATTCACTAACTCCTATGAACAAGCTAATTCGGCCATCACTCACACGTCCTTCAACTCAATCACTGAATAACACAATACCACGAGACTGCCCCTATATCTAATATAGATCCGGAAGATTCAGATTATCCTCTATTCACAACATCCGTCAAAAGGAATGAAAATATAAAATACTATTATACAAAGGTGCAATTCCAAAACGAGGCGTTAAATACGAAGAAAATAAGGAAAGAGATTGCAAACCTCGAAGTGTTCTTGCATCTTCTTGGGATCGATAGGCTGTCCCTGCGCATCGACGCCAGGTGTAATCATGTCAGGCCGCTGGTACATGTTGGACAATAGAAGCGTCGGACTGATGCTCGGCTTTGTGTGGAGACGAGAGCAACGGTCTCCGTGCCTGCACGCGCCGATCTTGAAGTAGAAAGGACAGTTCACCCGGTCCTTCTCCGTTCCGAATATCGACGCCAGGTGCTCCGCCATTGCCGAATTCCGATCCTCGACGGTAGATGATTCCCGCCTGCTAACACAACCTAGGGTTCCGATCAATTCCGCGTATATGAGAAATTAGGGATTTCTACGAACTACACAGACAGTTTTATATATGAGACGAGATTACGCTGTGGAAGCTGCTTCTGGAGTCTTCCACAAAACACATTAATTAAAATAATTATGATTATTAAAATATATTAGAAATTATTAGAATGTATTGGTGGTTTGCCCGAGTGGTTAAGGGGGAAGACTTAAGATCTTCTGCACATAAGTGCGCGTGGGTTCGAACCCCACAGCCACCATTTAAAATTTTGAATAGGCCCCAGTTTATTATTTTAATTGAGGCCCATGGGCCGATTTTGTATGGCCCAATAATATGACCTCGTGATTAATTATGTGCCTATTTTGTATTTTTAACTTATAAATTCGTTATATAAAATATCTATTTTTTATTAATTTATTATATCAAAACATTAATTTTTACTTAACATATCATATCAAATACACATTCTATATGAATGAGGATCTATCATAAGTTTATTATAACATTTGTGTACGAGTAATTATTCGTTACTTTGTTATTTATAATAATAATTTGATAACAGTTCTAAACAAATAGTCTCTAAAAAATGTAATTTATAAATATGCATGGTTAGTGCTAAATCATTGTTTAACTGTCGCACTCACAAGGATTTGGTGCAACATTTGCTATGGCGGTCACAAGTATTATAATATTTTATTCCCACCCTAATAAAGTATTATAGACAAAATTAAATTTGAGTGAGAAAGAGCAATGAACTTACTAGACATATTTAATGTTGGTGTCCTGTCATTTTATATAAAATTTTCCATAAAGAATTTAATGTCAATTAATCACAAGAATTTCATCATCACCATGGCTATGTTTAGTTGATATATATATTATTTTTTATAAGAAAAAACATTATATGTTTATAAAGAATCAAAATAATTAAATAATTTTAAAGACTAATGTAAAAAAACTCATATTTATTATTTTTTTTAAAAAAAAATTCAAAACAAAATTAAACCTGTGATGGAATCATTTCACCACATTAATTCATCACGACAATTGCTGCTACTATTATTTTTTTTTTTTTACGTCCAATAAAAACAAATTCACTCATCAATGAGAAATAAAACCAAAATGTCACAACCCCAAAAATAAAAATAAAAATACAATATGTAATTTTCATGACTTTTCTACCTATAGACTATTTAAACATCCCTTTTCTCCCAAATTCTATAAGAAACAAAATATCTCCCTATTTTTTGCTTTTTATTTATTTTTTCAAATAAACAATCAAATGAGATGAATCAATCAGAAGCAATCAATCTTGTGTACACGTACTCTCGTTTATACGTACAAAATACATCACAACAACACTAAACTCGTCTCCGTCGCCGGTCGAGTTCCTCGCTCGTTCTCTCACCGATTATTAAGAGGTTGGGACAATGGTGCCCACGTAACCAAATCCCGCGATCGTAAAAGTTATGACTTGAAGAAATAGATACACAAAGTAGTTGTTCTTTCCGTACATGAAGTCATAACATCCACACACGAAGAGGAATAATGCAAATCCAAGCTCTTGTAAATTTATCCTGTAAATACATAAAATGTATTCATTTATATTTTATTTTGAACGACTCTCCAAAAATTAAAAATAAATAAATAAAAATACATTATATACACAACAATAAAAATCAACAAAACATACAAAAAAAGACGTTGAATCAATAGTAGTAAATTAGCAGTCGGCCTCCCAAAATTTGGAGGCTGTTTTTGCACTGTAATACATTTTTATACCTTAAAAAATAAAACATCTAAAATTATAAATAGTAAACAAACACTCAGAGCTTGCTTAGTTGTGATTTGAAATGAAATATTGATTTAAATTTTTATTTAAATAATATTTTAATGCGATGTTTTATGAAAAAAATAGTGCATTATTATTAAAAATTGTGCAGAATCAATAGTATTGATTTTAATTTAAAATGCTAAAAAAAAAATAGTAAGGATGAATTTTAAAGTATATCTATTGAAGCCAAAACATACCCTAAGTATTGATCCAATTTTAAAGCTTTTGGGTCTTATATACTTAGTTACCTGTCTCCAATAATCTTGGTAAGGGATTTTTTCGACATCGTCGAGGATTTGTTCGACTTATTCTTTAGCGCATCCCCTAGCTTTTCGGTGACAACCCACTCATTGACGCGCTTGGCCTCGAGCAAGCCGATGATTGTAGCCTTTGTGCGGTGGAAGGACATCACATTCTCAAACAAGACCCAATAGAATAGTAGATGGAACGATCTGATCGACAAGTGGATGGATTTAAAATTAACACATAACAATAATTTAAACCCGATTCAATAAATTTTGCATTATACTAGAGATGGTATAGAAAATGTATCAGTCAATAGATCAATAGATGATTCTATAAAAGCTTAAGCTTTTATGTAAGACAAGATATCATCGATCCAATTATCCAAAAAAAAAGAAGATCTTACCTCGGAGTCCCGACTGAATTAAGAGTTGTAATGATGCATGGGATGTAAATGGCCCCCCATTTAGGGACATAAACTTCGGGGACGAGGATCGTCAGTGGCAGAACGACACAGTAGAAGAAGAAGGTGAACATATGGGCTATGAGCTTACGGACGAAGAAGAAGCTGTATATAACGTAAAATTTCTTGTATAGCGTCACCTTCTGAAAAATGCAAGCGAACAAAGTTGTTAAAGAGAGTTGGCGCGACAATTATTTTATTTTAATTTTTTTTTTATCGATGGATTTATTGCGTCGCAAACCTTGTTGAAGGCAATGTCCATCATCATCTTGCGGAACAGATTTGCCGGGCCACACGACCAGCGGTGCTGCTGGAATCGGAAGGCTTTGAATGTGCTCGGAAGTTCGCTCTTCACCTGTTGCAAAATGCACAATCGAATTGGAATCGAATCCAATTATATCAAGTGATAAATTGTGATTGAATTGAATTGATATTGATTGATTACGTGAAGATCGCCGAGATAGAGGAATTTCCAGCCCTTGAGGCCAGCTCGAACAGCAAGATCCATGTCTTCTACTGTCGTCCTGTCTTTCCACCCTCCTGCTTCGTTTATGGCCCCTATTCTCCATATTCCTCCGGTTCCTATACGTACAGTGCGTCCAATTAGTTAGGGATATACCCAAGACAATGGAGACTAAAAGGCGACACAGTTTACATATATACTTTTTTGAAAATTTTGTATATTTATCTTACATTCTATTCATTTCTCAATAAACATCACATCAAATACACTTTTTTTCTCACAAAATATCAAACCAAATATTAATTTTTTAATTTTTCCAAACTTTCAAATTTTCAAGAACTTCAAAAAATTTCTATCTAAACAAAGCCAATTATTTCAAAATTAAAAAAAATTGCAAAAATTTCTAAGTCAAATGAGATGTTGTTAGAATAACATTATGAACTAACAATGCATTACATATATATATATATATATATAAAAGCATCATATAATTCATGGTAATATACAAATACAAATATGTACTTCTAGCATGCAATAGTCAGCATAACATATACCGTATTAATCTCTAACACATATCATATAGTAAACTAGAACACTATGTAATGCTCTCTCACTCAAAATATCTATTTTCTTTTTTATAATAAATTAATAAATAATACTCCGTCCGCCTACATAAAAAAATATACATTTTACTTTTGGGATGAAGTTTAAGAAATAATAGTAATTTTAATTACAGTGGGGGTAACTACATTTTTATTTTTACTTTTTGGTATAAAAGTAATAATGTGATATAAAGTAAAGATATTTGTGAAAAAAAAACGAGGTATTTAATAAAATAATTACTTTATAATTTAACATCATAAAAATATGTATACATTCCGGTTGGACGGAGGAAATAAATACTTTATAAAAGATAAAAATATTTTAATATTTATATATAAATTACTTTTACTATACTAAAAAATTGATACGGACATGCTTACATTTAATTGGAAAGAAGGAAATATATACTCTCTCCGTCCCGCTGCAAGGTTGTCAGTTGTTTTTTGCATGTTGATCATTGAATATTAATTATTGTATAAGACGTAGTAAAAATTGAGAAAAAAAGACAATGATATATTTATTAGTCTCTTATAATATCAATACAATAATATTTTTAGAGTAAATTATTCAAATATAAGAATATTTTTAATGCCGAGTAAAAACCAAATGACAACATTGCAGTGAACACATTATTTCAACAATAACTATATTTTCTGCGTATAAGTTAAAGTTAATGAAAATGGTTAACCGACGTCGGCATAACATAAGCAGAGTAAAATGTACTGACCATTGAAGCCAAAGAAGGCATGGGTGGCTGATCCCACTTCTTGCTCCACAGTAAAATGGTAATCCAGTGACATTTCTTGCATCCTTGTCAGCATACATTCGTCAGAATTCACTGCATGTATCCATATTCTCACCAACATTATTAATCAATAATAATTAATATATATTATCAATTATTCATTTAAATTATTATTTTTTCCTAAAATTTTAGATAACAATTTATTAAAACTAAATATGATGAAGAGAGACCATGTGAGGGCGAGACAGTTGCAGTGAAGCAAAGACATTGAATAACAAAGGTAAGGATAACGAAACATAGAGCTGTTTAATCTTCTGACAACCACGTGACTTCCCACATTAAACTCACTGCCGCGTGTCATCACCACCGCCCCTCTCTTCATTTGTTATATGGTGATGATTTATCTATCAGTACTATGAAATAACATATTTATGTTTTGTAGGGTGCAATTAGTAATTTTAGGAAAATTAAAGAGAAAAGGTGGGCCCAGAGGGTGAGGGTCCCCACGGTAAATTACAAAAAATCGTGATAAAAAGCGGACCCAACTATAGCGATTTTTTAAGTGTTTTAAATTCTCTTTTTCCCTTCAGAAATAGCGACTTAAGTAATTTCTACACTTCCCGCCACCGACACTCGTATAATTGTAATTCTTATAATTATTAAAGTCGCGTTTTAGTTCTGGTAAAAGTCGTGTGTGTGATAGAAACGCGAGTCTTACCGAACCTCCAGCGAGCTTGCACGAGGGCAATGTCCGGGTTGTGGATGAGGAACGGGACGGCGCGGCGGAGGAAGTCCGGCTCGGGGCGGAAGTCGGCGTCGAAGATGACGACGTACTCACATTCCTTGACGTAGTCGTGCTTCAGCCCTTCTTTCAGCGCGCCGGCTTTGTATCCTCCTCTGGTTTCTCGGATTTGGTACGTAATGTTGATTCCCTTGCTCGCCCATCGTATGCATTCCTTCTCGACCATGTCCTGGACGGAAGCAGTTACGACAGTTATGAGGCAGTAATTTTCGAGGGGGAATTGATGGAAGGAATCTGCGGAATGATGGTGTCGGTTTCGGAGAATCATTAAATAATAGGGTTACCAAGTGTTCGACGAAATGCCTGAATCAGAACAAAGCAAATCTGTGTAGTAGAATGAATGTTTTTATGGTGGTTGTACCTTGATGACGAGGTCTGTGGAGTCATCCAGCACTTGAATCACGAGCCTATCTGCAGGCCATGAGAGATTGCAGGCTGCACCAATGGAGATCTTGTACACCTGTCAACCAATGCAATTCCTTGTTGTATGATATATAATATATATATATATGTATCAAATTAGGAAAGTAAGATTGAAGAAGAAACAGACCTCTTTCTCATTGAACATAGGGATCTGAACAAGCACACTAGGGAAAGCTCCATTCCCAATTTCCAGGTCATCATCCTTCATTGGTTCCCATTTGTATCTTTTCTCAGGTTTTTTCCAGAAAAGCTTCACAAGAACGATGACCACTCCCATGTAGAGCCTTTCCATGAACACCATGATGGACATTGCCAGGCATATGTAGACGCAAATCCTCAACAATGGGACTATCACTGGTGCCTTGATGAGCTCCCATAAAAGCCCAAATTGTCCCCAGACGCTCACCGTGTACCCCGGGAACGACTCCGGTATGAAACTCTTGACAGATACCTCAGCCATTTATTGGTAAAAGAACTGTGGAAAGTGAAAAACTGGAAACTCCTCTGTTTTTATTATCACTATAATGAAACAGATCTGCTCTCTCCCTTCCTCTCACCTGTTTGGCTGTCTGAAAACTGAATGTAGGAACGATACAAGGAAGACAAATTTTGAGTGAAGAATGCACTTGGGATTGTCAATAATTCAAGATCCCTGATATGGTAATCTATTCTCTTCTCGGCCCTCTCATCTCTACTTTTAATTTGGGCCAAACAGCAGGTCTCTTGTCTGAATATTGCACATAGATGGAAGGTGGATGATGAGAGGATTAATGTTGTGGCATTGTGAAGAGAGAGAGAGAGAGAGAGAGAGAGAGAGGGAGAGAGAGAGGGCAGTGGAGTAGAGTAAGTTATAGAGGAGTCGGTGAGTGAAAAAATGAAAGGGTCTTTTATAGTCAAATGTGTGGTTATATTGAATTGTCTCTATTCTGCAATCAATATTGTTATTTATTTATTTATTGTTGAGAGAGAGAGAGAGAAGTGTGGTTGGAATCGGATTTATTTTCGATTGTTCAGTAACAAGTGAATTGGTTGCTAAGAAAAACTTGGGGTAAATAATCTGGGACATGGTAATTCCTTGAATTAATCTTTACTTGTTACACACTTCACTATCTTCACTTTTTTCTTCTATACATTGTCAGGCATAAAAAGGAAATCTTCACTCTTTTCATTAACCATCTTGATTGCAGTTTGAATTCAGTTCAAGGATTGGGAAAGTATTCCATTAACGGGCATTGCCTTATCTATGGATTCTCAAGAATTACTTCCACACTGCACCTAATTTCACTAAAATGCTGTTCTTAACTGTTCAGCAATCACATTATGTGATGATAAATTTATAGGGGCTAGATTGGACACAATTCGAGTCGAAACCATTCCCATATCGTCTTGTTTGTTTCCAATATGGAAATAACATTGGTATACCATTTCTAATCTTAGGTGTGCAACAAAAACATAGATAAAAAATGTTATCACCAAAATGCTGAATTAGTGATTGTGTATCATTGACATGGGATTGTTCCTATTTTCACCTAAAGCCATTCCAATGTATAAGATTTCTAATTCCAGTTGAATTGTTGCAGCAAGGAGCTATGATTGAGCAGAGTGACAGATCAAGAAGAAATATTCTATGATTGGAATCAACAGGTAAGTCTTGAGTGGGAGTGGTTCTACACTTTTGGCTGCTTCTCATTCACACATATTTAATTAATGTTTGATTTGATTCCATTAATTGATCCCATGAGGGTTTGGGAACTGATCAACTTTTTTGAGATATATAGGGAAAAGCTAAAACAAACCACTAGCTATTTATGATATTGCCCAGAGTTGAAGAAAGGGATTTGATGTGGTTGTGGTTCAAGATTCATGTGAAGTGTTGTTAACACAGACAGAGTGACAGAGCAAAAGGATAAGGGGAAAAAATGACATTTGGCAAGAGGACCGCAGCTGCAGCACATGAATGGAGAAAAGCCCAGAAATAAACAAATAAGTGAAGGCTTTGCCATTCAACAATACAGGTTAAAAACATCCCCACTTTCACAAGTTAGATCTCTATATTTTCTTAGAAAAAAAAAATATATATGTGTTTTGTACTTATAAAGAAAAAAAATAAAGAATACGTTCTTTGTGGGGCATGGCGGTTTTTTTTTTTTTTTTTCTGTGAAAAAGAATTTTACAAATAAAATATGGACAAGGAATTTCACATTTTCATATTTTGTTTATACTGTAAACAGAGTTAACTAGTACGGGAACAAAACTATGTATGAAGATAAACGTTCAAGTGTAAAAAAGATTATGATTTGTGGTAGATAAAAGGAAAGAAATAATAGTGTAGGTGGAGAATCTGATATGATTTTAATATTTTTCCGTGTATTGTAACAATTTAATAATACGGGAAAATTCCAGCTACCAAAGAATATATAGTTACAGATATTTTCAATTTGAAGATTTAAATAATATTGATTGGTACAAAAAACTTTTATTTATTATTGATATATAAAAAAAAAAAAATGGCATCCAGTTGTCTCCGTGATGTTTTATTTTATCCCTATTGAAACATCCAAACAGAGAAATTATTAAGAGCTTGTGGAGCATGCCTTTTATTCTATTTATTTTTTATATTATAGATTTACCAGATAAATTTAGAAAGATTTCAATAATTACTAATGATTACTTAAGAATACTATTTAACTTTGGCAACAGCACGTTAATACAATGCCTATAATTGAAGAACAAAATTGAATATTTTTCGTCTATATTAAAAGTATTTTTTTACTATTTGTATTTATTTAACTTAAAAATAGTAATAAAAATAATTACATAATAATGTTAAAATATTGAAATTTGTTTGATTACGAAGCACTACCAATCTACCATATCACAAAATCATCACAATACAATCATTATTAAATACATGACCAATAATACCAAATTATCAAACTAGGTAATCTATCGACTTCACAATACTTAATCATCAGCCTATTTATTGTACTTGATGTTTTGAGATTTTGAAATTTTTTTTAGTACTATTTATAAATAATAATTTTTATTAAAAATAATGCTCAAAATAAAGGGGGGTTCTTTGCTAAAAAATGCACTACTAAAAAGACAGTGTATTTTAGGATAAATGTAATTAGTAAATAATTATCCTATAATATAAATAATTATAAATTAAGATTAAGATAACTAATTAGTTTAATTAAAATTAAAAAAATAAATTTAAAAGTTTAAAATAAAATTAAAGTGTAATCATTTTCAAAAGAAGAACATGGGAAGGAGGGAATAATACACAGCTTTGGGAAAAAAAAGAACCAATATGGATTCAAAGTGAAAACTAACGAATTAAATAATTTGAAATATTGGATTCTATACAGGTCCATTTTCAATAGTTAAATTTCTTGATTTCTTAAAGTCCAATAGTTAGATTTCATAATTTTGTACTAGTCCTATAAATCATTTTGTAGGATGATCAAGGAAAGTACATTTGAGGGGTTTACAGGTCCAGTGGACTATCTATATACAACTAAGGAAAATAAATTAAATAATTATTTCATAAATACATGGTATTTATACAAATGATATGATAGCATTGGACATGGAATATGAGAATGAGACTAATATATTCAATTATAAAGAGCATATTAATATAGGGCCTAATATATCAATTTAGCTTAGACTATTCCAGTAAATATATAAAATCAAATCAAGTAATCATCATATTGCATCTTCAACCCAACATCAAAGATCAGATAAACACATCTATCTATATATGTATTCCTTTCACGTGCCACACAGCTGATACTATCTAATATCGACAACATTAATTCAGACACTTGTCCAAACATGCCCTAGTGTATCTATCTGTATTTTTATTTTACTTCTAATTTATGATTAAAAAAAAACATTTAGATATGTTTTTTCATCTTAAAAACATCACATTTCATCAAAATATCATATACTAACACTCAAACTTTTTTTTTCTTCTTATTTCCATCAAATTCCCACTAACACCATAACATATATAGTTCCTAAAAAAATAAAAGAAAATAAATAAACACCAAACCTAAGATGGGGTTTGCATATTTTGAGTTAAATGGAACTAAAGCTGTGATTATCAAGTATTGTAACAGCAACAATCATACACATACCACCATACCAGAACAGTCAAAGTAGCCATGGATTAATTAAAGCAGTAAATAGGGTAAGTAAATCACCTCTTGTTGTTCTTCCCATATAGGCCAATTGCAGCAGTTTGAACTTCGAAGCTGAATACAAAAAAGTCAGCATTATCTTTTCCTCACAGTGCTAAACATGTTACATTAATCTCTTAATATATATATATATATATCTATATGTACATATATTGGCTAACCTGTGGCTGAGTTCATCTACTGTATTGAATCTACAGAGTCCTCCCATATTTCTTCAGATAGGCCTGGAGTTATGCAGCATGTAAGCAACCAACACTATTGGCTTTGCAGTCTCAAGTTAGTAAGAAACTAAGAATATTTTACACATATACATATATATACATATGTACATGCCAATTGGTATAAAGAAAATAAGTAAAGAATCACTGCTCAATAATCCATACTACAATTATTCAAGAGTTGTTATTCATTTCAGGAAGTGAGGTAAAAAGAAAGATGGTTTTCACTGATTGTCACCAACTCCCCTGTGATCTGCATCAGGCAAGCCTGTCCATTGAAACGGTGGTGGATGGGGCGAGGCGTAGTTTACATCAAGGCCACGGACGGCAGAATCTGGCGCTGCTTCGACTGGAAGAGGTACTGAGGTGGGAGAAACAGAGGATGCAGGACCATTCACTTCTGCTTCTTGTAGATCCCCATTTGTTGCTTGCTGTAATGGTTCTACGGCCAATGCATCGTTTTCCTGCTTTGAAGGTTCACTTGAAGGACTCTCCTTAGTCACTTGCTCCGTCGGATCTTGTCTGAATGTCGCAACCACAAGCTGGCAAACATGATAGAATCTGGATAAGTTCATACTCCAAGCAGGATATCTCTTTAATTGTAATAAGAACCATACAAAGATTTGAAGCACACAAGCATCTCTGCATCAAAAAAACAGATGAATCCTGTAAAACAAATCACCCCAAATGTGTAGGTCAGGCTATCATTAGTGATTCCGTAATTAATTCTACAAGACACAGCTTAACTTTATTGATCGAAAAAACAATTGAATGGAGATGCTAATGGACATGTATTACATATTACAAATTTGAATTTTGTAAAGAAATATGAGTTTTACTTTAAAAAGCATCAAGAAACATTGGAACCACCTTCAAATGTTGGTTCATAACATGTAATATCCAAAAAAAATTCCTTGCACAAACTTCCCTCTGTTATTAACAACCAATTTTTGTGGGGAAAAAACACACAAACGACTAATTTCTATAAACGACTAATTTCTATGCTTATAGTGATCCTTGATATGTAACCAAGTTTAATATGCATTACTGCAACTAACTCGTAAAATGAATCTAAAGGCTCTTCAAATAGCAGCTAATTGTGGCTACATTGAACAAAATTCCTACATGCATCTGACAATAAATGGATTCAGACATAAACAATAAAGTTAGTTAGTTTACTTGAGTTGGTCCTCCTGCAATTAGTGAATCCCCTACAGCACCACCGACAAGGGTACCATCCGGATCAGAAAGCAGAACACTTAGTACGCAGATTTTTCCTTGAACACCCCCTGCTATGTTATCTAACTGTGATCCAGACAGGCATACAATATCAAAAGAACCCTGAAACAGATACTGGAGTTTACTAAATTGATAACCCCTTGATATATAATATATAAATGTATCTCCATGTAAGATATCATAACTAAGTACTTCTAGCAACTCAACTTTGAAGAGACATAGAAACAACAATGTTAAATATCTGATCAACAATCTCTTTCATAGCTGCAGATGTTAAATAAACTTTAATTCTTTTGCCGAATAAAATGTTGAATAAAGATGGAATTCAAAGTTCGGTTAGAGAGCATGCCTCATATCTGAGAATGCCACCACATGAACTAGATTGACGAATTTCGGCATATGAAACTGTTCCAGAAGCTGAGATTATGCATAGTGATTCACAAGTTCTTCGTGCAAATGAAAAGAATCTTTGAGCAATGTTCTGCACCATAATAATATAATAATAATAACAGAAAAATAAAAAAAATACTCACTTCTTTATACTAATCTAGTATAAACACAAATTCATTGTCAATCTTGCCAATTACCTCCCCTGCTCGAATTGTAATAGTGTAAGGAGTGAATTTGCTTTCCCCTGGATCTCCCGAACTCTCCCCTTCAGAAGACCACCATACAAGTGGAAAATTATTTTAACGATTCGTATCTTATCTGGAGTACTTGCTATGGCAAACCCAAAAGTAATATATATATATAATAATCGTAAATGCTGGACCTCTTTGAGGCATTTTTGTACCATTAATCAAATTGAAACACATAACATCAAAATCCCTAATTTCTAGGGTGGGCGTTAATAATCAGTTCAATGTCAGAATATCACCTAACGAAGCAGCTAGTGTTTGCCATTTTCCAGTTCCTTTGGGACGGCCTCTCCCTCGCTTTTGCAGAGAAGTTGAAGAAGGTGCCGCCACAAACATTAGTTCCTGCCGCACCTCCGCCGCTCCTTGCTGCTTTCTCGGCCGTCCTCTCTTTCTCTTCACAATAAATGCGCCCCTGCCTACGCCTACATCGCCCACAGCCATACCTCCCTCACCGCCATCGCCTCCAACATAGCTCCGATTCTCCTCGAAGACAGCCGCCGCCTCCGGAACTGGCGGAACCTGAGGCTCCGAGACCGCGCCGGCCGGTTCCATCTCTGGAACCGTGTTTCCATCATTTTCTCCCTCCATTCGATTCCTTCGAAGCCTGAAACAGCCAAAGCTTCTTCCTTATGAACAGAATAAGAAAAAATAACACAGACCTCAGATTGAAGGGTTGTTCATCCCTGCATAAGCATGCATTTGATCACAGAAACAGATTAAATATATGGATCATCCATAAATTTACAGATCTTGACAGAGTAAGTGATGAATCGAGATTTTTATGGATTTGCAGAATTTGCGAGTGGGAGCGAAAGCGTTCAGTAACGCATGCGCATGACGAATTCACTACTCTGTTTTTATGGGATTTTTAATTATAATGAAATTATAAATATTCAAAAATGGAATCACAGTAATTATTACTGCAATTAGAATTGATTTTAATTACCATTATTTATTTTATGATTAAATAAAATTTTTATTTCTTCCTTTTGCTCCTTGATTATTGATTAATAATATCCCTAATTTAATTACATATTAAATATAATAAGATATACATTAAATATAATTATGAAAATATACAAAATATTTTACTTGATTACTTCATTTTTTTTATTCTTTGTAATTCAAAACCTAAAGTGGTATAAATAATAATATAAAAAATTATATGGTTAAATTTTGGATTAAAAATATTTTCATAAAATATTTTATAATCAAATAATAAAAAATAATTTTAAATACATATAAAATAGTAATAAATGTAACATTTGATTGGATAAGTCCAACCTAATACTTTACAAAATAGACAGTCAAACCAAAATATTATAGACGAGCAGGATCAAGTCTTAAAGGGAATGTTTATGTGTTGATTACCATTTAGACTGATTAATTGTAATTATTTTATCTTTGTTAGACTCTAAATATTGTACAAAAATTAATTATATATAGAATATTGGTTCTAATTCACCCAATAATTTTAAATAATTTTTTATAATGTGGAAATCCGCAGTAGCTATTCAAAAGTGTGCATTGAGTAAATTTTTGGCCGAACCTAATACCCTGCAAATTAGGTTCGACAGACAAATTACACTGGACGAATCATATGTGACAGGTGACATAAGGCGTCGGGAATTTATGTATATAATAAATGAATTGTTTTAAGAATGTATCATAAACAAAAGTATGGGCAAACAAACCATATATATATATATATTTGAACTAAGTAATTATCAATATAACTTAATGTATGTTTTTCTACCCCAAATTTCTCAAACTTTATTATTTGAACTCTACATTTTTTCGAAAAAAATATATGTTTTTCTTTCGCAAAACATCCCATCAAATATTATTTTAATACCAAACTCAAACCAAAATTTTACCAAAATTATCAAAATAAAAATACCCCTAATTAATGTTCAATCCTATTTTTTTATTTTTTATTTTTTTTATTATTATTTTTATATCGTACAAAATAATGAATAGGTAAACTTGAATATATATATATATATATATCTTTCTTTATTATTCATCCATTCGTACGCCTCCTCTTCAAGCTACCGCTTCCGTCCGCCGGTGTTTCCGTAGCCTCCAATGCAGCGGCGATTGATCGGAAGAAATATTCCAACTCTTCCTTTCTCAGTGAACAATTTTCAAACATCTCAAGTGCTCGCAATGTTTTACGGCAACGCACATACCGCCTTTTCCGCTTCTTCCTCGGCGGCGGCGGCGGCCGGCTGCAATCCACTTCAGGAATCCTGTGCTCTTCAGACGACGGCGTTTCGTATCCTTCTTCTATCTTCTGTGGATCTTCCTCAATTTTGAATTTATCTTTCTCCATAACCAATCGATTCAATATATCGAGGAACAGGTGCACCTATATTTTCATTTTAATTGTATTTATTTATTTAATTATATATATATATATTTGTCAAAGATAAACAGTGAGATGCAGGGGATGGTGGAGCTTGAACATTTATTTATTTATTTTTTTTATTTAATTTGTGGAATATATTTATAATTTATTGAGAGTATTTGAGAAGATTTTTCTTTTGAGAAATGGAAAAGCACAGTAAATGTTTTAAGGCATTTTTTTTTATTCATCTTTTTGGGAATCATTCATTTATAAACATAAAATTTGAATGATTTTCTTTTTCAAAATAGTTAACCAAAATAATTGTTTATTTCTATTTAATTTATCAGATATTTCAGTGTAATTACATAAATATTGTATTAATGTTAAATAACATTTTAAGAAAGTAGCAAAGGTATGCAATTTAACATATATGTATATATAAATTGTTTTATTTGTCAAATTTTGATAATCAAGTGTGGTGAAATTTGATAACTCCTACATTAGCTATCAAGGGTATATTGGTAATTCCAGCGGCTCATGCAATCTCATCTTTATAAGCCATTTCATCCGCAAATGATTCATCAAGCCCAATATAAAATAAAATAAAAAAGAAGAAGGAAATAAAAGCAACTAAATAATAATAATAATAATAATAAAGAGTGGGAAAAAAAAGTGCAGAGTCAGAGTGCAAGAAATAAAGTGAAAATGGATAGGATTGATTCACCAAAGCTCATAAAGAAATAAAAAGAATGAATCATCCTATAGCTTCTTCTAGCTTCTTTTATTTTGATGTCCTTAAAATAAATAAAATAAAATGATGTTTTTAAATAAAAATAATTAATTTTACTGTGTAATATCTAAATAAAATAAAATGCAAGTGAATATACCCATTAATTTTAATTTTAATTTTACTTATTGGTATCTCTTTTATAAGTTTGATACGAATACAAATACCATATTCGTAACAAAAGTTGGGAATCCATATTCCTCCAATTATTTCACTGCCTTTTTTTTATGTTTTTTTATCCTTTGTTTTCTTTTTTGGGCACAAATTAAAGAGCAATTGACCTTTTGTCTTCTATTGTATAGCAAAAATTTCAATTGAATTTTATGTTCAATAATAAAATTTTGTAAAATGCTACTCCCTCCGTTAAATTTTTATTATCCTAAATATATTTGCACGACAGACTTGGTTTGCAAGGTATTAGGTTCGGCCGAGTTTACCCAGTGCGCACTTTCGACAGCGAATGCAAATTCGTCATAAAAAAATAAAATATATATAGATCAAAAGTAATAAATGAATTAAAAGTAAAAATATAAAATTTATATTTAAAAAATAATAATAATAATAGTTATTTAACGTTCTAAATAAAAAATAATAATAAGAAGATTCAATAATTTTGTAATAGTTGATTTGTGATTTTATTTAAAATAACAAAGAAAAAAAAGCTGCCAAAATAATAATAATTAAATACTGTTACAAGTGTCGAAAAACAAAAGGGAAATTCCAAAAAGCCCACACCTTTTCCACACCACCAAACAAAAATTATGATAGTGAAGTTTATCAAAGTATCGCCTACAAAACGCAAGGTACACATGATAATGTATAATCGAATACTTTGATTCATTCTTGCCTGGACTGAATTGTTTCGATTGCATACAATCACGCAATTCGTCCATCTGGATTCGTCGGAGATCGTCATCTGTTTGACAATTGGTTTTTTTAATTATCTGTTGTTGCGTTTGTGATTTTGCCGGTGAGGTGGAGTGAAGTCCGGGAGAGAGAGCAGAGGCGGTTATCTTCGTCGGAAATTAAATGCGGCGGGAGAGTATTCTGGCGGTGGTGGTGTTTTTGGTGGCGGCGACGGCGGATGGGGAAGGGAGAAACGTGGTGCTGAGCCTGGAGCGGGCGAGTCATGGTGGAGTGGAGCTGAGTCGACTCAGAGAGCGCGACCGAGTTCGACACGGTCGGTTACTGCAGCAGCAGCAGCAGCCATTCGGAGTAGTTAATTTCCCCGTTCAAGGAACCTTCGATCCTTATCTTGTTGGGTACGTCCTTACGTCTAATCGCCATCGATACTGTGTTTTTTTTCAATCCTTGATTTTCACATTTCGATCGTTCGGTTGGATTTAAACTGTGTTCTTCCCCATCCTTCAATGTAAATAAAAATCTTTAACTCCGAAATTATGATTTCGATCATTTTGAAGTCAGTCTTGCAGTAAAGTAAATCCACATTCAATACTAGTTTGAATTCGAATACGATTCTGTTCTTATTACAGAACATTCAAATTTAGTTTGGACTGCGTGTCAAGTTGATCAACAGTTATGAACAATTTTATTATGCTTTCTATTGAACAAGTTCAGGCATGCTCCTTTTCAATTATTTGAACAACTTGGACGAATTTCACCAAAGTAAGAACTTTGATGGTTTTTCTATGTGTCAAACTATTGATGAATTTGCCAATGCAAATTATGGTGCTTCAATATGTTGAAATTCATTTCGAAATCAATCGTGTTTCCAGAAAAGGTATTCACGGAGATTATTCATGTAGGTTATACTTCACGAGGGTTAAACTGGGGACACCTCCGAAGGAATTCTACGTACAAATCGACACAGGGAGTGATGTTCTGTGGGTGAGCTGCAAGCCCTGTTCAGGCTGCCCAACCTCCACCGGCCTCCAGGCAATTCTATTTTGATCTAAATTCTCCATTGCCCTTTCGATTTTGATGTCACGAGGCAAGGATTTCATTCCCATTCACATATATATGCTGCAGTTGATTGCTAAAATTCTCATACCTGCATTGCAACAGATTCATCTCGAGTTCTTCGATCCTTCCGGCTCATCAACAGTGTCCCCGATTTCATGCTCTGATCAACGATGCTCGTTGGGTGCACAATCCTCGGATTCTTTGTGCTCGAGCAGAAATAATCAATGTGGTTACACATTCCAGTACGGCGATGGCAGCGGGACTTCTGGCTATTACCTATCGGACTCCATGTACTTCGACTCAGTTGTCGGGAGCTCGTCCACTTCAAATTCTTCTGCACAGGTTGTTTTTGGGTGAGTGAACTGTGTAGAAGTCTTGAATGTTGTTCCATTCCATATTTCCATCACTCAGCTTAATATATTGTGTTCTTAGGTGTTTGTAGTCGTGAGAATTAATAATTCTATAGATTAAACATTGAAGATTTTGGTTTTGATTTTGAATTCGAAAGTTTATTTTCCATTCATCTCCAATTTGGCAGTTCTGAATTGCTAGTGTGTCTAAGATGGTACTCTGCATTTTCTTCTGTGTTTCATCTTTTGTATACGATATTAATTGCAGCTGTAGCACGACGCAGACGGGAGACCTCACCAAGCCTGATAGGGCGGTGGACGGCATATTTGGATTGGGTAAACAGGGCTTATCCATCATTTCACAACTTTCATCTCAGGGCGTCACGCCGAATGCATTCTCTCACTGCCTCAAGGGAGAAAACGGCGGTGGGATCTTGGTTCTTGGCCAGATCGTCGAACCTAACATCGTCTACACTCCTATGGTACCATCGCAGTGAGTGTAGTTAAAAGTTCAACTTCTATAAACTTTCTATGGCAATTAGCTTTGAACATAACTCGTTGTTGGTATTCGAACATTGCAGGCCTCATTATAATGTGAATCTACAGAGCATCTCCGTAAATGGGCAACAATTGCCTATAGATCCATCTGTATTCGTAACATCAGACAATCGAGGCACAATCATCGACTCAGGAACAACATTGGCCTACCTTGCGGAAGAGGCTTACGATCCTTTTGTTAATGCAGTAAGTTTAACATTTCAAAATTTTCAATTACATCTCATCAGAAATCTCTGCATTTTATATATACTCTGCCTTTTCGATCCACATGTAGATTATGCAGACCATTTCACAATCGGTCCGGCCACTCTTTAACAAGGGAAATCAGTGTTATCTTACAACCTCCAGGTTTAGTTAACTTTCTCAAAACAATGTTCTATTTTAATTACCTAGTGGATATATTCATCCTTATCATTCGTTTACGCTTTGTTTGTTTGTATTTTCTTTTCCATCTTTAGTGTCGCCGAGATTTTTCCTTCAGTCAGCTTGAACTTTGCTGGCGGGGCATCAATGGAGTTGAAGCCTCAGGACTACCTCTTGCAACAGAACTCTATTGTAAGTCTTCGAAAATCATCAACAAGCTCAAAATGCGACGATGTTGATGAATAACACATGACCTTCTTTCGACTGAGATATTTATTAATCATCGTACTCGTGCAAATTTTCTTGACAACTAGTTTCCGGATGTGTAGGGTGGTGCCGCGGTTTGGTGCATTGCCTTTCAGAAAATTCCGAGTCAAGGAATCACAATTCTCGGAGGTACATCAACTTCGAAACATATATATCAATTGAGCTCTACTCTAAATTAGAACATCAACAAACATTTATCGTTTATAAGTGTAATAAAATAGTCGTGCAAATTGCAAGTTTTCGCGATACTTTCAATCTTCTTCTATCACATTTCGCACTTGTGTCGATCTTTTTTGCAGATCTTGTCTTGAAAGATAAAATAATCGTTTATGACTTGGGCGGACAACGGATTGGATGGACCAACTACGATTGTAAGCAATGACAATTTCATTTTTCACTCGCAATTTTTACCCGATCCAAACTCATTCGCATATATACATACATACATACGTACTCACAGGCGCTTCCTCGGTTAATGTCTCCTTAAGCAACACCGGAACAACTGAATACGTGAACACGGGACAACTTCGAAACGATGCTTCGAGACCCTATGAACAGAACAATGTATTGGCAGCAGCTGTAGCTGTGAGTTTCTTGTTGCAAATATGTGTTTTTCCATTTTTATGACATTTATTTGACATTTCTATTATTTTTTTTCTTGATAACGTGGAATCCGCAGTCGCTCTTATTCGAGAAATTACTCTCATCTTAGTTGTGTAAAATGATTTCATGAAAAAGTAAATGTGTTCTGTACAGGGAAATGTATTGTGCCTCTTGCAATATATTAGCACCTATTATTCAAGTCGAATATTTTTATTTAAAAAAAATATTGCATTTTATTTCTTTTGTATTCTAAATATAGTCACAACATAATTCAGAAGCAAAACATTTTGTTTTGTTCATGGGATGGCATAACATTGAACAGTTTTCCAAAGTCAAATGTTATAATAATTAATAAAAAAAGTTATGATAAATAAGTCATGCCTTTTCTTTTTAATTAAAACTTAATTATACGTTCTTTGTTTATTTGTTTACCCTAAATTGGATTCAGTCTTTGGATGTCTTGATTCATTTGTGGACTGTATTGAAATTATTATTATTATTATTATTATTTTCAAAATATAGTCATTTTATTGAATATTGAATTATTAGATTCATTGTACAAATGCATATAATTTTTAGAGAATTTTGTTGTTGTTTTGATCCAACTTATTTTTTATTTTTTTTTCCCTCCGCTTACAAAATATAAAGGAGCATATTTCTTACTGTATTATTATTTCGTTTGTATAAAGACTGAATAAAATGTTGAAACAGCTCATCAAAATTGACCTAACAATAATGTATAAATTAATAACTTGCCAATTCAAAATATATACGTCTCAATTTTCGATAAATTGCAATAAAAACGGTTGTGTTTACTTGTATTTTCAGTTATATGTTGTACTTTCTCATTTTCATAATTTTTTTTATCACGTTTATTCGTTGATACAAATTTTTAAATGGTATAATTTTAGTATTTTTATTTAATTAATCTTATAAATATATTTAGAAATGTAAAAAAGAAAAATCAAATATAAAATAAACAAAAATTACAAAGAATGTGTTTAGTATTTATAGATTTTTGTACTTTCTATTGTGAAATTATATGAAAAAGATGTAAAAGTATATGAAATTTGTTCACTCAACAAATTTTTTTAGTAATATAATTTTCGATGAATATTATTAAAACAAAATTACTACAAGAAAATATAAAATTAATAATCTAACATAAAATATTATAATTTCCAAACCCTAAACCCTAAATACATCGAATTCAAAAAGATGAGTCATTATAATTTTTTTGCTCTCAAGTCAAACTATCATAGCAAATATTACCCAAATAAAATTTAATTAAACCCCACACAACCCCCCCCCCCCCCCCCCCCCAAAGATCCCAAACACTGGTTGACTTTCTACACCATCTCCTTATCTTCACCCTCCCTCTAAAATAAACTATACTAATAATATTTGAATTGAAATAATAATTTTCTAAAAATAAAATAAAATCGAGAAATTCAATACATGCATAGCAACCAACAATACAAGTATATAAACCCCTCCAATATCTATGGCATGCCCACCACTAAGCCAAAATCGATCTTCATTACATTACATTTCATTGCATATAATAAATATATCAACATCTACATTCCCTAACAGCCTTTTCCTTAACGTTAAAATTATGAAGCTCAAAATATCATCTTCCAAGATCGTCAAGCCAATCTACGAATCCAATTCCAATGTTCTCAATAACTCCCCAAACTTCATTCACCTATCAGTCTTCGATCGTGTCACCTACGATCAACACGTGGCAGTCATCTACGCCTACCGCCCTCCGACGCCGTCCAACGCCGCCGTCGAGCTCGGCCTACGGAGGGCGTTGGGGGTCTACCGCGCATGGGCCGGGAGGCTCGGGACCGATCCCGCGACGGGAAATCCGATAATCTTGTTGAATGACGCGGGCGTTAGGTTCGTCGAGGCGTCGTTCGATCATGCGCTCGACGAGCAGTCAATGCTCAAGCCGTCGAGATCCTCGTTGACCCTTCACCCGGCTTTCGACGGGGTCGTCGAGCTCGTGCAAGTTCAGCTCACCCGATTCGCGTGCGGGTCTCTCGTCGTCGGGTTCACGAGTCACCACTTGGTCGCGGATGGCCACGCGACGAGCGATTTTTTGGTCGCATGGGGCCGCGCATGTCGGGGGCTCGAGATCGTTCCTCGACCCTTTTGCGACCGTGCGGTTTTCTCCCCGAGAGACCCCCCTGTGTTCGAGTACGAGCATCGGGGGGTCGAGTTTATAAGCAAGAATTTCAAGAAGGCCTACCCGTTGATCGACAATAGCGTCGAGAACATCGTGGTGCACCGAGTGCACTACACGGTCGATTTTTTGTCGAGGCTCAAGGCCAAGGCTTCGTCGAACAAAGCTTCGTATACGACTTTCGAGAGCCTCGTGGGTCATCTATGGCGAGCGATCACGATAGCTCGCGGATTGAACGGTCACGAGACGACGCAGGTGAGGATGTCGGTTGACGGGCGATCTCGAATCAAACCCAAGTTGCCCGACGAGTATTTCGGGAATCTGGTGTTGTGGGCATTCGCGAGGTCGAAAGTCGAGGTTCTCGTCGAGAATCCTCTATCGTACGCGGCTAGGCTATTGCACGAGGCCATCGTGAACGTAGGCGACGACTATTTCAAGTCGTTTATCGATTTCGCGAGCCATAAGGCTAAGGAGGAAGATCTCATCCCCAACGCCGTCGCGGACACACATGAGTCGATATTGTGGCCGGATTTGGAGGTCGATAGTTGGCTCCGATTTCCGTTTTACGATCTCGATTTCGGGAGCGGAAGCCCTCACATTTTCGTGCCGTCGTTCTCCCCGACGGAGGGGATGATATTTCTTCTCCCGTCGTTCGCCAAAGATCGAAGCATCGATGTTTTTGTTCCTTTGTTTCGGGACAATGTGGCGAAGTTCGAAGAGATTTGTTATTCTCTCGACTAGCTAAGTACCAAAAACAAAAGTCCAAAGATATGTTATGTTACATTATAAATTACGTAAGTTTGTGTTTCAGTGTATTTCGTTTCGGTTTATGTTCAATTTTTTTATCATTTGGATCTTATATCTCTTAAAAAGATATATATATATATATTTTTTATAAAATATCACATTGAACATTATTTAATAAAATAGTTCAAAATTTTAAATTTAATTAAAAAAAAGAAATGCACCTTTTTGTATGGCTTTGATTCAGTTACATGTTTTAACTACAATTCTCTGCTACCAAGTTTATATTATCCTTAAGAGTCTTTATTGAAAATAATAATAATAATAATAATACTTCATTCATCCCATAACCAAGTATCATTTTTTTATTTTAGTTCGTCCCATAAAAAAGTATCAATTTTCCTTTTTTAGTAAAGGTACTATCTACCTAACATTACAAATACCCTTACAACTTATAATATATTACACAAATATCATTACTTTTATATCACACACAGACATACTAATAGGATTATTTTAGTCATTTCTACTGTATTCCTACTATGTTTCAATATAATACTAATATTTCTAAAATTACGTACAAAAAGCAAATAGATATTTATTTATGAGACGGCGGGAGTAATAATAATAATAATATTATGCTCATTCTTCATGAGTTGCTTCGGATCTCCATTTAGTTTCACCTAAATTTTATCCCGATCATGGATATTTGATCATGTCTTAATCATTCCGTCAAAATTCAATATTGTACTCTTTTTTTCCCCTAAATTTTGTATAAGTATGTAATTTTTCATTGATCAACAATCAAACTTTTGTAAATTAAGCTGTGAAGTACCTTCTTGTCAGAAGTGTGTGAATGGAGATTCATTGTTTTTAATTGGATTATTTAGAATTCTAGTGTCAAATTGTTAATAAATTTCTTTTTTAAGTATTTGATTAGACTTATATTTCATTTATGGCTTTAACAGTCTTAAAAAAAATTTCTTCTTTTTTTTTTTTCTACAACAAATATGTATTTCCTATTTATAAAAAATACTTGTTACATACTTTTCAATTTACACACTACTTTACTATTATATTTATTTACAAATATATAATTGCTATTTAATTTATTAAAAAATTTCTTTTACATTCATTAACTTATTCATATACTTTTTAAAATATTTTTGTGATCGCGATAATCAGTCAATATAATATTATATTTATTAAAATTCAAACAAGGATAAATTATGTGGATCAAGAAATTACCCATTATTGTATCTTTGTTATCTCTTTGTCAAACAAACATAATCTGATTCTTTTTACTGTGTAATTAATGTAATTGTTAATAAAAATATACTCTCTCTGTCCACAAATTAATGTCCTACATTCCTATTTGGAACGTGCAACAACTATTGTCTTATTTTATTTTTTAAACACAAATTTTACGTTTTTACCATTCATTCATTTATTACTTTTTGTTTCTACCATACAATTAAGAGCAAATTTATCAATTCATGACAAAAAGACAATCACCTAAAAAACCGTGCAAATATACTTTAGTACAATAGAAATTGGACCGAAGAAATATTATTTTTGTATAAAACTAAATATTTAAATTATTGTTCAAAACAAATGAAAGACATACATTTCAAAAGAAAGAAAACAGTCATTCTCATTATAAACAGGGAGCAAAATAGTAATAAATTTGCAAAGGAATGAATCAAATTACTTTTATATTCAACTATGACATTCTTTGGATAAATCAATTATTGAAGTTATATTAGAGATGATCTCGGGTGAACTCATAATTTATCTTTTTGTACATAGTTTGCATGTTATTAAATTCGATTGAAATTTAATCAAAATATATTTGAATAGTGGCGATTGCGAGTACATCATAAATATATATATACACATTTAAGGTAACTTTCTCTATTGAACATTTCTCAACCCCAAATGCCAAAAACACAACCACCTTGCAAGTAAGTTCATAATAATATCTTTAAATATTAAAACAAAAAAGACAGCATAACGCATTTTAGCACGTATTGAAAAAATATATACTACTTTCATTTCCAACTATTATTTTGTTTATTTCATATGGCTTTCTACATGGCATAATATTAATATATATATATTTACCTTTTTTTTTGTTATAAATAACTTTATCTATTGAATTTATACAAATAAAAATTAAAAAACTTTGCGACATGTCAAATTATAAATAATAGTAAATATGTTGAAAAAAAAATGAAGTTAATAATGAATTTGATAACGCATGGATGCTTGTAGATTTAACTAATAATAAAATAGAAAATATGAATATAAATATTAATTTGACAGATGATATCACAAATAACGTTTTTTAAATTTTTTGACAGCACAAAGAACTTTTGGTATGATAGCTGACCAAAATTTCAATAATTAACGAGATATTTCTGCAAATATTGATTTAATAAATTTCTTATTGCTTCCTGTATAAATTACTTATTTATTCCAATAACAAAGACATTCGTTGGGACAAATCTAGACTGATCTTATCTAGTGAAGTAACCCCCCTCCCCCCAACAGTGTTATTTATTTTGTGCAGCAGTGCAGGTGCAATTTTATGTGATTAATTTTTTTTGTTTTTTTGGTGGTATTATATTCAAAGTTTGATAAACTGTGTAATGTAGGCATATAAAAATATTTGTAATTGATCACCTAACCAATTTATTATTATCCACCTAATATATATATATATATTTTTTTTGGTACTATATGCATCTATATATACACATGTATCCTCTAACAAAAAATACAAGTAAATAAATAAACAATAGGAAGGGGGAAGAAGAAAGAAGCAATTTTGTAAATTATAATGAAAGCTGCTGGAATGTTATCATACGTAGCAGTTATTAAAATTTTAATTATATCAAATTAAGTTATATTTTACATACTAATTAAATTTATTAAAAACAGTGCCTGATTACGAATGGCGTGACATCCTTACAGAGTATAAAGTAGTTACAGAAACGATGTGGTGTGACAGATAATGGAATCATTTGAATATATATGAAATATATTTGGCGCCAAAATCCACAATGCAGCATCAAATTGATGACATTTTATCCAAAAACCCGTCCCAAACAAGGTGCAACATTTATTTTTAGCTTATGTGGGTAGTATTAAGTATAATAATTTAAAAATTAGGTGATACGATGAAAAAAGAAATATATATTTTATTGTTTTATTTGGACGATGCGAGGGGATAAAGTGTGGGGTAGAGATTAAATATAATTAATTATTTTCTATTTTGAAAATATTGCAGGGTGACTGGAATTGAGGGAGTATAACATTACACACTGATCTTCAAGTACATACAATCTATATATACACAAGAATCACAACTATATTCACACGGCCCTCTAAATCTCTCAACAATAGTCGATCATCCTGATCGGACCTAAACATCAAATATGTTACCACAAATACTAAATTCGCCTTTAATCTACATCCATCATCGATGAGCAGAAGTTCGTTAACTTAATGCAATGAAACTAGCCTAATGGTTTTACACCACTGCAACGATGCTTGAATTCTCGAATTGGCATATACAGGTTGCAGTGAGGTGTTATCATTGTTCTTCGATTGATAATGGGCCAAACTTGTGAAAGAGAAAATAATATTAGTGCTTACATGTTTCGTCTCGGGTGCTCATAAAATTTTCCTTCTCCTGAGGTAAAAGTACATGAGAAAGAATCCAACCACGGCGCCAACGAAAATTCCAGCTGTAGTTAGCCAAAATGCAAACTGCAGGGAAAGTTTTACTTAGCATGGACAATGGTCACAGGAATTTAAATAATGAGAGACCATGGATAATCTTACCACATGTTCCTCAAGATACGACTTCAAGTTCATGCCAAATATACCTGCCAAGATCCCAAGTATGAACTTTAAACCAAAATGCCGTTAACATTTAAACACCATATTTGAACATGGAATGATTATAGATCATACATTCTCTTCACACTCTGTGTGGAGCTTATATAAAATGCTATCACACAAGTATTTCATCCATTCAAAGGATTTTAACTAAATGGTAAGGAATATGTATGGTTTTAGATTTATTCATACCACCATTCGGTTAGAAGGAAAATCAAATGAAAAAAAGATATATTTAGTGCAATCATAACATAGGAATGCACCAACAGGAGAACAAAGAAAAGATTTGCGTATTTGCCTCATCACCACACTCGAATGGGTTTTTTGTAACAGTATGACTCAGTGCCTTAACAATTATATAGATTTCAATGTAAAAGTGACTAAAATAGGTTTCATGTTCTGTACCAGCAATCAGGGCACCGACCCCAACGCAGAATGTCCCAACCTGGAGCAGAAGTTCCACCCTACTTACCTCAAGCCTCCGAGAGCTGGTATGAAAAACCATTTTCAGTTTAATTTATAATGGCAATACCAAGAATGATGCTACAGATAATTTCATTGATGTTTTGAAAACTGAACCAAGAAATGCTATTGTTGAACAATTAGTTTAGAGTAGAGTAATATACAATATGTTGTCTTTATGACGTACTATGATGCCTGTACAAAGTGTGACCACTGTATTTGTTTAAAATTTTATGTATGTTAAATAACATGCAGAGCCGAGCTTCACCCTAAAAATATAAAGTCTAACCGGAAAAACAAAACTTAGTTTCAGGCACTTATCAAATGACCTATAGTTATTTGATACAAATTCGATTAATTTTAGGCTAGTGCCACAACTCTGAGGTTTCTTGAACATAAAGAGATATAAAAAGACTATCGCTTGAAATAATATCACCCAAAATACATAAAAAACTGTTTACATAGCAATAGAATAACAACCGACATGGCAGAGCACATAAAAATCATCTGAAAAACATCATTGGAAAATGTTCCACCGAACATGAAATATATTGCTTGAAAAACATCATCCATAAACACTTCAAAAATTGCTAGCATAGAAATAGAATAACAACCAGAAATGAAACAGAGCACTTAAACGTCATCAGAAACTTAAACTGCCAGTAATAAATATTCTTATGCAGTTTGGATTTATAAGATAATTCCCTGACAAGCACAGTGCCTTTGAAAAAACTCAGCAATATTCAAAAGCATAAGTTTTAGTCACCAATAAGAGCAACAAACCTTTACAAAAATAAAAGAAAATAAAAATAAAAAATACTAGTAATTGTAGCAACAAACCTGAGGTTAACAGAAATTGAATCTTCCATTTCCCTAGCTGAATCAAGAAGCCTCTCTGCTTGACCATGACAAGATTCACATCTGTCATTACATGAAATTTGCAAAGTAAGAAGTTGAGATAAGACCAGTCGAAAACAAAATAAAACTTCATGCTTTACAACATTTTACCAGATGATCAATAAAAGATAAAGAGTAAAATGCCAAATATGCTGATAAGATTGTGAAAATAAGATGATGCGACTCCAATATATGCACAACCCATGTCAAACAAAAAAATGAGAAGTTGATTAAATCCAGTTATTCTTCCTGAGGGTAAAAATAGGTTATTAACAATTACATGACAATCAAATCCTCAGTCCATTCCTGTAGTTCACATATACAGTCTAGCACAAGAGCAGTTCACACCTCACTGGCTTAAAATAAGGTTAAATAATTATACCAGCAATTGCATCATAAACTATCATTGGGAGTCATTTAAGACACCTCAACTTTAAATTGAAAACTTTGGAAAGTGGGTTTTGGATCTCGTTTCTCAGCCTCACAGGAGCAGATGTTGCTGCTTCACGTTTTTATATAAGGTGCTAATGATGTAATGCAAAACCAAAAAAAAAAAAAAAAATGACAATCAAAGATGATATTTTGCAATAATTTGAAAAGCATAGACTTCACCTTTGAAGATAATTTTCCAAAAGCATTTCAATTTCTTCCTCTTCTTCTGCAAGACACGTGTCAATAGTATGAATTAGAGATCCACAATCATAATGGATGTTCCGAACAACTTGGAGGTGAATGAACGATTTCACAACTTACCTTCTGCAACATCCTTTTCAGAGGGAACATCACATACCATCTCATCATTTTTCAGAACAGTACAGTTTCTTCCCATAACACAAATTTGTCGTATTTCATGAGTGTCCTCAAGGATATCAAGTAGCATTTGTTTAAGGGATCCAGCCCTGGAGCCTAGTTCAACCTTCAATAATAACATATTAAATAACTATTTAGCAATTTTACTGCTGCTAATGCATCTATAGAATCAAGTGAGGGTGGAATCTGCATACCAATGTCTGTTTGCTAATTCGAAGTTCCTCCAATATGTCAGCAGTCATTCGATTAGGAAGAACCTCAAGCAAACTTTGCACCTGCAACATGAGGAGCTTGCCTGCTGATAGATAATAACTGCTTACAAACATAAAACATAGTTTTCTGCTATAAAGTAAGAATGGGATATATGGAGTAACTAAACTAAATCATATAAGAATGGGGAAACTAAAAATCAGGAACATTTCTGCTGCTGCTGCTGCTAAATATTTGAACAGCTATTAAGAATTAAATACTGAAGCAAAAAGCGGTCTTGAGAACCTTTATTGGAATACCAAATAGAACAATGCTATTTTGTTGTTGAATATTTTCAGTCTTTTTTTTATATACCTGCTGTCCAACTAACTGTGATAACTTTATGACCAAAGAAAAATTTGAATGATTTATTCAGAACAGGCAAAACTAATATGAAAACAACCTGCTTAACATTATGATTTAAATCTTTGTAATCAACTAGCACAGATGGAGACAGAAGGCCTCACACATCCGCTCAGAAACTTGGCCTGGGATAAAGGAGCAGAAATATCAGAAAACATACACTCATTGTGTTCCCATACTCACACGTGGTTCTAATTCCATTAACCTGCGCTCCAGGCGTTGAATTCGAGAATGCAGCGCTGCCTCAACCACCTGAAACAAGTTTGAAAATCAAAAGATTTAACAATTTTTCACATTTCATGTTTGCACAAGAACCATAACGAGGTTAGTGTACATGAGCACACATGTGACATATAGCAACAACTGTTCACAACTTGGTTATTAGGACCTTAAGGCGAAACAAAAGGATTACAACCCAAAAGTTGCAGGTTATCTATTCTTCATGCTTTATCAGTTGAGATTGTGATTGAAAGTTCGGTTTTATTGTTTGAAATAAGATTTTAGGTTTAATGGTTGGGTTATTATGTATTATATATTTAAAATATATATCTAAGTGTTTTAAAAAAATTATATTTCAATAAATATATTAAATATAGATATCATTTTGAAGAGTTAAATCATAAATAGTACAAATAAATACATATTTATACATGTTTTGAATAAAACGGTTTCTAAAAACTATGGAGTTTTTAATGTATACACATTGAGGGAGATAAATATATAATATTATAAGTGAGTCCCATCTTAAAAAGTTTTGGAAAGTAGTTGAGATGAAAAAAAGTTGTGAACATAGTACCAACCAACTAAGAATCAAACAGGCCATAAATTTCTGTGTGAATGATGCTTAGTACTTAGAAGGCATTAACCCAGCATAAACTAGGATCAAATGAGAGGAAAAACTTATGTGTCCTGATGTATTCAAGATATTTATCCTTCCATAAAAATTAAGTATCAGACAGAATTAACGCAGGACAGAACATAACTAGGAAGTGGGAAAATATAATGTTGATATTGTGTATTCATTACTACTTTTTCTTGGAACATCTTTTCTCCATGCAGTAGCAACTGGAGCTAGCCAATATATAAAACTTTCTTCAACAGCTCAATATGAAGATATAAAAATGAGACAATTGAATTTGTCAACAAATAACAAAAACTGAGGTATACATTGAGTTATTTTCACAATGTTAGCATCTTTGACATTATATAAATGCACTCACCTGCAGATTGTGGTTATAATGAACACACAACCGGTAGTGCCAAACAAATTGCAAATTTTCCCAAAAAAAGCATGACTCAAGCAACAAGAGACCAACATTCTAGCTCATGCTTCAAAGCAGCGAGTTAGAGGGTAACCAACCTCAAGAACAAAAGGCATTGATTGCCCCCCACTCATGTTCTTTGGATTTAAGCGTGGTAACAAAGCATCAATAAAAGCTTTTCCTCCTTTACTGTACAGAATCAACAGTCAAATATTACATCACTGAAGATGTGCTAAAACATAAATAAAATAGACAACAAGAAACCATGTCATAGACTTGGGGTACATACCGGTTATAGTTGAATAAATAAACACATTCTTGCATTGCAATTGCTCGCAACGAACCCAAATTCAGCAAAATTGCATGATCCCGTATCTTTGAAAGTTTCAGGGTTAAAATTTTCATTAGCAATAAGGACTACATTGAAAATCTCAAGAGCATCTCCAGATTTAACTTGAAATACTCTACGATGTGTACAAGTTATCAAATGAAGAACAGATACAAATCACAGCTAGATCAAATAAGTTATGCTTCTTTAAATTGTAGTAACAGATCATAACCTATCATTAATAGAGTCATAGACGAGATCCAGATGTAAGCAATCAGATCTGAACTTCCTAAATACTGGCTGATGCAGTTGTTTGATGCCTTACAGAATAATGATATTTTTGTTTGAACTCCTCTTATAGAGTTTAAATGCCACAGGAACTTCAACATCACTTAAACATAATTTAGTCAGCAAACAAAAACATGGCTGTGCACACAATCAAGATTAATTCTAAGCAACTCTGTTTGCAGAGTAAATAGACAATATGGAAAATCACAGATGGCAATTAACTGTTAATACCAGTAATGCAGGCATTGTGTTTGTCAACCACAATGATGGATCAACACTCCTAACATCTCGAGGTCGGAGGCCTGTAAAAATCATGTCCACAGGATTTTAGGAAAATGCCAGAAAATACATCATAAAAGTGGGTATGTGTTTGTGATTTATCAGCTCAAGAAATAAACAGGATTGAGACTTTGTATGTGATCATGTCGAGTGACTTCAACTCACTCAGAATTTACAGATGCCGGCGATATATGAAAGAATTAAGAAGGAATTTGATGAATTGATTTATCATTTAATGTTGCAGAATCATAACTTCAAACAAAAATGTAAGTTAATTGCATATTGATATTTTCACCAATTTGTACAAGTGACTCTAGAAAAGCTTCTACTCACCACTTGACTTTAACAAGTGTCTCCTGTTAATTTTCCGGGTAGATACCATCCCATTAGATCTGACTTCCACAACCTGTGAATGGGATATAAACATACATTAAGAAGTGTCTAGATTTTCAAACTAGTCATTTTAGACATAATCCGCTAAGTCCAGACTTTGGTACTATTTTATAACTGTATCTTCAGACGATAAGGCTCTCTTTACATAGACATTTTACTATTATCAAAATTATTACGATCTCCATACCTTCCAAAATTTCTATCTAAACGGAGCTTAAATCATAGAGTCAAAATAAATAAATAAATAAATTTGGTTCCAACCAAAACTACTCATGACTGCATACATATATGAAAAACTAGCTTACAACATCCTTCCACTTAAAAGCCTTGTTTCTATAACTATAAACACAATCATTATTTAATCCACCATAATTAAGACCTTCTGGAATCATCAGAAATCACAGTCACTATCTGACTTTATCAGCCAACCAAACTCAAAACCTAAATTAGAAAACAAAAACCAATTAGTTCGAGTCAACAACCTCGTAAACTGGCTCGCGAATTCCCAACGACAGAGAATCCCCGGAGGCGGAGCTCCTCTGGGAAGTTGCAGAACCGTTGGTCAACTTTCCCCCGACCTCCTCCTCGAACTCCACTTCACTCACATTCCCATCATCCCCATTTTTACCCAACACAGCATCCCCGGCGCCATCTCTCTCCCCAAAACACTTGATCCCAACTTCCTCCCCCGCGACCGGCCGCAGAGCGTCGTCCCATCCCCATCTCCGCTGCAGCTGCAACGAAGAAAACCCGGAAACCTTGCATTTCGACCGCGACACTGATATCCCGGCCAAAATTAAGCGCAGCTGTTGCGAGGAATGGAGATGCAACTGCAACAGGTTCGGAGAAAACTGCTGCAAGGATAGGGGAACAGATCTCATCGTTTACATGCGAATCGCGAGATTCCTTAACCAAATCGGATTCCTTGTGGATTGGAGATCGCGAATTCAGGTGGGACGAGCTTTTTGTCCGTATGAATTGGTAGCTGATATGAAGGGTCCGGTGATTGTGTGTGGCTACGGTTGTCTGTCCCGCCCCGTTGTAACGGCCGTTTCAATAATTCGGGTCGACCCATATATTATGACCCGGCTCGAGTTGTTTAGCCCGGGCCGCCTTGGATGGTAATCGGATGCCACGTGTATGATCTAAGACGTCCACGTGATAATGTGATTGCAATATACGCAATGTACCTATCTGGGCATATGGTTTCCTTTTCTTTTTTTTTTTTTTTTAATAACAATTTTGATATAGTGTTTTATAAAATAAAATATTTTTAAATAATTATTTTATAATTAGATATTTTATAATAGAAATATGTATATTCACTTAAGTGTCCTCTTATTCGCATAATTGCATTGCAAAGATGGTCCATTTACACATCATGTCCGTTAGTTTAATATTCAAATTTGGGGGCTTGACAAAAACACAACTACTCGGTAATATTGAAAACTTTCGTAAGTTCTACTTGCCACGTATGCTTTAAGGTTGTGTTTGGTATAGTAATTAACAACATATAAATGAAAATATTTTTAATAAATGAAACTTGAAAATTATATATATATATTTCATATTTAAAGAAATTGAAAAAAATGATACTGTATATATTTTTATTTTTTAATCTTATTTCTACTTTTGATTTTGATCATTTTTAAATATTATATTATTTCAATTGTACAATAATTACATTTAATATATTATTTGAATATTACCTCCCATCCAAAGTACCGCGTTTTACATGTTGATTTTTAAATATGAATTATTATATCAATATTAGTTCAAATCAAAAGAAAATAAAAAAATATTTGTATTAGTTTCTTATAATAGAAAAATAATGATATTCGTGGAGTAAATTATACAAATATAACATAAAAGATAAATGTTGCCCTTTTTATGAAACGGAGATAGTATTAAATTTTTAAGATTCTCTTTTAAAAATTGTACTACTAAAATATGATTTTGCAAAACATAAAACATAGTATATAATTTATAATTTTTTTTTAAGTCACAACATATATTTTTTTTTTATAAATTCTCTAGTTATTTATTTTATTTTTTCCAACTAATCATTTATTCTTGTTCATCCATTCAAATATCCTAATTATCTATTTTACAAAACAAATATAATTAATTATCATTCTCTATTGATGTTATTATCTATTCTTACTTAACTATGCAATTCCATTTTTTTATACCAAATGTCCCCTAATTTTCATCATGCGAAATCCTAAATCCTAGTGTTTTTATATGGTAAATTTGGATTAAATTTTATAATTTTAAATTTTTATTGAAAATAATATAAATAGTAAAAATTTTGAATTGAAATAATTATATAATGTAATATAAATATGTATTAATGAGATATTTTGAATTTAAATTAATTTTAATATTGTATTTAATAAAAATATAATATTTTTTTTTTCTTTTTTTTTTTAAAACAAATACCCTATAAATTTGAAAGATTTTAGTTTAAATTTACTATTAAAATAATATATAATAGAAATATTTTGTAAAAATACATATTTTAAGTTTGGGCGGTAAAAAGACACACCGACTATATTTACTAGTGAGATTTTACCTATAATTTTATAATTTTATTTTTTATTTTTTAAAAAATATCAAATTAAATATTTAATTTTTATTTATTTTATTATACTAAAATTTAATTTTACATTAAAAAAATTACGTCAATAAATATTTGTATCAAATCAAATATTCCCTCCGTCTCATCGAAAGGTTGTCATTTTTCATTTTCGTCTGTCCCAAAATAAAGTTATTATTTTATAATTTAGTAATTGTACTACCTACGTAACATAATAAATACCCTTCTAACTTACACTATATTACACAAATGTCATTACTTCTAGGTGTGTTTGTTTAGGAGTTTGGATTTTGATTTGGGATTTAAATAATAAAAATTTTGAATTTGAATAGTTGTATGATGTGATATAAATAGGTGTTGATGTGATGTTTTGAATGTAAAATTGATTTTTAGTATAATATAAAAAATAAATAATAGGTGTTTGATTTGATGTTTTTGGGAAAAAAATAGGATGAACAGTGAAAATCTTCACAAACCTTCAAACAAACACACCCTTATATTATACAATACTAATAGAGACATTTTTGTCTTTTTTACTCTAATATATTATAATACTAATATTCATAATTTTTGTGCAAAACTTAAACGACAACCCTGCAACTGCAACGAGACGGAGGAAGTAATTGATTTTATTAAAATATACTAAAGAAAACAAAAAAAATCAAACAGAAACATTCATTATTACTTGTATTTATTGGTAAGTACAGACTTGCCAGGTCATTTATTACACACAAAACCAACTAAAACGAAAAGTCAGTCATTGCTGAGACACCGGGTTCGGGTTCAGATCCAAACCCGGGAATGACGAGTCACATACTCAAATTAAAATGTCCATATCATCCAGCCCATATTCGGGCTAAACTCGCACCCGTGACTTGACCCGGAAGCACCATAATTAAAAACTAAATTAATTAATAAAATAAAAATACACATTTTGAAAAGAAATGGAGAAGTCAAATAAATGGAATAAATAAATAAAAAAAAGGGCGAAAAAAAGAAAGTCGTCTCTCCCTCCAGTCTTCTCCGACGGCATTTCCCACTTTCCTCTCTTTCTCTAGATCGCACCGTTGCGGCGTATTTGGGCTGCGGATACGCACACCTACGTATACGAGGGACAGTGGACTGCGGTACTGAGATTCCTGGTGGATTGGGTTGTCGAATTCGATTGAGATCTGTGGGTTCTGCGGCCGTTGGATCTGGAGGATTGCCGGATCTGAGGGCGTCTGGAGATGGCACTGTCGGGGATGAGAGGCTTGTCGGTCTTTATAAGCGACATTAGGAATTGCCAGAACAAGGAGCAGGAGCGCCTCCGCGTGGACAAGGAGTTGGGCAAGATACGCACTCGGTTCAAGCAGGACAAGGCAAGTCTATGCGTGTGTGTGTTGAGGGTGCTCTGTGGGCGCCTTGATGTTTTTGGGTTTTATGTTTTGTTATTTTACTCTTTGTCGTCTGCAATTTTGGAATTTGCCACTTGATTCGAGCTGGGAAGTGAGGTGGCTAGTGTGGCGGTGGTTTGAATTTTACTTGGTTTTTGGATGCGAGCGTTTGTGTTTTAGGGGTTTTAGGGCGCAAATGTGTTTGATCTTAGGAGATTGGTCTTTTGGTAAACTCGCATGATGAATTGAACTTGCTGAGGGGAGATGGGATTTTTCAAGAACAATCATTAGGAGAATGAAGCATCTTAGGTTTCTACAGCAAGGTGTCCTTTTCTTCTTCTTATTTTTCTTATTCTTCTTCTTATATAAATGATGGTGGTGCTACTCATATCAAGTTAGAATCTCATTACGTTAGATAGACAGTGGGCGAGGATGTGGAATTTACAGAGATTTTCTCTGAGGAATCATTGAAAAGAAAAAGCTATCCGAGCGGGACATATTTTAGCTGCAGAGCGCTGATGTTAGCCATTGAATTGATCAGTATTCACAGTGATCATATAAATGCTTACTAGTTTGAAGATAAGCACTTATCAAGTGTTGGTGTGCAAGACACCCATATACATGATAATGTATTATCAACACTGAAAGTCGAATGCAATGCGTGGTGGATTGTGGTTTGATGTCTCTGCCTCACCATGAATTACCCTGGGATTTCTTTGCCATGAAACATTGGCTTGTGGAACATGGTTGAAAACTTTTTATCCACTGCTTTATAGTTGTAATGGATGAAGTTCAAGGAAACCTTGTTATACTTACATGGAAGGGTGTAGTAGTGAGGATGAAAAAGCAAGATTCACCTGCAGACCTGCTAGATTCCATTTATGCATATTATTTTATGAAGTTTGGTTTATAGTTTTATGCCGGAAATGATTGCGAAAAACAGTTGTTTGACATGGTTGATGCATAGAAGGTGGTAGACTTGCAGAATTACATAGAATATTTTTATTGATGGCTTACTGTTATGACTTTAGTACCTGCTAGCATTGATAGATCTCAGATGGTTTGCATCATAGAATACTCTTTTGAAGAGCACTCATTTGCATTAAAGGATGAAAGTACTTTTGACTTTACTACCACACAGTGCAAACATTTATATAAAGTGATGGTCAAAGTAGTTAATTTGTTTGAAATTTCTATTTTCTTCATTCACAAAATAGATAACACTTGCATATACATTAACGTTATCTAATAGATGCCCACATACCTGCAAATCATAGTAGAGAGTGTACGCATACTTCTGTATCTCTAAATAAAAGGCTCCTGTTTTTTCATTCTTTAGTTTTCTATCATACATTTGGTTTCTTCTTTCACCAAAAAAGTAATTATTGATACAGTACAAAAGGTATTAACATATCATAATAGGGAATATTGGACTGCATGGGCACTGGATATGATAAATCTAACCTCCAACGCATTTCTCTCTTTCGAGGACAAAATACGTCAAGAAATAATCCATACGTGGCCCACATAAGTGTGAAAACTTTGCAACTTAAGTGATGTTCCTGTGCTTATGCTTACTGTTTGTATCCCAGAACAATATGGTAGGAATAATTTTGCTACTCTTTTAAGTTTATGTTAACTAATTAGCATGGAAACACCCTATGTTATTGCATCCATGATTTGAAATTATACTTATATGGTTATGCCTAATTAAGAAATAACTATATTTTCTTCCCCTGTTTTTGTCGTTGCTGTTTTTCAGCAAGCATTGCAGCTGAGGAATGTTTATTTCCTTAAAAGCCAAATTGCATATCCTCATATTTAAAATTGATGCATGACAGGGTCTATCACCTTATGAGAAGAAGAAATACGTATGGAAAATGCTTTACATTTATATGCTTGGTTATGATGTTGATTTTGGTCACATGGAGGCTGTTTCCTTGATATCTGCCCCTAAATATCCTGAAAAGCAGGTAAATTTACTACAGTTCTTACATTGTACTTCTATAATTTTTTTGTTATATCTGTGGATTGAATTTCAATGTCATATGGATGTCAATGCTGTATTGTTTATAAGAATCCATTGCATTTCTGTTATTGATGAAAACATGTCCTATGTAAGTGCTGTAAGTTCACTACTTAAAAAAAGTGACACTTGGTAGAATCAAATTTACGTGATTGGTCAAGTCATAATAAACCTCGATTCCCGCGTGAAAATTAAAAATTATTCTGTAAATGGAAGACTGAAATTAATGTCGCACTTAAAATTCTGAAGAGAATCTTGTAATTTCAATAATATATTACACTCACAATTATGCTTTCAAATGTACTTCTGATGCTACCTGATAGCTTTATGTGTTATGACCATGCTTTTTAAACTTGCACTGTGTAACCTCTGCGATTACCTTTCAACTGTATCATGTTGGATAGTAAGCAAATAAGCTACCTACTTCTGTAACCAAAAAATGTTGTATTGTGTCAAGAAATGTGCTGAAAGTTAGTTATATATATCAAGGCCCTTTTATTTGATAACGTGGTAAGTCAGGCGATCGGAAAATAAAGAACTGGTTAATATATTCAAGATAATTACGTACCTTTCTAGTGTATATTTATCAAGGTTTTGATGTTTTCCTAGTTTTTTTTTTGGGGGGGGGGGGGGGGGGGGGGGGTAGGGGGCGGTGGTTGAAGGGATCTAAACCTTATGTATTGGAAATTAATGGATATGACTTTCTATTTATGATTATAAGCTGGCTTACAAACACATTAATGTTAATATGTTATAAATATCAACGACATTGCAATTTTGAATTATAGTGATACAGAGTAATCTATAATCATTCCCTTGTTACTTTGATTCATAGTATCATCTTTAATAATAAACTTGTCTTACTGGATAAAGCATATTGTATGCCTCCTCTTTTTATTGGTTTTTATGTTGCGTTGGGTTTTTTGCAGGTCGGTTATATTGTTACGTCATGCCTGCTCAACGAGAATCATGATTTTTTGAGATTAGCAATTAATACTGTGCGCAATGATATCATTGGTCGCAATGAGACATTTCAGTGTCTAGCATTGACACTGGTATCGATTCAAAGCCTCTCTCTTTAAAGTTTTATTCTAGATGGTTTCCCCCTTCTGTACTGCAATTTGAGTTTATGCATGTACGATGAAGTTCCTTTATATTCTAATCTTTGTTCATTCGTATATAGGTTGGGAATATTGGTGGGAGAGAGTTTGCTGAATCATTGGCTCCTGATGTTCAGAAGTTACTTGTAAGTGAATAATTTTTTAGGGTGTCAGTTGTGTGCTATCAATAGATGATACTGAAAACTACTATTGCTTCAGATTTCCAGTAGTTGTCGCCCACTTGTGAGGAAGAAAGCTGCATTATGTCTCCTGCGCTTATTTAGAAAGAATCCAGATGTGGTGAATGTAGATGGCTGGTGAAGTGTCTAATTATTCTGTATTTGGATTTACTGCTTATTACACAATAAACCTAATACCGACTCTTTTTAACTTTTTCTAGGTCTGATCGGATGGCACAGCTGTTAGATGAACGTGATTTGGGCGTATTAACTTCTTCCATGAGTCTTCTAGTTGCTCTAGTGGCAAATAACCATGAAGCATATTGGAGTTGTCTCCCAAAATGTGTTAGAATATTGGAAAGACTTGCTCGGAACCAGGATATTCCTCAAGAGTACACTTATTATGGTATTCCATCTCCCTGGCTTCAGGTTTGTGTTTTTTTATCCTTCTCTTAGCTGTTGGTGATACTGATTTATGCTTTGAAATGCTACTTCATTTACTGACCTGAGCATTAGGGTTTCCATTATTACTAGGATTTGAAGTGTTTATCTCAATGGCAGTAAGTTGATTAAATGAACTATCACAAAATCATGGTGGTTTTCCGTGTGAGTAGGGACTGGAATGTAGAATTATTTGGCCTCCAAAGGTTATGGGAAAGGTGTATAACTGGTGAAATTGAGATTTGCCAGCCATTTTCTATTTGTCACCCTTGTTGATCCTTATTAGTCTCCACAAAATCAAATGATGTGATTTGCCCTAGCCTTGATGTCAGAAACTCTTTAAATCAGTTAAAACTTTTGCAAGTGAAGATGGCCCACTTTAGGGGTCCCTTCACGGGGTGGCTTGAATGCTCAAATGAATTGTGCAGATTCCTTGACAAGCCCATAATTTTTAGCTCACTTCAGATGCTAACACGAAGTATGTTTGTTCTCATGCAATGGCATATGAGTGAGCTTTTCTCTTGAGCGCTAATGTCTAAACACATGTTGGATTTTTAAACACCTTTGCCAATGCAGGTTAAGACAATGAGGGTCCTTCAGTATTTTCCAACTGTTGAAGATCCAAACACTAGAAGATCTTTGTTTGAGGTACCAAACTTCCCTTTTATCTGAGTGTAATATTAGTTTCACTGTGGTATGTTTATGCTAGTGTGGATGCATCTTGATATTTGATATATATGCCTTTTCCTGTCCTGATTTTGTGTACTCAGGTTCTACAGAGGATACTGATGGGTACAGATGTTGTGAAAAATGTGAACAAGAATAATGCATCACACGCTGTTCTTTTTGAAGCTCTTGCTCTTGTAAGTTCAGAAAGCATAATAGTTACTGGCAGCAGTTCTTGCTACACTTTACAATTTTTATTATTATTCAGAGTTATGGATGAAGGACCCATGCTTGCACTGTTCAAAGCTGCTCACTGTATGCAAAAAATTAAAGTAGACTTTATTCTTCTAAAAGGACTTTTGCAACTGCCTCAATCTTGTAAAAACTACCCTACCTCTAAATTGCCTTTAAAATAGGTTCTATTGCTTGTGCTGCAATTGAGGCTATTATGTGGCATGTATGATGCTTACTATGAGATTACTGTGCATTTAAAATTTTGTGTAGTACAGTATCCTTTTCATTTACATGTTTTGAATAATTTTTCATGTTTCTAAATATTCTTTGTTGTGTACACCACACCAACTGCAGGTTATGCATCTTGATGCTGAAAAAGAGATGATGTCTCAGTGTGTTGCATTGCTTGGTAAATTTATTGCCGTCCGTGAACCTAATATCCGTTATCTTGGTCTGGTAAGCCAACAGTTATCATTGAATTTGATGGTGTATGAACCTGTTTCTGTTGTTCATTGTCAAGTATTTTGCCTTTTAAGCTCCCTGAGTTATTTATCACTGGGTTTCTTTGAGGTTTGGTGGGTTTTTCTCAATGTTTTTGTGAATTTTCAAGCCTCCAATAATTTAATTTTTGAGGTACCTTGGTGTAGATGTTATCTGCAATTGAGGTTTCCTGATTACAGAGGCCTTTCTATAACTATGATGCAGGAGAATATGACTCGGATGTTGATGGTCACAGATGTTCAGGATATAATCAAAAGACATCAAGCGCAGATTATAACTTCCCTGAAGGATCCCGATATTAGGTTGACTTCTATTTGATGATTTTCTGAAAGTTCCATTGCTAGTTAGTCATTAGTGCTCAGTGCTCACATATATGACAAACATTTGGAGCTTATCTTTGCCTTTTGGTTCCACAAGTGGGTTTCCATTCTTTTATAAGTGGTTGTTAGGTCCAAAATTAATATAGTTATTGAAATCCAAAATTAGTTGAGTTAATTGAGTAATAAACTCAAGCCAAATGATATTTTTTAATGAGTGTCAGCTGGCCTCCTAGAATTTAGTATAATTACAATTTAATTTAAATGTATAATTTCCAACGTTACACTTGTTTGTTAACTATTGGTTGTTCCAACAGTATTAGGAGACGTGCTCTTGATTTACTTTATGGAATGTGTGATGTTTCTAATGCAAAGGACATAGTTGAAGAATTATTACAGGTTGGTATCCTACCATTTATTCAATCTTTCTTTGTTGGTTTGTAAGCCAACATATAAATGCTTTGCTGACTTAAATCTGGTTTCAGTATCTAAGCACTGCCGACTTTGCAATGCGTGAAGAATTGTCACTTAAGGTCGCTATTCTTGCGGAGAAGTTTGCCCCAGACTTGTCATGGTATGAAATTGCCATATTAATAAATATTATCATTGTTGATTTGGCAGTCAAGAAATTTCAGAGGTGTTACTTTGGGAAAGAAAAGCCTGTTAATGTTGCATAGAAAAACTGTAGAGACCATAGAAAAAATTCTAAAAATTGTTAAAATTCATGCTGATGGGAGTGCTAGTGGGACTCCGGGTTACCTTGCTGCAGATATACCCTTTTGATCACACCAGCTTATGTTTTGGCTGTTCAAAAGTGGCATTAGTATAGAATTCAATTGGGTGATGTTGGAGGTTGTGAATTGTCCATACTTTTGTAACAGTTGAATAAGTATCCTTCACCTTTGCTTCTAAAGATATTGTGAGTGCTTGTAGGGCACTGATTCAAAATGCTTTACTCCGGAAAATACTTACTTAACTTGAGAGCCATCACTTGATGCTTCCAGATCTTGAATACAAGACATCAGTATTTTTCCTCCTGTTGTAGGTATGTAGATGTTATTCTTCAGTTGATTGACAAGGCAGGAGATTTTGTCAGTGATGACATTTGGTTTCGCGTGGTGCAGTTTGTTACAAACAATGAGGATCTACAGGTAATGGAAAGACATTTTGTGTTAATTCAGAGTAGGTTTCTGTGGATTAGTGATGCATTCGACAATCTCATTTGTGCTTTCATTTCTTTTGTATCTTGTCAGCCATATGCTGCACTGAAAGCAAGAGAGTATCTTGACAAACCTGCCATTCATGAAACTATGGTGAAGGTGTGCTTCCTGATCACAATTTTTGTACTATGTGGGCCTAAGTAGTATTTACTACAAGCTAATCTTGGTTACTCTCCAGTAATCACTATAAATGACTAGGCAGACCAGGTGTAGTACATACTGACTACTGTCCAATCTAAAGCTTGAGCACAGGCATTAGTGGATAGGCAGTGTCACAACCACTATGATATTGTTTATCTTATGCTTTGTGACTATTACTCTCAAATCATAAGCCTTAGGTGCTTCATGGGCTAACGATAAATGGAAAACAACATGATTAGAGATTATCATTTCTCTGACGAAGATGTATTCATAAAATAAGTTAGATTATGACAATTGCGCCACAGTGCAGATTTTCATGTTACATAATGATACAGGTGAGTTCATATATTCTTGGGGAATACAGCCATCTTTTATCTAGACGCCCAGGTTGTAGCCCAAAGGAAATTTTTAACATCATTCATGAGAAGCTTCCTACTGTTTCGTAAGTGCTTCTGCTTTTTCCCCCCTTTTCCCTGACCCCAGACTTTTATGTTCCTTATTATGGTGTCTAAACATAATAATTCATTACCAGGACTTCAACAATTCCTATCATACTCTCAACATATGCGAAGATCTTGATGCACACTCAGCCACCAGACCAGGAGCTACAAAATCAAATTTGGGCAATATTCAACAAGTAATCAGCAAACAGTTACTGTAAAATGCTTTTTTTAAGACTATTGCTTTGCAGTGGCACTAAATTAAGTTGACTTGTTTCAGGTATGAAAGTTGCATTGATGCTGAAATACAGCAACGCGCTGTTGAATACCATGCTTTGAGTATGAAGGGTGCAGCTCTTATGGATGTACTTGCTGAAATGCCCAAATTTCCAGAGAGACAGGTTGGAATGCAACATTTGCAATGCTGAGTTTGTATTTAACTTTCCTAAAGAAAGATTGCCTTGATATTTAGCATTACTGACAGGGACAACCTTTTTTTACTGTTTTTGTTTTTTATAAAACTGCAGTCTTCATTGATTAGAAAAGCCTCAGATTCTGAAGCGGACACTGCTGAGCAAAGTGCCATCAAGTTGCGGTTGCAACAGCAATCTTCTAATGCTTTGGTAGTGTCGGATCAACGGCCTGTAAATGGTGCACCACCTGTCAACCAGCTTGGTCTTGTGAAGGTGCCAAGTGTGGTGAGATAACTATTCGCAGTATATAGTCACCAAGTCCTTGATGTTAGGGTCTGATTGTTATTTTCACTTCATATGAACTTGTAATAAAAAAATCATGACACAGGAGCGGAGCAATGCTGAACAAGGTGTAACACATACGAATGGGGCTCTGACTGTGGTGGATTCCCAACAACCTAGCACAGCTTCTCCTGATCTCCTAGGTGATCTTTTAGGTACACTAGCTATTGAAGGTCCTCCCGGTGCTGGCCATCCATCTGAATCTGGAGTGCCTTCTGGTTTGGAAGGTGGTGCAAATGCAGATGCATTAGCCATTGCACCAGTTGAAGAGCAGGCTAGTACTGTCCAGGTATACTTTCTTTTGCGTCTTTTTATGTTTTCATTACCAATAGAGGAAAGTAAATTTATGAAATGTCATGTCTTCCATGGAGTAAATGATTTTTTGAAAATGCAGAACTCTCTAAGTGTTCTTTTTCAAGCCTATTCAATTTATTGTATTTCACAATTTAGGAATCTGTGGTGCCTTTGCATTTTGTTGAGACATATTTCTCCTGGAGTTCCAGATTTATTTTTGTGTCCTTGATTGCAGCCAATCGGTAATATTGCGGAAAGGTTTCATGCTTTATGTCTGAAAGACAGTGGGGTATTGTATGAGGATCCTTACATTCAGGCAAGCGGTGTTTTCTCACATTTCCAGTTCAGCTGATTTATACCATGTTTCTTTTTTTGAGTAGAAACATGCAAATGTATCCCTTGAACTAATCATATGGAGTGTGTCTATCTGATCCCAGATTGGCATTAAAGCTGAATGGCGAGCGCATCATGGGCGACTTGTTCTCTTTTTGGGAAATAAAAATACTGCTCCACTCAGTTCAGTTCAAGCTTTGATATTACCTCCATCACATTTAAACTTGGAACTCTCATTAGTACCTGAGACTATCCCTCCAAGAGCACAGGTTTATTTATGCAATTCCTAATTATGTGTTTTAGTATATATTTTTTCTGTGATTAGTATAATATCCTTTATTAAGGTTTTATAAATTGAATCATATGTAATGGCTGCCTAGGTTCAATGTCCGCTTGATGTAATCATTCTGAGACCAAGCAGAGATGTGGCTGTCCTGGATTTCTCATACAAGTTTGGACCCCACATTGTACTTTTCGAAAAACTTAAATTGCTTTTGAAATTAAAATACTGGGCCCAGAGTGGATTCACCTGTATACTAAGATACTGTTATATTCATGAACAGGTGAATGTAAAACTTCGCCTTCCTGCTGTCCTTAATAAGTTTCTTCAACCCATCACAGTTACTGGTGAAGAGTTTTTCCCACAATGGCGATCACTGTCCGGACCGCCATTGAAGTTGCAAGAAGTGGTATGTGTTCTTGTAGAACTTATGCTCCTTGTCCAGTACATGTACATGTATATATTTTACGTTATTTCATTAACATAACAGGTGAGAGGTGTTAAACCTTTGCCACTTGTGGAAATGGCAAACTTATTGAACAGTTTGAAGCTGATGGTTTGCCCTGGGCTTGTAAGTGCTTGAAATTCTGTATTTTTGAACCAGTTTCATGGTTGGCGAATGATTTTGGCCTCGGTATGAATATAGTTAATTCACTTACTCTGTATTATCAATCATCCTGTCCAGGATCCCAACCCTAATAATTTGGTTGCAAGTACAACGTTCTACTCAGAAAGCACACGGGCCATGCTGTGTTTGGTAAGCTGGAGTCAATTTTCATTTTGCCTGTTCTTATACTCCTATACGCCTAAATGCATTACCAATATTTCCAATAATTGCACGATGAAAATTATAATATAGAATCCCAGAATTACATTGGTAACTTCCCAGTTGGTTGCAATCCATTTCTCTAGGTTCTGTATCAGTAGGATTCAGTTTATTTCAGTGTACCAAAAATTGTGTATAATTATACCTTTTAGTTTTACTTATTTTATGGTTCATAACTTTGTTATATGTATAATTATAACTGCTATTCATTAATTTAACTCTGTTGGCCTTGCTCAGATACGCGTAGAAACAGATCCAGCTGACAGAACGCAGCTGCGAATGACAGTTGCATCAGGAGATCCGACACTTACTTTCGAGTAAACTTTTCAATTCATCAAACATATATGATCCTACCGAGGAACCAGCATCTTCATCTGATTTCTTGTTTTTTTTTTTAAACCTTTCACAGGTTGAAGGAGTTCATCAAAGAACAATTGGTGTATGTACCGATTTCTTCCCAGGCACCAGCACCAGCACCTGCCCCTCCAACCCAGCCTACCAGTCCACCTCCTACAGCCATACCTTCATCAGATCCTGGAGCTCTTCTAGCTGGTTTGCTTTGAGTGTTATTTCGAAACATTTCATCCAACTACTCTGTAACCTGTGTTCATATGGCAAGCCCTTCTGATCCATGCTCCTCGCATACAAACGGGATGTTCCAGACATATACATATATTGCAAGGGTGGGCGCGCGGGAGTAAATGGTACGACTATATATATATATGTAAACCCGAGATAGCCTTATTTTTGAAGTTTATTGGAGGTTGTGAAGTTTTTCTATTCTTTTGCACAATTTTATTATTGTGCCTTGGTGAGGGTTTCTTGTTTTTTTTTCTTTTTTTTTTTTGAAGTGTCTCTTCCCCCACTTAGTTTTATAGCGAGATTTGAATATCCATTGGTTTTTGTAATATGAAAAGTTCTGCATTCTGACTACACAGATGCATTTGTTTGTGAAAGCTGGTTATTGTTGTGCATTTCTTTCTTTCTTTCTTATTTGGTAAAAAAAAGGGGTTCGATGTATGGGGCAACTTCAGAGTTTGATGCCTTTTTCGGCTCTTGAATATTTTTTTTTCTTATATATTACTATTGAAATTGAGAAGCCTCTGTCTCTCTTGTTTCTCTTTTTATCATTTTATATTTTCAAAGATCAAATGCTGCCACCCTACTACACTGTTTTGGAGGTTTGGATTTTTATTTGGATTTTGAATAGTAAAAATTTTGAATTTGAATAGTTATATTATGTGATATAAATAGACGTTGATGTGACCTTTTTAATATAAAGGTAATTTTATTTTTGTATAATATAAAAAATAAAAATTAAATAATTGATTTGATATTTTTTGGAAAAATTTTTTTGATGAAAAGCAGAAATTAACAGAAATACTCCAACCGAACACACCCATATGTACCTCGATTAATATGTCAATTTTTGAGTAAAACGAAATAGTAGTAGTAAAAATGTATGTTGAGTTGAAAAATATATATACATATTCCTTTTTATTCTTTCACAAGGTATGAAAATTTAACCCGTTACACGTGATATTGTTATTTTCTAACTGTATATATGCTATATTATATTTTATTATTTTATAAAATTAATAATTAATACAAAATATTATTCCCTCCGTCATTTAAATTTTTTATTTTAGGTAAAAAAATACCATTTTTTTAACCAAAAAAAAAAATATTTTTACATATTTTTTTAAAAACTCGTGTCCGGTCAAATGAGCAAACAATTGAATGAGAGATCAAGTATTTTTTATGTTATTTACACAATATAAAAAATATGCTTCAAATTAAAATATTAAAAAAAATCCAAAATTGTTTATAATTGTGGTTTGAAAAGTTTTATTATTTTTTATAATATAAATATTGCATGAAGTATTATTGTCTTTTTTAAAATATTGTATAAATTTTTTTAGGGGTTTTTGTTATTGTATTTTTAAAATTTTTGTACAAAATTATTTCTAGGGGATTGTCCAGTGTAATTCATGCAATATTTAAAAGATATGTAGGTGTGTTTGTCCCATTTTTCTCTCAAAAAAACACATTAAAACATATAACATCAGTACCTATTTATATCACATCATATAACTATTCAGATTTAAAAATTTTATTATTCAAATTCCTAACTCAAAATCCAAACCTCCAAACAAACACACCCTTAATGTTTTTCACGGTATTATAAAAGCAATTTTGCTTCAAACATCCCACTTATTTTTTGGTTCGATATTGAAGCCCAAAGCTGGCTCCCAATCATTTGCCAAATGAATAATTAATTATAAAAATGGCGGGAAATGTGAATCCGTGGCCCGCACGCTTCTTTGATCGTACTATAAAACCCGCGCACTCTTTACATTATATAAAAAATCAAGAACGACTATTCTAGGGTTTCCATTTCCGATTTACTGAATCCTAACTTTCCGGTTGCCCTCCTTCGGATTTATGTGTGATTTTGGGGTGCCATTAATTCTCTCTCTGTCCCAATTGGCGCGGCGGTGCTGATGGGGAACAAGGCCACGCAAGAAACCATTGACACCGTACGCTCCATTGTCGGCGACGAATTTTCCGACATGGACATAATTCGGGCTCTACACATGGCCAACAACGACCCGACCGCCGCAATCAACATCATTTTCGACACCCCGAGAATTTCCAAGAAACCAGATATTTCTAAAAGGTCTGACCCCGAGTCCCCTAAAAGCAATTCGAATGTGGAGCCCGTTGTCGCTGTATCATCTAGTATAAAGGGGAATAGTGTTAATGGGTCTGGGAATTGTGAGCCTGAATTGAAACACAGCGGCAGTTCAACCACTGTGACAGGGAGAAGCAACGGAGAGGTTAATGATGGACCTGGCAATCGATTGGGGGATGAACTTGGAAGTGAGTGGTGGTTTGTTGGTAATGGCGAGATATCTGGGATGTCCACTTGTAAAGGGAGGGTCTTGAACCCTGGTGATGAAGTGAATTTCACTTTATCGGCGGAGAAGAAGTTGGCAGCGCCATCACCGGGGAAGTTAGGGGGCGGACGGGGACGACATGCCGGAGCATGCTCCGAAATTGTACGGTTTTCTACCAAAGCTTGCGGAGAGGTAATTTGGATGACCATTTTGGTGAATCTAAGTAACGTTAAATCTTTAGTAGCTTTCACAATTTTTTGGGCCTTTTTGCGTTTGTTGCAGTGTGCTGTGAAAGTTTGGATACTCGGCGTGTGTTTACTTGTGGTTTCACATTTTTATGTGAATAGATTTAATGTTTTTAATTGAAACTTGGCATTGTATGTTATGTTTTGGAATGAAAAATTGTAAGAGTGTGAAAATGGTTTTGAAACACAATTAAATAAACCTCATTGTTTCTATGATCCAGTAGTAGATGCTAACCTAGTTGCTTGAGTGTTTGGTGATGCCCATGGGTTCGAGTCTCACTTGTGTTATAAACTTCGGGTCAGGCCCTTACCCTGAGTATGAGTTAGACAATGCAGGTGTATCCTACATTGGATCTGGATTAACCAGTTGGATATCAGATGACCAGATCAAGGTGTATAAAGATGTCATATTTTAGAAATCGAGAATGCACAAATTACAGGCTGCCAATTCTCTGGTTGCTTTATTTCGACATTTCATCTTATTATTGGAATGTAATTTCAGGAAATTTCCTCAGTATGTCATAACTTAATTAGAAGAATTGTTGCTATTTGAATGCTGGCACAACCACTTTTTGTAGTTGATTGTATAACAAGTCTTCAAGTTTTAATTTCTATGGGAGTATTCATTGTATTTAACATGCTTATATACGATGAGCAGCATGAAGCAGATCTTATCCTTGACAAAGGTGTACATATTACTAGTCTTCATTATATGACATTTCTATGTATTGGTGCAGATTGGTCGCATTCCAAATGACTGGGCTCGATGTCTTTTACCTCTTGTGAGGGAAAAGAAGGTTCGTATTCAAGGGTACTGCAAATGTGCTCCTCCCTTACTGGGGATTATGGATACTGTTGTCTTATCTATCAGGTATACTGGGTGCACCTGGAGTTTGCGGTTTTGTATTAAATTCAAAACTTTAATTATACATTATGGCTGAAATGTTCGATTATGGTGCCACTTAGTATGCAATAATGCTGGCAACTGATGGGTTTGTTTGGCTTTTATTCTGTGCTTTAGTGTGTATATAAATGGCTCCATGTTCCAAAATCAGCATCAAAATTCTCTCAAAGTTGCCAGCAGTTCTTCAGATGAATCAACTGTTTACCCACTCCCCACTTTGTTCAAGTTGCTTGGACTCACCCCATTTAAGAAGGTGACTCTGCTTCTCCAATCCTGAATACTGAGCACATTTAAGAATGTTAACAAAGAGAGAATGTACTTCATGCTGATATATTTGTCTCTTCTGGCTTAGTTGCACACACATTCCTCATATGTGACCTGATTTTGTTCCTTGTTTATAGGCTGAATTTACACCCAGAGATTTGTACTCGCGGAAGAGACCTTTGAATTCTGAGGTACTGTTGCCAGTCTGCTGGTTGCATGAACTTAGACAAGATGAACTTAATGTTTAGTTTTTAGTTTTTCTTGAACAGGACAGTTCTGGTTTATCTTCATCTTTCCTGCATATAAATAAGTTCAAGAGCACAACTTCTTGTGGTGGAGATAGTGTTGAAAATGAGGAGTCAATTTCAGACAATGATCTTGACAAAATTGTTGGTGTTACTGATGGTTCCCAGTTGGAGGTAAATGGATTTCAGATGTATTTTCTTTGTATTTTATTATATTTCACTATCTGACATACAGATATATAGGAGATTGAACCACCCAGCACTCTGCTCTGTGATCTTCGCCCTTACCAGAAGCAAGCTCTTAATTGGATGATTCAGCTGGAAAGGGGACATGGTGTGGATGAGGCTGCAGTCACACTGCACCCGTGTTGGGATGCTTACCGCCTTGCTGACAAGTATGAAAAGTTTCAATGATGTGATCATTGTTCTGAAGTTAATAGTGGGGTTTAATTGACAATTCTTAGTTTCTGGTTTGCAGGAGGGGACTGGTTGTATACCTCAACTCCTTTTCAGGCAATGCAACAACAGAATTCCCCAGTACACGTCAGATGGCTAGGGGAGGAGTATGTTGATAGCTTTTATCATGTTTTTTCTGTTCTGCAGTGCTTGTCATCAAAATTAACATTGTGAGCTTATAGATTTTGGCAGATTCCATGGGACTCGGGAAGACAATCATGACTATATCACTTCTTCTCATGTATCCTGAAAGAAGTGGATTCTTTAGCAGTTCATCTACTCGCCAGTCCTCTAATGATGACTGTGATGCTAGCTCAGATAAATCTCCTGTACCTCAAAAGAAAGTATCAAAGTTTGCTTGTTTTGAGAAGCCAATGAAAAAAAAAGCCTCTCTTGTTGGAGGCAGTAATCTCATTATATGCCCAATGACACTTATCGGCCAGTGGAAGGTATAAGTTATTTTTTGATTTGGTATGTCCAGTATGTTTCTTTAAATAGAGACCTTGTGAGTTGAATATTTTGCCTATTTTTGTTAGACAGAGATTGAAACACATGCTCAAGCTGGGGCCTTGTCACTTTATGTTCACTATGGTCAAAGTAGATCTCAAGATGCCAAAGTTCTAGCACAAAGTAGTGTTGTGTTAACTACCTATGGAGTGCTGGCTTCAGAATTTTCTTCAGAGGTACTCCTTCATTCCCTTGACTCACAGCTGAAGCCACATGAGAGGGTTTTGTTTTTATCCTGTTCAGTTTTGTGGTTAGACTGGATGCTTGGAAATATATCCCTGAAAATAGCTGGTAAAAACCTTCCGTTTGTTGGTCTCTTTTTTAGAATGCACAGGACAATGGAGGATTGTTTTCCGTTAAATGGTTTAGAGTGGTTCTTGATGAGGCGCATACCATAAAATCGTCTAAAAGCCAAATTTCTATGGCTGCAACTGCTCTTGCCGCTGATTGTCGATGGTGCCTTACAGGTACACCCTTGCAGGTAATGATTGCTTCTTGTGGTTGGTCAACATTCTTAACAAACACTTTCACGACTATATCATCATTTGAATTGATTTTCTGTTGGCTTTTTTCGTAAGTTAACTATAAAATCAATATGAATATGCTGCTTACCACTTGTTACAGTCCCTTTCTGAGGACTGAGCATTTTGAACATGTCTTTAGTTTGGGCTTGGGGGATTATTAATCTCGTTCCTTATCTAATGCTAAATTCCTTGTTTCAGAACAAGTTGGAGGATGTTTACAGTCTTCTTCGATTTTTGAAGATTGAACCATGGGGAAATTGGGCTTGGTAAGGTGTTGATCCATCTTTTTGAAGGCAATTAGCAGTATTTTCTTTGGGTGTGGTAGGAAAATTGTTGAATTTAATTAATCAGATGGGATGGTTTCAAGTATATAAATTGATCTTCCCATTGCAAGATACTTATTTACTCTGCTTTCTATTAGCTTGTCTAACTAGTAAATGTACTATAGTACATGTTTTTCCTTTTTCCTTTCATCTGTATTTGTCTCTTTAAGTGTTCCTTGTGTTTCCAAAGAGACTTCAAGTCAGCTTTATTTTTTATTTTAAAAGGTATCTTCCAAATTTTAGAAATAGATTGAGGAATGTATGGAGGTAGAGATTTATATGACTGGATTTATCTTTTGAATACATGTTATGTTATTCTGAACTCATTTTCTGAATTTCTTCCTATCCACTTGATTCTCAATGGCTCTTCTTTCTTAAGCTTGTCAGTTGCTAATTTCTCCGACTTGATTTGATGAGATGGGAACTCCTTATTATGTCCCATAAGAAATATGTTTTGAGGCACAAACATACCTAAATTCTGCTCCTTTCTGTGTCTCTTTGTGAAGTCTTAATAATGTATGTTTGATAGTTTACACCACACCTTTAATACATTATCCAGGTGGAACAAGCTAGTCCAGAAACCTTTTGAGGAGGGTGACGAAAGGGGATTAAAGTTGGTTCAATCTATTTTAAAACCAATCATGTTAAGACGGACAAAGTCTAGCACTGACCGAGAAGGAAGGTATGAAATTACAAAGAAATATATATATATATATATGTATATATACACATATATATTAGCTAAGGATTTGTTTACTTGGATTTCTTACCAAACGTAACATTCTAACCACTCTTCAAACCAAAATCCAAAACCAAACCCCAAAATTAGACCCCCAAGTAAACAGACCCTTAGTGGTCTCTGTGTGTGCTATCCCTGATGTTTAATATGTTTATCTGCTTTTGTTTTTGTTTACTGGCTTGCAGGCCAATTTTAGTCCTACCACCTGTGGATATTAAAGTGATCTATTGTAATCTCACTGAAGCAGAAAATGACTTTTATGAAGCATTGTTTAAAAAATCAAAGGTATTTCAAGTCTTACAAGGAATTAACTTTGTCGTTGCTGTTTGAATTAAATATCGTTTGTGCATCTTTAGGTGAAGTTTGATCAATTTGTAGAACAAGGTCGGGTTCTTCATAACTATGCTTCAATTTTGGAACTGCTCTTACGCCTTCGTCAATGTTGCGACCATCCATTTCTTGTTATGAGGTGAACATATCTTTTTTCACGCTCTAGCCTGATACTTTCTTCATCACATTGCTGTTTCATGCGCCCTCCAATTATATAAATTTTCGATATATGTATGTAGAGATTATTTTATAATTGAATACAATATTTTCACCTATGTACCTTGAATGTATCCTTCTTCACAAAAATTAACTAATTCAGAGCTGTTCTGTATCACTGACATAATTCGTGTCCACATCATACTGCACTACAGAGTTTCTGTTGTTAATTTCACCTTCACCTCTCCAAAGTATATTGGATGTGTTTCTTGTTGATAGTTGAATAGTTGAGTTATATATTTCTGTATTGTATAGACTATAGAGAATCCCTCGATACACATAGGGAAAACACATGTCAATATGTTTTGATTTATGCAGATCACACTTGGGGTCACTTTCTTGTAGTTTGTTTTAGTGACAAGGCTCCTTTTCATCCAGTCGAGGTGACACACAGGAATACTCTGACTTGAATAAACTTGCAAAACGTTTCCTACGAGGTGGTCTGGACAATGAAGATGGACAGAACAAAGAAGCCCCATCCCATGCCTATATTCAGGAAGTTGTCGACGAGTTAAGCAAAGGGGAGCAAGGAGAGTGCCCAATATGCCTAGAAGCTTTCGAAGATGCAGTATTGACACCTTGTGCTCATCGACTATGCCGAGAATGTCTTCTGACAAGCTGGAGAGGCTCAACATCTGGCCTTTGTCCTGTTTGTAGGTACCAATATACTTTCATGATCCAACCAATCTGTATTTCCTTATGCCATGCAATGCCCTAAATTTGGTTGTTCCACAGGAAGACCGTTAGCAAGCAGGAGCTCATCACTGTCCCAACCCAATGTCGCTTCCAAGTTGATGTTGAGAAGAACTGGGTTGAGTCATCGAAAGTTTCTGCGCTCATGCAAGAACTCGGACGTCTGCAATCACTGGGGTCTAAAAGTATCATCTTCAGTCAATGGACTGCCTTTTTGGATTTATTGCAGATTCCTCTTTCTCGGTATCATCTATCTCCGCATGTTCTAGTTTTTGTGTTTTGAGTAAAACTATCTATGCTTTGTGATGATATCCTATAAATTGTATGGGGGATTTGCTTTTGCTTTTTGCATGCGGAACATTGGTAGTGCAGAAATGAAATAAATTTTATCGTAACTACTTTTACAGTTCAATTGTTCTTTAAGTGTATTGTGTTGCCCTTCCCCATTTTACTTCATTGATGTAATGACCCTTTTAGCCCTACAATGAGTGTCTATTTATCAGTCTTATGATAGAAGAAATATAGATTGATCCAATAGCTTTAAAGCAGATAGGTGTTGGACTGTGTGCAATTGATTTAAATATAATTTGTGTTGCACACGATGTTCTTCAATTAAATGTTAACAGCTCCAAGAACTATATGATTTATACTTGAAATTGGTCTCCACTGACTTTAAATTGTGTTGCTAAAGTTCAGTTTTGTTGTAGCATAGAAGTAAAACAGAAACGAACATTTTTATGATGAAATGATATTACCAATTGTCTATGTCCATTTCCAGGAGTAAGATTCCATTCCTTCGTCTAGATGGGACCCTCAACCAGCAACAGCGAGAGAGAGTAATAAAGCAATTTTCAGATGAAGACAACATCAAGGTGTGCCTTTATGCATGTTCTTTCCTCCTGTTTTCATGCTAAGCAATTGACATAAGCTATAAGTTATATTTATTGCATCACAGGTGCTTCTCATGTCGCTCAAGGCTGGTGGGGTTGGAATAAATCTAACCGCAGCATCTAATGCTTTTGTAATGGTAAGGCATCATACATTTCTTACATCCTGCATTTAATATGTGGTTCTATCAATTGGGCATGTATCATAAGTATGGTATCCGTGATTGCCATAATAGATTAATATAGAGCATTTTTTGTTTCCTTTGGGCTAATACTATTGTCTGTAAAAAATATAGATTTAATGTTTAATGTTTATGTCAGGATCCATGGTGGAATCCAGCTGTTGAAGAACAAGCAGTTATGCGCATTCATCGTATAGGTCAAGCTAAAAGCGTGATGATCAAACGGTTTATTGTGAAGGTAATTTTTGAGCATTTGGTTATTGACTAGACCAGATTGGATCTTAGTTGACCTTTTTTAATGCTGATCTTGGTGGATAAAATACAGTAATTTACAAAGTAATTAGATTGTAGTATGTGGTTTGATAGTGTATGCTCGTTAGTGTTGTTTTATGATTTTACTATTCTTTTTTCAATTTTACCCTTTCTAATCTTCCTATTAGATTGTCTTTGTTTTTTTTTTTTTTTTTTTTCTAAATTATTTAAATTTCAAGTTATTTTAATTCCTTCACAAAGTAGTGAAATAAATTTGAATTTGACTAGGGGGTAATGATTAAAGTAGTGAAATCTTGAATGAAATTTGGCTTGATGAATCAATCAGACATTTGTGTATTCGTGTGAGCAAGTTTAGTAGTGGTCAGGTGAAAATCAAATTTGGCTCAGTTTGTGTTTGCAACGGCATGATATATTTGCATCACTACATGTGTGGCCTTGCCTCAGGGAACGGTGGAGGAACGAATGGAGGCAGTTCAAGCAAGAAAGCAAGAAATGATATCCGGTGCTCTCACTGACCAAGAAGTTCGAAGTGCCCGTATACAAGAACTCAAAATGCTCTTCACTTGATGACCCACCCCCCCCCCCCTCCCCAAATCATCATCATCAGCGCCTATTTAACAAAGATAAATGAGATTGAAGGAATTCCAACCAACGACAAGATATTTTATTCGGATGGATTCTCAAGTTGAGGTGATGTTCTTTTTATAAAATCAGTACTCATTTGTTAATGAATGGTTGTGCTGATAGTATAGAACAACAATATGGACACGGACACGGACATGGACAGATTTGTCAGTTTAGGCGGTTAGTTGTTAGCATTGTCAATATTCCAAGTTATCTTTTTATCCATTTAGGGTGAGGGAGGGTCACACATGCAGGATAAATTTACTTGCCTTCTACGTGTATTTATTTATGTTGTTGTAAGCTTTTCGGTTGAAATGCATGTATACGGTTAGGTGAACTTTCCAATTGCATTGAACTGGTTTTGATGGATAGGCCGATGAGATACTAACATCGGCCACCCTATATTTGATGTGCCATAGTGTGTTATATATCATTTGGAAAATTTGTGTGTTGTTGGATCGCCATATTTTAAAATTGAACTGTGCCGAGAACCATTAGTCTGGTTTCGTTGTTTACAATCTTCTAAGGTTTAGCACACTGCGCACACAGACACATGTTGCCTAAAAGGGATCGCCGGGAGATCAGCAGGATGACTATCCGACCAACCACCTCCTTGACACCAACCTCGCCTCTTGACCTTGGAGAAGAAGCTTTGCAGGTTTATGTGTGAAAGACTGCCACCACCTGAATAACCAAGACCTGGAACAACATGGATGTAAGCGACGAGTATGGCAACGGGTTGCGGCACCACTGGAGAAAAAAATTGGTATGTTTTCAGAATTGAACAGATCTAAGCTCAACTTTTGATTTTGGAATGACTCTTAGACCTCGTTGGATTTGTCTAAGAATATTGGAAGTTGGATTTTGAATAAATATAAAACGATGAATGAATCTATATTTGATCAATTTCCTCCATCTACTTTACATTCCATGACATTGAGTTTGTTTAGATAGGGATATTTGGAGGTTTTTGGAAATTAAAGTTAATATTTGATTTGATGTTTTGTGGGAGAAAAAATGTATTTGATGTGATTTTTTATAAAAATAAATAGTGTCAAACTAGCGTTTGTGTACGGATAGTTATGTTTAAATTTAGTTATTATATTATTTTTATTTTATTTGTGAATATTTAAAATAAATCAAAAAATTATATATATATATAGATAAAATAATTATATAATGTAATATATTTATATTTTACTATTTTAGTGGTTGTATTTTTTTATGAAAAGATCTTTTTTCTATAATTTTACTTATATATATTTTTTTTAAATATTAAAAGAAAATGCAAATCATTAATTACTACAAATATTAAAAATAAAAACAAATTATTTTTTCATTATAATTTTATTATTAGTAACTATGGAAAAAAACTTGTAAAAGAAAATGATGATTGATAATATTAACTAAAAAAATAAATAAAAATATACCTTCATAAAATCAAATTGAAATATAGACGATTACGATTATTTACTTAACCGGAGAAAAATTTATATAAAAATATGTAAAATTCAAATTATGTTAAATTTCATACAAATTCTAAATTATTTTTTCAAGTGATATGATCTACATAATCTATCAAATATTATTTATAATAAATAATAAATATTTTGCATAAAATCACTAAGTACAATAAACTAATATACAATACATGTATAAATCTTAATATCAAATTATCAATATTTATAACTAAAAAAATCTATAATTAAAATTTTCAATAATAATTATTTATTTTTCAATTTAAAATTATATGTAAATATATATATTTTTCAGAAAAATTATGTATAATAAAATCATCCTGCGAAATTAACATTTATAATTGAAGTTTACAATTTAAAATATCAACAACAATTGTCCAAAAAAAATATTTAAAATTAATTATATATAAAAATTATTATATTTTTTATTTAAAAATAACCATTATATAATTAAATATGTTAATATAAAAATAAACAAAAGCTTTATATAAAATTATAAATACAAATATATATTTTTTTTATGAAAATTGTATCAAGCTTATTAACAACATCAAAATTATACTTTTAAACAAATTTAAAATAAATATGTAAATATATATAAATAAAATAATTCAAAATTTTTAATTAATACATATGCATTATTATCCTAAAAAAATATAAAAATTATCTTAAAAAATATATAAATATATATATAGAGAGATACAATGATGTGCAAGAAAAATTATAATAATTTATTTATAAAAAAATACTCACCTTATTTAATTATTGAAATTATTTTCAAATTACAAATGAGTGCTCAATGAACAACTTTCAATGTCTATACTACAAGTTTTCTAGGAAAAATTTAAATTAACTTTATAAATACAAAAATCTTAAATAGCAAACGACAAAAAAAATAAAAATAAAAATAAAAATATAATAAAAAATGAAAGACAATTTAAAAATAAATATAATTAAAATAAATGTAATACTAAACAAATAAATTATAACAAAGAGAAATTGAACTCAATCCAAAAGAATAAAATAGAAAAAAAAGAAATAAATAAAAAATAAAATTGAAAAAAAATAAAATTGCAAACATGTATATATATAATTAACAACATACCCTCGTATCATAACAAAGTATTTATTTTTTTATTTTAATATTCATTTTTTTTAACTGTACTATCTCCTGACATTAAAAATATCTTTATAATATATTACATGAATATCATTATTTTTATATCACACGTATTATAAAAAGCAAATTGACGGTTCTTTTTGGACGGAGGGGTATAGGTAAACAGAGCTACACTTGTTATTGGATTGGCTTATTTCATTAGTCTCTAAAAGAGAGTTGGATATAAAAACATTTTTAAAACGGCTGTAAAAATTGAAAAGCCCGACCCGGTCCGGACCGGACCCGAAAGGGGAAAAACGCTGCTGGTGCTGGGTTGCCTCCAAAACCCTCTGCAAAACCCCTCACCAGTTTTCTTTCCTACTCGAGTGTGCCTGAATGTTGTTCTCCAGTGATAATCGGACTTGGATTCCTCTCTTCTGAGCAAGCGGACGGGACTGTACGGGAAAGGAGACTGGAATCGCCAGAATGGCTTCAAGAGTCACTTCAAGAGACGTTCAGGAGATCGTCTCCAAGCTTTCTTCCGAGAAGGCCAAGGCTCGTGATGTAAACATTTTTATCTTTGGACTACTTAATTCGGTGCTTCTTCTTTATTGTTTTGGATTAATCTTTCAGTGGCGGAAGCCTTTCGATGTTTGTTCTAACCCGCAAGTTGTAATCTGCTTTAAATATTTCAGTTTCTTATTTTTGTCAATCGGTATAAGTTTATGAGATGTTAGTATGGAAGATTTTTTAAAAAGAAATCGGAATGCTTGTTTCGTACTCACTATTTCTTTCTACCTCATGTTGCTGGGAAAGCCGGATTACTGCAGTATTTTACTTTTACACTTCTGTTTTGGTTAGCTGAGGCAAATTGCCATTTTGTCATTCTTTGAAATGGATTTTGAAACAAAACTAATAATTCTTACGACTATCCATTGTTGTAATATAAAAATTATTGTAATACAAAAATAATGAGTCTGTAATATATTAGTTTTTTTTTGGAGAAATGTGTTGGTTTGTATTGACAAAAAGAACACACCATAAATGTTCTATATTTGAGAAAATAACTTGCAATTTCTATTTGATTGCTCAGAGTTCTCTTACATTTAATAATACTATAATGGTGGACATATTTCAATTTTACAGGCATCAGCATTGGTTACTTTATATAATAGAAACATCAATGTTCACTATCTTTCTTTTATTTTTCCAGGAAGGGATTAAATTGTTGCAGACATGGCTAGAAGGCGAGAGATCGTTTGGATTTTGTAGATATTTATCCGAGAAATCTTCAGTGCTTAAAGCTAATGAAATTCCACATTGTAAGCAGATTTTCAATGTGATTTTTAAGTTTTATATTCTTTATATATTATTTAGGTGATCACTAATCTGTCTGCAGCTGAGACTTGGGCTTTTCTTGTCAAAATTTTAATACAATGCTTGAAGCTGGAGATTTCCTCAAGCAAGAAGCGATTACCGAAGCTAATTTTTGCCAAGACCTTTCGGATTGTTGTTCAACGAGCTCAGGTTGATAGGTCATCAGGTTGGTGTTTGAAGTTATTGTTTAAGGACACAAGTAGCATTTCTAAAGGCTTGTAGTTTGCTATATATGTATATGTATTATATTTGCTCACTCACTAAAGTAACATGCGTACACATATTAATGTTATCTTTGGTACTGGAGTTTTTCAAATGTTCTTGTGGTAGTTATTTATTGTTATAGATTTATAGTAAAATAATAAGTCTAGTAAATCCATTTTATCTCTTGGCTTGTTATTATCTCTAATGTTGCAATGGAATTGGTTTTGATAATATTTACTGATTTTTGATATTTTTTTCTTCAACCTGATATATGTATATATATATATGTATACTTAGGAAATATTCACATCTACTTTGTAATCTGATCTAATATTACTTGAAGCATGAAGGATAATACTGGAATGTGCTCATACTTTTGTTCTTAACATATATATATATATATATTATATTTTAATGAGATTTTTCTGTCTAGGCAATAGTTTGCCTCTCGCACCTGTGGCTAGGTTTCTCTTCAATCATCTGTGGGATGTCCTCAAGGATGTTCCGAGCTTTCAATCTGAGTATGGTGTTATCCTGAGGCATCTTTTGGCTGTCCCAGATTACAGATTCCACATGCGGAGACGAGTTTATTCGAGTGAGTATATCGCCTCCCAATTCCATCTTGTAAATGTAACTCTCTAAATGGTAGAAATATTCTAAATGTCCTTCAACAATGTTAGATCTTGTTATCCTATACATGGAAAAGGTGGAAACAAGCTTTAGTGCAGAAATCATTGGCCAATCAAATCCTAAAGAAGAGGTATTCCGTCATACCTTAACATTTCAGTCTCTTCTTGAAAATCCACCTGGAGATATCCCCAATGAACTCCGAGAAGATATGATTATGGGTTTTATTAAAATTTTTTCACATGTAAGGTAAGGAGTACCTGCTTTTCCTTGCTTTACTTCCATTATATATTTAGGTCGTTAGTAAACACCTGCAAGGATTTAATCATTACATTTAACCACTTTTCGATCAGGGATGAAGGGAAAATATCTAGGAAGCTTATTGAGTGTATCAACACATACTTATTGAAGGATGGGCCAAATTTGGGTTCTAAATCATTGGAACTTCATGAAGCAGTACATCGATTTGTATTTCGCTGCTGGTTTGCAACTCATGATCGAACTCTAAAGGTGTCAAGTCTAGCTGTATTATTTTTCATGACTTAATGCTGGAATTGTTAACATTTCCTAATTTTACCACCTTAGTAGGATGCGCTTGTTTTATATGCGAGGTTGCAACTAAGTCTAACTCGGGGTTTGGCCGATGGGTCTACTTTGCTTAAACAACTTTTGGATGTTGTTGTTAAAGAGCTTGATCTGATGAGTTCATCTAGCTTGAACATAACGAGGTTAAAATTGTTTCTGGCTCATGCGTTCTTGCTGTTATAATGATTTGTGTTGTAAATCTTGTGATGTATTTTGATGTTTTGCAATCAGGAGTGATTTAGTAAGAGATGAAAATATACTAACTAGCTCACAACTGAGAATGGTGGAGCTTGCAGCCTTTGTCTTTTGCCGGGTAATTATTTTAGTAACTTGTGCTTTTGGACCTCTATAGTTTTGATTTTTATTTTTAATTGCATTCATACTCTTTAATCACGACGTTGCACTTCTAAGCCAGATGCTATTTTACATGCATAATTTGAAGATTGACTTTTTAGTTGTACATTGAAATTCTAAGCAAGGGTAATATAGGTTAATTAATATCATTTGTGAGATTATATTTTTGACTTTCCAGGCATGCTCAAATTCATCAAAAGTGCCAACTGATGAAAAACGAGCTAGACAGGAGCATGCTTCTATCCAGATAAAAGAGCGTCTCGTTGAAGGAAAATGGGCATGGTAGGTGAAAATAGAAGTATAGGTTTTTAAACATCATAGGTTTAGGAAATACAATTGAAGGTTAAAGCTGCCATTATTTAATGTTACTGTATTGCATGATCTCTTCAATTGTTTTTACTTGCCACTTTATCTACACAATGCCTCACTCTGGGTTTATATCTTATATTAAAGTACCTGAAAATTGATGTGCAAAATATATGACAAAAGCATACAAGACTGTCAAATAGATGTGTTGAACATGTAAAAACTTGCGACTTTTTCTTGGGGCAGGCATGCTGCAGTTTGTTGTCTTACTCGCAGTTACTCTACTCGTATGAAGAAGGATCTCTTTGTGTATTGGTTTGAAAGCATATCTATCAACTTTGAAAGGTAACCTTTGTAGGGTTTCTGCCAAGGATGTTTTTATGTTTTTGTGTGTGTGTGTGTGCACACGCGTGTGTGTGTGGTGTTTTAATTATTTTTCAGGGGGATTAATTTGGTTGTTCTCTTTTAACCACCAGCATCCGACCTCTTATCCTTTGACAAATCCATGCCTGATGAAATTAAAGAAGAGCTTGTGATTTTCTTTCCAATATGATAACCTGTTTCGCATGTTTGGATCTTAACCTTTTGGTCTCATTGTGGGCAGTAGATGCACATTCGTCTCTACAATGTTGTTTGCTTAGATTTGATTAAAGGATTGTGAATAACATGGGCCCACCAACCCCACAATGTTCTTTTGCGGTCTCTTCTCTCTCTCTCTGCACTGTTCTGCTTGCTGAAACATACAAGTTCACTTGTTTTTCTCAAACTTTACTGCTCATTTTTGGTAGTTAGTGTAATAGAGATATGTTTTTTACTTTTTATTTTTTGTGTTAAATTTTGTTTCTTGTGTTGCACTTTGTATTGGTTCCTTGGATTTTAATAGAATTACTGTTCTTTGCAGAATGATTAACAATGTGAAATTGGACTGTTTTGATGGTCTTTTTTGGACTTTACGGTAAGATGCTGCTTCTAAATGGTGTATTATGCATGGGTGGATTGTAGTGTGTACTTTGGGGTACTTCTGTCGATCCATGTTGCAGACAATTTTTTTTTTTTAATTTGTATTTGCCTTCAAATGTATGCATCCTTGTATCTACTTCTCATACCCAGTGAGCTACATTTGAAGGAGCCTGCTCAGACTTTCTATGCTGTTGCCTCATGCTGCTCATATTTCAGATTCCTCAACAAAGTATCCTTCCACAAGGAATAAGGTATCCTTGTTTGCTTAAACTTAATTTATTTGTATTTAATACATCTTAGGATAGACATGTGATTTCAGGTTATATACCTATTAGGATAGATTGGTTATAAATTAAGCTGCTTTTAATATCCCTTCTGAAATTGGTACCCTTCTTTGTTACTTTTGTTAACTTGGGCTTTGAAGTTGTAAGGCTCTGTTGGCAATCATTGACAGTCATCTTATATTGATGAAATCTTGACCTTATCAACATAGGTTTTTTCGTAATATCCTCTACATTGCAACTTTTTCCAGAAACTAATAAACTAAGTTAAGCCCCCAATTACATTTACGGAGGTACATTTGTTCTCTGGACTGCGCGAGTATATTTTGGAACTTGTTATAGCTAAATAAAAAAGAGTAACTAGATTACAATTTATAGCTTTCCTAATTGTGTAATGCAACTTTCAGTTATATGATCTAATACGGAAAAAATTGTTGCAGGTTGAGAAAGGTTGGCATGTGATATGGAGCTGCCTTGTACGCAGTTTGCCTGCACTTGTCAATATTACCCCAATTGTAAGTATTACTTCAAGTGAGTAATTAGGTATTACCCAATCACTTCACTGATATGTAGACATAACTTTATAAATTATGTGACTATACCATGCCTATTCTGCCCTTTTCTCTGTAAACTTGTTTTGTTGCCAAAAAAAGAAAAAAAAAAAAAACGAAATTAGCATTCTAACATTGCTGCAAATAAATGTCTTTCTATCCAGTTTTAGCATCTATTAACATTTGCATTCCATGTTATCTATTGTATCATTTGTTTAACTTAATGCCAATTATAAGGTGCTTGGACTAAATCATATTAATAGAAAAAATATTATATTGATTACAGCTGTTTAATTTAGAGTGGTTGATGGGGGAAAAAATTGAGCTTGAGTTGAGGATTTGTTTAGACAACTAATCTGGCCCCTATAGTTTGTTAAGAACTCTTTTTTTGGTCACAATCAATTCAAATTTAAATCTGTTAAAAAATATTCAAAGATGGCCTTAATTGACTACTATAATAATGGATGATGTGAAAAATTTCAACAATATAGATGGTAATGTATCTTAATATTAGATAAAATTCCTAAAGTAGCATTCTGGTTAGTTGCTTTAAGGTGTCACCAACTCCAATTTTTGTTTGCCTTCTGTTGTAATTACATATGGAGGTTATTGTATAACTAATTACTTATCAACATTGAGTGTTAATAACTAGTCTGATTTGAAGTGCTTAAGTTTTTTTTTTTTTTTTTTTTTTTTGTCATAAGATTTTTTCTTCAGTAATTATTGATTTGGCCTTGTAATTCCCCTCTAGAAAGTGCAGCCATCACTAGATCTTCTATTCACCTATGCAGGTTGATGCTGCTTTGGTGCTTCTTTGCAACATAATGTTGTGTGTAAGACCGTCGTAATTAGAATACCCTTAATCATTTTTATTACTGACCCTTTTTATGCAAGTAATGAGTTTGTGCTCTAGTATGGGAATCACTGTAACTTAGTTCTCACTGAATGTTTTTCAGGACACAAAAGATTCCTATTTTGTTTCAACTGAGATATGGGATCTTCCAGTTTTTAAACGCTTGCCTTCCATGTGAGTGAACCATTTACCTCAATGCTTGGCAATTCGCATGCAGTCAATGGCTAGTTTTGATTAATGTTGATTGGTTATGTACGTATATTGGCATATCTCTTTTTAGCTGTTCTTGTCTTCTTCTAACAATTATATTTGTACCTAGTATATTTTTGGAGACTTTGGTAATCAACTTTTTGTACAAATGATCTTTTCTTGAAATAATATACCCAGCTTGATAAAGGTTTTTATTAGATTAATAAATTTTCCAACAAGCCTGTCTGGCTTGTTTCTTAATTTTTATAGTATTTTGCAAAGAGGATGTTCTCAGGTGTGCTTGTGTTAAGATAACATCTGGATATTACAAATATGATTTGGTCTAATACGATAAATGCTATAAAATCTATTCAAGTTTCAACATGTAGTTAAAATGATAGCGCCTGCAAGATGTCATTTTTACTGTACTAATTTAGCGTCGAGTCTCCCTCTGTGCCAGCCCATAGTGCAGTTGCTGTGCTCCTGTAGATTTTCTGTTTGCTGTTCTTTTTGAGTGCATAAGCTTTCTATTTTCTAACCAATCTGTATTCTGTTAACTATTGTAATATGACTTACACATGTTTTATAGAGGATCTTCACATATTTACTTGTCTCTAATGTGTGTACATTACAGATCCATTTTATGCTTCGTCTCGTGCTACTTTTCAAGGAGAGTTTCACAAGTAACACTCTCAAGCCTCCCTACTCTTTTATGCAACCTAACTGTGAAACTCTGCTATACGACTTGTGCATTTCTCTCACTATATATTTCTTATTAGAACATGAAAAAATTCCCCATCTAGGTCAGATATCTTTATTGAATTTTGGGATTTTACTCTTTCTTATTGTCATTAGTCTTGTTGCAAGGCTAATGGTTAAAGTTGATGCACAGTGTCTCACTATTGCCCTAGTGTGAACATATTTTGTTGGAAATAGGAGATATTGCTTTCTGTTACAAATAGAGTAGTGGGGATAAAATTAAAATCTCTAGCCTAATTGATATAAACTCCACAGTCCACTCCACTAGATCTGGACACGATTGCAATCTAAACTTGTTATATTAATGTGATACTTCCTAGACTCATCAATGCTTACTGATAAAAAGGATACCATTTCGATAATGAAATGAACCCAAATATGGGTGGGATACGTTGAGTGAAGAAATGACTGATGATCTACAAAGAAAGCAAGCTACATCAGGAATACAACAACCTTTGTTAGAAGGGACTCAAACTGGGAGGTCACTGCGAAAAATCATCCAAACGATGATTCTAACTTTAAGCGTTGCATTAAGAGATCAAATAGCTTGTCTAGGAGGCCAGGGTTGGTGGAGATTTGAGTTGAAATCCAACGTAAGGAGTATGAAAGGACTCCATTCAAAACATGCCTCCAAATGAGTCTATATCGTTGTGAGATAAAGTGGGGGATTGAATTACCTCAAGGAACGATTCCCAAATCTGAACCTTCTGGTCAAAAGGATATCTGCAAAGTTAGATATCCCATTTTCATACTCTGTTCTCCATAGCGAAAATCTTTAATGAAACCTGACTTCGAGCAAGTGACCACATATTTCTGACCAAATTATGAGGAAGGTATTTGTGCTAAACAGTTTGCTAGATTTGGGAGTATGTTGTTTTTGGCATGGAGGAAATGGATTCAAGGTTTGATCAAGGAAGGTTTGTCCAATGGCACACTTTTGTAGCAGTAAGTTGCAGTCTCCATCTGGCTCTAAAGAGAGGGACAAGGCAATGTCATGATAAGGAGGGTCTGTTACACCTAGGGGCAATGTCATGATTGGAAGGAGGGTTCTGCCAATTTGAAAAATTGTCAGACAATCCAGCTTCATGTTTTGAAAGAAGCCGTCCAATTCATTTTCCGACCGAGATATGTGGTGAAAAGTAATGTTGGGATGTCTAGAATTGTAGAGGTGGAGGCTATTGAAGTTCACATCATGCTTCCAAGGAGGAGTAATGCCATAAATCCAGCCTAGTGCATTTTCTTCAGTAATGCTCAACATAAATCTGTGGTAATGGCCATGCTGGTTAAGGATCCTTAATCATGGACGTGAGAGATAACCCTGCTGTATTTGAATTTTCTATCCTAGTATGTTTTGAAAGGATTAAGATATTTTGCTGAAAAGATCTCTGATACCAGTAGATCCTAGTTTACTGAACACTGAACTATTTTCAGTTGATTTCCTTGGTTCTTGAAAGTTATGTTCCTGCATTTGTCTTAAATATGGATTGGTTACACCTACACATTGCATTTAATTATGGATGAACATTTTCACTTGGACGAGTGGTTCCTAACGAGTATTTTAAGTTTATGGTTTACTTTTCAAATTGTAGGGAGATCCTAGAGATGCTCTACTTCTCAGACGGAACATGTTGAGAACAAGTTTGGATTTTCTGAATTCAAAGGTTTGTTCTGGATGATCCGATAATTATGATCTGTTGTCTTTTTGTCAACTTATTATTATTATGATCATTGTCATCACCATTATTATTATTATTATTATTATTATTATTATTATTATTATTATTATTATTATTGTTATTGTTATTGTTATTGTTATTATTATTGTTGTTGAAAAATGTTGTGGTACGAGACCCTAAATGCTGTACCAAGATTTTCTGTTTACTAGAATATGCTTCATAATGCAAATTTGTATTTCCTTAATATTGGCATATTCCACATCCTTTCATTTTAGTTTGTTTCCTTTCCTTGTTTTAAGTGTTAATTATGCTATATTTTCATGTAGGAATCCTTTCCATTGAAGGAGCAATTACTAGCTGCAGTACCAGCAACTGCATATTCCCTCTGTGTTGGTTCTGCTCCTTTAATAACTGAGACTCAAGGATTTTTACCAATATATGTATTGGAGGCAATGGAGGAAGGGACAAAGGTACATTTGTGAAAAGACTTCTAAATGTTCTGACCTCTCTATCTCCATTATTAAATTAGTGCCACATTTAGTTTGTCATTGAATTCTATGGAATCTAGGAAGTGGAGCAGTCATATGAAAAGCTGTACGAGTTTTTTGATTGTTCGGTTGAAGTTCTTGCAAAGTTTGAGAATGATTCTTGTCCAAAGGTGCTGTATCTTTTTGCTTAATCCTTTTATTTATGTCCTTTTTCTTGGAATAACCTTAGTTTTGCACTATTTTCCTGTGTCTCTGATATCAACAAAATTATACTCAGATCAACTTTGTTGAGAACAAGCAAATACGTCTCCCCCGGAAACTAAGGGATCAGCTAGCTGATGAGTTGGAAAATTCTGTTCTTGAATGTATAAAGGATAAGAATGTTAATCACTTGCTCATCTCAGAAGTCATCAATATGTGTGCTCTCATATCTCATTTCATGTACTGGTCATACTCAACAAGGTCAGTCTCTATGCTCCTCATGACTCTTCTTATTTTCTCCCATATAAAAATTGTCTTTTAAATTGCCATCTTTCTTTAGCAAATTTTTTTGTAAGAGTTCGTGGTTTCTTTCACAGCAGTTTGCTCAAAACTTGATTAGATAAATGCTCATTTAATTTTCCATTTTCTTTTGTTTCATTTTCTGTTTGCCAGATTTTTGCAATTATTGTTCCACTTGTTCTGTTAAAAAGTAAGACTACTATAACATTATATCACAATAATTATATGTTGTGCTTCCATGCTTTTTCGGATAAGTTTCTCTCTTTCTCTTTCTGTATATATATATATATATATCTCGGATCAGGTTGCGGCAGCAGCTTTTTTGTTTCTTTTGCTTTAGATAAAATGACACTTTGTGTCTGTGAATATATTCTTAATACACACATCTCTATATAAGCATTAATTAATAACACTATCATAGTTAAATTCTTTCTTTCATTCTAATCTAATTCTTTCTACATCAATGTTGTGTATATAGTCAAATTTCTTCCTCAAACTTTAGTATATATATATTTATCATGCCGAATTTGTTACAAACATGGTTGATTTGTATTCCATTTGGTGCCTTGGTGAATACATTTCCAAGTTATCTTTGGACTTTGTTGGTTGACTTCGTATGTAGATAATTAAATTAATGATGCATATCCCTAATAGTTTAAGCTTTTAGGTGAGGTGATCAGTCAAATCATCTAACATGGTATCAGAGTCATAGGTCTCGAGTTCGAGTCTCACCGTCCCCATCCGGCATATATCTTCGTGCCACGTGAAGGGGCATGTTAGTTGACTCCCATATGTACATAAAAAAAATTAATGATGTGCTACAACATCTTTCAAACAAACAATAGAATACATAATGTAAAACCAACATATTTCAAACACTAACAATCTTCCTTCTAATAGCAATATGTGAAATCATGTACAATAGTACAGAACTATTGTAGAAACTTCATAAGCATTAAGCACAAGAGAATAATTATGTGAAACACCTATAAGTCTTAAGAATATTCTTCTATCAAGGTTGTGAAAGACCCAAAAGGGGATGCTAGCTTCCCAACAAATTCTCTCTAACAAAACAAAACCTGAACGAGCAGAATTTCAGATTCAACTTTTCCCATAAACAACTGTGAATAAGAACAAGATTTTGGTAATCCAAGTGGAAGCTTTCAGTTTGGGCATAATCAATCATAGGGCAAAACGAATTGCTCAATCAGATTGACCAATTGCAATTTAAATTTAAATCCAAAGGGATATAAATAAATCAGAATCGAACCAACCAAACCAAATGAAACAATCCAAATCCAAACAAAGCGTAGCAAATCGTGGCACACGATGCGTCCGATGGTGGAGGTTGGGAGTTGCACTTTGGCGGACAGAAAAAGGCATACGGAATTTTGCCAAGTTTCTCTCCAGCAAATTGATGGCCACAGTTGGACTTTTGGTGGTGGTTAGTGCATACTTGGTCGGTTATGGGTTAGCTAGTCTACACGACATGGCGGTGCGGCGGAGACATCGGACTTAATCAAAGACATGAATGGGATGGTTACTGTTTACAACCAGAATTGATGCGCCAAATCCATACATGTACCCAAATACCATGATCCTACCCAGTTCCCCGGCCCAACCAACCGTGTTTCACGCCTGTGTGTGCAGAGATATTCCTATCCTAACTTTATTCTATATTCTATCCTAATTTAACTCTACATACACCAGTTTTTATGCATATAGTCGACAATGCAAATGCATTTTATTATTTTGTTCCTATTCATTTTGTGATGCACTTTATTTATTTATTTTTATATTTTTCAGAATCAGAGAGGACATCTCCCCTTTCTTTCTCAAATTGGGAGAATCCCTGTTGGACTTTCTGGAACATGCTGTGTCAGCTGTTGAGAAAACAGACAATGATACCATTTCTGGTTGTTTGGGCTTGAACTCGATTTTCAGTAACAGAGGATTGACAGTGGCTTCTTTTAAGAGCTTTATTCGCTCACCTCTCCTTAGCAAGTGGCAAGGTAAAGAAGATACTACTGCTGGATTATATGCTTGCATTGTTGAGTCTATGGAGAGACTTTTGAAAAGCCTGGCAAAGCTGTTTGAAGGATGTTCAGGATACAGGAAAAATCTTCACCCAAATATAGTCATTCCTGGTCAACTGGAGATCCGCTCCGTTGATGATGATGCCCCCCGAAATCACAGCAAAAACTTGCTTTCAGACATGGAGTTGGATTGGAGTAGTGGATCTAGTGATGCCAATGTTTTAAGCATTGATGATGATCCTGCTCCAGGAGTTTCCACTTCATTAGTAAACCAAAAACTTGATTTCTTATTAATGCTGTCAAGTTTTTTCTCAATTCTACCATCAGTAACATGGGAAGTGTTGTATAATCTTTTGGAAAAAGAGAGTGATCCAAAGGTACTTCATTTTCAAATAGTTCTCTTCCCAGATTTTGAAATGTTGCAACTATCATTTAAGGAGGTAAATAATTCATCAACTTTGATGTAAGAGCAGGTTTATGGAAATTTACTTTCTGCTCTCTGTCAACATCCTCATTGGTCTTCCAGCATCCAGCTATCAAATCTGGTATCTCCTTGTATTTGTAACTGCCAATCGATTTCACTCCGTGAGTACTTTAAAATAATGTGATTTACAGTTGATTACTCCCTTTGCAGGTCAAATCTTTAGCTGAATTTTTAAACATGGGGGACAATCTTAGGCTCCACTGTTCATATATTCTAGTTGGCATTTGTAGTTTGGTTGGAAGCCTTTTACTCTTCAATGAACGTGGGAAGCATGATATTGCTACTAAATCTTCAAGGGGAACAGTTTCTGAAGAGGTATGGTATGCATGTTTAAGCATGTCAGAATTGTTTAACTGGTGAGCTTTGAAATTTGTGTGCATATTTGAGTAGGAGGATGCCTTTAAGTGTTCTATGTCTGCAAGGAAGATTCCGATTGAGTTTAACTTCTCTAGTTTTGTTTTTTAGATGTTACTTGCAGGAGAGTAAACATGAACTCTATCATGATGTTTTTTTGGAAAAAGCAATCAACATATTGTAGTACATCATGGTGTTAGCCCTTTTCTGGTGACTGACTATACATAAGTAGAATGGAGAACAAGAGAATTTATGATTTTTATTGGTAAATACTAACCAACTAGTACATAACCATTTTAAGTAGTTTGCATATGCAATGAGGATTACCATGTTCAGAAAGCATGACGGTATTTGGTGAATTTGGTCTTGGAAAGGAATCATTATGACCACATTTTATGATTATACCAATTAACAATATAGTAACTGAGTTATTGTTGCTTAATCCATTGGCTTCAAATATTGAGCCTATTCCTCATTGTCTTGGCAGCATTATGTGAGGTTAAAATGACAAATAATAGAGGCTTTTTAACTTGTATTTTTATATGTTTTCATTTACTTTGATTAATCATTATATTGCAAATTGGTGTTTGTAACCCACGATTAAATATGCTTTCTCGATATAAATCTGTGTTTTCTCTAATTTTCTCATTGTTCTGTCAGTGCTTAATTTCTCTTGGAGATTTGATGAATAAAATCTTTGAGAATTGTATTTTGGATTGGTGTGATCGCTCTAAACTTGTGGACTGCATGTGTAATTTTGTCTCTCTCAGACCCCAAATTGCTCAGGTAATCTAGTGACTTTTTAATCAAGTATTAGTTATTGATGCCAAGTTTTGCTTATGCCTGTTTTTTGTAGCAGTCAATGATCGAGAAGCTATTTATACTACTCCGAGATCCTGATTATCGGGTTAGGTTTTGCCTAGCACGCCGGATTGGTGTCCTTTTCCAGACATGGGATGGCCATTTTGAGCTTTTTCAAGATATTTGGTAGGGAATATTTTATTTTAGTTTTTTACTCGATAACTGTGGGCATCCATAATAATGGTGGTGTTCAACATTAAATACTTGTTCACCACGTTAATTACTAATGGCAATACTTGTTAATTACTAATGGAAATACTTGTTTCAGAAAGACACATTAATAAGATTCTTTCAATGGCTGAATTAATATTTGGTCTCAGTTGATAATCCACATTCTGTGGATTGTGGTTTAGTCTTCTGTTTTGCTTTCAGTCTCCTTGTTCGAGTTGATATTGATTTAAATCATCATCGTCTTGTGCTGTATTCACAAGCATTTCATAAATAGTGTTAAGGATTGGAAGCAAAAATGTGTTGTAAATTGAGATATTGGCCTTCTTTGAGATTACATGGGTACATATAGATATTTATTGAAATGGATAGACCTAAATCACAAGATTATTGCGCTTATAGCACTAATCGTGCTAACTAGAATTCATAATATGTAACAAATTGTTATCTCATCCACAGCGTGAGATGAGTTATGTGCCTATTAAGCCTTTCTGGCATTGACACTGTTTTCGTAATAAGATTTGGAATTTTTTGTTTTTTTTATTGGCCTGATCCGACTACAATGGAGGTTTTGGTTTGAATTGGGAATCTGAAGGTTTGGTTCTGGTTGGGAGACCAAGTTTGTTTAAATGGTTTTACTTTGTGTCCATCTTTTGATGAAAGACCTATATGACATTTTATAGGCATAGGTTATCTAATATTCTTATACCTGAACTTAATTATAATAATTTTGAGATTATGTTATTTGCACAGAAAAAATAGATTTTGTGCCTTTCTAACCCTGCTAGACATATCTAGCCTTTTCACTTGAATCCAAAAATCATGTTGATTGTGTCATCATCTATACTCTAAATGTTCCACAGGAACGGACAAATAAATAATAATAATATGAGAATAGATTTAATTTCCTTAAAAATGTAGGTTCTGAAAAGAAGATTATATGTTCTGCATTTTCTTGGACCATTTATCTACTATGTGACATGCATACGTTATTGACTGACTGAGACTGGAGTTAAGAGAGTTCTGCCTTTGTTACCTTGATAAAAGACCAGGTTTTTGTTTGTTGGGAACTTCTTCTTATGCCCTGTTAAATGATGGTTTTAAAGAAAACGTTTCTTTGTGTTTCTGGAGAAGTGACCTGTTTAGAAAAGTATAAGGTTTTAATAGATGATTTATCATTAGGTCTAGTAACAATTTTCCAAGTGAGTTATTTGCAGACTGGCTAAGTTTAGGAATCAATTTCAATGAGTAAGTTTTAGCCTAGACGTCCTGGATGTAAATTAATGTATATTCAGCCTGTATATGATTTTTTTGGTGTCTTTGATGTATCACAAGCTCCTTGCAACCTGCAAAGATAATTTGACAAGGAGGTGTATACTGTATATTTATATATAAATTAACTTCTCCAACAGGGAGGATGCAATTATCTGTTCATTGAAGCTAGCACTCCAAACTGATGGATGTTTATGAAAAGTTGTAACCATATCTATACTACCTATGACCTTTCATGCTCTGATGATTCATTGCTCTTGTTAAGACTTACGGTTCCACTGCATGTTATTCTCAGCAGTTGTTGCGTTGATTTTTGCCTCTTCAAACACATAATCATAATATCTTTTTTCAGTTCAAATTTTGGTGTGAAGTTAGTTGTTTACTCGATGGAAAAAGTTGTCAGAGCTCAGGAAGTTTTAGCTGCTGGTCCCCAACCTAGCCCAATCATGGAAACTGCTATAGTAACTCTGATGCATCTTGCACTGCACAGTGAAAAGATAGAGTTACAGGTACTTACAATTCCTTTTGTTTATTATTTAAAACTTATTTGGGGGAAAACTTGCCCATGATGGACACCATGGCATTCAACATAGGTATGAAAGTAACACCCTATATTATATGCACTTAGGTTTGTTTGGTTGTGGTTTGAACTTGATTTGAAATGGAGTTTTGATTTGAGTTTTTGTTTTAAATAGTATTTTGATGTGATGTTTTGTTAGAGAAAATAGTGTATTTTTATTGAAAATTTTGCAGATGATTAGTGTTTATTTCAGTTTGAAATTACAAAAGATCAAACGTGCGTTAATATTATTTATAATGTGCATTACTAATAATATATTACTACAGAGTGAGGTACAAGGACGGATTAAAATTTGTGTCTGTACCATTGAACTAAGGATAAGTTGTCTTGTGCTTTCAAAATGAGGGTGTGGGTAGCTACTGTTTGTTGCTGTGAAGCTTGTAAATTTGCGAACCATTTCGTTTGCCCATGTGTAAGATTTATTTAGAATAAATGAAAAAACACCGTACTATATGTGAAGTATTATAGTTGCGGCTGGTTTGTAAGGGTCTCAACTTTGTCTATATAAGTTTGCATTCGACTTCTGAAAAAACCAGCTAGACCCCAAGCCTGTGATTTATGACTTTAAAAGTTTGCGTTACGTTATCTACTTTCTAAACCACAATATTTTAAGCTTCTGCGGAAGTTACTTATATCATGTGACTAATTTATGCTGATTAAGTATAATTCTGTTGATGTACTTTATTAATTATTTTGACCATCCTAAAATATTGGATTTCAATCAACAGTTTTTTTTTTTTTTTTCAATCAACAGTTTCTTGTTAATGCTGTTAGTGTTATCACGTGAGAGCATTTATTATACACCTGCTGGCACACATAGGGAGCTACTTTAATTTTACATTTTTTTATATATTGCATTTCATTGCAGTTACTCCATGCATGAGTTAGGCATTGCACACTCTTGTTTAGATATGTCTATATCCTCCTATGATTATTTAAATGGGTTGAGTAAACCTTGTCATGCGAGATTTGCATTAGAAGATACAAATTAAATGTCTAAGCTGATCTTTTTTTTCTTTATTTTAAATGTGTCTTTCTCAAGTTATGTTATGATGTTAATGCTGTAGATCTATCAGTTTTCAAGTAGAGTAATCTAATTAACCTTTTCATGTATAGGCTGTTTTTGCAATTTGTGTTGTTGCTGCAATTGAGCCCTCACAAAGGTGAATATATAGCTAATTTTTTAACTTTTCATAATTCTGCCTGCCTATTTGATTTAATTTTATTTATTTATTTATTTTTTTCAGGGAATTGATTTGTTGTGCCCTTGATAGTTTATCTTCAAAACTGCAGTACATGAATAGGGCAAAGGTATTTTGTCTTGATTTTAAATATTGCATTATTTTCAATTAATCTAAAGCCTCTAAGTTCAATTTTTTGCTGTTTTCGTACTTCCATTTTTCCCAGTATATGGAAGAACTCATGGGACGCATAATCTTTTGTTGGGTTGCATGTAGTGTAAGCCTAGTTTCCCTTGTTGAGGTAATAAGTGATTTTATTGAGTTAATGCTATAATGTGTATATGGTGTTACAAAAGCCTTTTTTATTCTTTTGTCTGTCTTCAGACTAGAGATCTTTATGTGGCAAATATCGAACCGAAAAACTTCATTCAATATTGTTGCCAGTGGCTCCTTCCTGCTTTGGTCTTGGAGGAAGAAGCTTCAAGCATAAAGTGGATTGCTAAGGTACTACACATGTCTGAGTTGAGCTTTTTTTGTAATTTTCAATTTCATCTTTTCTTGTTTCTTTCAAGTTTTGAATTGTTGGCTTCTTGTGCTATTTGGACTAATCATTCCAGTTTTTAAATCTCCATGTACATTTTTATATATTGCTTGTAAATACTATGTGAAGATTTTTAATTAATTTTCATGACATCTTTCTCTTTGAAATGAATGAATAGTTAAATCTATTCACCGAGAACATGCTGTGATTTTTCTAAATGATTAGCAATCCTATATTTCTCTCTAAGAAAGAAAGGGCTTGTTCAAATGATTTTTTTCTCATTTCTTTTTAATATTCATTTTCTTAATTTCCCTCCAATAGCAACACATTCAATACCCATTTTCTATATAAAACATCCCATCTAACAACTATATTTTACCTCAAAAACATTAAAACAAAAGACAGATACACCCACAGAAAACATATATACATATATATATATATATATAGAAGAAAGAAAATCCCCAAGTTAACAAACCTACCAAGAAAAAGACTTTTTTTTACACTAGTGTAACATTATTTAAAACTTTATTTTTGTTTTCATCATATAGTTTTTAATCGCGGTATTAAATTTTAAGTTAATATTATATATAAACACATTGACTTGGTATTTGAATTAGCTTGGTTTACAGTGATAACATTTGTTGTTACACAGATTGCTTGCCAGCCTTATGCTGATTTATGTAGAGATTATTTTGTGCACATCTTTTCTATCTGTATGGCCTTACACTGCGACAAGAAAGCTATGCAGCACAAGGGATCCAGGGCACTAGAAACTTCTATTCTAAAGTTTGCTGATATATCTGAGCATGAAAGAGATGAACTAATTAAAAAGCGAATGGTAAGTTCCACAATTTTACTAATAGTACCTTCTGTAATTTCACAAAGTTGTGAAATGACTTTGTTTATTGAAATTTAAAATAAGATCTATTTTCTTTCAAACTTTTAGTATATTTGAATTATAAGAAACTTTGAGTTGTTTTCTTAGTCGCTTTTCTTGCATGCAGGTTTCTATTGTAAATCACACTTTATCTTTAGCTTCCAATGTTATTGATCCTCCATCTCCATATTTCTCCAAGGATACAATTACATCAGCAATACAAAACGTTGTTGATGGGTTCTTGGATAGGTACTACCTACCTTCTTTTAGTTTTCCAAACTATATTCCTATCACTACTGCATGGTATACTTCTAACTTTTCCTGGTTGTGCCAGTGATGATCCTCCTGATAGCTGCGCCCTTGTGGACAAGATTAATATTTTTAGAGCTGACAGAGTATTTATGGTGATATTTCTTATTTTTTTATAACAACATATTAGGATATTGCAAGCATCATGATTCTATAAATTACTGTATAAGCATTGCTGAATTCTCATCTATTGAATGCTTGGCATCTTTATTATGCAGTTTATAGTTGATATACATTACAAAGTTACCTCTGCGGCTCATCCCCGGCATAAATCTAATCATTTAGCTGCCATTGAGTTGCTTGTCAATCTACTTGGATATCGAGCTGCTATTCCTAGTACCTTCAAGTGAGTATTAATTACGAACCTCTAAATCTAGAACTTTAGGACACTGGTCGCTGCTTGACTGGAAGATTTCTCACATTAGAGATCTCTTATTTGAAAATTTAAAGAGAGTTGGTTCCTTACCTTTGTTTGAATTATCAACCCAATTATTTGTTATTAGAATTCATATTATGCCTGGTTCCTTCCACTATGATCATTAATCCTTTTAAGTTTTAGCCAGAATGCTATAACGGACATAATCCCCAAATCTAGTTGAAAGATTTAATGTGACATTTATAGTTATACTTTCCTGACTTTATTTCCCCCTTGTGTCAAGCAGTTACCTTTTGAATTTGATTTGTCAACTCATTGATTGCCATCCTTTAATGGATCAATGCTGTTGTATCATTTCCACATTATTGAAGATATCAAGGGAAAACCCATCAATGGAGACTACACGAGCATTGGGTGAACAGCTTCAGGTGAGAGCATATTTTCTTCCCTTTTTTCTTGTTTCAACAAAACTTCTACATATTCCCCAGAGCTTTAGGTGAACAAGGTCAGGTGAAAACATATTTTACTCCCTTTTTTTCTGTTTCAACCAAACCTTTACATATACCCCAATGCTTTGGTACTCAGTTCTTAGTGTCAAAGTTGGTTGCATGCTGCACTGCTTCTGAATCTTCAGAAATTCTCTCTGCCACTGCATCTTCTCAAGTAGTATTGTTGCTGCAACAATTAACAACTGGATCTGATTCATCTCTGTATGAATACATTCAGGTACGATTTATTGTATTGTCTACAATCATAATGTTCTTCTGATACTTGACATAAAGTCCTGATCTTTCCAACCTCATGTATTGGTGTGTTCAACTTTCCTCAATTTTGATTGCACTTGTTTCTGATCATTTGTCAACATGTGACAGGAGCTAGAGCCCTTACCTGAACTTGATATATTTAATGACTTGAGAAGCTTCCACCAGAAAATATGTAAAACATACTCACCAAAAGCTCACTTACTAAGTGTAAGCAAAAAGGTTCCATCAAGTTCAATTTGGTGATTGCCCATTAAATTGTAATATTCTTTCCTCGACTTCTTACCATTGGCTCTGATTTTGTCTTTTCCAGTTTGTGAAGAGATCTCAATATGTACCCCCGAGATTACTTCTTTGCACGTACTTTCTCTCCCTTTTTCCTTTTTTCCTGCCAATCTTTCAAGTAGGCGCTTCTTGCACTGCCATTGGAAATTGCTTGGAAAATCTTTTTTCTACTCTTGTAGTGTTGTTTCTAGTTGTATTTTTCTTTTCTTTCTGATTCATGTCTGTGGATGAAATGAAGTTTATGTGGCACATACACACGCTTATTGTCACAGATAATCAAAAGGAAAACTTCATTCAAATTTATATCTTTCATATTAGATGGCATAAAACCTTTGTACATCGTTTGACTTGCAGTCTGAAAGCATTGCATGCAAGGATGTTCACAAAGGGGAAGCATCTAGGAAAGGTGCCTGATCAGAAATTTCTCAATGATGAAAATTGGCATTCAGATAATGAAATTGTTCAGGCTACTTGGGGTCTTATTCGTATCTGCAGCTTGGACAACACAGATCATTTAGGGGCTTTGATCTCTGATTTTATATCTAGGGTATTAGAGAAATTATCTCGTTATTTCATTGTTGCTTTTCACAATTGCATCAGAAGTTTGTTTAATATTTTTTAATATTTATATACAGGTTGGGATTAGTGATCCCCATCGTGTTGTTTTTCATCTTCCTGGGAGCAAGGCTGCCAGTGCTGCAGATTCGCACACACATTTGGTTTCTGGAATATCCAATGAAGTTCTTGCTGTTCTTATGAGGCTTTTAAAGAAATATTTAATGGATGATTCGGTTGACTTGATTGACATGGCCTCACAAGCTTTACGGGTGAGTTGGTTTATTTACCTTTAATTGCCTTATGCTGTTGCTTCATCTCTTATGCTTGTCCAGTTCTTACTGTCAATGGTCTGCAGTTTCCCAACACAAGTCACTGAGGAAAGTTTAGTTCATGCCATATATTTTTCGCTACCTTCATATTGAGTTATTGATGATTTTGTAGAAAGCAAATGTTCAAATATTCATTTATGAAATAACTACCTTCCTCCAACAAAAACCATATCACCGTAATTCTTTCAGATTCTCCTCCGTCCTGTCAACATAAAGGGTCTTGACCACCACATGCAATGCACAATCAATTAGCAGCATAAATTACTTGTCTGTAGACATTACTGCTGAGGCAATATTTGTGAGCTTTTCTGAAAATAGTGCGGTGGTGTGCTTTTGTGGAATTTTAATGAGCATTCAGTTTATAGTTAGTAGTTTTATTTTAGGATTTTTGGAGCTTTTTCAATAGTAAATTTAACTAAATAAACACTCACTTGAATTCCTACATGAAGATCAACTCTGATATCAACAAGCTACACCCTAAAATCTTCAATTTCCCCTACATTCTTGTCTGTCACATCTCTCGTAGTGCAAACAGGCTTGCAGACTTCTTTGCAATACATGGGGCAGGAGAAAATGCAACTCTCTCAATTTGGCTGTAAATCTAGACCAGTTTTTGGCCTGTGATTCTGCTCCCCTATCTATTATCTATCCCCTTGGCTCCTTTAGCTGTAACAGTTTATCTCTTACTCTTAACTAAACTACTAGCTTTCTTTTCAAAAAAGAAATAATAATAATAATAATAATTAATAATGATAATAATAATAAATAAGTTATAATAATAACTATGATAAGTATTTAGATCATGCCAAAAGTATTATTGTATCTTTTCTATTGTGGAATATGGCTATGCCAACAACATATGAGTGAAGTATGTTGATTTTTTATTGGGATTATGTGTTAATTTGGTTTCTTGTAAATAACATCAACTTGTATTTCATCTTCAACTGAACAGGGAATTCTTTCAACTGAGAAGGGTCAACAATCTTTGCTACAGTTGGATTCCTACGAAAGGTCCCTCATTGAGGTTAGTGCTTTTCTGGCCCCATTAATTCAATTGTGTGTCCAACTCTCTGCTCTATGAAATGGAAAAGTACACTGTATTAAACTGAACTTTTGTGATGGTTAGTACTTAGTATGAAATGCAATTATTCTTTTTAAGTTTTGAGTTCTATTTAATTTGAGGTTATATCATGCTAGCTGTCCAAACATATATATAAGCTTATGGAATGTGAAGTGCTTCCGTTTTGAGCATAGATTTGTAGAGATTTTGCTCCGCTTCCCTGCATTTTCCATTAACTACTACGGTGAAAGTTAAGATAGCTAATGTACTATTTTGCTCAGTTATCAGATTTTTCTAACAGACAAGGCTTAGTAGTCTTGATCTTCAGATATACAAGTGAAAGCTTAATATGACAATTTGTTGCAAAGGAATGATCATTGGTGCTTAAGCAATTGTTGGAACATGTTTTTAGGTCAATGCAACCACGTTATTAGAATCATAGGTAATGTTAGGAATTTAAATAGTTGTGATAATTTATCATACTGACTTGTGGAATATCTCTTCTCTTTAGATTGGACTGGCAATTACTATGTAAAGTTTCCCTATGTGTGATTTTGGTGGTTTAATTTGCATATGCATAATTTGTAGGTTCACTCAAAGGGTGCTAGTTTGGAAGTGGTTCAAAGTTTGATTGCAAATCTACAAAAGAAATACAGTGGTATTTTTTACATTATGGTTCTGTGCCTTTATTTTCTGGACACTATATTTCCACCTTATATTGAATGAAGTATGGCGACTACATAATTTATTCTTGATACATCTTGTTATTTGTGTTACTTCTTTCATTATGTTCTGATGGATTACAAATTGAATTTCATAGCTAAGAACAATAAAATATTGAAGGAAAAATTATTGGCTTATTATTTTCTAACTAGGATATAAGAGCTTTTTACTGTGTAATTATTTTGAGTTTGCTCTTTTTTATGTGTGCTACTATGGCACCAAATAAGAAACTAAAAGATAACGTTTAATTCATGTTTTGCAACTTTTAAGCAGTATTTATAATGATGTATTTCCTTAGACCTTGCCATGTGTCGAATGACTGATTTTCCAAAAGTTTAAAATAATGGATATTTGCAATGTTTGATATTTATATTGTTATCTTTCATTTGTAAATTTGATATACCTAACACTTCATAAATCATATACTGTTTTCCTGAGCTTGGTATGTTATTTTTTGCCCGATACTATTCTAAATTTCTACAAAATGTGAAGTTTGACACTTGTTCATTTATGTTTTATATGTGTGTTAATGAGTGAGTGAATTATCAAATACATCAATCAGGGCTGGTTGATCTGCATATTGTGAACTACAGATTCCCACTCCATGTTATGTATGGTCATTTCCTACATGTTGACTTCTTTCTTTATGTTTCCAGCCAAAGCAATTTCCATTGAGGACGCAGCTGTGTGGACTACTGTTGACAAAGCATTTGATGCTTGGATTTGTCCACTTGTATATGCCTTGATAGGATTTTGTGATGATCCTATTCTTAGGTTGTCCATTATTCTTCAAAGGAATCTGGGGTGTGTTTGTTTGAGGGATTTGTTTGGATTTTCACTATTCATCCTATTTCCCCCTCCCCCCCCAAAAACATCAAATCAAACACTTATTTTTCATTTTTTATATTATACTAAAAATCAATTTTACATTCAAAACATCACATCAACACCTATTTATATCACATCATACAACTATTCAAATTCAAAATTTTTACTATTCAAATCCCAACTCAAAATCCAAACCCTCAGACAAACACACCCTATTTTATTCTTTGTTCTGACCTTGTTCAGTGATTGATTTGCTAAATTATTAATCTTCATTTTTCATCTTCCGTTCAGACTGTGCCAAGATATTGTGCTGGAAAAATCTGAAGTTGCCGAATTGTTGTTCTCAAATGTCTTTGTTAATATAGCTGGAAAACAGGATTCAGATGGTCTCTGTAAAGTAATCTCATTGAAGGTTATGCGCTTGCATTTTTTGTGAACTGGTTTTACAACTGGAATTATTTGTGGCATGGTATTCAAAGTTAATATTGCCAGATGGAGGTCCAATAATATAGAAACTGCTAGGATCTATTTCTATATAGCATTAGGTTTTAGTATTAATGAATAATGATTAAATGCCCGGTTTTCAAATGATTAAACTTGCAGATTGACAAATCTTGGTGTCCACATATGCCACAAGTAGACTATTTTTTTACTCTAGTTTGACAAGTATTTGACCTTTTAACAGTGGAACATCTAACAAATATATGTAATTAACGTGACATCTGTTGAAAAACAGCTTCTAGTTGTATACTTGTTTTTATATGTTATATTTAATTTGATTACAACATATGTAACCAGCACATGTTATGTTGACAGAGAACTCCTTTTCTTGTGACCATCAGAATGTCTCTTTAAAATAGCCAACGATCCAAGTGATTTGCATACACTGGTTCAATCTTCAAATGTAAAATTTTCCTTTTCTCAGTAGTTTTGTTAATATCATGTTTAATAGTTGTATCTTGAAGGTTGGCTTTTGTTACCTACCTTAACTATGCATCTACCACACCCTAGATACTTCTTCAGCTTTCACCATAAAAGTTTCTACTCCATTTACTGCTTTGCTGATTTTGTTAAACAACTATTATTTTTTATGCTGTGATAAAAAGGTTCTATCTTTTTTTATAGGTACAAGAGAGTGTACTGGTCGAGTCCAATACATTGACCAAATCGGTTCAAGTATTTTTGAGTGCGTTAAATGAACTCCGACTCTGTTATGTGATGGAAAGAATGGAATCTTCTGCTGCACTTCATAAGATGAAAAGTTCAAATACAAAGGTTTTATTTCCACAACTCCCACTTGTATTCCATATATGCAATAGAGTCAAATGTGATGAAAGTGAACCATTATCACCTGTAAATTTTAACTTCATATTCTTCCCAATACATCCTACATCATGACATCATATGAAACAGCTGCATTGTCTACGGAAGTTTGGACTTTGGAGTTCTACCTAACTACATTTTATTGTTTCACAGCATAATAAATCTCATGGCTTTGGAACACGTTCTGCATCAGCAAAATCAAGGGATCTTGAGTCACCTTCTAGTTCAATGCCATCAACATTACTGTGGGAAAAGGTTTTTTCCAGCTTTTGACATTTGATGCAATATTTTTGTAACTCTGTTCTATACTAAAATGTGCTTTCTCTGTATAAAAGCATTATGTTTCTTTTATATATCTATACACACCTCAACTTAACGTATGTTTAGTGGTGAAAACCATACATTTAACGCCATTTTACTACCACAATGTTTATAATTTTTTATTTTATAATTATTATTATTTTTTGTTTTTCTTGATGTTGTACAATTCAATATTGTGATATTGAAAGCATTATTGTCCATGTTATATTGCTGAATATATCAAATCAGTGAACAAGCTCTTTCTCATGATGTTGAGTTTATTTCCCCATGCATTGCTACATATTCCAGGTTTATTGGCTTGCTGTGGATTACCTTGTAGTTGCGAAGTCTGCAATTGTGAGTAAAATGGATTACCTTGTGCTGTAGTAAGTGTTGTCTCTGTATATTCTTGTGTCCTATTTTGTTGTATTTGTTGTGTGCAGGATTGCGGATCGTACTTCACTGCTTTTCTTTACGTGGAGCACTGGTGTGAAGAGCATTTTAATAGTCTCACCTTGGGTAGCCCTGATTTTTCTCATCATGACACGGTATACTTACATCGAAGCTTCTTAATATGATGATGTATTTTGCTGTATTTTTTTTTAGCATTTCATATACAGTTGGAATTTTTATTACCATATATATGATAGACGAAGATAATGTAATTCTTACTTTTCTGATACTCAGCTGCCATCCCATGCTGAAATACTCATGTTGGCAGTCACCCAAATTAATGAACCTGACAGTCTGTATGGTATCATTCAATCTCATAAGGTTAGTTGAAAATTTACATTCATATATGAGTTTATGGTTTCATAACCCTATTGATTTTTTTTTTATTTGACGAATGCAAAATCATGACATGCGATGGAGAGAAGATAAGTTAAGAACTGGTTACAGTAATGTCTCTGATTCTGTTCTTTTGATTATTACAGTATGGTTATATTGATTAGCATTACAAAATGGATATTTCAGTTTGGAATCTTGTGGTAGTCTTTTAGTCATAATTTCACTGTCATGGAAAAATGCATGTGCTTCAGAGTTTTTTGCCTGGGGTCTCTGCAAACATGCTTAAAAAACCAAGTGTTATCATGTTAATACCATTTTGTCCTCTGTTGGTTGCAGCTTACATCTCAGATTGTGACTTTTGAACATGAGGGTAATTGGAGTAAGGCGCTTGAATACTATGATTTGGAAGTGCGCTCTAACACCATGACACAAGTAGGCGGTTCCACCTGTTCATCTATTGAGAGTTCGCAACAAGCAAATCATACATCCTTCCATGACGCAGATCATGATGTGATACGGAAGAAGCCTTACAAAGGACTAATTAGATCTTTGCAGCAAATTGGATGCACCCATGTTTTGGATGTGTATTGTCAAGGTCTATCTTCTCAGAGGGGGCAGTTTCAACATGATTTAGAATTTAATGAGTTACAGGTTTGACAATTTTTAAATTGATATGCAGTCAGTAGTTTGTTTATTTATTTCTTTGCGCTTTAGATATCTTATTTCATGAAGATGATTTTTGTGCTATTTTTTTTATATTTCATACAGTTTGAAGCTGCCTGGCGGGCAGGAAACTGGGATTTTTGTTCGCTTTATTCTAGCGTTGATGCACCAATTGTGAATGAATTCGGAAATGGACATCATTTCAATGAAAATTTGCACAGGTGCCTTGTTGGATCTTAATTGGAGTTTGGTTTGAAACCTAAACAATTTAGGAAGTGTGCCATTAAATATTTGTTTTATTTTTATTGTTCTGATATATTTCTGTTGTAGGAATGTTCTTTTTATAGTACCTTTTTGTGGAACATTATTGTATAAATAAGGTGGCAATGGGATTTGAAACAAGACCATGTTAAAATTACTGCTCCTAGAAGTTGTGTAGCGTACAATATTTCTTCTATTTTGGATTACTTCAAGTCGCCTAGGTTTCCATTTGTTACAGTTCTGCTCACTAGTTCCTTTTTCTTTCAATTCAATTGAGCTGTAATATGATGCATATGGATCCAGTTTTGATGGTTTGTCCCTTATCTGTTAAAAAGATAAATGTAAAATGTTGTTATTTTAATATGTAGTAAATGATTAAATTTGGAGCAACAAAGTTTCAAACAATTATGTATAAGTCCATTTTGATTCATGTCATCACAGTGTTTTGGTGTCAAACACACTAAGAGTAGTGCAAGTAGTCATCCTGAATTTCATGTCTCCCATCAGTTTAACACTTACACTTCACTTGATCTGATGTAGCTGTTTGAGAGCCCTTCAAGAAGGAGACTTATATGAATTTCACACAGCACTGAATGACTCAAAGCAGGTTTGTATGCATCAATAACTTGCATCAGACGTCAGCTGAACTTTTTGGAATTTTAAGATCGTATGATCTTCTTCAGGCTCTTTTGACTTCCATTTGCCATGCAAGCAAGGAAAGTACTGAGTACATATACTCAACGGTAGTTAAACTTCAGGTACATATCCAAGCAAATAGTTTGCCTATAATTATGATAGGCTTTAAGGTTTATATCTGTGTTGAAGGTGGAAATTTCTAATTTCTAATTTCTATTTCCTGTTTCCTAGTTTTCTTGTAGCTGTTCATAGCCTAAGATGTCTTTCACTATATTATGTACAGTAATGTTATTAAATAGTTTGTGTTGTTTCTCAATTTTAGCACCATTCATAGTTTCCAGTATCTGTGATTTTATTTATTTGTTTATTTTTTCTTTCGAAAGAAGCTATTATATATAATAAAGATGGGGGGATTACAACCCAAGTAGTTGGGGAGTTGTCATACATGTGAACATTATTCTTGGTTTGTTTTGTTTGCCAGATCTTCTATCATCTTGGAATGGCATGGGATTTACGGTGGAGTACATCTTGCGACAATTTTGATTCGTCTTGCAGACATGATCTGTTAGCAGAGCCTGTTGTCCCATCCTCTGACAAGGTGCTGTACTCTTTTCCACAGTTTGGCTTCTTGTTGGCTGCTCACTTTATTAATTTTGGCAATGATCAGGTTTTGTCCCCAACTATATTGGAGTATATGGCAAGATATTCAGTTGAATATCTATCCATAAATTTAACTTTTCGAAATTTCTCACTCTAGCTACATGTGCCCTCTATCAACAATCATGACTGTACTATTCATGTGTTACGCACTGTGTTTTATACCTTTCAGTTCTGGATAGAAGTCTTAAGTCTTGAAGTGTTATGCCAAAGGTGTTACTTTTCAATGTAAGATTCACTAACTGTGATCTTGAATCTTCAGTTGCAGTGGTTGCATGCAAACTGGATCTCAATTTTGAAGCAAACCGATTTACATATGAATTTGTTGGAACCGTTCATAGCATTTAGAAGAGTCCTTCTTCAGGTTCTGAATTCCATGGACAGTAAAGTGCGTTATTTATGGGAATCAGCGTCAATTCTTCGCAAGGTTTCTCTCGCTATTGTTTGTTTTTATTTTACAACAAACCAACAGTGCCCACTAATTTGGTTGTTAGTGTACAGGGTTCAAGGATTTCACAGGCTGCTGCAGCACTCCATGAATTTAAGTTCCTGTGCTCTGATATGGGAGAAGAATATTCCAAGTTGTACTGGCTGGGAAGAGTATGCAATATCCCTTTTTGTTTTTCATAGCTTGTGGCCCAAAAAATAGAAATGTTATGCCGTGCTTCCTGCATTTTGATGATAATAGTGGTACTCCATGTGTCCTGTAGACTAAGTGAATCACATTAGCAAAGCTGCATGTAAGCAAAACTCACACCTAGTTTAAAAGTTGACTTGAGTTGGCTCCCTTAAGATTAACTTGTTGGATGAGTAGGTATTCATAATAATCAGAACAACTTTTTCAGTGGCATGTGTATTAATTATTGTGATTGTTTTACAAACTAAAGCTTGAATTCTGGGTATCGGAATGCCCAATGAATGCATTACTTTAGCACATTTTGTTGATCTGTGCTATCACCTTCGCCGATAGTTCTTGCTACTGTTATATGAATAGAATTACATTTTTTGTGTGAATCTCTCTTATTGACTCTCTTCTCAATAATGCACTGGTGATTTTGATTATCAACTAACTGATGTTGATTTTTTCTCTAAAAGCTCGAAGAAGCTAAGCTTCTTCGTGCCCAGGGTCAACATGAGATGGCAATCAACCTTGCAGATTACATATCACAAAATCATCAGGTGCAGGAAGAGGCACCTGATGTATTTCGCTTAGTTGGAAAGTGGCTAGCAGAAACTCGATCGAGCAAGTTAGTAAACTTTGCTTTGTGATACAGTGTAAATGCTTAATATATGGTTGCCATCGTACAAAGTAATGTAATAAATTCCATGAAATTATCAAAAGTTGGTAGTACTAGAAAATTTGATTAAAGCAGACCAAAAGTATGAATGCTTTTCCTTTGATTCATTGATCCATCATCAAAAACATTAAATTTTTCTTTATATGAATCCATGTCAACTAATATTTTTCTTTCGCTCAATAAGTAGTCTGTCGTGGAAATGTCGTAGCAAGCTAGACATTTTTTGTCCTTTACATAAAAATTATGTACAAGTTTCAGAATTGTAATGGATTGTAGTACAACTTTAAACAGCACACACTACAAAACAAACCTTGGAATGTTTTTGGCATGTAAGGATATGTATCTATTAGTGGAGATAGGATGTAAGGGTATGCCTGCCTATATGTGTCTCTTTATGTATCCCGTGAACTGAAAAAACTTCATACGTTATATCAATTTATATTATACTCCTCCAGTTCCAGGACCATATTAGACAAGTACCTGAAACATGCTGTTAATCTAGCTGAGGGATACAAGGCCACAGACAAGGTTTCTGTGGAAAAAAGAAACCAAATGCATTTTCATCTTGCACACTATGCAGATGCTCTGTTTCGTAGTCAGGAAGAAAGACTTAGCTCCAACGAATGGCAAGTAGCAATGCGACTACGTAAACACAAAGTATGTGTTATATGACAGGTTTATGTAAAGAAATAATCAGAAGTTATGGGGAAAAAGTTGTTTCTGAAACTTATTTGGTAATTGCAATATGACATGCATTATTTACTTGCAGAAAAAGGAGCTAGAAGCACTGTTCAAACGTTATAAGCGTATGGCAAAGGTGAGTGTCATTGGTTGTTCCTTTTTTCCAATTGTTTTCTTGTGATGAGGACTTAAGTAAATGAGCTCCCAAGAGATATTGTCACGTTGATGTGGTTTCTCATATGACTTCCAGGGAGATAAAACTGATTATTCTTTTAAAATACAAGAGCTGCAAAAACAACTTTCTATTGACAGAGTCGAAGAAGAGAAGTTACAGGTATGTTCATGGTGCTACTAGAAGGTGCATGACTATTGAAATCGATTCGAGTTGCATTCTTTGTATATATCTCTAATATAATGAGTAGCTTCTTGAAATCGTAGTGTTTAGCTGTTGGAAATACACTGGCTATGAATTTGACTTTTGAATAATAGTGTGTACATGAAGTCATCAAGCTTCTTCTCAGTAGTTAATTTTTCGTCATAGATTTTATAAGGGCACCATCACCCCACACATCAGAATGAATCTTGTTGTATTTGTAATCTAATATGTTGAACTATTTTTTGGATTTGTATCCAGGAAGACCGGGACCATTTTCTGAGTACAGCGCTAAAGGGATACAAGCAATGTTTGATTCTTGGAGAGAAATATGATGTTCAAGCGGTATGTTACTGTCTCAACTGGCAACTAGCCACATTATATTCCAGTTTGGCCTCCAATCATCCTGCCACTCTCATAGATTGCCTCCAGTCAACTCCCTTGGCCGGTTTAGCTACCAACAATTCTCAACTTCCCTCCAATTATTATATCTACCTGCTACCCACATTGACCACCGATTGTTCCTTGTTTCAAGTTGCACTCTTTTCATGGATCTGTTTGTAATCAATTGATGTTGGCAGCCTATGCATCCCATATACCCTCAGATTCTAATAATTGGCAAGCTAGTAAACTTGTGCTTCTTTATACCTATCAAACTCATTTATCAGTTGATACAATATCATTTGTCACAAATGTCTTGGTATCTTATATCATGATTTCAAAGCTTATTATGTATCACATCTACTTTGATTTTGTAATTTTTTTTAACCATTCCTATTATACATTCTATTTGTAAGTTTTCTTGTGATTGATCATTTTCTCTATTTACACAGAAGAATCAGGGTGGAGTTTTTGTTGTTAATAGCATTGTTTAATAAGTTTTTATGTTCTCTTTAGGTATTTCGACTTGTTTCCCTATGGTTCAGTCTTTCCACAAGACAGATTGTTGTGGATAGCATGCTTAACACTGTCCAGGAGGTAAAGTAGTCTAATTCAAAGTAACAGTTGCCAGTTGATAGAGTTGTATTGCGTTGTGCAATTTAAAATGCTGCTAAGAAATTCTCTGTACCTCACTTTTTGTTGAAACCATACATCCCTCTGCTCACTTTTCTAGGTGCAATCTTACAAGTTTATACTTTTGGTATATCAAATTGCATCACGGATGGGTAGCACAAAAGAGTCAGATGGACCTACAAGCTTTCAGGTGTATTTTCCCTTCTTTTTGTGTATATTTATTTATTTTTTTTGTTGATACATAGCATCATTTTTCTTTCTCTACATAATATGTTCGGGTATTTGTTTGCAATTTCAGTACGCATTGCTTTCTCTTCTCAAGAAGATGGCACTTGACCATCCTTATCATACAATATTCCAGGTACTAGGTTGTACATTTCTTGATCAACAAGTTTGCCAAGTTCTGATAGCATATTTGTTTTCTCATGTGGCAACATCTATCTCCCAGATGCCATTATATCTTTTGTACATAACATGGCTCTTGCCCATTGTTATTCAATTGTTGGAAACTTGGAATAACTGTTTCGCCCATAAGTTTAAATGTTGATGAAATGGTTGTGTTATATCGGATTAGGATATTTCATGTTTTAAATTTCACCATCACCTGTTTATATGAAGTGACACCATAAGCATATGAGGACTGTGTTAGAAAAATGGAAACTAAAGAATATTCAATGGTACATTTCTCTATCAACTTAACCTTCTAAGGAAACTACTAATAACCAACCAAATAAAAGGAAGATGAGAAAAATTAAATTAAAGCAACTACTATTATTTTTCTCATCTTCCTTTTTATATGATCTTAATATTTCTAATTCTAATTATTTTGCACGTTTCATGGAAAGCATTTGATATAGCAGTTATTCGATCCCTGCGTGAGTTTAATTTGACTTTTCAAGTTCTGCTATAGTTATACCAATGAGGAAATGCTAACACATGTCACTTGTGGTATACTGTGCTACTTGTTAGCTGCTAGCTCTTGCAAATGGTGACCGTATCAAGGACAAACAACGTAGTAGAAACTCTTTTGTGGTGGACATGGATAAGAAGATTGCTGCAGAAGATCTATTAAGAGAGCTATCAGCTCACCATGGATCAATTATCAAACAGGTAACATTCCACTCAGTTGATGCTTAGTATCTGTAGTCTTAACTTTCTCTGATTTATTCCGTTCGCTACTTAGATGAAGCAATTGGTGGAGATATACATAAAGCTTGCAGAAATGGAAACAAAGAAAGAGGTAATTTCATGGTCATTTGGTCTCATACATTCACATTTCACACCATGTAGATAAAGGTTACGGTTGATGTCTGATTCTGTTTGGATTTATCCTTGCTACTTTAAACACCCTGAACCTTGTAGTTATATTTGAATTGCTTCAATTGTTAACAACATTACCTTTTCTACAGGATACAAACAAACGAGTAACACTACCAAGAGAACTCCGTAGTGTTAGAGAACTTGAGCTTGTAAGATTATCTCTTCTTTTTAAATTGATATTCCTTCCAATTTTTTCTAGGTTATAACATGTTGAGATACTACATATTCATTTTATTGTTAATACCTACATATTTGGGGATTATTTTTACTGGTTTGATGTGATCATTTGCAGAATCTGAGATTATTGTTTGAATGAGAAATCTGGATGCATGATTTTGATTTCAGGTCCCTGTCATAACATCAAATATTCCCATTGACCGAACTTGTCAATATCCTGAAGGATTTTTCCCCCACTTCAAAGGGTTGGGAGATTCTGTCACGTAAGCATTCATGCTCTCAGAAACTTGAGCTTGTATCACAAGCAGTAGAGGAAAATTAGCACAAGGACATGTTTAGAGCATCATTATTAACTGTTTAGAGAAATTTATGAAATTGTTAAAACTTAGGTAATAGTGCCTTTCTTTGTAACAATAAAAACTGGATGAGTTGTTTTAGATAGATGAAAATCATAAGACCTGTACATTTTTCTTCATAAGCTTCTAAATATTTAGCCTCTTCTAATCTACCTTTTTATGTTTTCTTTTTTCTCAATATGAAGTATTATGAATGGTATAAATGCCCCAAAGGTGGTGGAGTGCACGGGTTCTGATGGTAACAAATACCGACAACTTGCAAAATCTGGCAATGATGACCTGAGACAAGATGCTGTATGGTTCCCAGATCACTTACTTTTCTTTTATTTATAATACAATTGGGCACTGGCTTCAAGGAACAAATTATGACAGATGAATAGGTTTATTGTTATGAGTTAACTATACCAAGATAAGTAAGTTATCAGAAAGCTTCATCTTTCTTGAGTTCCCAACTCTATGAATGAACCTTTTCTTTCATTTTTAAGAAGAGTAAGATAATATTGATGATAGGGGGACAAATTTTTAGCTACATAGATTGATTTAATGTAGAATGAACCTACTTCCTATGTTCTAGATGTTGAGAAAACTGTAGTGCTGAATATGCATGAATCTCTACTGCAATGGGGTCTACAAATTTTCATTGATCTCATGGTTTATCACTCAAGAGAGTGTTTTAACTTTTAACGCATATAATAAAAAATATATTAGAACTCATGATTATGAACCCTAGACCTTCTAGAGTGCATCAAATGAAATTGTCAAATCTGCTTTGGTTTGGGTGCTGGTTACTGCATTAATGAAGTCCATTGAAAAGATTATCCAGTATCAAGTATTTGATTACATGCTTTACTGTGTTTAATCATTTTGGTTGACAAAGAATTAACTTCTTGGATTTTATATGCCCGTTACATGATTATTGTAAATGCCATGCAGGTGATGGAACAGTTTTTTGGTTTAGTTAACACTTTCTTGCAGAACAATCGTGATACATGGCGGAGGAGACTTAGGATACGAACATATAAGGTTGCTCTTATATAAATTACACAAATGTTTTAGATAATCTCTCTTGTTTATTCATCTGTCTTCCCCCTTGTTGTGTATGCCTAAAGTTCCAAGGGATTCACAACATAAGAAATCTTAATTTATTTTCTCTTAATATGTATTCATATATTTTTATGTAGTCGTATTTGTTGGGTTTCTTCAGTCAAATTCCAGCATCTTGGAGAGCTTAATATTTTATAATTTTGTAATGTTTCATGTGCGCTTATCCAAGTGCTGATCCTATGCTGTTGATACCTCACTTGTTTTTTGCAAGTTGTAGTTACTTGTCTTGTTATTGCAACTTATGCCATAACGATACCTGTCTGTGGATTTATGATTAATTCCTAATCATCAATTAGACCTAGGTAGTTAAATAGAATTTATAAAAATAGACTTATCTTAGAGCAAGCAAGGTTATGGATTCTTATTTATTTGAATATCAGTCCTTATGCAAATCATAATTTATAACTGAAGCTGTTTTCATATTATGTATTGAGTTTAAAGAGGAAGGGGAAGATAGAGATATTGCTATCTATTGTTTACTCATTTGTTCTTGGCGTTCAGTGATACAGGATTGAATTATCATTTTTCTTTGATTATTTATTTTTCTCCTTTCATTTTTTAGTGTATATAACTTATTCTGTGCCACTTTTGATTTCATGGGCTATGATGGAACAGGTTGTTCCATTCACTCCTTGTGCTGGTGTTCTGGAATGGGTAAATGGAACTTTCCCACTTGGTGAATACCTTATTGGAAGGTTAGCGAAATTGTTTTTCTTCTTAAAGTACCAGGTAACATCTACATCTAGTCCCAACAAAGGATGTATGCTGAATGTATCAAAAATTACTGATTCAGTTCAAGAAATGGAGGTGCTCATGGACGATACGGAGTTGGAGACTGGACATTTATGGAATGCAGGCAAAAGATGGCTGCAGTATGTATTGCATATCTGTTAAAATTATTTAATGCGTTTCATTACTTTCATTAAAATTATTTACTGTTTGAATCTTTCTGGCTGATGTCTTCAGTTTCTTTACTTGTAGGAGGCCAATAAACTCAAGGCATTCCAGGAGGTCTGCCAGAAGTTCAGGTTCGTAAATTTGTTTAAGTCACCAAAGTCCCCAATGCTTGAATCAACTTGATTTTATTGCCATTTACTGCAGGCCAGTGATGCATCACTTCTTTCTGGAGAGATTCTCAGATCCTGCTGATTGGTTTGACAAGAGACTTGCATACACAAGAAGTGTGGCAGCTAGTTCAATGGTTTGTCTTTTAATATTTCTCTTTGTTTGTGTGTCCTCAAAACATGTCTCAAATCATTTCCCTCAATTGATGACTTCATGGCAACTCTGAATCTGGTATAACAAAAAGTTTGTTTCGTCGAATGCAGGTGGGTTACATTGTTGGATTAGGAGATCGACACTCCATGAATATTTTGATAGATCAAGCTACTGCAGAAGTTGTTCATATCGATCTAGGAGTTGCATTTGACCAGGGCTTGATGCTGAAAACACCTGAAAGGGTTGGTTTTTGCTGGAATGTAGCCATTTTCTGCTACCAAGTTACTCGCGAGTCTTGTTGGTTATCTTTGACTATATTCCTATTAACTCCCAGGTACCATTTAGGCTAACCCGGGACATCATAGATGGTATGGGTGTAACTGGTGTCGAAGGTGTTTTCAGAAGATGTTGTGAGGCAACTCTTTCTGTGATGCGAGCAAATAAAGAAGCATTACTTACAATTATTGAGGTAAAAATCATTTACATGATTGCTGCTACTGCTACTTGAATGAGGATTAACTTGCTATTCTATAATGTGCAGGTTTTTATCCATGATCCTTTATATAAGTGGGCTTTATCGCCTCTCAAGGCCATGCAACGTCAAAAGGTAGGCATTTCTATCTAGTTTCACCTACGACTGTAATTAATTGCACTTATCAATGTGGTTTAATATTGATTTCCAAAGGTGATTGATTTATGTTTGACCATGTATACCAACTACAAGAACATTGTGGTGTCCCGTGTCAGTTATTTTGAACTGTTTTGGTCTTACTATTTGCTCACACAGAGGCTTGTTTTTGGGGTGCCAGGATATTGACGACGACTTGTATGCCAGTTTAGAAGACTCGGAAGAAGATGGGTATGAAGGTAATAAAGATGCAACAAGAGCATTGCTGCGCATCAAGCAAAAGCTAGATGGGTATGAAGATGGCGAAATGAGAAGTGTCCATGGCCAGGTATATAATAATTATAATAACAACCAATTTCCGTGTTGGTTCGATGAATGCCTGTGCATAGTTCTGATCAATATAGGAGGGGTGGGGTTGGGTTGGGTTATTTGCAGGTTCAGCAACTGATACAAGATGCCATTGATCCCGATCGGTTGTGCCAACTGTTCCCTGGTTGGGGAGCATGGTTGTGAGTGAGATAACACTTCAGTGGAGTCCACCCGCTTGAAAGTCTGCTCCATATTGTGAGTGATTTTGTCTTTTTTCATGTGATGTTGTGTTTATGTATATATTCATATTCACACACGCGCGTGTGTATATATATATATATATATACATTCTGTTATACTTGAATATTGTTGTTCTCCTATTCAATCGATTTAAAGTTATTTATTACTTATTCCATAAAAATTTTTTTAAAAAAAAGAAAGACTTGGTAGGGTAAGAGAGACACACAGCAATAATTTAAAGAACAACCACCATTGGTGTGTAGTGGTCCGTAATTATATTGAATTAAAGAGAAGATCCATTTAGTTACTGGACATAGTGAATGATGATGAGTGTTATTTGCATGTGTGATTTTTGGATAATATGCTGCTCTATTGTACATGGCAAAATATGTAGTAGTAGTATGACATTACATATTTCAAAACTGCAGCAATTATTGAAAGGTTATTTCCAGAGGCTGGATTTGATTGATTGATTGATGATGGTAAACAAGTATAGCCCACTATTAACTCATTTCCCGACACTTTAATGAACCCAACGAACACCACCCCACCCCACCCTCTTTGTAAAATTAATTAATTGCTGATAAAGAAGGAAAATATGAGAGTTGGATTCATACCTGAAAGACACCCACCTCACCATTGGTGCATGAAGGAAGAAGAAGAAGGGGTGGTGAAGAATTTGCATCATCAATGGCGATGAGTATTATTATTCTTGGATGAAATAAGCTCGGAGAACTTCAACAACAGGGGCCTCGCACATGGGGCACTTGCCGTTGCGCTGCTGTATAAGATTTTCAGCACACTTGATGCACGTACACATGTGCCCACACCTACACCAACAACCACCTCCACATCATGAATAATTGAGATAAAAACACAAGATGGATAGCACCCTCCCTCCCACCTACCTATATAGCAAAGAGTCGATCTTGCTGTCCCCACATAGGCAGCAAACCCCTTGCCTTACATGATCCCATGGATCGCTGCTCCTCCTCCTCGTGAATAATAACTCATTCTGAGTCTCATCCTTGGGTACTACTGTATCTTTGTCTGGAGACGAGATATATCATTAAGATTTGAAGATATTTGTATATGTATGTATAGAGAAAAATCAACCTCTTGAAGAAATAGCTCGGTTCAGTGCAGCAGAGACCTCCTGCCTAACTGACCGATGCAGCTCAATTTGCAAGTCCATGCACTCTTCCAGCATACTCTGCATGCTGTTCATCCTACGATGAAGCCTAGCCATGTCAATCCTAAGCTCGTTGATCACCTCCCATTCCTAAACAACAATCATATGATTAGGCAAGGAGTTGGTTGTTGACAACTGATGACTTATTAGATAGATGGGCTTCCTTGCATAAGGGATAGGGATGCTCTAGCTTACAGTTCCAGGTTGCTGGTTTGAGATCCAATTCCCAGTTGTGAAACCCATGTCGTCAGCCCAAAACGGTTGCGTTGCAGACACAAAAGTCGAAGAGGGAGGTAATGGGCGATATGTTTCAAAGGCGTCGTAGTCAGCTGAAGTTTGATCTCCATCATAATGTATGTCCTGATCTTGCTCGACGAAATTGTCTTCATCATGGCCTAGCCTCTCTGTATGCATTTGTATCACCCGATTTAGGCTCTCGCGAAAATCGCTGCCGAGAAGACTAGAGACACGTCCCCTGCAAGTTAAGCATTTATACATTCAGCCAGAAGAAACATCATACTTGTAATAGCTGTCCAACAATTATAAAACTCAAAATTAATAGCTTATGAATGTTGATTGCACCTAAGAAACAACTTTTAGTCATTTTAATCATATCATTTTGGAGCCTAGATCATCTTCATGCCATACTTATTATGGAACTTTGCAGTGTAATGTACTCGCAAAGCTATCATATTATTTTGGAGCCTAGAAAATGGATACTTATTATGGAACTTTGCAGTGCAATGGTGCAAATCTAATGAGAAATGTTATATTTAGAGTAAGCAATTAAATCGCGTACCGGCTGAAAAGCTCCTGAAGTTCCATCCTCCGGACATCACCATCCTCATCATGAGTTGAAGGAACATCCAACCAACTGTCAATGGCTGCCTGTGTATAGCTTTGCCAATCCTGATGTGATTCTTGAATCTGATCTTGATTGTCTACATTGTTATCAGATGGTTCCGGAGACCATTGGTTTCTAAAGCTTCCATGCCAGCTTCCACTCTCATCTTCAATCACATCGGCGGACTCCTCCCCACGAGCAGAAACCTCCTGTGAACCAGAAATTTCATTGCCCTGTTGAACATTTTCATTGTAACTTTCTACAATCAAAGTAGACTGCACATCCTCAGGTTGCTGTTCGTTGTCGACAATGGTGACACTCTGTTCGCCTAGTCTACCCACTGCTGACTCCTCTTGCCAACCACTGTTTCCTTCTTGGTCAGTTCTATCACCGTTCATATCCAGATTGGTAGCTTCAACAGATTCCTGCAAATTCCAGTCTCCATCTGCAGTGTGCTCGGGGCTGAATTCAATCACAACTCCAGCATCTTCCCTTTCATGGATTTCAATCTCCGATTCCTCCTCCTTTACACCACTATAAGTTGAAGCAGAATCTGCAGTCAATGAAGTGGATGCCGAATTCTCCAACTTGGAAAGAAACTCTTCCCTGTATCGCCAAATCGGTACCGTTTCAATAACAAAGCATATACAAAGAAAAGACGAGAAGATAATAGCATGTAACTAAGAAACCAAAATTTTAAGACGAAGAAGTTTTCCCATTATGGAAAGGTGAGCATCAATCTATGCAGTATATAATTAAACTACAGAAACTTTGCTTGGTTACCGTAAGCCGGAAACTGCATGTCTCTGCCATAACAGACCCAATTCAGTTGCAGCAGGTGAAGATGGTCTCTCATCCAGGACCAATCTCTCATTTCTTAGGAACCTTCCTTTAAGGAGCGCCTGCAAGAAAGTTTAATGTCATTAGTCAAAGCCAACAATGGTTGTTCTGTGTAAACTTGGAATTGCAAAGCTTGAAACAACCTGAATCCGATTGCGGTGAGCAAAGCTTGACACTGGCCTCTGTTCTAACAAACCAAGAAGTTCACTTTTTCTTTCACCCTGGATCTTCGAGAGAAGATCGAGAAGTGTTTGTCTTCTCACCGGCCATTGCCAGGAATGATTTTTCAGATCAAATCTTCCCTTGGAGCCACTACTCATCCATTCTTTAAAAATTTGTCTCACTCTCTCTCTTTCAGTCTCTCCTAAATCCAAATCACTAGATTGCTCTGATGCAACACTGCTGTTATCCTCATGATCCATCTCCAAACTGATGAAACTTGGGTTCCCTGTATCATCATAATCTTGAGGTGTACTATCCCCATTATCGCTTCCTTGTCTAGCAAACTCAGAATTAGAACCACTCCTATGTTGCCTAGACTCATTGGACAAGTTTTCACCCTCGATCTCTCTCCAAATTTGCAGGAGAGAGGATGCCCTCTTGCTAGGTCGGCTGTGTTGGGAATCACCAATGGAAGGACTGAAAACCGATACGTTTGGCAGACCAGCAACAGCCATTTTTCAGATCCTTATCAAGGATTCGGAGCTGAATTGGAAGAAAACAGAACATAATTACCCAAAATGATATCCAGTTGCAAAAAGATTAGATAATTCAATGAATAGATGAATCTACATCAGCTATCACATCCAAACCGCAGATTTTGAAAATAGTATTGCTGTGATACCGATGTTTTAGAGCTTTTGGAATACTCTTTTACTTATATACAAGTAGTAATGAAAAGTATGCATATTATTCTAGGATAAAATATATATAGACTTTAAACATCCAATAATTCTCACCAAAAACCCTATGAAATTTCCAATTCTACTAAGTTACACAACAATATCCATACAGAATCTAGTTAAGGTTTCTTCAGAACCTGGAAATCAAATAAGAGAAACAAAACGAAGATGTATCTTGCATAACCATCAAGTCTCTCACCAATCATTCACAGCTAACAAAGGATCAATTTAGGGAAATACAAAGCAGCAGTCCTTGTAAACAATCAAATTCGTCAGCAGTAATTGGATTCTAGAAAATAATCCCAATTTTGAATGAATTGACGAACAGAACTAACTCGTTTCAAACCTCAATCAAACTTCGTTTGCTCCTAAATCAAAGGCAAACTCGCACAAAACTTGCAACCTACCGATCGCGCTCTACACTGATGTATCGAAGACAGACTCCATAATCAATAGAAACAGCAATCAAACCGACATCAAACGAGCACATCGCAGCAAAAAGCAATTGTCAACAAAACGAAACAACTGTCAAATCGCCATGATCAGAGACTTTTGAACAGTACCTTTCTCCAACCACTAACGCCTTCACATGAAATGCAACGCGTAGGGAGTTATCCAACAACAACAACGAGCAGCAACTGCACACATTTCGCTGCGTCAATCGACGAATTTATTGCCTGCGCATTGATCTCTCTTCCTTAGCGAATTTTGCGCAACTTCAACGCCTACATAACACCCTTTTTGACTCCGCCGCGTAGATCTGTCGTTTTTCGATCATTGTGAATTTAACTGCAGCGGAATCTTGAATTTCACCGCCAAGCGGGAATTGAATGCACGGCGGTGATCTCGAGATCCATCAGATCGGACGGCCCACAATTAATTTAAAATTTTATAATTTGTTTAATTTTAATTAAACTATTTATTTATCTTAAACTTAATTTATAATTATTTGTACTAATACACTTCTTAATTATTTACTAATTATATTTTACGCTCATGTATTGTATTAACTGTCCCTAATTTGAACCATTCCAATCCATATTTAGAATTATTGCATTCAACTAATTGACATTTTGGTGTGGTTTTTTTTTTTTTTTTTTAACTGTATTTAAATTTAAATCCCTACTAATTAACACATTAGCATCGAGATTGTTGAAAATTACCTAAACGAAAAAATTTACCAAAAAAATTGGCTTTATTTACAAAGTACTTTTGAAATTTTGTACTATTTAATTTTTTAAAATATATTAAATATAATACTTCCTCAGTCTATTAGTTAGCTGAAGTGTTAAAAAGAAATTTGATATATTTATTATTTTAAGTATTTTAATATTAATATATGATTAATTTTTTTAAATAAAAAAAATACTGTAAAAAACTAAAATAATAAAAACGTACTTTAAGTTAGGACGGAGAGAATATTATTTTTTTTTACAAAATTTCATTTCTTTCTTGCACTAAAATATTCTTCTTTTTTTTTCTGAAAAAAGAATATCTCATATAATAAATTTTATTTTATTACGACAATGTGATTAGAACTTAGTAAGATAATTTAATTTTGAATAAAAAAATTATTTGAACACGTAATGGCTAAGGAGTCGGTATTCAATCTGCCATTTGGATATTTCATCAAGAAGTACATTTATTGCATGTCTCTTTGTGTGATTTGTAATTTTTTTGGATTTTTCTGAGATATTTCGGACATGAAAAATTGATAAATTTATGTAAAATAAAATTATTTAATTATTCATATATGGATATTAATTTTAGTTACTTTAATTTTATTTGTGTTGATATTTTAAATATTAAATATAAAGATTTTTTACTAAATCTACTAACAGGTAAGAAATCATAATTTCAATGTTGACATGCAATATTTGGAAGCATCAAAGTTTATACATATGACCTCATTTTGGATTAATTATTTATATGAATATTTAAAGTTATTTGGTAAAAAAGATTATCTCATACAATATGAGTTTTATCCTCTCTCGGTTTTGGACATATTTTGACACAACTTTGTAAATTTTAATATTTTCTTTTATTGTTTTGAAAGATCCAAAATACTTTAAAATGGCATTGAAAATTTTGAATTTGAAATTTCTTTTTTGTATCTTTTCAATGCTAATTTTGAAGTTTTTAAAATTTTATCTCGAAATGAATTTAATATTCGAACCAATTTTTCGAAATAAATACACCAACACACAATATTTGATGTAGTATCCAATTGGTATGTTGTTTTTTTTTAGATAAATTTGTTATCTTTTAGTTATATTTTTTTAGTTTGATAATCCTAGCACACTGTCTTAGTCATTGCTCCAAAAATGAGAATAATAATCATACTTAATAAAAGATGTTAATTGATTTTTTTTGTGTGAGTTGAATTATTGAATTTTTATGAGTGAATAATAAAAATATATTATATTAATGTGTATGTATTGTTACGATTTATGGAATAAACTCTATTTTCATTAAACACAATTAGGGTACAATATTATATTTATACAAGAGATATATTAGGTAGAATATATATATCAATATATAAAATATATATATACTATATATATATCAACATCCCCCCTCAAACTCAAGGTGGAACGGTGGAGCCCAACTTGAGTTTGTTCAAAAATGACTGAAAACGGCCGGGAAGGTGAGGTTTGGTGAATCCGTCGGCCGTCTGATCAGCAGAGGAAATAGGAGACAAGGAGATGCTTCCATGAGCAACGTGATGACGTACAAGGTGACAGTCGATCTCAATATGCTTCGTACGCTCGTGGAAGACATCATTTGTCGAAATCTTCATGGCGCTCTGACTGTCGCAATGGATAATAGTGGCAGAGGGCTGAGGCACTCCAAGATCAGCCAAAAGCCAGCGAAGCCATAGAAGCTCAGCAGCGGTATCGGCAAGGGCTCTATATTCAGACTCTGCACTGGACCGGGAGACAACCGTCTGTTTCTTGCTGCGCCATGAAATAAGCGAGTCGCCAAGGAAGAAGCAAAACCCGGTGGTCGAGCGGCGATCAGAGGGATCTCCCGCCCAATCAGCGTCAGAATACCCGGTCAAAACTAAGGAGGATCGAGCGGAATAATGAAGTCCATGAAGCAGGGTACCTTTGACGTACCGGAGAATCCGTAGGACAGCAGAATGATGAGTCGTCCGAGGAGCAGACATAAACTGACTGACGATATGGACGGCATAAGCAATATCCGGTCGAGTGACAGTCAGGTAGATGAGACTTCCCACTAGCTGACGATACAAAGTCGGATCATCAAGGGGAACGCCGTCCATCGGAGTAAGACGACAGTCAGAATCAAGAGGTGTAGGAGCAGTCTTGGAGTCAGTGAGACCGGCAATAGATAGGAGGTCGGAGGCATACTTGGCTTGAGAGAGATAATATCCGTCGGAGGTGTCGGAGATCTCAAGTCCCAGGAAGTACCGAAGAGGCCCTAAACTCTTCATCTCGAAGTGGCGGTTTAGATGAGCTTGCAACTCGGAGATACCTGATGCATCATCTCCCGTAATAATCATGTCATCCACATAAAGCAATAAAATAGTAATTCCAGCTGACCCACGTCGAAGGAAGAGAGCCGAATCATGATCACTAGAAGTAAAGCCAAGCTGGAGTAGAGCAGAGCTAAATTTCGAAAACCAAGCTCGAGGTGCCTGTTTCAAACCATATAGGGCACGGCGAAGTTTGCATACCTTGGAAGAGGTAGGAAAACCAGGAGGAGGAGACATGTAGATATCCTCGAATAAATCACCATGCAATATCAACATGTATATTTATATTTTTTAATAATATTTATGAAAAAAAATTTAATTGAAAAATATTGAGTGAACGAACTGATTTATCTTACATAATCAGCAAGTTATTTTGTTTTACACAGAAAATTTATCTAATACATAATTGAAAATTATCGACAGTAACTTTTAACATTATATATAAAAGATACAGTAATTTCTTTCCGAATAGAAACAATATTGGCACTCCACACAAATTACCAAGTACAAATATCAATCCTCACCAATGAACAATTAATAGAAAAAAAAAATAAAAAAAATCAAACCACAAAACAAATAATATCAAAAAATAAAATAAAATACAATTATATAACATTATAAATCAATCAATATCTGCATCACACCAAACTCTCTTAAACCCTTTAGCCTTTGACGGATCAAACGGCGTCGTCACGGAGCGGCACAGCACCTTCAGCTTCCGATGGATCTTAAAAACTCCGATCTTAAGTCGGATCTTCGCTCGGATCGCCACGTCCAAAACGACGTCGCCGGAGGCCTTCTCCATCCGCAGGTCACGTGCCACCCCGCCGTACACCGTCGCGTCCTTCGCCACCAAATTCAAATCCACGTGCGTCACGTTCCGCCGCCGCTGATAGAACGGATGCACATTGTTGACCGACAGTTTCTGGTCCTCGTACAGCACTGTAACATCAATCCGATCGTAGTACAACGATATATGATGGTTCGGATTGTCCGCGCGGAGCACGAAATGGAAATTGGCGTTCACGCGCGAGTCGGTTAAATTGAACCCGCTGATCGAACCCTATATATATATATATATATATATTATATATAATAAAATAAAAGTTAATAGTAATAATTGTATACCGTCAAAAAAATTATAAAAATAAAATGATTTGAGTAATTGAGGAGCAAAATTAATACAACTTCATTCCATTAAAATTAGTCCAATGGGATCCTGAGATTAAAAAAATAAATCTTTTATTAAAAAATTGATAGATTATTATGGGTATTTTTTAAAATTTAATTAAAAATTAACATAAATAAAAAAAGAATGTAATAAAAATAATGGTATTTATTGTAAATAATCATTTGAATAAAAAATAATAATTTAATCTTGACTTTGTTAAAATTAATAATGAGATAAATTTAATAAACGTATTAAAAAAAAGATAAAAATAAATTGGATCGAATAGAAGATTTCATTTATAAGTTTTTATTAATTTTAAATTAGGCTTATTAAGTAATTAATTTGTTGAACCATGCATAGTAATCTATACATTATGGAAATGTATGCTCTAAAATATTTGAGCAAATTTTATATATATATATATATATATAAAAATAAGTAATAATTAGTATTCTCTATTTTTTATAGTAAAAAAACAATATAAAAAAGAATACTATAATCTTTTATTAAACTAGAGATAAGAATATTAATTTATTACTTCCGAATATAAATTTAAACGACGGAACGAATATTAATTACCTGTTCGATGGAGTATTTAAGCTTTTTGGGGTGGACAATGAGCCAGGTGATAAGGACAATCAAGCCGACGATAATTATGAGTGTTAGTAGTGCTCCGGCAATGTACCTCACCGGAGTTGGGTGGCGCTGCCGCTGCCGCTGCCGCTGCAGCGCCGCCTGTGATTGTGGTCGCTGCATATATGTTGATTTTTATTTTATTTTATTATATTAGGATGACAAGATGTATGAGGAATTGAAGTGGGATTTATACAGTTGAAAAGGAGGTTATAATTTAGGAGGGGTCATTGTATACATATATAACATGTATGGATGTGTGCTTTTGGGTTCGATGAAATTTATTTATTTATTTATTTATTTATTTATTGCATGAAAGTATATATGTATAAAAGAATATATATGTGAGTAGTTAGCTGGGAATGAACATATTCTTGTCTTGAGGAGATGAAGTAAGTTTGGAATCTTGTGCCTAATTTGTTGGTCGGTTTTAATTTTGCTTGTGGTTCAAGGGATGCTTAAATATTGTCATTAACATTTTATTATACTACTTATTAATTAATTTTATTATAGTAGAGGATTTAGGTAGAAATTAAATAACAGAGTCTGACTGTGTGTTATTTTATAGTCTTAGTTTTTGTTCTTTGCGTGCCTTAGGATAAGAAATCAATTTTCAATGTGTTTGTCTAATATTTTAGTTTACGGTATTTTTTTATGTCATGTACAATGAATAGGTATCAATAAAATAATAATAATAATATTTATACTCCGGCCACAAATTATCTATTTTTTATTTATATTTTGTATTTTTAGTAAATTTATTAATCTTGAATGCATTAAAAAAATATAAATCAATTTAATCGAATGTATAACATAGATCCATTGAAAAATCCTTTATTTCTATAAATATATAAATATATTTTTATTTATTTGTATTATATAAAATTTTATTATCTACAAAATAATATAAATATTTTATATATTTTATTGAGATATAATACTTAAACACATTTTTTAATTTTTTAATCATTAAATAACTAATATTTACTATCTAAATAAATATTCTCGTGCCCAAACAAAATACTTCAACAAAACTTCATCTTTGTTGGGACGAAGAGAATATTTGTTTTGGTTGCTTTAATTTATTTCTTTTGTAAAAAAAAAAATATTCTTATAAAAAATTATAAAAGAACATATTTGTTTGGGAGTTTGGATTTTAAATTGAGATTTGAATATTAAAAATTTTGAATTTGAATAGTTATAAGATGTGATATAAATAAGTATTGATGTGATATTTTGAATATAAAATTAATTTTTAGTATAATATAAAAAATGAAAAATAGATGTTTGATTTGATATTTTTTTGGGTAAAAAATGAGATCAACAGTGTATTTAAAATCCAATCTCCCAAACAAATATAAAAATTTATATTTTATTTAAATGATTATATAATTTTTTATTTGAAACATTAAATCAATCTTAAATTATTTCTAAAACATAAAAATAAAAAAAAAAATAAAAAATCCCCCCTAAAATTTGCAATCAAATTATGAATCTTGTTTAACTAGCAAGGTTGCTATTTATGGATGGCAATGGATCTGGGTAACTCGAGATCCGACCCGGATCCAACCAATTTACTTAGAGTTAGATCCAATTATTCGAGTATCGAGTCTGGATTTGGATCGGGTATAGTGTATTGTTATTGGCTCTTGGGTCTAAGGGTGGACCCTATTTCGATATGGATCCGATCCGAACCCGATTAATATATTAATATTATATCAATTATATATATGAAAAAATAATTTTTAATAATTAAAAATATATTTTTAGTTTAATTTATTAATTGTTATTATTTTATTATAATATTTTTTGAATAAAATACATCAATGTAATATATATCGGGTCCAAGTTCAATTTTGAATTAAATTTTAAGAATTATTAAAACAAATTCGAATTTGTCAGATCTATTAGGTCTTGTCAAATATTGTCAAGTCGAATCAGAGTAAAGTCGAATCAATTTCAAATTTTGAGTTCAACAAAAAATAATCATGTCAGGTCCAACTGGACCTGGCCCATTGTCATGGGATCCGGCCATTCTCATCGCTATAATAATATTGAATCCCACCATTCTACTTCAATGTTCAAAAAAAAAATAAAAATGGAGAGAGTTACAAGTGTTTAATTTAGGCCAAAATAAACGTGGAGCAAAGGAGGATATCCTTGGGGATTATGCCATTAGTGTGTGTATCTCTATCTGTATGTAAGAAAGAGACAAGCATATTCTCTTACACAACCTTTTCTCTCTCTCTTTTTTTTTTTTGGCACTAAAAAACTTATAAATGGCTACCATTTTTAGTCGATTTTAGACCTCGTGAGATGGCATGCAGAAGATCACTTGCTGCCTAGCTAGCTAGCTAGGCACGGTGGGGCATGGTCGAGACGGCTTCAACTAATCCCGTTGTTTTTACAGGGCAACTCTATACGATCCTTTGGCAATGCGTGTATCCAGTTTTCTTCTTTTAATTTTAATTTTCGATTGAAAGTGTATTTGGAAAATGGTTGTGGAGTTTGCTAAGTAATGAAAAATTTATTTGTTATATATGGTACATATATCGTGGCATTTATATATTTTTAACGCTATTGAGTTGATTTAATTTTGTTGATGCAATTTAATAAACTAATTTTAACGTTATGTCATTCTATTATTGATTTCTTATTTTTGTTTATGAAAACTTTTTTAAAAATATATTTTAATTTTTTCAAATTAAATATTGAGAGAATATACCATTTTTAACTTTTTAGGATCATATTGTATTTTTAGTAACATATCCTAAATTAGATTTGGTTTGGAAATTTTTTTTAGTAATGCACCTTAAATGAAAATACAAACAAAAAACATAAAATTGGTAGCATATATTGTAATAAAGAATTATAGCATTTGACATTCAATTCAAATACTCTTGAACAAACTCATCTCTTAACTGTGGGCGTAAAGGTCTTTAGTAAAATATCAAATTTAAGCAAAATCATATGTGGATTAACATTATTGAGAATTGTACTTTCAATTTTAAAAAAAAAGTTAATACCGTCGCGAATAGCTAACTATTATTTTGACTAACTGAAAAAGCTGTCTCAATTATTACATCCGGCAAATTGGATGAATTCACATAAATTAGTGAGCATAGTCAAGTACTGTTCTTAACCCCGTGTTTTATTTTACCAAAAATAAATAAATAAATAAATCCAACAATGCATATAATATTGTAGAAAACATATATACATCCAAAGTAGATACAAGAACGACAAAGTAACAAAATCGGTAAAAATGACCTGGTGGTATGGAATGGACATGTGCGACCTGACACCTCCAAGTCTTGACGGCGGAGATGGAGATAAGAGTAAAGTAATTGAATACAATAAATTATTATTATTATTTTATCAAAAATAAGAGATTGTTATTCTCATTTATTTTATTTATTTTTAATTGTTTGTATTTTTTTTATATTTTATATTATAATTTTTAAATAAGTAATTATTAAATAAAACAAAACATTTCTAACAAAAAAATTATAAATTACATTGTTTTAAAAAATATAATTGAAACAATTTACAAATATATATAATACTCCATATAATATTTATTAAAAACTTAACACATAAAAACAAAATATTAATTTGAGGTTAAACTGTTTTTTTAAGGACCCTTTATCATTTTAGTCCCGCAATGAAGCATGTCGCAAACTAGTTCCACAAGTGAAAAAAAAATTTTGTTTTAGTCCTTCGGCGCCGGAGACGCCCGCGTGGTTCGCCGGAGGCTATGTGTCCGTCATGTCATTTTATTTTATTTCATTTTTTTTAAATTTATTTTTAATTTTATTTGTTTTTTTTTAATTTTTTTTATTTGATCCAATTGAAAAAAATTAAAAAAAAATAAAAAAATTCACGTGTCCGCCAGGTGTCGCTGATTTGGCGGGACACACGTGTCTACACGTGGCTTCTGGCAAGCCACGCGAGCTTCTCCGGCACTGGAAGACTAAAACAACAAAAATTTTTCACTTGTAGAACTAATTTAAGACAGGCTCCACTTGCGGACTAAAATGATAAAGGCTCGGTTACGGGCCAAAAAACAAATAGCCTATGCAAATTAAAATTTAAATTCAAATTAAAATAAATAAACCTAAAATTAAAAAGAAAAAAAAAATTATGTAGTATTGAATTTTTGTCAAAAATATTTAACAATAATCTCCCTAAATCAAAACTAGAAAATTTTTAGGGTATATATATTTATGTCAAATATATGTATAGTATATAATAATATTATATAAAATTAATATGATTAAATTATTTAATTATGTTAAGAAAATCATAAAATTATTTTTTTCCTATTAAAAATATGAATTACAAAAGAAATCACGTGCATATATATAGAGTATGTACGTATTTCAAGGCAAGTATAAATATAGATTAATTTAAAATACATGTATGCATATTCTTATTTTCAGTTTGGATTATGACTTTTGGTGTTACTAGGTTTTAATATTTTCTCCCCAAATTGATAACCGTTCGCTTTCTTCCCTCCATAGATATACGTTGAAGAAGGTCCTGATAATCTTCGCGTTTGCTTTACTCTAGATTCACCCTCTTTTTTTGTCGATCCGGCCGCGTATTAATCACTCGCCGGCCCCTCTCAACGAACTTGTTTAATCGATGCCCCCAAGATAGCCAACTCTATTATCAAAGAAATTGGGGGGGCGATTTGGCGCCAGATTCCTGGAGGTGTGTAAAGAACCTCGGGAATCCCCCAGGTATGTTAAAAGTGTTGGTTTCTGAAACTATGGCTTTGTGGTTCTTGATTTGCTTCTGATTCAGCAGTTCTTCTTGAGCGTTGAATGCTGGGCGTTGGCTGTGGGGATTTTGATGTTGTCTATTGACTGGAATGTGTTGTTGTTGGAGTGAATGGATTTTTAGTTTTTTTTTTTTTTTCTCTTTTTTTTTTTCAGAAATAGTTTGTGAATTCTCACATGGAGTCTCTGTTAGGCTGATCGTTTCATGTTAGTGTATTTACTCACCTGCGGCGGTGCTGTGGTTTCTCATTACTAGTGTATTACAGAGCGTGTAGAATCAGGGTAGGTGCTTGGGAGTTAATGGACTAAGTATATCAGTGTTTATAATAATAATAACAATAATTATCGAACAAGTTCGTGTTAACTATAGCTTATAGCTGATTATTATGATGCTAATCTTTGATAAGTATAAGTGCTTTGCTTCTTTGTTATCATGGGATGAAAAGGGTTTTGGAATCTTTGGGTAATGTAATATGGTGCTGAATGTTTTTGTCTGACTATGGCTTTAATCATCTACTTACCATTAAGAGCTCTCCCGCCTTCTTCTCCCCACTTCAAATTTTGATTGCTTTTTTTTTTTAAGAAAAAAAAAACTTCTTGACTGTGTTGTTGGTCAAATGCGCATACAATAAAGGCTGGCATGCATGCATTTATTATAGCATATGGTTTTATTGTTTTGTTTGTGCTAAAGACAAAGCTTCCTTCTCGCCATTGTCAGGCAATGATAGGGATTAGCAAAAGCTGGTGCTTAATATTTACATTATTGAACATCTGAACAATAGATTGTTTTGTACTTACGAAGATGAGTCAACCCTCAATATTCTTGTTTAGAGTATGTCTATGTCTACACAATGTATGATTTTAAACATATTAAATTATACATAGATTCAAGTTCAACATTCCCTCTTAAGATTGCTAATTGATGACTTTAGGTTTTTCATAGTTACAAAAATCTTCATGTTGAGTTTCATCTCTTTGAGATTCTAATTGGTAGTGTAAATCAAAAGTATTTCATCGACTTGGTGATCTTTTATGTTCTTTATTATTGTTTGTAATTGTAACACCCCGGCTCATTCCCACCCTTTTTTGTGAGCCAATCATGTTATGTGATCTTAGACTAGCCCCATAGATCAACATGGATGTTTTCAACATGATTTGTCTTCATTTGCATGCACCCTGGGAAACTTTTTGGGTCACTGATCCTAAAATTGCTTTAGAGCAAGCATAATTAACTTTAGAGTTATTTCAAGTGGGCTTTTCAGTGGATTCTAAAAAACGAATGTATGCATTGTTGATATGAATAACTCAAAGTATTCTTAAACTCCACCCAAATATGGGTATCACACACTCCCCTACTTTAGATCTCAATGTCCTCCTTGAGTCCAACTAGGTCGCTCACTTGTTCATCCAGTTGTGGCATTGTTACAGATTGTCTCTGATACTAACTGCAGTATCTTGGCTCACTCCCACTCTCTCTTGGTGAGTCAAGCATGTCATATGGTCGTCTACTAGCTCTACTAATTAACATGAGTCATTTTAGTACATTTTGTCCTCATTCTCTAAAAGCAATGTGCACACTGGTGATATACGCAGTCTAATCAATCCTTTTGACCTCCACCCATATCTGGGGTTATTTATATGATGCTTTAACAAGTAGAATTTCTGTATCGTCACCTTCTTCCCATGTTCTTGTCCACAACAAGTATTCATCATACTTTTAACTTGTCATTCCTTTAACATCTTCGGATTCTTTTTCATTATTCCTCTCATCATCTCTTTTTCTATGTTATGTCCACCATTCATCCTTTTCTGCCATTATTTTCTCAGTTTTTTCAGACATTCTTGTCACTAATTTCCAACATATCTTCCATCTAAATATCACATGCTGGAAATGGAAAGAAGCAATTTCTGAAAGGAAGATGTAACGAGAGTAAGTAGATAAATATATAAATCTGAAAAGGAATAATATTGTAATATATAGAAATTTTTATTGAGTTTCTGACTTTAGATTTTGTTTGATAAGAGGAACATTCTCTGTATATAGTTTTTTAAACTGAAAACCATGCATGCAACCTCTTTCATATACATGCAAATATTTGAACTTCAACTAATGAAATATTCTTCCTATCTAATTTTACTTCAAACGCATGTATACATCATACGTGCTCACGTCCAGAAACATTCATCCCATGATTGATTTCTATTCCTCTGCTAAACATTGTACAGACATTAATAAGATATAAATATATTTACAATTTTAAACAATCAAAGTGCACACTATTAAACACCTTTTACTATTCATTAGAAAAAAGGTGAATTGAAACTTATGTTTCTCACACCATACTGTGAGCCATGTGCTATGGCACCGGAAATCTTATGATATGTCATAGACTATTACGGAGTAACATTTTAGTAATATATGGATCTGAATAAGAATTACTTTTTAGATAGTTGCTATAGACTTGGTGCAATATGTTTGTTTTCAAAATTGTTCAAAAAATCAAAGTTTATGTGTATTCTTGGACCATTTTTTATAAATATAATGAAGGAACCTGTGAAAGAAGGAAATTCTTCATACTCATAGAAACTTAGTTTTATCCGTTCTACTCTAATTCTACACTTGAGTTGAGGATTGTAGTAGTTCCAATGATGGTGTACAACTTACGTAATTACTGCGTTACCTACCTAACATGAAATGAATTTGGTAAATAAGAAATTTTGAATTGTATGAACTTGATTCTGTGTGAACATGGTAAGAATAAATGAAATCCTCAAGGGTATTTACTGAATATGATGTCAAAATATTCAATATGTATTCAAAATAAAAACATATAATATTTTTAATTTTATTTATTTATATAGCCCACCTATACACTAAAACTTTCACATGTAGATTTCAGATCCAAACTCTGCGCCGCTTCGTTTTCTCCGCCATATTTTCTCTGCTTTGGATTCTCCGCCTCGTTTTCTCCACTTTGGTTTCTCCGCCCCGTTTTATTCACTTTGTTGTCTCCGCCTCGTTCTTCACTTTGTTTTCTCCGCTTCATCTTCCGCTCATTTTTCCTCTTAGTTGTTCTCTGGTTCTTTGAAAGTTCATGCTGATCTTTGTCTTTCTTTTCTCAAAATAACAAGCTTTTGTTTCGGCACTTTGGATTAAGGTAAGATTCATGCTTTTCTGCGTTGGTGTTGTGGGAGAATGGTTTTCTCGCTTTGGTTTCTCTTGGTCAATGGAAATATCAGTATTTTCGATATAAAGAGAAAAGCACATGAATATTTTTGGGTAGCTTGATATCTTAGTGAATCCTTGAATTAAATCTGGTCGAATCCTGAATTTAGTGTGTACAGATTTGAGTTACTTTGATAGGTTTTTGGAAAAATCAGATCTAAAAAATTGCTAAATCGACTTATTGGTTACCAAATTGGAATTTAGATCTCACTTTTGTTCTTTTGTGTATATATATAGATATGTATACCGCTGTATTGTTTGTGTGTTTCGGTGTTTGGTTGTTCTTCTTCTTGGATCTACTGTGGATATGTCCAATATGCAGAAAGTTAACGAAAGTACATTCTATGCATTTCCGGTGAAATTTTGGTTGAGTAATATACCCAATGGTTGGTTGTTAATCTCTCCAACTCGTTGCAAGCTTCCATAGAAGCATCTGTTTAAACTTTGTTGTTTGCTGGGATTGTTTATGAACTCACTTGTGCTTGATTATCCGCACATCCTGATTTGTGTTGGACTTGCATAAAATGAGATCGAGAATCCAGGATCCTTGTTTCAGGAATGTTTGATGGGATTTTGTGTCCAATTATTTTCTTCCTTTAAGCCTGTGGATATACATTTCATCTCAAATAGTTTCTCTTTCTACTTTCAAGGCATTATGCTTCTTTTACCGTCTTCTGTCTTTCAAGATAACTGTAGTGTGGTTTTTTAAGCCAAGCAGCCATTGTTGTAATTAGATTATTTGCAATAGCATTAGTGTTAATCTCACTTGATGTACTTGTTGATTTATTATTGTTATGGTTTGCATAGTGCATTGCATGTTTTCATGGGAAAACAGACCAAAGCTAGATTAAATTGTCTTGATATCTGGAGTTCATTCTTGGTTGTAGGTACTGATGGATAACATCAAGAGCCAGGGTGTCACTAATGTTCAAGTAAGCAAGCAAAACGTCCAACTTTATCTTCTTAACTATTTTCATGGATACTCGAAGTTCGTGATTCACAAATATTTTGGAATGTATTTTTTGTCTAAGTTGTACCAGGACTCACACACACACACACGAGGAGTGCCACTGACTTTGATTTTCCATGTTATTTGAATTGTTTAGATATTGGAAGGTCTACTTTGGTGGCATTTAAATGATTCCTTTTCAAGCTTGATGGTGATGTGCAGATGATTATTTTGATAGTTGACATATACTTTTAACAATATACTCATAGCTCTGATTATGTCTTCATGCTTGTAACCAGTCACATTTTTATCAGTAGTAGTTTACACATCTATCATGCAAAAATAATCTTCTGATTTGGTTCATGTCATGCATAACCATGATGCTCCTTCTACTTCCTGTCTGATAGACTGATACTATTATGCACAGAAACTTAGTTATATACTAATCATGCAATAAGAGCACACTTCTAAAATTTCTTCACATATTTCTTATGCAATGAACAACTGTTGCTCTTTGGATATGCTAGTCATGCATGTCTGTGACTGCGTTGTTTGTATTCATTATGATGTCAAGACTCAAGAGTGAACTTTTTGGAAATTTCAGCTTAAGATTCACAAAGATCCAAGTTTGACAAACATATACAATGTTTCTTCTTATATTTGAAGCTTGTATGATAGATGCCAATTTTGTTGAAATGTTGTAGGACATGGATTTAGGTGAGATAGTGGTATCTTCCATTCGGCCAGGGATGAAGAGGGAGTTTGCAATGATGATGAAAACCCAATTGGAATTAGGAGGCCTTACTTCAGGTCGCAGGAGAGTTACCAGGTCCCTATATGCTTCTGGTGGTAATTCTAGCAAGGGTTCTGTGCCAAGTCATGGTAAATCTAATAAGAAAGTAAGGCAGTTGGGTTCTAATGAAGTGGAGAAGAATGAAGAAGAAACTTTGGATGCAGAGGATAATGGAAAATTGAAGGATGATGCTATTTCAGAAATGTCTACGTTTGCAGATGGGCTAGGAGAAGTAAGTGCTGAGGATAGGAGTGAGTTAGAGAAAGTGAGGGATGATTCTAAGGGGGGTGCTGCTCAACCTCTGTGTGCAGAAGACTTGCTGCCTCAGGCTGGGGATAGTGATAAAGAAGTTATTCAGGGAAGTGATTCGATAATTGGAGGGGAACTGTCTCATGACAGTGGCAGTGCAGGTACTTCAACAACCACCCCATTGAAGTTAGAAATGAAAATGTCCAAGAAGGTTGAGCTGAAAAGAACTCCAGCGAGGTTAAAGGATCTCCTTGAGACAGGGCTGCTTGAGGGTTTACATGTCTGTTATCGTGGTTCAAAGGTGAATATTTGATAATTAGTTTAGCTTCTGCTTTTGTTTTTATGTGATACATCTCAATACCTTTTTATTGAACATGCATAGGGGAAGAAACGGAAGGGGTCAGTGCTACATGGAATCATTCAGGGAACAGGGATATTGTGTGCGTGTGATGAATGCAAGGGAAGCACGGTATGGGCTTTGGGCATTTATAATTGCAATGGAATTGGGATGATTCAATGCTACTTACTGTTGGTTGTTACTGATGTAGGTTGTCACCCCCAATCAATTTGAATTGCATGCGGGGAGTGGAAATAAACGTCCACCAGAGTATATCATGTTGGACAATGGAAATAGTCTGAGAGATGTGCTGAATGCATGCAAAGCTGATTCATTAGACTCGCTGGAATCGGTAATCAGGAGTGCTATTGGTCGATCAGATCATACCAATGCCTTTTGTGTTAATTGTAAAGGTGGTATTTGCATCTAGGCTTTATTTTATGTATATATATAGATATAATGCAGTGCACATGCATTTTGACTAAGATTTGACAACAATTTTCTCTTGGCTTTTTGTGCTTCTAGAGTTGATTCCTAAGGCTGGCACAGGCAGACCGATGCTTTTATGTGATTCATGCATTCAATCAAAGGACCCTGATTCTGGTCATACTCAGATTACCCAGACTACTCTTAGGTAAATTCGCTAGCTTTGATTAAAGTCTACCAAACAATACTAATTCTAGATCTCTACATATCTTGCACTTCCATCCTGCTCCTTTCCTGCATTTGCACATCGGGAACCTTAACAGTAACGAATAAATTTAATGAAATCATATGAATTCAATAATTTGGATGATTGGGTATCATAGGAACCTCTTTCCAATAGATTTGAAAGTGAATGGGAATAAGCTAATTATGTCATGGAAAAAAATCTCAGTGAGGGTTGTATAACCCATGATTAGAGATTAATCTCAGTGGTCTCTAGGCATAACTTGAGTGAAGATATGAATTCCACATGTATCCAGATGCATAACTGATGCCATATGAAGAGTGAAACTTGTCCATTTAGTAGGTAAAACCTATGCAACAAAATATTTTTGTCCTGAAATGTAAATGGTAGAATTGAGGAATGATTTTGAAGCCAATCTTCTGAAGCTCACTAGCTTACTTGTCAATCAAAGGGAAATCAATAGATTTAGTCAATTGTTACTCATCAGAAGAGCAAAGCATGGTTTAAGAGACATGTGTCACTGAAGGGATTATCAAGTTCCTGGTTTGTCTATAGCCACGGATCTTCTGGGAGCTATATATATATATATATATATATACTATTAATCATTTTAACCTTTTTCAATGTGCACCAATCTCTGAACAATTAGGTCACCATTGGCTGATGTGTCTTCTTCCATTCCCTCTGGCTCTCAACCTGCCCTTCAAGAAAGTGATGAAACTTCTTCTGGTACTCAACCACAAATTAAACGCCAAGGGAAGATAACAAGGAAGTATGCTCTTTGTTTATACTATTTACTAGTAAACGTTAGATGCAATGTGATTCTGGAAGGTTTTATGTTGGCTTTATTATGTATCTTTTCTATTTGCAGGGATTTGAGGATGCATAAATCTGTTTTTGCAGAAAATGTGCTTCCTGGTGGCACTGTTTTGGCATATGTTTTGCATGGGAAGGTAATTTTCATTGATATCTTTGTATTATTGTAACTGCCTTTAGAAAGGTCAAGTCAGTTACATAATTCTGGAAATACTGTTGACCATTCCTTGTTCGAATGGATGTTCATTTTTTGTTACATTCTTGCAATGAAACAGATAAGGCTTAAAGGTTATAAGAGGGATACTGGTATTTTATGCACGTGCTGCGAAGAAGTGGTATTTTATCTTTTGATATTTATCAATCTTGTTGCAGCTTTGGTTAATATATATGTATTTATAGTTTGTCTTTACAATTATATTTCATACTATTCACCTTTAAATCAAATTGGTGGTGATTTTGACAACCACAACATTTATGAACAGATCAGCCCCTCATTGTTTGAGAACCATGCTGGTTTTTCTTCTCGAAGAAAACCGTGAGTATTGTCTATCTTTTAAATTTTGATGTTTCTTGTGATTTTTGGAACACTTTAATTGTTGTGATTGAATCTGAACTCTTGTTCTTTGCTTGCAATGTAAGTGCAATAACTTTTTATATGGTTTGCAGTTACATGAGTATATACACATCGAATGGAGTGTCTCTGCATCAGCTATCTGTTGCACTATCCAAACATCGAACAGCAGATCCAGATGAAAGTGATGACCTATGCTTTACATGCCAGGATGGTGGGGAATTACTTTGCTGTGATAATTGTCCGCGGGCATTTCACATTGGTGCGAATGTTTTTCATACTGTGTCAGCTTTCTTTGATCAAGTTTGTTGTATGCATTTTAATCCCTTCCCCCACTTTGCATATAATTGTCCCTGTGCAGAATGTGTTGGTCTTTCCTGTGTTCCTGAAGGAAAATGGTATTGCAAATATTGCCGTAACATGTTTGAAAAGGAGAAGAATGCGGAGCGTGATGCCAACGCAATAGCTGCTGGGAGAGTCCCTGGTGTTGATCCTATAGCAGAGATACATCAAAGGTGTATTCGTGTCATTGAGACACCGACGCCTGAACCTGACACAGAAGGATGTTGTACCATTTGCAGGTATCTGTTTTTCTTCATCTGTAACATGTGCTAATTTATTTTTGGATTATAGTGTAATCATTCTCACCTCTTCAATATTTTCCCCCTTGTAACTATTCTATTATTTCATGCAGGGGCAATGATTTTACGAAGTCAAAATTTGATGGCCACACAGTTATGATCTGTGATCAGGCATGTTGAAGCCAGTTTTCAAAATCTTGTTGTAATTTTCATTATTTCTGATGTCACAAGCTTGTAAATCATGTCCCTTCTTTGTGCAGTGTGAAAAAGAATATCATGTTAGATGCCTGAAGGAGCACAACATGGATGATTTGAAGGTTGTTATGATACAATTGTGTTTATGATTCTTAGTTTTCAAGTGTGTTGAATATTGTCCCACATTGGTAAATATGTGGGAACTCCCCTATATAAGTGAAGGGCCAATCCACCTATCACCAATTGGTTTTAGATTGGATGGCCGGATCTCTTCTTAACATGGTATCAGAGCAATGGTACCCATATTGGGTTTAGATCCTGAATGGATTTTCGAGATTATTATGTCGAGGGGGGAGTGTTGAATGTTGTCCCACATTGGTAAATATGTGGGAACTCCCCTACTATATAGGGGTGAACGGCCACTCCACCTATCACCAATTGGTTTTAGATTGGATGCCCGGACCCCTTCTTAACAAAGTGTTTTTGACAGGCAATTGTCACCTGTCTTCTAAACAATCTTGTGTATAAAATCTACAGGAATTGCCTGAACATGAATGGTTTTGTACCAAAGCATGCAACAATATGTATTCTGCACTTCAGAAGTTGGTTGACTCTGGTGAGCAGAGGCTTCCAGAGACTATTCTGAACAACCTGAAGGGGAAGATCGAGGCTCAAGATTCACAGCAGAATCCTGAGCTTGATGTAAAATGGAGGCTTCTAATTGGAAAGAAGTCTTCAGAAGAAACCAGGGCGTGGCTCTCTGGCGCTGTCAATATTTTTCAAGTGAGTGACTAATATACCACAGTTCCCTTTGTACATTTAATCTTATAGTTTTCGGTATACTTGTCTGCATACTACATTCCTCATAAGATTGGTAGCCACAGGATTATTTGTTGGTACATCAGTCAGCATCATGTGCGTAATTCGGGAGGATTGTAATTTTAGCTTCTAGAATTTGAATTTTCATTGGCCTTTACCTCCTGCAATGTCTTCTAAAATATTAAATTGTCAGCAGAATGCTTGTTTACGAAACCATCTTTTCAAATATTAATTTCTTGTTTATATCTGTAATTTTCTTCAGGACTGTTTTGATCCCATTACTGATTCAAGCCCTAAAAAGCGTGACCTTATTCCGGGCATGGTTTACGGGTAAAGCGTCGCAATATCTGGCACCTTCCCTATACAAGTTTCTTCATGCATTCAACATTTTGTGACCCATTTGTTTGTGACATGCAGGAGGACCTCCCAACTACATGATTTCAGTGGCATGTATACAGCTGTATTGATGGTCGAGTAAGAAAGATAAATCCACAATGCTGCATAGTGTCCACATGTAGACTTCTTCAATTTGTTCTGAGGTTGTGTCTTGTTTTTACAGCTCGGTGGTTGTTACTGCTGGAGTTTTTCGAGTATTTGGAGAGGAGGTTGCGGAACTTCCTTTGGTTGCGACTAATCCCAAGTTGCAAGGAAAGGTGAGACTTATTGACTTACATGTTTATTCTTCATGATAGAAAAGAATTATAATTTATTTGTTGTAAAGATTTTTGATTAAGATAAAAGACTTCAATCCCTTCTAGAGAATCTTAATTTATGTGATTGAGCTGCATGCATATTGTTTGGGGATTACCTCACTTAAACCGTATGTATTATTGCATTTTTGTTTTTATTTTTTCCGATACACTCCTCATGTGCAGGCGAGTTCATTTGATCGACTTTGTGGGCTCTAATACATGTCATCACTTCGCATAAAACTTCAATTTATGAAGAGATGCTCTATCTATATTTAGTACTAAATTTCTTCAATATATAATATACCCGAACCGCTCATTTTGCAGGGATACTTTCAAGCGCTCTACGCTTGTATTGAGGATGTTCTGTCATCCCTCAACGTGAAAGTGCTGGTCCTTCCTGCTGCCCATGATGCCGAAACCATGTGGAAAAACAAGTTTGGGTTCACAGAACTTCCAAAGCATGAGGTTTGATATTATATATATATATATCTCTTCTATTGGAAAATTCTTTCCTGATCATCATTTCTCAAATGCTGAATATGTTATTGGTTCTTTTGCAGTGGAAGCGATACAACCGGGGCAACAAATTGATGTTTTTTCAAGGGACCACAATTCTACATAGACCGGTTCCCGTGTCTCCCAACCCCGTTGTGCCGAGGGTTGTTGATGAGAGTTGATCAAGGTTTGAAAATGGCCTTCTTTTGCCCTCTTATTATTATATGGTCTTTGCTGTTTATCTCGGCTCTTCTGATAAAATAAATTTGAAATTGCACAGAAGACATACATACAAAAATCCTCAGGCTTGAGGTCCACATTTTTTGCTGTTTTGGAAATGCGGGAAAACGGTATTGGATTTGAATTGAATTCTTGGGGTTTTAATTCTTAAATCCCAGACCCGGACCCAGTGTAGAAATATTTACTTTTGTAAGAAATGTGTACTCTTGGTTGGAGTAGTACATTCTCAACTATTGTCGCGTTTTTGGGATATTCCGAAGACAGCTGTGGTGCTTCTAAAATTTATATGTTGGAACTATTTTGTTTGTTTTATTCACCTTTATGCTTCAATTTATGCTTTGGCCATATTTATTATGATATGATATGGAATCTGCAGGCGTTATTTTTTTTCGACCTAAAGCCTTTGGAGGGTTTAAATTCATAATTTCAGATCATGAATTTACACGCAGATCTTTCGTTGTTGGATCATATTTTATTATTAGAAAAATAATCTTAGCAGATTATATATATGTTTTTTCTTCTTTATTTTTTTATTATTATATGTTTTAATAGCTTAGGAATCTGAGGTCGTTACCCTCCGGGCGTGTGCTATGAGTAAACTTTCTATTGAACTTAATAGATTGCAAATTTTCGACAAGCAAATTACACTCATTTTCTTAAACTTGGATCGCATTTGTAGTATATAGGCAGATGGCCCACAAAGCTTACGGATATAGTTAGTGTTATGTGATTTTTTTTAGAGAGAAATGTAAAAAGAACAACATTTTATATTTAAAATAAATATTGTATGTGATTTTTTTTAAGAGAGAAATATAAAAAGAACAACGTATAAATTTAAATCCATTTTTGGCCGCACTTGAACATTATATTATAAATGTTCGATGATTCTTTTACTTCAAAATTTTTAAAATTATTATTTTGAAAAAAAAAAAAAAAAAAGACAAGAAAACAATGACCAATATTTGACAAAATATGGGTTTGATTAGATGGCATTCCCATTCTAGTAGATTTTATTATAATAGGTGTACTAAAATTCAGCTGATTCCCACTTTAGTCCACTATATATATATATATATTTCATTATTATTATTTCCAAATGGTCTTCACGCGGAAACCGTTATATATAACATATATATATATATGTGTACGGATAACTATCTATATCTATGTATGCCCTCCAGGGCACAACACGTTAATATTTATTTCCCCATGAAAGCCTGTAATGAAATACTAATAATTACTACTATAATATAATAGAGCTGTATAAAAATAATAAGAGACCTCCTTAATTTCTAATCATTTGATACAAATTAATTATTATATATAATTAGCAATGGGATGTGTGTGTATAGTAAATATTAGTTAGATGGCCACTCTTTAATTGTACATAGAACATTATTTTGCCACATTTTATATAATATATGGCAAAATAATAATTAACCATCAGTCCCATCTTACACTCATGGCCTTAGTTTAGATAGAGATTTTGATTTTGAGTTTTAAATTTTTTTTTAATAATAAAATTGGGGATTTCTGTTTACGGATATATGATTAACGTATAGGGTGTGTTAGATATGAATTTATTTTATTTTTTCTAGAGTCATGATAGTAAAATTAAAGTTGAATACAAAATATATATTTAATGTGATATTTTTAATGAAAAATACATATTTTATACTCCATGTCATTCAAATTTATTCTCATTTTTCTTTTTTGGTTGCCATCCAAATTTATTTCCGTTTTTTTTTAAGTAAAGAAATACCATTTTTTTTTAGCAAAAAAAGTAAAAAATTTTATTTTTATATATTTTTCTTAAAGCCCGTACTCGGTCAAATGAACACACAATTAGATGACGGAGGGAGTATAATTTTTTAAAGAAGTACAATATATTATTGATGAATAGTGACAAAGTGATTTGAAAACACATAGCCAAAATATCCTTAACTCTTGATCACATATTAATAGACCTAATAAGATGATGTCGTATTCTATAATTATTACTCCCTCCGTCCCACGTACCATGTTCATGTTGCCGTTTCTGTCTGTTCCACATACTATGTCACTTTCATTTTTTCGAAAATGATTACACACTTTAATCTCATTTTAAACTTTTAAATTTTATTTTTTTTAAAATTTTAATTAAACTAATTAGTTATCTTAATCTTAATTTATAATTATTTATATTATAAGATAATTATTTTTACTAATACATTTTTAATTATCTACTAATTACATCCCTCCTAAAATACTAAAATACCATGTTTACAGATGTAGTAATATTCAACAATATTAAATCACACTACAATGAATCCCATTGTCCATATATATCTGTAGAAATAAAAATAAAAAATAAAAAATGATTGAAAAAATGGAGAGAACGTGAAGCAGGCATAGAATTTTTTGTGAGTTGGTTGTTGTGTTGTGTAATTGTCCGTGTGGACCATTCTTGACTCACTCACTCACTCCCTCTCTTACCCTTATAGCCCTTTGTCTTAAATTAATTAATTAATTAATTAATTGTCTACACAGTTTCTATTTATATATATATATATGATTAATTAATTAATTAATTAATTAGTGTAATATTTGTAAGCGTATCTCACGGCTGCCAGTCTTTGCCAATTCTTTTTCTTAGACATTTTATATTCTAATAATTAATTTGTTTATTTTTTGCAGCTTCAATAATTAAATAAGTCGTGTGCTACTGCACATGCACATGCACACTCTCACTTTTTTTTTTAATTTTTATTTTTAAATTTCAGAATTTAATTGATTGGTATTATTATTAGTAGTATTATTTCCTCTGCTGGGAATAGGATGTTCGGTTGCTGTGGTTGGTTGGTTAGTTTCAACATATAATATATATATATATATGATTATTTATTTATTTATTTATTTAGGTAAGGGCAGATGCCGACATGTTTACTATTTGTCTATCAAATAAATTCATTTAAATTACCATTATAAGATTACTATTCATTGTAATTTATTTTTAGAAAATATTGATATATAAATATTTGAGTTAGTTAAAAGTGAAACAAGAGCATTGCCATATTTGCATACAACATTTTGAATAAAAAATTGTACACTACAAAAAAATATATATATATATATTTGTAATGGAAGTTCCTAAAGATCACGTAGCTAACGTAATTCCATCATTAATTTTGTCTCTAATATCATTAGTAACAAAAAAAAAAAGAATTTAAAGACGAAAAAATCTCGTTACAAAAATGATATTTTCTTATAGTGATAGTTGAATACAATGTGTTTGTTTTCCGTAGCATGTCAGTAATATAAAAAATTATGTTAAATTGTTATCTATGAGTTTATGTTATGTAGAATGTATATATATATATATATTAATTTTACTTTTTTATAATATTAATTGAAAAATATATCAAAATTTTAACATACTGTAATATTTTATCTTTGAAAATTTTAAAATTCAAAGAAAGTACATCAAACCAGTCTTGTTCTATTATAAAGTCAACTTGATTGTTTCGATTAAACCAATTAAAGGTGTATTTAGTTGATGGTTATTTATTTATTGTTTTATTTGAATAATAATTTAAATGTGTTGTTTTGTAAAATAAAATAAAAATAGTTATTATTAAAAAAAAAATGAAATAATAAGAATTGAAAGTAACTTTAAAAAGTAAAAACAATATATAATAAGATTGGTGAGGTAATGCTTTAATCAATTTAATTAATTAATGTATAAATTTACTTAGCTTAGGTTGGGTGGAGTTGCAATATATTTGCCATTATCACTAATTATTACACTTACAAGACTGTAATTGATTGGTAATAATTAAGGATAATGACAATAATCATCATTCCATGCCTATATTAATCATACCAAATACACAAAAAATGTGACTTCATGATATCTTATTCATTTGCAAACTCATCATTTTAATACTTTATATTTTCTCCACACAAAATTGATGGTTTCTTTTTAGTTTTTGTTGAAATTAAAATTTTAATCTAAATATTATTTTGATATTATATTTTATAAGATAAATAAGATATTTTTATAAAAAATTATATGAACCAAATAATATTGATTTTAATTTCAAACTAAAATCAAACAATCCTTAGACTTGTTTTTACTCTTATTAATTTTGATCTAGTTTCATCTAAATTTTTGAATATTTGAGTTAAAAATAATTGTTGGATAATACTCCCTCAGTCGCTTTTTTTGTTGTTGTTCGTTAGACCTATTTACATTAAACTATTTTATTCACCAAAAATTTCTATCATTCATCTTTTAACAAATAATAAGCGATTTGTCATTATTTTTTCTACTAGTCACATTATATTTTTATTAATTCTTTAATAAATTTTTTTATAATACTCTCACTTTATTTTTTATTTATTCCACCATTACAAAAAAAATAATATATTTGTAACGGAATTTCGTCCCTAAAGTTCACGTAGCTAACGCAATTCTATTCTTAATTCCGTCTCTAATGTCATTAGTAACGGAAAAAGTAGATTTAGAGACACAAATATTTTCTTACAAAAATGATGTTTTCTTGTAGTGCACTTTTATATTACTTCCGTCCACTCACAAATATACATATTTCTATTTTAGATGATCTAATTATAAAATAATTATTTTTTCTTTTAGTAACTATAAATCTTTTGTTTTTCTACAAATACTCTCATTTTATCATCTTATTACTTTTACATAAAAAGTTAATGGTAAAATTATCTTTACACTAGTTAACTATCTATTATAATTAAAATACTACTCCTTCCGTCCCAAAACTATAGTTTGGGTTGTGTTTGGCACGGGATTTAAGGAATATTAATATTATATTGATAGTGGGTAAAAAGTGGTAAAAGACTTTTCGCCCTTGTGAGTATATTAGTGTAAAAAGTAGTAACAATTGTGTAATAATAATGAAAAAAGTAAGGATAATTTTATAGTAATATGGTTATTTATGGAAATGAGACTATTGTCTTGCGACGGACAAAACTGGTAAACATGACTATCGTATTGGGACGGAGGGAGTATTATTTTTTAAATTTTGTGTAAAAAATAAATATAAATTTTTGAAAAGAATGAATGAAGTATTAAAATATTATTATTTTATAGTTTTCGTACTCAATTAAAATGACATAATTAGTCCGGATGGATGAAATATTATTAATGAATAAAAATAAAAACACAGTATATATTAAAATATATTCCAAATGCATTCATTTAAATTCTAATTTATTTGAACAATATTACTAGGTTTAGTTATTAGAGTATAATAGTGTAGCCATCAAATAATTTATATATGTATATAATATTTTCTAATGATACCTTCAATATGCATTATTCAAAAAGTAAAATTTAAATTTGCATAGATGATAAAAGATTATAACATAATTATTATAGGAAGGTAAAATCACAAATATTTGTTTACAAAACCAAAAAGCTATATAATAATTTGCATTTGTACCTTTATTTATTAACATTCAAACTAGTTATACTCCCTCCGTCATGCAAATGTGTGCTCATTTGACCGGGTACGAGTTTTAATAAAAATAAGTAATAATTGTTACTTTTTTTATAGTAAAAAAATATACAAAAACGTAATAATTTTTTTATTTAAAAACAAAATGAGAATATTTTTCAACGACAATCCAAAAATAAAAGTAAGTATAGGATTTGAACGACGGAAGGAATATTAATTATTGCTTTGATTTCTGTGTGTTTGTTTGGGGGTTTGGATTTTGAGTTGGGATTTGAATAGTAAAAAATTTGAATTTGAATAATTGTATGATGTGATATAAATAGGTGTTGATGTGATGTTTTGAATAGTATAATATAAAAAATAAAAAATAGATGTTTGATTTGATATTTTTGAGAAAAAAAAAAAATTGGATGAATAGTATAAATTTAAAAGAAATTAAAAGAAGCAATTGAAACATAAATTAGACAGGGGTCAATAATAAGATCCGGTTTCAGATCTGTGGAGCCCACCCGACCCGACAACTCGGACCCTTTTCACACTCCCGCTTCTTACGCTTTTTCCGGACCTAAGTCCATAGTCCACACACTTTTTTTTTTTTTTTTTTTTAATAATATATTTATAGCAAGAAAAAAGTCCATAAAGAAAAAAACAAAAATTATATCCAGAAAAAAATAAAAATGGAGAAGAAGAAGATTTTTACGCCAAATTGACTATTTTTGGCATCGTTCAGACCGATTTTAGCAGCCATTCAATTTTTTTATTATTTTTTTTACAGCATTTCCTTTTAGTTAAGTAATTTTTTTTTACAGGAATAAAAAATCATTAGGGTTCTTTTCAAGATAGAGTAATAAAGAGGAAAAGAGTAAATGCATAAAAAATGATAAATATAGTAATAATGACCTTACATCATATAAAGATAAATAGACAATAATTAGGTTTTTTTTTTATTACTTATAACCTTTATTTTATTTGTAATAGTATTCTTTTATAAGATTTATAAGTGGCCACTTTTAGGTAGTGGCGGTAGATTTTCACACCATAAAAAAATAGTATTTTTTTTTTAGTAAGAATAAATATGCTTAAAAATAAATTTTTTTTTTTTTTACACCTAAAATTTCATCAATCCAAAAATGTAATCACCATTAATTATTATACAAAATTCGTGCATTGAATTGAATTGACCGGAGAAAAGAATGCAATAATAAGTAAGCATAAATGAAGATTTTAAGTTGGTGTAATAAATGGTAACAATAAATGAAAGAAGATCGCAGTAGTTGTAAGAATTTCTGAAATTAAATTTTACAACCCTAATTTTCTGAGTAAATAAAATAAAATAAAAATCAAAGTAGGCGTGGGTGGGTCAATTTGACAGAGAGAAAACAACAATCTTCCTTCTCCAGACCACCACTAAATCATACCTTCTTCACTGACTGACTGACTGTACAAATTCAAATAAAATAAAATAAAATATCCTAATTAATTAATTAAGATGGAATTGAATTAAAATTAAATCAAGATGGAACTTTTTCTCGATCAATTAATGGCTGAATCGATCAGTGGAGAAGAATCAGTCTCTGGCACTTCACTGACGGCGAATCCAGCTGCTGCTCGCCGTCGGAAGAAGAAGCCCCTCTTTTTCTGCCGGCCGCCGGCGACGGGAACGGCGGGATCTGATTGGTGTCGAGCGGCGGCGGGGGGTGGCGCCACTGCGGCAGCGGCCCGGCCAGGAGGAGCGTCTGGAGCAGCGGTCCAGCTTTGATGACCGCTTCTAGAAGCTTCCCTTTCTCCGGCAAGACGGCGGCGTCCGGCAGCGGCGGAAGCTCCGCCGTCGTCTCCGGTGCTATGCGCGGCGAGGAGACGATGCTCTCGTCGCAGTCCGACGAGGCGGAGAAGCCATTATTATTATTATTAATATTATTATTATGGATATTAATATTTTTATTGTTATTATTGGTAATGGAATCGAATTCTTTCCTCGGGAGGTCGAGGTCGAGGTCGGAGGAGATGAATTTGTGGAGCATGAGATTGCGACACGTGTCCTGAGCTTGGTCTCTTTCCTTGAGGGCTCTGGCGAGAAGATCTTTGAGGTGTGAGATTTGTTCATCTCTGGCTCTGAGTTCTTCCTGGGCTTTCATCCTCGTCTCTTCCAGCTCCATTGTCAGCAGAAATGATTGCTTCACTTCATAATCCATTCCCATGCCCATGCCCTGAACAAAATTAATTATCCCCATCAGAAATCAGACAATTATTATATAATCAATTAAGAAAGAATATTCATATATATGTATACCGACCTTGCAGTAATGATCTTGTTGGGGTTGGGGGAAGAAAGTCCAGTTGAGGGGAAGGCTTCTGGGGGGATTCTCCATGGCCATTGCAGCTGAGCTGAGCAAATTGACAATGTTGATGTAATAATAATAATAATAATGACAATAACAATGGTGATTATATTATATATATATAGATAGGGTATTCTATATAGTGTAGGGTTTTGTGTGAGGGAATCTAATAAGTGTCTTTCTTATATATATATATATATATATGAATGTATGTATGTATATATATATATAAAGGGGCAGCTTTTGAGGAGGGGACCATTAAAGAGTCATTTGCCCCCCAGCACAATTTAATGGTCCACCATTCATATATATTATTATTATTATTATTATTATTTTAAGTATTTTGTAAATTAGTTCAAGTCATACTAGATTTAAATCTATAATCTTTATCTTCAAACCACTGTACCATCATTATTTTTCTTTTTATTATTATTATTAAAATGAAGATTTGCAATATTTATAACACCACTTGATATTTACATATAGAATGGTCTTGGGGTTCATATATATATATGTACACTTCTTACTTAATGTGTGTAAAAAGTCTTGCTCTTTTCATGTACATATTGAAAATTAAAATCAACTTCTCTATTTATATTTATATTTATAAGAAGATTTTGAAAATTGGATAAAAATACTAACTAACGGATTGTACTTTCTAGTTATTCCTCCTAAATACCTACATTCTTCACTTTTTATTCAATCTTTTTTTTACCTCATTTCATCTATATACTGGAGAACAAATTGGATTGTTATATTTATTCCTTACTTCAATTAAATTGCTATAAATATAAGATTAAAATTTTAAATATATATAGCAAATAAGTTAGGAACTTTTTGAAGAGAATGGACCAATTATTTATGGTAGCTTTAATCTTTTTTTTTGGTAAGGAGTGGTAGTTGAAGTGGCCATGGACATGGACATCGACTAAACCACAAAAGGCCAAGAATTGCACACATCCAAAAATCCTTTTTTTATGTGTGTTTTCTTTGTATATATATATATTAATTTAAATTTAATTTAATTTAAATATTATTATATTACCATAGATTTTTGTTAAAATTTGTTTATCACATATATCTGGACCAATTTCGTTAAATAGGCACATTTTGTTAACGAACGAGTCCGGATCTTGTTCGGGAATGTCCGTAAATATTCAATAAGGTATATTAAACATGAAAATTATTTTATATGTACAAATAATAAATATAATTATATAAATTGGAAAATTAATTGACATAAACAATAAAAGATACAGCTTGTGTTGAACTTGCAACTAAACATGCTCAAGCTTTTTTTTTTGGGGTACGCATTTGATTTCTTATGTTACTTAAAAAAATTACATAGAACACTAAAAAAAAAATATTACTATTTCATTAAAAAACACAAAAAAAAATAAAAATAAAGATAAATTAAACACACCCAGGAATTTGAAAATTAAAAAATAAAAAATTAATGTATATCTTGAAATATCAGGTACTTTTTTTTTATATGAAAAAATAAAAATATTGTAGAATTATATATATTTAGTTAGAACTGAGTGTGGAGCGTCAAATGCGGAGTAATGACAACTCAAAATTTTTATTTAAATTTGCCAAATACTTGCAATTATTCAAATTTTGTTTGTCAATTACCCAAGGCTTTTCTTAATTTTTAAAATTTTATTTCCTCCCTACCTATTTATTAGCTAATAATTATTGTTGTCACAATATCTATTACGTGTCCATTTCATTTATTTATTCTTTAAAGACCTAAACAGTTAAACCAGACAAAGTATATTCACAAATTTGAGTACAATGTAGGTGTCGTGTCTGTCATGTTAAGTATTCCAATGCATATTCTCATCCATTAGATATCAATAACAAAAAAAATTATATATATTAATTTTAAATTTATTTGCAAATTATTTAATTTGTAATTTTAAATCTGAATTTTCTACATCATTTAATATTCTAGCCGTCAAAATAGGGCTGAACCTGTCAAATGTCCAAAACTATTAAAAATGAAAATGAAATGACTGAAATTGACCAATTATTTAGTTGGAGAAAGCACTTTAGAAGAAAAAGAAGGGTCTGTTTAATTTAATTATTTCTTAATATTGGGATTAGTTAGGGCTAATAACAAGTTAAGGTTAATGTGGCACACTTGAGAATACTCTACTCACATTAAGACAAATTTAATCATTTTAAATCAAATTAATTAAATGATAATAATAGTAAAAAATTAGGTACAGTATTTTAACTTTATGTGTGGAATATCGAGGTTGTTCTTTCTCTCATTTTTATTTTTTTTTTTCATTTTAATAATTAAATATTTAATTTTTTACAAACCGCGTTTTGTATTGAATTCTCTGTATGTGGAATCTTCCACTAACCTTATTATATGTAATATATATATATATATATTATATATCGACACCCCACAAGCATAAGATCATACATATATATATTTATATATGTTATAGGAGTATTTTTTTTTATTTTTATAAATATTACTCTACTGTATATTATAAATACAAGAAGAATTTATTAATTCAGGAAAATTACTTACCGCATGTGATCCTGGCTAATAAATATTCTCAAAAGTTTATATGAACTTATATCAATATTATTATATTAAATTAAAATATAAAGATAAATATATATTTTAATTGTTCAACCCTAAAAAAACGTAAAGGTATACAATAGCATTATATCAAAAAAGGAAAAAAAAATTAAAAACCTATTACATCTGTTCAGTTAGAAAGTATATTTATTTATATTTGAAATGTCTAATTATAAATTAAATATTTCGTTAACTACCTCACTTTTATTCCACATATACCCCTTCTTTTACATCACATCGCTATTATTACACCAAAATATCATTATAATACTTTTAATTACCTACTATAATTAAAATACTATTATTTTTTCAATACCACGCCAAAACTAATTATATACTTTATGTGGACAGAGGGAGTATTTAATAAATATCCGAATATGTAGATAGTTATTTGTTTTGTTTTGTCAAGAATCTTTTATAAGTTTACATACATATATTTGAGCATTTTGTCTAAAGAATATTTATAGGTTTTGGCATTTTGAACTGCTACATAATTTATTAACAAACTGTTTCAAATGGGCTCGAGAGATTCCAAGGCAATATATATATATATTGAATTAAATTCATATGTTAGTAATCTATTGACACATATTTTTCTGCCACTAAGACAATAAATATAAAAATAAAAATTAATTGATTGAAGGGTAGAGTGCATTATATAATAATACTAATGTGTGTATAGACTGACTTTTAATCATTAGAAATAATTAATTTTTAATAATGTAATGAATGCAAGTACGTATTTGTCAACTAAAATGGCCTTTGTATTATTAAATTAAATGCATACACTATATATATATACACTTGACTAATTTTGACAATGAGAATATTCGATAATGAATGAGTGGAGACGAATCAAAATGGGTATTAAATTGGATTTATAGCAAATTATTTTTACTCTTTTAACACCCAACTGCAAAGCAATATATTTATTCAAATTTCTAATCATCAATGTAAAATGTATCTTTATTTAATTTATTTTGTAGGAAAAAAAAAACACTTAGGACATTGCGTCGTTTAATTTAAAAAATGAATATTATTTGAAAAAACAACCAAATCAAAAACCCAAATATCAATCTCACATTCTCCAAACAGCAATCACACTGCAGCAGTTTCTACATCATTCTTCAACCTCCATATATATATATATATATATATATATAATTAATAATAGAACAATTCATTCATGGATCCCCTTGACAAAGACATCAGTGAGAACCTGTTTGGATTGAAAAGAAGCCTTGAGCAGGCCAAGTCCCTGCCGCCAAAAAATCACATTTCAAGAATCATTTCTCATCATCAAACCCTAAAATCACCAAATACAAATAAACACACACAAACATATATATATATATAGATATAGATATACCTCGTTCATGCCCAAAGCGACGACCCTTTCCTCCAACAAACTGAGATCTTTGATCTTAAACTGGTTGAGAGAAGTGATGCAGGAGATAGACGACATGGGCTTAATCTCCAAATCATCCGTCACTGTGTACGTCACCACTCCCTTCACAAACCCCCCGCCATCATTCCCCTGCTGATTATGATTATTTCTATTCCTATTATTATTAATATTGACCCCGGTGACGTCATCGTCACTGTTAGTGAGCAGCAAGGGGGCACGAGAATCCCAGCACGGCAAAGGGGGGCTGAGAATGGAGTTCTTGCTCTTGCCACTCTGCAGATAAGAATCATTCAGATTCTCTATGCTGTCGTAAAGCTTCCCCAGAGATCCCACCATTCCTCTTCCTCCATTTCTGAGCAGACCTACAATGGTGGCCACCGGCAACGACAGAAGGTAGACGAGGAAGTCGACACAGTCCTTCCCGGCCTCCCCTAACAGAACCCTCTTCGTTTCCTTGTCGATTAACAGCTTCATACACACCCTCTTGCTTTCTGCCATTGTTGTTATTATTGCTGTTCAAACCCACCTTATATATGTATGTATATATGTATGTACAGATAAATGTTTCATTGTAGAAGTCGAGGAGGTTGGATTTAATTGGATTAATGAGGAGATTGATCGATCGATTATTAATGGAATAGAAACAGTCAGTAGTCAGTACTTGTATGGCATGCTTCCTGATATTGATATGATCACTTCTTGGTTTAAACACAAAACAGTTGTACACTACAGCTCCTTTTGTTTAATATTTTTGTTTCAATCTTACCGCTTATGTGATATTAATTTACTTTAATTGAATTGAAACTTTGAATTCTTTCTTTACATATTTTAGATAATCAGTTTTAAAGTTAGTAAATTTATATTTATATTCGGTCTTATTAGATTTGACTCTCATTATTTTTCCTAAAATTTATAACATGTATCAGAGCCTACTTTTCTCATTTCGTTGATATAGTCTACCAACTCGCATTTCTCTGGGTACATTCAACCTGGGATGTACCAGAGATCTTTCAATTTTAAAATTTTTTCTATAATTTCTAGCCCTTTTTTTTTCTGATGTTGATTTTATTTTGAGTCCTGATTTTGTCTACGATTGAAGTCATATCTCCTCATCTTTTTGCGATTTTGCGATCCGTCTGTTTCGTTTCTCCAGAGCCATGTTTCTGATTGCAATGAGAGTCCTGTTATTTCCGACTTTGTGGAGAGTACTCATGTCGTCTTCGACTCCAGTAGAGAGTCATGTCGTTTTCGGCTCCGTTGGAGTCATCTCGTTTTAGACTCCTTCAACTACGGTGAAGAGTCATCTCGTTTTCGACTCCGGTAAAGAGTCATCTCGTTTTTTGCTCCGGAATGGAAAGACATCTTGTTTTCGGCTCCGGTAGATAGTCAACTATTATTTTTATTTATGTTTTTTTTTTTTTTTTTTTGCGTTTATATTCAACTTTGTTATTAAACTCAGTTTTATATTTAGTAAATTTATATTTAGATTTGCTATTATTATTACTTAGATTTAAGTCTATCTGTTTTGTATTGTCTAGACCAGATCAATAAGACAATCTTATTATTTTTCCCCAAAATTTCTAATACTTTCTAACAACCATTTAAATATATGGATTTTAAATATATATATATATATATAGTGTTAGCCAAAATAAAAGTACATATTAATTTTAAACGTAGCCACAAACAAAGAAATAGAGCAAAATTTCTAATTAGAAATATTCAACACAAAATATGTTATACAACACAAAATATGTTATGTAAATGACCTTTCAATTTAAGATTTTTTTTTTCTGATGAAACGAAAATTTATATCATCTAAACAATATCAAAACTTAAAATTTTGAATTCGAGTCTCACCGATCTCCGCTCATTCAGTGGCATTTATTCCCTGTTATAACTTCACAAACTCAAACTAATTATACAAAACCAAACAAACACTAGTGGAATAATTTAGACTATCGGTTTTAGTTTGGAATCATCTTGACATATGTAGTTTGTTATGTATACTACACTCATTATTATTACTAGCATCATTATCTTGTCTTTAAATTTGATCGTCATATTTATATTTTCAACAAGTACCCTTAACATATTCTCATATTTATGATTTCAAACCTTGACGAAATTTTGTATATTAATATAATACTACTTGCTAAGTTATAATATTGCGATAATAACTATAACTGATGTTTTAATTGCGTTAGTCCATAATTAATTAATCACTCGATATTATAGTGTTTCAGCCTATATACTTTGCAAGTAATTTAAATAAATCGTCTTCTCAAAAAAATTAATTCATTATTTTTAATAGATAAAAAGATATAATGTTTATTTTATTTTGCTACTGTAATAGAGTTAAAAAATTATGTCGAATATCACAATTTATTTATTTATTTAAAAAGACGAAAAAGAATATATGGCGGCCAAGTATGAAGTGAAGTGCATGTTTGCCATAAAAGATAAAATAATGATCCAAGACTAAAGGAGAGCAAAATTGAACATTACTATATAGTAGTGCAAGCATACTGTTACCAATTGGGAAACCCAACCATATATATCAATCTCAGTTTCTCCATTATTTATCTATTTATTATTATTATTATTATTATTATTATAAGTTCCATTATCATAAAAACAGAATCAAAATAGCAACCAGCCATCATGCATGCAGCAGAACCCTTCTTCCATCTTCACATATAATAATAATAATGATACTTCAATTGATCATTTCCCCCCCTGGACAAAGACATCTGTGAGAACCTGTTTAGACTTGAATGAAGCCTTAAGCAGGCTAAGGCCCTACCAACAAAAGAAAAAAATAAATTCAAATATGCATGCAATTATCTTAGTTGAATATTTCAATTTATGTACGTAAATATAGTGAGTGACTTATGTACCTCCTTGATGCCCAAATAGACGATCATTTCCTCGAGCAAGCTCATATCTTTGATCTTAAGGCCGGTGATGGAAGTGATGCAGGAGATTGATGACATGGGTTTAATTTCAAGATTGTCCATCACCGTGTAAGTCATCACCCCCTTCACAAACCCGCCTCTCTCTTCACAACTATAACCACCATCACTATCAAAATAATGCATATCACTACTAGTATCTGTATAACGACCTCTAGCAGGGGCGGCGGCGGACTGCAGCAGCATCGGACAGGTCCCGCCCCCGCCTGGCAGCGGGGGCCTCAGGATGGACTTCTTAGTATGGGCGCCGTTCTGCAGGTACGTGTCGTTCAGATTGTTGATGCTGTCATAGAGTATCCCCAGACTGCCCACCATTCCAAGATTATTGTCGTTGAGCAGAGCCACCATGTTGGCCACCGGCAACGACAAAAGGTACACCAGGAAGTCCACACACTCCTTCCCAGCCTCCGCGAACAGAACCCTCTTTGATTCCCGGTCGATCAGCAGCTTCATACTCACACTTTTCAATTCCGCCATCATACATATATATATATATATACTCACTCACTCCACTCTCTAGATCTTCCAGGCTCCATTCCCTCCTTATATATACACATAGAGAGACAGAGAGAATGGAATAGAAACAGTCCCTCATTCACTCACTAGCATGTCACTTCTTCCATGTTTAAACACACTTTACGTTATTATTATATCTACATCAATATCAATATCAATATTTTGTGGCTCTTCATTTCTTCTTCTTCATCATATACCACAACATTATATACTCTATCAGTTGCTGCATATCTTCTTAATTAATAAAGGTGTCCTATCATAATATAATGATCTCTCTATATGTTCATACAATCATACTTTGTGTTGATATATATACAGAATTCAATGCACTACTAATAACAAGTAACAGTAAGAACAAACACTATGATAGAAAGATAAACAACGTATGAGTTATGTTAACATACTACAAATATAACCCATTATATAAAAACAAGACATCACACGTTATTAGGTTCCGCCGAGAGTTTTTTTAATATTACAAACTAAACATATCAACACTACAAATTAAATTCTCAACACTGCATTAAATTGATTCTACTGTTTTCTCAGTTTCATAATGCAGTCACGACAGCATTTACATGTGGTATAATTCAGACTATCGGTTTTTAATTTTGTTTGGAATCCTCAACAACATACAGTTCATTATCATTATCAGCTTGGCTTTAAATTGGATCATCATCATATGTATATTCTCAAATTGCAGATTAATAGAAGATCTATGGAATTAAGGCATAGGAGGAGCCTAGATCAGATTGTCCATCATCATCATCACGAGCCATCTCAAATTCACATTATTGACCAAGAAAAATGACTTGAGTTGAGTGGAATGGAATACCGTGCGTGAGGGTAGTAGACAGTAGGATTGTATTCATAGATCAATGAATATCTTCAATGATCTACTTCTCGCAGGAACAGAAGTCATCTTCCTCGTTTTTATCACCACCATTCTTAGGGCTCTTATCCTCCTTCAAGTACACCTCTGTAAGCACCATCTCCGACTGCAGAGCAGCCCTCAGCACTCTAACAGCCTGTCCTCAACCAAAAACAGTTATGAACAATTCATTAATGACTTCATTAGATCAAATCACCCCTAGTACTACCGATATATGTATATACGCATATATCTATGAAATTGAGTTTTGATCGAAATTGTGTGGACAGAACAGGACCTTGTGGAAGTCGAGTTGAACAACCTTCTCCTCCAAGGCGGCGACATCCTTCACTTTAAACCTGCTGAGCAGAGTAAGGCAGGAGATAGTCGACATAGGTTCAACCACCAAATTGTCCAGCACCATATAAGTCACCACATCCTTCACAAACCCCTCTGCTCGCTTCTCGCCATCACTTTCTGATTCAGCAGCTGAACAACACGCACACATCACACTTTCAACAACTTCAATCAAATCTGACTGTTAAGTATAATTTCTCATTTATATGTATATACAAAGATTGAATATCGCACCGTTGTGTTGCAGAAGTGGAACAGGCACTTGATAGGGCAAGGAAACCACTGGTTTCAACAGCGCGCACTTGCTGCGGTTCGGCTGCAGATAGGAGTCGTTGAGTTTGGCTATGCTGTCGTATAGATTGACCATGGGGCCTTCCATTCCCGTCTCCTCCTTCAGCAAAGTGATAACAGTGGCGACAGGCAAAGACAGTAAGTGGAAGAGAAAATCCACGCAATCGTTGTTGGCTTCCGCGAATAGCACTCTCTTCGCTTGCAAATCGATCAAGAGCTTCATGGTCACAGAAGGTTTCGCCATTTTCGCAATTCGTTTCGACGGACGGTTTTGCTTTGATGAAGAATTTGCAGACTGAGAGCAGTTGTCAATTTGTGGAAGAAGAAGTTGGAGGTATGAAATAGGGTCAGTTATATTTTCAGTTAAGGGAGGAATGTATGTTGGGCCTTGTGGGCCCAACCGCATAACTAAATTAATTCAAATATATTTACATTTATATAAATATAAGCTTCACCGGCGGGGTTTCTGAGCTTCATCTGTATATTTATATTTATAGATTTTATTTGTACTACCTAAACTTTAGGGTGTAATATTGAAATTATTGGTAAATGAAAATTTCTGTCATTTTTTATTTTGGCATACCGTGAATGTACTTTCATTCTTTCCTACAATCAACTATTACAAATTTTCATTTATCGTGAATTTTTATTTACAATTTAGTGATATGTCTTGTCATTGCAATAATATATTGACGACAATTTTGTTTGTCTTGCACTCTCTCTCTCGATTGATGGGTATACAAGACAAAAAAAAATTAGTATTAGGTGGTCAACCCACAATACTATTTTACAAGATGAAGAGTTATGTTGGATTGCAAACCCAAGTCCTACGTCGGAAGTTGCGAAGAAAATTCGACACTTTATAAGTCTCAGGTGAACTTCACTAGTACGAGGCCTTTTGGAGAATATCAAAAACAAATCCGTGCGGGCTCAGCCCAAAGCTGGCAATATCATACTAGTGTTGAGTTGACCCAGTCCCGGTTAGATGATGAAGTGGACTGGGTTTTTTTTCGAAGAAAATTCGACACCTTATAAGTCCCAAGTGAACTTCACTAGTATGAAGCCTTTTGGAGAATATTCAAAAATAAATTCGTGCGGGCTTAGCCCAAAGCGGACAATATCATACTAGTGTTGAGTTGACCCAGTCCCAACAAGTTCGTCGGAAGAATGAATTGTTGGAGTTTTAATCAAGAGATGTCTAGATTTTGAATAGTTCTGTTTCGTGGTAATTGTCAGTACGAACTTGTTACAATTTTAGCATATGGAATTGTGTTCTAAGATAATAATTCTAGAGGTATGGTTAAGGGAGTTGTGGTATGTTTTTGTTCTTTTATCTGCGCTTATTAATGAAACTACTCTTGAATTGGTATCCCTAAATATAGATTTGTTTATAATCAAACTGGATTAACAAACTCTTATCTCATTTACTACTTTATATTTACTGTGGTATAACTACTCTTTTGTAAGTTGATCTTTGTTTATATCTTGGAAAAAGTTTGTGTGCAGCGGTTATTCCCAACAATTATACAAACAGTTTGTAATATTTATAGTAAGCTTATTTATTTATTTATTTATTGCATTTTAGGTGTATTAAGTGTGTAATATTTTTTTTAAAAAATAATAATAATAATTTCAGTTTTTAATAGTCTTTTTTATTCCACTTTTTGGAACAGTATGTTTTATCATGGGCTCAACTTGGCTGTGAGATGGCGCTATTTTAATTGGCCCAAAAATATTTAGAAAAGAAAAATAAAAAAAGAAAAAACAATATGCTTTGCCTTCTGCTTGCCATTATATCATACTCCTTTAGTTCTACATAATTTGTCTATATTTTACATTTTCGTCCGTCTCACATAACTTGTCCTTTCTATTTTTGGAAATATAATTATGCACTTTAATCTCATTTTAAATTTTAAATTTTATGATTTTTTTAATTTTAATTAAACTATTTACTTATCTTAATCTTAATCTATAATTATTTTTACTAAATAATAATTATTTTTACTAATACACTTCTTAATTACTTACTAATTATACTTTACCTAAATTCTCGTATCTACAGTAATACACCCATATTACATGGGACGGAGAGAGTATTGTTTTATTCAGATAAGAGCTTGAAACTTTGTAACTTTTAAAAACTTTGAATATTTGACATGACAGTTTTTTTAAAAAAATAATATTATTGATAATATCAAAAACTTTCAAAATTATATATATAACAAGAGTCAAGAATAAGTTCAACTGAAACAATAATTGTATCAAATACTGATTTGATATACAATATCATCAAAGTTTGTTGATAATATTGTTCATGTTGGATAGCAATACTTAGAGTGATCATGGGCGTGTATCATAAGAAAAAAATAAGTGAAATTATTTAAAACGTCATAAAATTTTAAATTAAAGATATAGAAATGTCATACTAAAATAAGATATTAATCGTTTCAATTTAAATAGGTAAGCAATCACAGATTATTTTTAGCAAAAATAAAGTGACAACGGCTCAAAATCCCAACTTAATAGGACTTATATTTTAAAATTTAATTCACTAGATATATTAAATTTTAATTTTTTTGTTTATCTATTTTTTTTATAAATATTCAATTTAATTTTAATTCTAACAACCCCTATATATTTTCCCATATCGAAAATCTAATCGTCGTCCAACCATCCGGACCAAATTTGCCTCCAATTTCTTCTTTTCGCTCCTCTAATTCCTTTCATTTTTCGAACCTCCAGCCACCACTGTAAAGCATTCATAGGTTTCCTCTTTCCATCTCCTTCTTCTGAATCGACACTGTCAGACCGCCGCCTTCAACCTTCTGTCTAGCCGCCCACCATCTTCGGTGATATTATCTGAAAAATATATTTATCGTATATATATAGAACTACAATTGAACCCTAAAAAAACTTGAGACGATTCGGTACATAGTAAAGAATATATGATATTAAATAAAGCTGTGTCATTTTATTTTTTTAGCCTGTTACAAATATATGTAGTTACTATTTACTTAAGTTTTTCTCTAAAAAAAAGTATTCATTTGAATCTTAAAAAAAAAAAAAACAGTTAACAAATTATTTTACAATTTAAGAGCGCTGTTGTGTGAAATTGTACATAGGAGATTTGTTCTTTTATTTATTTAAAGACATGTGTATTTAAGATCAATTTTCATAAAAATATTTTATGCAATTACTTCTTCGGCTCATTTCTATATATTTATTTGTTTTTTACATGTAGTTTTAGAAATATTAGTATTATATTGGGATAAAGTAGAAATAAAAATAAAATGACTAAATTAATCCTATTAGTATTGTATGATATAAAGGTAATAATATTTGTGTAATATATTATAATTTAGAAGGGTATTTGTTTGTTAGGGGAGGAAGGGAATATTATTTATCTAAAAAAAATACTAAATTCAAAACATTTAGGGTGTGTTTGGTACAGAGAATTGACAGCAGAGAAATGAAAATGTTTTGAGTCAGAGAAATAGAAGTTGAGAAATAAATCATTTTCATTTCTCTATTTTCATTTATTTTCTATATTCAGAGAAACGGAGAAAAATGATGCTCCAGTATATATATTTTTATTTTTTTTATTCTTTTTTATACTATTTAATTTTTTATAATTTTTTATAAATTATTTCAGTTTTACAAAAATTATTTTTAATTTATCATTCAAGTATTTAATTTTTTACAAAAATTTATACTAAAATATGATCTTACAAAACTTAGTATATAATTTATAATTTTTTGTTTTTAAAAAAAAATCACCATAAATATTTTTTCATGATTCTCACTTGCTAAAACTCTCTTTTGTTAGATTAATCATTTATTCTTATCCGATCCATTCATTTTTTTTTATATATATTTAATTCTCATTCTCTTCTCAATTCTCTTTCTCTGCAATTCCATTCTCTATACCAAACGGCCCCTAAAAAAAAAACAAAAAAAACTAGCGTATAAATTGCAACTCATCATACATACTATTTTTAAAGATAAGATTGCATACATTATTTTATATATAAGTTAATTAGATTTGCTACAATTAGTTGTAAGATGGGACAAAAAAATATTTTTATTTCATGAGATTAATATTTTAGAAATTTATGCCATTTATAGTTGAGAAAGTACTACTTTTTATATGGTCTATTATACTGACAATTATAGGCTACCAATAATTTAAATTACTACAATTTGATAATCGATGCAGACATATAACACATATGATTATTATTATTATTATTATTATTAGAAGAAGATTATTAACGTCTTTGTTTGTGTTTTCAGTATTATTTTTATATTTAATAATACAATACATTAAATACCTATGATTTATTTATTTATTTGAAGCATTATGTTCGAAAATCATTTATTTATTTTTATCGATTTTAAGTATATCATCGTTATTTTCCGTGCCACAATTTTACAAAAAAAAATGGTATTGGTTGCTTATACTACTATCCAATTTTATTTATTTATTTATTTTTTAAAAAAAAATTAAAATTAGAATGAATCACAATTAATGAGCAATAACGTATAAATCTTGCTATATGGATATGCTTCCAATTGTGGCATAATTTGGATTATGACGTAAACTTATTATGCAAAGATATTAATTATATCTTGCGATTGAAAAATATTACTCTTTCGTCCCAATTATTGTTAATCAACATAGTGCTAATTGACATCGTGACAATTACATTGATAATTAAATATAATATTACTATTATACATTAATTTATAATATATAGATAAAATAAAACTGATAATTCGTAGTAATATTTTATATATTATTTATAAGGACTTCTACGGCGCTGAGTTGGATGATTTGGCGTCGGTTGTCTTCGATCAACGCCAAATTCAGCACTATTTTTAGTGTTGATACAGTGCAACCTTATTAATTTTATTTTTTTTAAATTTTTAAAAAAATATTTTAAATTCTAAAAATAAAAAGTAGTTTAAAATAATTGAAAAAATTGAATATTTGAAGAATAATAGTGAAAAATAGAGTTATAGTTGAAGTAAAATTACTGTAGCAAGTGCATATTTAGAGTTAAAACTGCATAAATGAAGTTGATGGATTGGAGATAGCCTTAATATTTTCATATGTTGATTGAGACAACTAACACCCTCCGATTATATTTTATGTATGATTAGCTTGATATTTAATGAAATGTAAATAATATATAAATAAATGAAAATTTCAACTCGACTACTTGACTATACCAAATTTTCAATCGATATGGATAAAAAAACCTATTCCATGTATTCAAACCTCTTTTGATTATTCATTACAATATACGATATGACCGCGACAAAATTATAAGAGCTTACACTATTTGATTATAAAATATACTCTCTTCGTCAACTTTGAAAATCTACATTTACCTTTTGCATCATTGTATTTAACGTTAATAAATATTATTATATTTGTATAAATTTTCGTACAAAAGTCATTATATTTGTATCATAAGACACTAATATAAATATTTGTCTTTTTTTTTTCTTAATTTGTACTATAATTTGATATAATAATTAACATTCAATGATCAATACGCCAAAAAACAAATGTAAACCTTTAAAGTTGACGGTGGAAATATCGTTTATATTAATATAAATACAATACAACAAATAAGAGTGCATGACATATTTTTATAAAACATATGTTTTAAATATATATATATATATATATACATAACATATATGCTTATTTTATAGAACAACATTATTTAAACTAAGAAAAATTGTTATTTGAATTTTTAATCTGATTTAATTTTTTTATTTTTTATAAATCAAACCGATATATATATATATATATAGATATAATATTCTCTTGGAAGTTGGAATGCAGAGATTCAATGAACCATAATAATCCTAACGATAAAATGAATCTGACAAGATAAAAAATTTGGCAACTGATTTTCCATAACTGAAATCAATACATACATGTCCGTATCTCTTTCAATGTACATATATATTCACCATTTTAACGGCTCTATTTTTTTTTTCAAGTCTAGTTAGTTTTCTGTTGTTCATAAATTTAAAAAAAAAAAAAAAAAATCCCAACACTATTATATCAATTTTTATGTAATATATATTAGAAAAAAAATTAATTTTCATTCAAAGCACTTATTTACATTTTATTAAACATTATTTCAATTTAACTTTTTACCAATTTTCGAATTCAAATCTTTATAGAAAAAAAAAAAAAGAACTCACCCATTCTCCCACATGCATTTCATTAATTTTTCATGACCAGTCCAATATATATATATATATATATATATTTAAAAAAATAAAAAAATAAAAAAATCGAGTATTGAAATTAAGAGATGAGAATAGTGCTATACATACCAATGCCCCCATACACAATTATTTCTGCATGTAATAATTGACAGAATAAATTGGAAAATAATAATAATAATAATAATTATTATTATTATTGACCGAATAAAAACATGAATGAATATGTTCTTGTTTTCTATTTATTGGTTTTTATTATTTTCTTAGGTGAAATATAATGATGGATGTAAAATTTTATATAGAAAATATGTATCTAAAACATAATAATACTTCATATCTCCACTCACAAAATATACATATTTTTATTTTGAGTTTGTTTAATTACAAAAAATAATCCTTTTTTTTTTTTTACTAATATACATACTTTATCATCACACTATTACTTTTACACAAAAAATATAAAAATAAATTTATCTTTATATTACTTTAACTACTCATTACAATTAAAATACTATTACTTTTTAAATTTAATTTTTTTGCAAAAATAAATGTATACTTTCAAATTAGACAGGGTAGTATTATATACTTATAAAATTAAAGAACAAAAACTCAAAGGAAAAATAGCCAATGCATTTATTGTTCTATTTCAATTTGCAATGTTTTTGACAATTATTTTTATTGTTACAATTATATTTCATTTTCATAAAAAGATAAGGATGCATTTGTTTGAAGTAATAGAAAAATTGGTTTTAAAAAAAATGTTTAAGCAAATGTTTTTATATTAGTAAAGAAATTTATTTTAATGTTGTTGGAATATGAAATTTTGGATTCTAAATTAGAAGAAATTATAACTAAATTAGAAAAAATAATTAATGATACATATTTCTAATAATTTAAATTTTTAGGTGAAATAGTTATTCATATTATATTTTTTCGATATACGCTGTATTTTTTCTACTCTTACAAACATATTTTTGAAAAATGTATACACATATAGGATTTTTTTTTTCAACATATATTATTTATTTTCATAAAATATCATATTAAAATATTAATTAAATCAAATCTCAAATCAAAATTTCAAAATCAAATCAATCAAACACATTCATAATAAAGTAAATAAAATTAAAAAATAAAAATTGAACATATAGATAAGGATATATTTGCAAAAAAATTCCCCAAAGTATGGCTCATGTATTTCTCCTTTCCGATGATGGTTAATGCATTGAATTTTTTGCCCAAAAAATTAATAATATATACGTATAAATTTCTTTCATGCAATAAAAAGTTATATTTTTATTGATTTGAATTTTACAACTTTTTTATTCACACATTTCACTCTACAGTAATAAATTTCCACTTCAATGATTTAAATCTAAATTATAAAAAATGTCTCAAATGCAAGTAACTATGACTCTCTTTTTTTCAATTAAACAATTCTTATTAGTGTCTATTATACTAATAATAATAATAATAATTTTTTTATTTTTTTATTTTATATTTTATCACATACTCCCTCCGTCAACGGATAAAGTATACATTTACTTTTGGCGCGGAGTTTAAGAAATAATAGTAGTATTTTAATTATAATTGGTAGGTAAAAGTAGTGTAATGACATTTTTGTCCTTATTTTTTGGTATAAAAGTAATGATGTGATGTAAAGTAAGGGTATTTGTGGAAAAAAAAAAGTGGGATATTTAATGAAATGATTACTTTGTAATTGAACGTCCCAAAATATAAATATGTATAGTTTATAGCTGGACGGAGGAAGTATATCATATTAAATCACCATCTCAAACTAAAATAAAAACATATTATTTTATTTTTTATTTTTTATTTTATCACATATATCATATTCAATCACCATCTCAAACTAAAATCGTCAAAACATAGGTTTGTTGTCCCGTAATAAATGACCTGATGGTGTAAGAATGAATTTCGTGAAGTTATATGTTCAAACCCTAACACCTATAAAACTCGTTACGTTCATGTCCAAAATAACTTTTTCTTCTTCTACTAAACACAAGAATACGTACAAAACAATTAATTCTCCAACTCCCACCCGCATACATAATAACCACCAAATGAATTATTGCTTAACTAACAATTTTTATTCCATTCCATTTTTGGCATATTTAAAACTATCGATCGTAATATATCAACTGATTTTATATATATATAAATATAAAAATTCATACTATTCCATTTCCGTACAATCTAGCCCTCAATTTCTTATGTCTATATATATGTATGCATTGCGCCAACAAAAGAGTAGATAGTAGTTGCAATAATGAGTCTTGTTTATTACTATGTGGTCTTTATTTCGATCATATTATTAGCTATGGGAAGTTATGTCAATGGCGATGGACCACCTTCACCAGGGTACTACCCCACCTCAAGAATTGGCTCGATAGGGTTCAACCAAGGGTTCGCGAATTTGTGGGGCCCACAACACCAAAAGCTCGACAACGGCACACTCACCATTTGGCTCGACACAACCACAGGGAGTGGGTTCAAGTCGTTGGTTCCTTACTCATCAGGGTATTTTGGAACTTCCGTTAAACTTCAGTCTGGTTACACTGCTGGAGTCATTTCGTCGTTTTATGTAAGAATCTGACTTAAATGTAATGCATATATTGAGATAAATGCATTTGATGTCCAAATATGACACATTATTTATATATGTGTGTGTTTGTGTATGTGTATGTAGCTATCGAACAATCAAGAAAATCCCGGTAGCCATGATGAGATCGATGTCGAGTTTTTGGGCACCACATTGGATAAGCCTTACGTTGTCCAAACAAATGTGTACATCAAAGGCAACGGGGACGGAGATGTTAAGGTTGGCCGTGAAATGCAATTCCACCTTTGGTTTGATCCTACTAAAGATTTTCACAATTACGGCATTCTCTGGAATCCTAATGAGATTATGTATGTAAAATTTAATTAATCACAATATATATATTATAGTACATGTATTAATTATTAATTTATAATTTTTTTTTTCCTTGAAATATAGTTTTCTCGTGGACGATGTGCCGATAAGAAAGTATCCAAAGACAAATGACACTACATTTCCGGCAAGGCCCATGTGGGTTTACGGGTCGATTTGGGACGCGTCGTCTTGGGCCACCGAGAACGGGAAATACAAAGCCAACTATAGTTACGAGCCCTTTGTGGCTAACTATTCTAATTTTAAGATAGCGAAGATTGGAGGTGTCGCTCCGGCGGGGTCGACGGGGCTGAGCCGCCAGCAGTCGGCGGCGATGGAATGGGTGCAGAATAATTACAAGGTGTATGATTATTGCATTGATCCACAAAGAGACCACAAGTTCACTCCCGAGTGCTAAGTTGCCATTTAATATTATCGATTGGTTGGATGTTTCGTGTAATTAATTTTAGTTCGGAGAGTATTGAGATGGCCAAACTTCCTAATGAATCTGGAAGTTAAATATTTGGTTTGTTTGGCCATTATATATATATATATATATATTTTGTCATTTCACAAAAGTCAATATTTAATATAAAATATTATTTTTTATATTAACGATGCATTTTTTTTATATTTTATCTAAAAAAAAATTAAATTAAAACACTAAATTTTTCATTGTTTGTTTAGTGTTTTGATTTGAATTTTTTTTATGTAAAATATAAATGATTGTGTCGATAGTATAAAAAATATAATATTTCATATTGAATGTTGACTTTTGTGAGATAATAAAATATATATTAAAAATAATATCGAAGAAAAAAATAATGGGCAAAAAACTGTGGACAAACAAACCTATTATTTGTACAATAAATATCAAAAGAGAAAATGTGAGCATATAAATTTTATTTTGGGAATAAAAAAGGCACAAGTTTATTGTCCCTTGTTATTTTGATATATATTTTTTTTTTTTAAAGAAATCTATACTATCGTCTTCATAATTGATGGTGTGTTTATTCGGATGTTTGAATTTTGACATAGATTTGGATAGTAATAATTTTAAATTAAAATAATTGTACGATATAAATAGGTATTGATATAATATTTTGAATGTATAATTAATTTATAATATAATATAAAAATAAAAAATATATATTTGATTTGATATTTTTATAAAATAATTTTTTTTTACAAATAGTAAAATTTATATAAAATTCTGTAAAAGAACACACCCATTTATGTTCTTCAGAAAATATATATTTTAATTTTAGATTATCTAATTATAAAATAATTATTTTATTAAATATCTTTATTATTATTATTTTTTTTTACAAAATATCTTTACTTTACCATGATATCATATCTTGCATTATTTTTACTACTAGTTACTAATGGTGTGTTTGTTTGAGGATTTGGATTTTAAGTTGAGATTTGAATAGTAAAAATTTTGAATTCGAATAGTTGTATAATGTGATGTTTTGAATTTAAAATTTATTTTTCGTATAATATAAAAAATAAAAAATAGTTGTTTGATTTAATATTTTTGGGGGAAAAAAATGAGATGAATGGTGCAAATCTAATCCAATTCCCCAAACAAACACACCCTAAAAGTAAATGTATATTAACATAAATGTAAATTATTAAAAAGTGATGATATTTTAATTTTATATAGTTATAAATGTAATAGACAATACAAAATAATACTTCGTCCGTCTTATTGAAATATTGTCATTTTTCAATTCCGTCCCTACCAATGTTACTTTTTCTTAATTTAATAATTGTAACGTAATAAATATTCTTCCAACTTACCCTACATTACACAAATGTTATTATTTTTATATTACACATTACTGATAAAAATATTTATCTTTTTCATTGTAATCCATTATAATACTAATATTTAAAAAATTTACGTATAAAAATAAACTGCGAGCTAGTTATATAATTTAGACTTAAAAAAATCTAAATTACGTGGCTATATGTACATAAATAAATATATAAAAATAAAATTAGAAATGTGAAACGGCAACTGTAGCCCTAAGATGAAAAGACGCCGTCTTTAAGCCCTAACGAGGCAGAACGAAGGGATCGGAAAATCGAACTCCAATCGGAAATGATACTTGCGACGGCGAAGCGAGGATTGGGGAATTGCTCTCTGGGTTCGCAGCTACAGCAATGGCGAGGCATCCGTGTGAAGGTTCTGAATAATAATTTGGATCACGCGTTGGCTATTATGCAGAGGAAGATGCAGTCTAGTGGGATGGAACGCTTGATTAAAAGCGAGCAGACATGCCATATTAAGAATTCCGAGAAGCGTGTTCTGGCCAAGAAGAATTTGGAGCGGAAGCTTCGCTCGCAGGACCTCGCGCGAAAACTCAAAGCGATTCTCGTGCAGAAAGTCAGGTATACATAACGTTGACATATATTTGTATTTGTTTTTTGTTTGTTGATTTATTGTGTTGATTGCTATTTGCATTAACGATGTTAGGATATTAACGTAATCGATGTTTGGGTATCTGTGGTAGCGTTGTAAATGAAGGTAGGCAGTAAAATTGGATTGGCCATTTTGGCAATTAGCTTAGTAATGTTTGATAATTTGAATTGGAACTCAATTCAGATGGAATTCGATCTGTTTTTTCAGTATTTTAACGATCTGCTGAGTTGATCTAGACAAAGATATACTCTCATTAAGGAATCAGAAGTAGACTCTAAGGATCATGAATAAAGGGACACGAATGATGAACACAAATAATTCGAGAAGTATTTGTGATGTTGAGTGTCCTACAGGTAATGGATGATGAACAATCTCCTCTGTCGAGCGACTAAGAGGGGGCTACAATCATCCAGATATTTTATCCCTATTTATTCTGTAAAACCTTTTCCTCCATTTGGAGAGACCCCAAGATCCAATAAACCTTGTTTCTTTTGAACTATATCTTCTAGTTATTGTATTTTCCCATTGATGTGCTAAAATTTCTGCTCTCTGTGTTCTTTCTAGGTAGGCTAATGCTGTTTGTATCCTTCATAATCCACAAAACTGTATACATGGCTTTGTATATATTTATTTCGACACCTGCACTTATTTTTTCCTTCAATTTTGATTTTCCCTAGAAAAGTTAGAGGATGGAAATTTGTGTGAAATTTGAACACTATGCAATTTGTTTTATAATAGTGAATTGATCTCAACAAGTACATTTGGCCAATCTTTGGTAAACTTAGAATCATTCTTGAATGCAATCCATTTAGAATCATTCAATTTGTATTATGTTGCAAGTGTTTAGAATAGTGTCCTTGTTGCTTTCAATAGAAATGGTATTTGAGTTTTCTCAGTGAGAGAAGAATGTTTCACTGAATGGCGCCGTAATGAATATGATGATGGTTTTACTAGTGTGTAGCAGTTGTGTTATATTCCTGGCTCATTAGAATATGCCCATATGGGTGGGGCGCGTGTTTTGTGCTTTTGTTCATTTTTTTCCAACACTGAGGCACCCTTGTATTCTGGTTGCAGGGGTCTGTGAAACTCAGGAGCTATTTGGTGCCCGGCGTTGCCCTGTTACTTTCCATGTCAGCATTGTATGTAAGTGAGCCAAAACACCATGACTGGTTTTCTGAATTCTTTGGTTATGGTTGAATTATAAGTGGTGATGGTGAAAATATTGTCTCGACTAGTCCTATGCTAGTTTTCCATACAAAGTGTTTCATTTTGATCACATAATTGTGCATTGTTTGTCCTCCCAATTGAACCAGGCATCTCTCAGAGAATTTTCAATGGAATTTGTTTGGAATTATAAATTTTAGCAGTAGGGTTTGTTTAGATGTGATTTGAGTGCATTTTGATATTCGGGGACTAGTAGAACTTGGAATTGAAATAATTTGTATGATAGTAGTAGGGTATTGCCTGTTTCTTTGTATAATTTTGAGTGATGTTTTATAAATAAAAATATATATATATATATTTCTATTAAAAAATGTGAAAAGTTTGAATTATTTTAATTTTGATTTCAAACCAAAATAAAACAAACTCTTTGATCTATGTTTCGAATGCAAAAGTGTTTTGGAAGTAGTTAAAAATAATAACAATAATAAAAAAGATGCTTGATGTGTATTATTTAGAGGGAAAACATTTAGGAGGATACAATTAGGGTGCGTCTTGTCTTGGCTCCGGTTCGGCCTGGTGTTAAAATTAATATTATTATTTCTATTACTCTAATATCTAGATATATATATATATATATATTTTAAAATTGTGTAATTATATACTATTATTGTTTTCATTACTTTTTTCTTTTTATATATAATTTTAAGTTATGTTTATTACTATTATGAGTCATCGATCTTCTGCTATTTAGTAATCGCCATACCGTTGTCACATTTGAAAACATATTTCCATAAGGGTGTGTTTGTTCGGGAGTTTGGATTTTGAGTTGGGATTTGAATAGTAAAAATTTTGAATTTTAATAATTGTATGATGCTATAAATAGGTGTTGATGTGATGTTTTGAATATTAAATTGAGTTTTAATATAATATAAAAAATAAAAAAATATGTGTTTGATTTGATATTTTTGGGGAAAAAATACGATGAATAGGTCATTGAGATTTTTTAAATTTAGAATATTAAATATTTAAAATGTGAAAGTTGTTACTCCCTCCGTCATGCAAATGTGTACTCATTTGATCGGACACGGATATTAATAAAATTGATTAATAATGGTTATTTTTTCTTTTTATAGTAAAAAAAATATCAAAAATATAACAATTTTTTACTTAAAAAAGAAAACGAGAATATTTTTCAATGACAATCCAAAAAGGAAAATGATCATAGATTTGAATGACGAATGGAGTATTATATTTTACTCTCCCTTCTCGCCACAGATGACCTATTTTTCTTTTTTACACGTCCCATGATGATCTTTTTCTATTTTTGGGAACTTCATCGATTTTAAATATACTTAACAAATATAAATCAATTTAATTAAATTTTTAATATTTTACGTAGGAGCACTCAAAACTCCATTATTTTTTTCTCTTCAATTAACATATTTTTTTATCTATTATTTTTTTATTTATTTGTATTACTCCCTCCGTCGCGGAACTAAATATCCATTTGTTTTTTGCACGTAGTTTTAGAAATATTAGTATTATATTGTGATATAGTAGAAATAAAGTATAAATGACTAAAATAACTTTATTAGTATGTGTGGTATAAAAGTAATGACATTTGTGTAATATATTGTAAGTTGTAAGGATATTTGTAATGTTAAGTAGATAGTACAGTTATTAAGAAAGGAAATGGATACTTTGTTATGGGACGGACTAAAATAGAAAAATAGATCCTTTGTTACGAGACGGAGGAAGTATATAAAATTTTATTATTTATAAAATGATATCCATATTGCATATATTTTTTGAGATATAATCTTAAATTTTTTTACAATACCAATAATATTATTCATATAAAAAATAATAAATTAATATCATAAGTTATTGTTAATAATTTGTTAATCTACACTACCTAAAAAATCGTATTTCTAATAAAAGAATTCACCCTCACGGAAGGACGAAGAAAGTATTATATAATCAACAAAATAAGAAAAATATATAAATATATTTTATCAAAATAAAGTGAGTTTTTGGAATTGGTCTTAAATGCAGCAGGTTTTGGAGTGAGTTGAAGTAGATGGATTATGCGGCATATAATTTCCTAATTGGACAAATTCTTAAGGGCGTGTTAGTGAAATAATTTGAAAGAATATTTATTTTACTTGAAGTATAAAAAAAAAGTACATTATCTTTTAAGGTCATATTTACTTTTGTATAATTATATTTAATATTAAAAATATTTTTATATTTATATAATTTTTTTATAAATATCTTTCTATTAGTATTATAAGACACTAATGAAAATATTTTTGCAATTTTTTTAAATTTGTACTATGTTTTTTATATAATAATTAGTAGTCAAATATCAATATGCAAAAATTAAATGAAACCTTAGAGCTAGATGGAGATAATAATATTTTGACAAAAAAATATATCCGGAAACTTGCAAAACTTATTACGGCTTTGTTACCATCCCTTTAAGCATTTGATGAACGTTTCGAAATAAGGTGGAAAACGCGACTAAACAAATTGGTAATGAGCATTTAATTTTTTATTTTTATAAATGTGAACCCTATTCTTCAAGTATAATTTGAATAAATTTTTGAGTGAACTTAATATCTGCAAAATTAAGTTTGACAAGTAACATTAGACAAACTATGTGTTGCATGTTAGATTTGGAAGTGTTAGCAGTTTGAACTCGTGACTATACTGTCACAAATTCACTCAGTGGAGTATGCTTATTTGGCTTTTGAGTGTTACGACTTTGGAGGGATATTATTATTATTATTATTATTATTATATTGTATTTAAGAATATTATTTTTTAATGAAATACTCATTCGTCCCTTAATAATCTATCTATTTTTTTATTTTGGTCCGTCTTATGACAAAGTATTATTTTATTTTTTTTTCAGTAATTGTACCATCTGACATTACAAATACTCTTCCAATTTACAATATATTACACAAATGTCGTTACTTTTATATCGTACAATACTAATAGGGTAATTTAATCTTTTTATTTTTATTTCTGTTTTATCTCAATATAATACTAATATTTTTAGCAAATAGATATATAAATATGGGAGGGATGGAGTATTATGTCAAACAATTTTTAGATACAAACACAAATCAAATAATATGCTTTTAGAATTTAGATTTTTTTGAAAGGATCATAATGAGATACATTTGAATAAGTTTGAGATGATAATTTTTATATATTTATTGAGATTGTGGGATAATACATGAGTAAAAAATATGATAAGAAATATTTGTTTAATTAAACTAAAGATATGTTTGGTTGGTACTAACTGTATTAATATGCATATTATTTTTGTAAAGACAACACATACAACAATATAATAATATCAGTTTAAATTTCATTTACGGGTTAGTATTTAATTAGAGAATATAAATTTGTATGTAGTTATATTATATCATACTTAATATTAATTTAAAATATATGTTAATAATAAAAAAAAAAAAAAAATCCCAACCTGACAGGCAGAGACTGATATAAAAGTGATGCTGCCCTGCCATGACGGCTCACTATAAACAAACTGTACCCACCCCACCTCACCCCACGGCTAGCTCTCAACCACTACAACGCTGCAACCGCCCAATCCGCCGCCGTGAACACTCACTGTCTGATCTCAGGCGCCACAGTTCTAAATGAGCGGGGTAAGACGTGTGCAATCTCCTGTTTCTGTTGTTGCTGCTTTTTTTTTTTTTTTTTTTATTATTATTATTACTGCCTTTTTCATCTCTGTATTTATTTTGCAGAACGAGAAGAAGAAGAGTACTAACAATGGCGGAGAGCAGAGCAAGGCGCAGAAGGATGATAGCAGCAGCATTCCCAGGGTCATCGTTTTGAAAGCTGAATTGCATTGCCATGGCTGCGCTGCCAAAATTATTAGATGCATTCGTTCTTCTGATGGTACTACGTACATATGCGTCTGTTTGTATATGATCTGAATCTGAAATAGAATGAATTTCAATTTCATTGAAGTATCGAGCAAAACGATTCGACGTTCAAAATAAGAATGAGGAGTCTACGATGCATTCTGTTATATTTTTTTTTTTCGAGTAAGAGAAATTTATGCGGTTCTTCACTTGAAAAACAATTTATGGTTAATTGTGTTTAAGGAGTGGAAGCAGTAGCCATGGGAGACGACCAGAAGATCACAGTCGTCGGGAAGGTGGATCCGGCGAAGCTTCGAGAAGCTGTGGAGCGGAAAACGCACAAAAAAGTTGAAATCATTTCGCCAAAGCCGCCTAAACAGAACACCGACGATAAACAAAACACCAAGCACAAGAACGAATCCAAACACAAAAACGAGAAATCCGATGAGCAAAAAGCCAAGGAGAAGAAGGAGGTACTTACTCGTGCTATTCTGCGCCTACTCGTACGCATCATGTATTCGCGCTTTTAGTAGTGTTGCTTCATGCGACGTCGTTTCTGTACCCGTCGGCGCATGCTAGCAACCGGTGTGCGCGCGTTAGCACGCAGTATTTCCATGAATTAATTTTGTATCATCATGTATGTTAACGATCAGCCGCCGGTGACGACTGTGTCGTTGAAAGTTCACTTGCACTGCGACGGATGCAGCGAGAGAATCCACCGGACCGTCACCAAGACCAAAGGTAGGGTTTCCGTTACTCTATCAAAACTCCTCTCAACGAGTCTGCCTTCCGATACGGCGTTTTGCAATTGCAGGATTTCACCACATGAATATAGAGAGGCAGAAGAATCTGGTGACGGTGACCGGCGCCATGGACATGAAAGCTCTGGTCGAGTCGCTTCGAAGGCAGCTGAAGAAGGACGTTGAGATCGTCAGGAAGGAAGGAGATAAGAAAAATAACAGTGGAAAGACCGCCGGTGGCTGCAGCGGCGGCGGCACTGATAAAGATGGAGGAGAGAAGAAGGTGGATCCGTACCCTTACCCTTACCCGTACCCGTACTCTTTTGTGAACGGGTCTGGTACTGCGGGGGATCCGTTTCAGTACAACCCGTATGCAGTCGGATCCTACCAAGCTCCACATATGTTCAGCGATGAAAATCCCAACGCGTGCAATGTCATGTGACTGAATCTTAAGAGGCCAACTGAGTATGATTTTTCAGCTATTTTGGTAATATATTAATGAGTGCAAATAAATCTATTTTTGAATTAAAATCAGAATTAAAAATGGTTGTATGAATGTAAAAGAATTGACTATAAAATGCAACAACCAAAGTTCGAAATATTTGGGTTTGTTATATAATATATATTTTATTTTTAAATAAAAGCAAAATTTAATACAATATTATTTTTTATAAGCATTAAATGAAATCAAAACACCGAACAAACAAAAACCTGTATATATAACCATTAATGAGACAATAAAAATATGAATTTGGTTTACGGAATTTATAAGTCGTAATATGAAGCCCAAAATTTATACAGTAATAGCCCATAAGGCCCAAAGGTTAAAGCCCAAATTGTAAAACGACGTCGTCTGTGCGTGCTTGTGTGTATATATTCTTGAATGGTATTCGTGTATCAGAACTACGTTTCTTGTTCCAAACGAAAGCACCTCTTCAATTCCAGACCACCGCATCTCCAGATCGCCGCCGGAGAGATGAGTAACCAAGCAGAGTCTTCTGATGCGTAAGTAGACCTAAATTTGGAGTTCTTTCAGTAACTCGCCTGGGGTGGATTGTAGTATTTCTGTTAATTTTTGGTTGTCGGAGTAATCGCCGCAGGAAATAATCGATTTGTATTTGTATTTTTCGAGATGGACAGTAAGGGAGGGAAGAAGGACTTCTCCACCGCGATTCTGGAGAGGAAGAAGGCAGCTAATCGGCTAATCGTTGATGAGGCGGTTAGCGACGATAATTCCGTCGTCTCTCTCCACCCGGCTACAATGGAAAAGCTTCAGCTCTTTCGTGGCGACACCATTTTGATTAAGGTTTGAAGCCTTTTAATGTTGTTTTTATTTATTTTGTTTATTTGTTGTTAATACTGTTGGATGGGTTGCGATTGCTTGACTAGGGTTATTTATCCGATGAAATATGTAGAGGAATATATTAGTTGGTTTTGTTTCTTACTGATCTGTATTTGAGAACCTGCATATGAACTACGAGTAGAATTTGGAGTTTGCTGCCGGGCTCAAATGTCTTTTGTTGGTTTTCAGGGTAAGAAAAGAAAAGATACCGTATGCATTGCCCTTGCAGACGAGACATGTGAAGAGCCAAAGATCAGGATGAATAAGGTTGTCAGGTCAAATCTAAGGGTTAGGCTGGCTGATGTTGTATCTATACACCAATGCCCAGATGTTAAATATGGAAAGCGTGTACACATACTGCCCATTGATGATACGATCGAGGGAATCACTGGGGATCTGTTTGATGTATATCTCAAACGTATGCTCCATAACTTTGTCTCTTACTTTTTGTGGCTTATGGTTAAGTATGATTAACTGCTATTATTATCTTGTAGCTTATTTTGTGGAGGCCTATCGCCCTGTGAGGAAAGGAGACCACTTTCTTGTTAGAGGAGGGATGAGAAGTGTAGAATTTAAAGTTGTCGAGACTGACCCTGGGGAGTACTGTGTTGTTGCCCCTGATACTGAAATATTCTGCGAGGGAGAACCTGTGAGGAGAGAAGATGAGGATAGGCTTGATGAGGTTGGCTATGATGATGTTGGTGGTGTTAGAAAGCAAATGGCTCAGATTCGTGAACTGGTGGAGTTACCACTAAGGCATCCTCAGCTGTTCAAATCCATTGGTGTCAAACCTCCTAAGGGAATTTTGCTCTATGGACCCCCAGGTTCTGGAAAAACTCTAATTGCTCGGGCTGTTGCAAATGAAACTGGTGCATTCTTCTTTCTAATCAATGGGCCAGAAATTATGTCTAAATTAGCTGGAGAGAGTGAGAGTAATCTGAGAAAGGCATTTGAGGAGGCTGAGAAGAATGCTCCCTCTATTATATTTATTGATGAAATTGATTCTATAGCACCTAAGCGAGAGAAAACACAGGGTGAGGTTGAGCGGAGGATTGTTTCTCAGCTCTTGACTCTCATGGATGGGCTGAAAGCTCGTGCACATGTTATTGTAATGGGGGCAACTAACCGGCCAAACAGCATTGATCCAGCTCTCAGAAGGTTTGGTAGGTTTGATCGTGAAATTGACATTGGGGTTCCTGATGAAGTTGGACGGCTTGAGGTTCTTAGGATTCATACCAAAAACATGAAGCTGTCTGATGATGTAATTCTCACACCTACAAAGATTACATGCTATTTTTCTGTAATCGACATTCACTTTTACTAACAATTGTATGGAAATCATCTTGTTGCTTTGCAGGTTGACCTAGAAAGGATTGCTAAAGACACTCATGGCTATGTTGGTGCTGATCTGGCAGCACTCTGCACTGAAGCTGCACTTCAGTGCATCAGAGAAAAAATGGATGTCATTGACTTGGAAGATGATTCCATTGATGCTGAGATACTTAACTCCATGGCTGTTACAAATGAACACTTCCACACAGCACTCGGAACAAGCAATCCTTCTGCTTTGCGTGAGACGGTGAGTAAAATTTTGTCTGGAATATTGTCATATTTGTTGTTTTATCATATCTTATGTTCTTGCGCTGTGTACATCTATGAACAGGTTGTTGAAGTGCCCAATGTCTCTTGGGAAGACATTGGAGGGCTTGAAAATGTCAAGAGGGAACTTCAGGAGGTACTATAAATTGTCTAGAACATTTGAGTTTATACCTTTCTAAAATGAAGTATATATATCGTGGTGAAATTGCTGATCTGTTTACTATGTTGTAGACTGTTCAATATCCTGTGGAACATCCAGAGAAGTTCGAGAAATTTGGCATGTCACCTTCAAAGGGTGTTCTTTTCTATGGTCCTCCCGGGTGTGGTAAAACTCTTCTGGCCAAGGCAATTGCAAATGAATGTCAAGCCAATTTCATTAGTGTGAAAGGACCCGAACTGCTTACAATGTGGTTTGGTGAGAGTGAAGCCAATGTTCGTGAGATCTTTGACAAGGCTAGGCAATCTGCTCCATGTGTCCTCTTCTTTGACGAGCTTGACTCTATTGCTACTCAGGTCATGCTCTTTCTCAATTTTAATAATCCTATGTGACATTTTTGCCTTGTGGCTATGCAAACCCATAGGTTAGCCTTATATATTGAAATTTGAGACAAGGTAAAAGTTGATGCACCATATAGGTTTTAGGGGCGGGGGCACTGTTATCAGCTGAAACTTAAACATTCTAATTAGCCATATAGAGATCAGCAATATGTGGCTTTCATAGTTAAGTGAAAAAGATGATGCTTGCATGAAACAACTCTCTTTAATGGATGCAGAGAGGAAGCAGTGTTGGAGATGCTGGTGGGGCTGCTGATCGTGTTCTCAATCAACTTTTGACTGAAATGGATGGCATGAATGCAAAGAAGACTGTTTTTATCATTGGAGCCACTAACAGACCTGACATAATTGACCCTGCACTTCTTCGTCCTGGCCGTCTTGATCAGTTAATATATATCCCTCTGCCCGACGAAGACTCCCGCCATCAAATCTTCAAGGCCTGCCTCAGAAAATCACCACTTTCAAAGGATGTTGATTTGAGGGCTCTTGCAAAGTATACTCAAGGATTTAGCGGGGCTGATATTACCGAAATATGCCAGCGGGCATGCAAATATGCCATACGGGAGAACATTGAAAAGGTACGCTTTCTTTCCATTTATTTGTTTTCTTTTCTGTTTTATATCCCAATTAATGTTTTGGGTCTTAACCTACTAGCTTTGGAACTCTTTGCCAATACTATTTACTTAATCCTCATATCATCTAGAAATACCACATAGCAATGTGTTGATCATGTGTGGATCAAGATGTTCGCACTACCAATTTCTTATTTTCTTCAACGGTAACTATGGCAGACACTAATCAGTTATGATTCTATTGGGTTGGCAACTAGATTCAAAATTCTACAATTATGTTGCCCTAGCTTGATTTGATTAGTGTTCTTTTTCTTACCCCAATTGACTTGGTACTTGTCTTAGATTGTTATATTTGACTTTTGTTTCATAGACAGGCTTCTTTTCATGGTTTTCTAGTCTACTTGGAGTATTTCAAAGTCTCGATTAAAATTTGAGATAGTATTTTCATTGCTCAATAGTTAATCGTTGGACCTCTTTGGGTATTTTGGGATATGACGTGGCTATTTCTTGATCACCATTGCCTTCATAGAGAGTATATAACTTTTAGGGTGAACTGTTTACCATATTAGAAGTACATTCAAATTGTTCAAACTGCGGATTCTTTCAAAGTTTGTATTTCTTTATCACTTGGTAGTTTACACAGAATTCTCAAGTTTTTTCCCTAACATTACTAGATCTGTCTGCCAAGGTGCCAGTTGGAAAGTTGTCTATGCACTTGTTTCATCATCTAATGAAAATGATTTCTGTCTACGATTGTTGAGCTTTTCTTCTACTGTTGTATTAGACATTATAAGCAGAGTATGGTGATATGGATATACAACTGGTTGTTTCTTTCAGGACATAGAAAGGGAGAAGAGGAGAGCAAGCAACCCGGATTCCATGGATGAGGATGTGGAGGAGGACGAAGTGGCTGAAATCAAGCCTGCACATTTTGAGGAGTCCATGAAATATGCTCGCCGAAGCGTGAGCGATGCTGACATACGCAAATACCAGGCATTTGCTCAGACCTTGCAGCAGTCGCGGGGCTTCGGCACTGAATTCAGGTTTGCTGAATCAGCAGCAGGCGGTGGTGGCGCATCTGGGTCTGACCCGTTTGCAGCCCCTGCTGGTGGAGCCGACGACGATGACTTGTACAGTTAAGCCTTGTTGTTTTGCTTTGCTCTGCTCTGCTCTGCTTTGCTTCAAATTTGCGCTATTTAAACACTATTATTATAATTAACTATTCACTATGCAATTTGCATTCAGCCCAACTGAGTGAGTCTGTATACTCTGCTCATATTTCCTGGATTCATTTGGTCACATTATTATTATTATTATTATTATTATTATTATTATGCTTGTGGACTCACTAAATTTCATTTCTGCTCCATATAACACTCTAAATATCAAATATATGCCGCCCTGGAAATCAAGTATTCACTTACAGATATATATATATATATATATAAATAATTTTCAGGATAGTTAAGAGGATCAAAACAATTAGCGTTGCATCAGAAATTAAATTATAATTTTTTTTAGATATATATAAAGATACATATTAATTGTTATATATTAATAATGACGTCATAAAGCAGGGTGTGGGTGAGATCAGCGGGTTGCATTTATTTTATAATAATTATTATATATAAAAGGCTACAAATTGTAGGGGACCTCATACTGCCAATACTAATAACTAGTCGATTACTAGTAATATAAATAGTTTCATTAAGTATGCGTACATATATCAAAATCTAAAGGCTAAAATCACATATTCATCAATAATAATAATAAGTGTGTATGAGAGAGACTAAACAATTGTTTTATTTTTCTCTCTAATAAAAAACTACTTGTAAATACATTCAACATGCATAATTCTATATCAAATAAACATTAGGCTCTGCTTATACGACTTCTTTTTAATTGAAACTATTCAATCTTTTAAAAAGAAATATATCAAATATTATTATTATCTTATAAAATATTAATTTATTTATTTTTATATATTCTAAAAATTCAAAAATTTAAAAAATCGTGAAAAGTCTCTATCTAATCGATTGTGAAGTGAAGTGGGTAGGAGAATTTTCAAAGAGTGTTGGTTGCAGGCGACGTGTAAGGTTGCGAGAGGTGAAAAAAAGATTTCGAGTGGGGCTGTGCCAAGAGCAGCTGCTCCTCACGTGATTTTTGTTGGTAAATTCAATATAGTGCCAAAATAATAATAATAATAATAATAATAAAGAACGAAAAAGGAGTAAAATTGTAAATTCAATATAGTGCCAAAATAATAATAATAATAAAGAACAAAAAAGAAGTAAAATTGTAAATTTAATATCCATATTGTGTTGTCTTAGTCATGAGCATAGCACAACGAGACACCATTTATTTAAATAATTCAATGTACCATTTCTCATATATCTTAAATCCCCAAAATCAATAATAATAATAATAATAATATCAATTATACAAAATAATTTGAATTGGATTTGCCGTTTATTAAATATTGTTGTTGTTTAGTCCAAATAAACTCAAATCAATTTATTATAATTAATATTATTCCATACACTAAAATTATGTTTGTTTGGTAAAATATAAAAACTCAAAGAGAATAATATTTTACTATAAAAATAAAATAAAATGAAAACATCATAAAAAATTCATTAAGTGATAAAAATGTGATATAAATAGTCATAAATTAAGTATTATATATTACAATAAAATAAACTAAAAATATGAATGAATGTAATTATTTACTATAAATCAATTATATACAAATTTAATAAACATACAAAATAATAATATAAATTTGATAAATGAGTGCACGCGCGGCCCTTAATGAAGCAGGGAGGGGTCCTCACCTAAGATATATGGCTCACCAAAATTATTACTAATATATGAATATATATATATATTGTGATTATTTATATAATAAATTATTGTTTTTTCTTAAAGGAAGGTATTGTGTATCAATTTTTATTTATTTGTATATAAAATTATTTTGATATTGATTTAATAATATTTATTCTTAAAATAAATTTTTTATTAGTAATTTGATAAGCGATGTGTTTGTTTATATTATTTCCTTTTTTATTATTAATATATATTTTTAAAAATATAAAACCAAGTAACTCTTATAAATTATATTCTTCCCTTCTATTTTCATTGACATTTTTTTTATATGTTCATATTAATACATATTTTTATTTTGGATAAAATTTACTAGTCATACTTAACACATATCATTTCAACTTAATTAATTATATAACATATAATATCACTCATTCAAAACTCTTTTATTTTATCTCTTTTCGAAAAATAAATATTTTTATTTACGTTTAAAACCTACATTATTTTATAAAATTAGTTTATGTTAATTATAAATAAATAAACGCATTTTTTAATTTACTTTGTATAATAAAAAAGTTATATTCTCTATAGTAATACAAATATTACATATATTTTTTTATTGTAATATAATTTTAAAATATATTCTAATTTTTAAATTATATATTAATTTATTTTAAAACTATTAATATAATTAATTATGAAAAATAATAAAATAATATTATAGTACACTATTATTAACTAATTAACGGTCTTACCTGTTACTAATATCATTGATTAATTATCTTGGAATAGAGGAAATAATATTATAATCTACAATTATATCACTTATTAATTATATATACATTTCAAATACTAAAGATTTTTAATTTATCAAAAATACAACTTGTTACGTAATTATTTATTACTGTCATTAGTATTTTTATCAATAGTTTGTAATATTTTGCTAAATTTAATTGTTAGATATTAAAATGATTAAAAATTAATCTCAATTATCCAATATATTTTTTATTTTTTATATTATAAATATAATTATTCATACTTCATATATATAATTTTTTAAAAAAAATTTGAAACAACAACAAACAAACCTTAATATTATTATCTTAAGACAGTATTATATTTTTATGTATTAAAACTTTATTATTTAATCTTATTAGTATAAATTTTAAAATAAATAATATTATAGATTTACTTTTAATATACAAACACTTAAATATTTAGACCTTTAATTTATTTTTGCCGGGGCCCATAAATATCAAAACTGGCAATGAACGGGTGGAGTATATAATTTGAAAATATAAGTATATTAATCTGTTTTTTATTTTTATTATTTAAATAAATATAATTTTATCAAAGTTCAAAAAAATCATTTATAAACATTATAATGATTTTGTAGTTATTTATATTTGTTTTCAATATATTCAAATAAAGTGGGGAAGACTTCACGTGGGTAGCACGTGGCCTTGTTGCACAAAGTGGCCCACACGTTCCGTGACCGTATCATCATCGACAATCAATTCTACTTACAAAATACTCCGTTCGTCTTACATAATACGAGCTTATTATTATTATTATTATTATTATTATTATTATTATTATTATTATTATTATTATTCTTCTTCGTACAATTAGGTAAAATATAATTATTAAATAATTAAAAAATATATTAATAAAAATAATTATAAATTAAAATTAAGATACTAAATAATTTAATTAAAATTAAAAATTTTTAAAATTTGAATTTTAAAATATGATTAAAGTGTATAATCAATTTTTTAAAAAAGAAATGACAAATTATGTGGGACGAACGAAAATAAAAAGTAAAAAAAATTATATGGGAGAACGAAAATAGAAAGTAAAAATAAATTAGCAATTATAACTTCAATTTTCATCTTTTTTTAAAAAAATATCGAAGGTCTGCCCGTGGATCGTATTAATTCACATAATAAATTAATAATAATAATAATACATAAATATATACTCCATTCGATCCCATAACAAAGTATCAATTTTTTCATTTTAGTCTATCTCATAACAAAGTATCAATTTTTTCATTTTAGTCTATCTCAGTATCAATTTCTTTTTTATAACTGTACTATCTGCCTAACATTACAAATACCGTTACGACCTACAATATATTACACAAATCTCATTACCTTTATATCACACATAACTAATAAAGTTATTTGGGTCATTTCTATTTTATTTATACTATATCCCAATATAATACTAATATTTTTAAAACTATTTACAAAAAGTAAATGAATATTTAGTTATGAGAGGGGAGAGTATATTTTTTAGGAGTACAATTTGTACTATTATTATCATTATTATTATCTACTATTATTATTATTATTATTTTAATTTCAAACAACAGTTATTTAACTAAGGCTTAGTTGGTGAACAAATAATGGAATTGTATGATTTCTAATAAGCAATTTTTATGTACTATTGTTTGGCTACTGTTAAGATTATTCCCCATAAATTAATTGATACTTCCATTTACTTATATTTTCAATTTTGATTTATATATAAAAATCATTTTAAAACTATGGAGCATTAAATAATAAATTTATTTTCTTTTTAAAATATGATACGTAATATTTATTTTATTATTTTAAATAAGTTGAAAAATACGTGTAATTTCGCACAATGACTCAAAGGAACGGAGTTGAGAAGAGCCACGTCAGACTGTACGGAAGTGGGCCCGCATTATTTCATGACTCTGACACTTCAAATTATTATTATTATTATTATTATTATTACTATTATTATTATGCCCACCAATGATTTAAATATTTTAAGTGCGTTGCTTAATTATGTGCAGTGCATGCCTCACATTTATCATCCTTAGTTTTTCACCGATGAGATAACAAACACGATTAAAAATAATACTTCGTTCCACCTGCTATATTCATGATTTCGTTTCTGTCCTTCACCGTGTCACTTTTTTTTAAAAAAATAATTATGCATCTTAATCTCATTTTAAATTTTAAATTTATTTTTGTTTAATTTTAATAAGTATTTCAATCTTAATTCATAATAATTTATATTATAGATTAATAATTTTCACTAATATATTTTTAATTATCTACTAATTATATTTAATATAAACACTGGAGTAATAGTATTATTATAATTATTGCATATAATTTTATAAATTTTTAATATTTTGACATGCTTCAATTAGATTTTTTAATAAAAAATTGTAGGGTGCAAGTTTGCTCTGTGTTTTAATTTTGAGGTGTTTTTAACGTTCGAGAATAAGAACAAATATTGATAATAAAAATATATATTATATTTAATTATTAATTTTTTATAATATTATATATTGTGTAAATATATATATACATATTCTTTTTATATAATATTAATTAAAAATTATGTTGAAATTTAGGAATTATTATTATTATTATTATTATGAAATAATATTAATTGTAGTGGTGGAGTAGAGGCCAAATGTGAGAAGCAAAGTAGTCATAAATTAATTATTGATGAAACATCCTTTTCATACATTACATTTCAAGTGGATTATATATATATATATATATAATGATATATTTACAAATCCTATAAAAATTAAAAGTATTTTAGTATTAATATATAATTATTTTTATTATAATAAAAAATAATTTTAAATAAGACGAACAAAATTGGTATTATTTTCATGGACAAATTTAATATAATTTCACTACTTAATACCACTAGCTAAATATATATACTCAAATTACAAAAGATTTTAACTTATTAATTTTGACTTGCATATATATATATATATATATATAATTCTCAATTAAGTAATACAGTATATATATAAGAAGTAAGAAGTGATACCATTTCATGTATATCAGGAAAAATATCTTTTATAGATATATATATATATACATACATGTCGTCCCTTCGTTATCAATTCCTACCTAATTCACTTCTTCTTCAATCTCTCTCTCTCTCTCTCTCTCTCTCACTTATATAGCTAGCTTGCATGTTTTTTGGTTTAATTTCTGAACCGATAGTTAGACAGACAGATAGATAGATAGATAGATATAGCTAGCTATATATGTATATATATGATCGATCAATCATACTTACGTTTAACCTTTCATTTTTTTATTTTTTTCATTCCAGATTTTATAATTCTGGTTAGTTCATCCTGCAGCTCTGTTAGCTACCTTAGATTCTTAATTTTATTTTATTTGCAAATTAAAGAAGCGAAGCTTGATTTTCTAGAATTGGGTTGGGCACGCGCGGTCTAATTGGTTGTCTGAAATTCATTCTTCCATTTATGACAGATACAGTCGTTATTTTCTGGTGTAGCATCATCAAGATTCACATGTAAATTTACGGTGATATATATATATGTATATGGCCTGCTCGAATTTAATTAATAATAATAATAATAATAATAATAATAATAATACATGCTTTGATTTGTTAGTTAATTAGTTAGTTATTTCTTCATCAAGCAATCAACACACAATTGAGAATCTTGATGATGCTGCATCGGCAATAAAATGACTTATTATGCTTCATTTATAATCAAGGGAAACATTGCGTATCATCGTCCTCAAAGTCAAGTCCACTCAAGTCAGGTATGTTTTTAGTCAGGGTTTAGATTTTAATTTAAAATTTAAATTTGATCTATGATATAAATAAATATTGAGAGAAGAAACTGATAAATAGTAGTAGAAATTTTGTAAGATGTGATATAAGAACACACCCATTAATACTACTACTATTTACGTCCCCCACCCCCACCCTTCTAATGAACCTTTTCTTTCACCTTTCACAATTCATCTCCCAATCTTTTTTTCCTTTTACAATTTCATATTTCTGCACATACATACACAAATTCTTCAATTGAAAAAGTAAAAATAGCTGAAAATACGGAAGCTAAGGTAAGACCACCGTACACGTGTTTACTTACTGCATGTTTTCATCTTATCTTTTTATCACATATATTTTTTTTGCTATTTACCTGTCGTAATTTTTCAGAAAAATACACTATTTTCTCCTACGGTTGAGCATTCCTGCTGTCCAAAACCCATCATCCATACATACGTACGTAACTGACTATGTATATATAGGGATAGATCGATATATATATATATATATAGCAGTTGCGTCGATATTTACAGAATGCTAAAGCAACATACCATCGTTTGTTCGATCGAGCAACCAACTAAAACTACAACCAACGAAAAACAAAACACTCACTGTGGAAATTAAGTAGCAGCAAACCATAAGCCTACTTTGTGGTTGCTGCTGCTTCTTCTTCTTCGGCATTCGGAGCAACGGTCGGCAACTGGTTATCCCTAATTCTCGGCGTGCTCAAAGATCGTTTCTTCATTCGGGGCAATCTCCGTTCCGTTTTGTCTCTTAGACCCGGGTGCATGACGGTGTGCATGAGCGACTTCGACAAAGGTACGCTTTTTGTCCTCTTCAAGACATCGAGATTCTTTCGATGCTTCTTCTCTCCATGAACACTTTTGCTCTGTTCATCTACTGATATAAGTGATGCGTCATCAGACCCCGCGCTATCCCGTTGGTTATCATCATCATCCGAGATATACCCGCTGTTCGAAATATCCTCCATGGCAAGATCGTCGTATTCCTCATCCGATTTAGTGGATTCCTCGTCGACAGATCCTTCCAACTTAACAAACAAATTGTGTAACTGATAGAATCAACAAAAGACGGGAATCACAGCAATCTGTTTCGTCGATTAGATGAGTTACCTCTTCTTGGATCTGGTGGTTTCCATCACTAAGATCCTCGTCACTGTCAATGTCCAATGCCTCATCATCGACCTCTTCGTCACTACCGTGAACAGACTGTTCTTCCTTGAGCTGCAAAAAGGCCAAATTATGGCGTTATTAATCGCCCTGAAATCAATTTTGGATATTGCCTTAAACTTACCTCTTTGGCTGGCACGTCGGAAAACCTTGGCGAGCTGCATCCAGATGACATGTATCTACTGCCATGGTCGGTCTCGCCTCTAGAATCATCGACGCTGCTGGCACGGCTTGTGCATCCAGTGTCGCCAGGCCAAGCGCTAAGACCGTAAAGACCAAACGGCACATTCACTGGCTCAGCTTTGCCGATGCGCAGAGGCCCGTACATGGGAGTTCCTATTCCGTTCCCCGTGGGATGATCAGCAACGTCAACTGGCCATGCCTTCGCCACAGAACCATCGTCGTTCAAAAGTGCCATTAAATGCCGGCTTGAACCTTGTCTCTGAATCAAATGAAGCATTCCCTGGGAGCTTAGTGAATTGGCAGTACACTGATTGCGATACTCTTCGTCTACAACAGGCACCGTGTTTGTGATTGGGTCATAAAGGTGGTCTCCATTCTCGCACCTTCTCAAGCAGCTGAAAACTGTCGCGTGGATGGCTGCTACGCTTTTATCAACATTAGTGTTGTTTATCTTCGGCACCAAATGCTTATCTGCCCGTTTGCAGAGATACTCCTGGATCCATCTTATGTTTCGGATGTATTTAACGTACCTGTTCCTGGCTGGATCTAGTGTCATGTACTTGGCACGGACGGCAAATCGTTCCAAGTGCTTGTCCTCACTAGAAATGTAAATCATGAACGGGATGATCGATGGATGCTTCTTCATGAGCCCCATCTGCACAACAAATACATCAGGAAGCACATAAATAGTGACACTCGAGATTAATCGTGTGTCACATTATGAAATAAACTTTTCACTATCAATAGTTAAGATTATTACCACAAAATTGAGACTTAAGTGGACTCCTTCCACGACAACTGATTCTTTTCGTTCTTCCCATGCAGTTATCAATCGGTCAAGGCTGTCAATTACCATCTCACTTTGTGCCTTGAATCCTTCTATTGCCATCTGCTTCGAACTGATCAAATTACTGGTGGTTGAATTGCTCTCAGCTTTTCTAGCAGCTGAATTGCTCGGCAATGCACCCTTGTCTAGTGAGGCAGCTGAAACACCAGCTGATTCCTTTGCTTTCTTCTTGGTCTTAGCTTCTGCTACCGCAACTGCATCTAGACATTCACCAGCATGATAAGTTGATGCCCAGAGCAACGGATTTCGTTCTTCATCAACAAAGCTTCGCATCATGTGGCGAATTGAGTCGGTTGATACAACAGTTGTTATACCCAACCTGCTACCCTGCAACAATAATGGACCAACAGTTAGGATACACATGTAGGGATAACCTTACAATCCAATTTAAAACAAAGTATACTCAAAAGGTAAGACGGCTTGGTTGCCATCACAGGGATAACCTAAAAACTATAACATTGAGATGAGATACAAAACATATATTTGATCTTTCATGACTCAATTTACGGTAATGTTTTGTTCTAGTGTAACTCCTACGCAGGAACAGATTCAGCAGGAGAAATACACAACAGAAAACAAAAAATTACGACGAGCGACAGGACCATTCTCAATTCAATTTTCAGCATTAAACTAAGTAGATTTCATTTATGGCACCAAGCAGATGTAGTGGAACATATGTACAGAAGGGGAGTCTACAAAATGCTTTAGAGCATGAAAACATTTATATGATGCTAAGGAATAAATAACAGCCCCGCATATAATTTTTTGCACATTAAAAATAGTCACAAACATGGTGAATTAATCAACAGATTACTACATAACCTTAAATCCTCAAAAGATAGGTATATAAACTGTAGAACACCGAGCATGATCTAAAGGAAGCAAAATGAAGAAAAGTCACCGGAAACAAGACTATGAAACAAAAACAAAACCCACCAATAAAGCAGATAAAGTAGATTTTCCACAGCCACTTGTGCCACAGAGTAGGACAGTTACAGAGTCCTTCCTTTCCCGGATTCTGAAATAGCAAGAAGGGTCTTAGACAATAAAGTTCATTCAAGTCAATCGTTCACGGTTTGGATTTTAAACAACTTTAAGCTAGCAGAAAACTACACAACATCGTTCGTGTTGAGTTTGGAAGTCTCTGTCTATAAAAAAATTTATAAGCTAAAAACCATGCTTAGGTTTCAGATCAGTGCAATCAACATCATTTGCATTGACAAAGTAAGACCTCTCGGATGAAATTCACAAAATTAGTAAGATCAATTCAAAGAGAATAAGCATATATAAAAAAACAAGAAATTAATTGTAAATTTATCAATCCAAGAAAGATTAACAATATTGAACATTAGTCATAGGATGTAATAGTGCAAAAACATTTCCTTACTAAAAAGAATCATTAACTTTCACATTGAACATGGAAAACATAGATAGTTGTTAATGATCTTGAAATGAAACTTGTACCTGCAAGCTAAGACAAGATCGGCCCTCTGATTCGATCCCATGTACTTGTACTCTGAAAGAGCTTTACAAACAACTTCTAGAAAGACTTTTCTTCTGACAACCAGCGTGGTTCGTCTTTTGTACAACTCGTATGGCTTGCTTTCTTTCTTATTCTTCTCCTGTAGCAAATGATCTGCATTTTGTTTGTCCGCATTCTCCCTTTGAGGATGTACTTTTGTATCCAGTGGTGATATTTCTACACATTCCGAAATCAACTTCTCCACAAAGGTTTCATGTCTCATCATTTCAAATACCCTTTGGCTAATCTGATGCAAGAAAGATTTCAAGCATGGCATTAAGATAGACTTAATAATAGAAGTATGCAAGTTAAAACATATACAAAAATTTCGACATCTAATATCAATGAACGGTGAGACACATAAGGCTAGTACATATTTCCCATTTAAAACCCACAATGAACATAATTGCGAAGCTCAGTAACTTCTATTCAGGGAATCCCCACTGCCTAAGAACAATAACCAAGGAATTAATTGTCAGGATTCAGATTGAAATCAGAAGACCAGTAATGCCTAAACCATTAATTGAGTCAGGGAAGCTCCACTGATTAAACACATTACGCAACCTGCTAAATGTAGAGTTCAGTTTTAAGGAAGCTTCAAGGGAGAATCTCAATGCGTTAATGGGAAAAGGAATATCCCATTGTTCATTTACAGGTAGATAACGCGAAACATGCCATCATAGTAGAAAAAAGCAACAGGTAACACACACTCACACACACCACCATTCACAAAAACCTTCCGAGAAGCAATTAATTTCTATTTCTAGGAATTCAAAAAATTAGTCTCTCCCTGACTGCCTACAGATCCACTGGAACACTAATGCCCTAATTTTCTGTTCTCACATTAAGAATTTTCTATCCATTCTCCAGAGATTAGCAGAAACACAGATCGAAAGCATCATTTGCATCCTGCAAGACATGCATGTAGATAAAAACAAAGGTGCATATAGGAGACAAAGGAAATAATTATCGAAGAAGAAGTTCGAGTTAAAAATAACAAAAATAATAGAAGAAGAAGAAGAGAGACCTTAAATGCGTGGCGAGCCTTGCATCCCATGAGCTGCAGAGTACTCTGAAGAAGAGAACGCGTATACCGAAACGACGACGCATCCTTCTTCTCCGGCGGTGCATCGTCCTCCACCACCGCCACGTACAGCAGCTTCGCCACGCCCTCCCCCGCCGCGGTCGTCATCTCCGAGCTTCAAATCATCTCGGCGCTAATCAAAAGTCAATAATCATCCATCCACACGGCGGAATTCCAAAACCGTCGAGCGGAACCACAATGGAGGCCTGCAGAGGAAGTAAATCTATACCCGGCGAAGCAACGACAACAAAAAACACAAAAACAAAAACAAAAATCCTTCCAGAAACACGCAGCTACAAATACGAGGAAAACATCCAAATGTAGATCCGAGGAGGAAGAGCCGAGAACGGGACATACGACTTCTCCAAAGCGATCCGCGCCATTTGCACCGTCACCACGTTCCACGCATCACAGTTTTCGGCTCTCCACGAGTCGGCCTTGGCACTTGCAATCGGTGGGGAAACAAAATGTCAAAACTACCCCTAACCCCGACCGGTATTACAGCCTTACAGGAGCGGGAAAGGGCGTTACTGCCTCTGTATTTAGCCGGTGGCACTGCGGTAATAAACTAGATGACGGGGGGTTTTCAAAGGTGGACTTTTTCTGACGATTATAAAATTCGAAAGAGGACGGTTTCAATATATAAGAAATTGAGGGGCTTGTTTGCAATATCATAAAAGCCTCGCTACGTTTGAACATACGGGTAATAAATTTAAAAAATATCCGTAACTTCACACCAAAGGAAAGAAAGGTATGAACATGGAAAAAATAATAATACTGAAATGACAAATATGCCCCTGATTTTTTATCCTTTCCTTGTTTACACACATATCCAACGGTGCAGAACAATTCAACTCAAATGTAAAGTAATATATTAAATTCTAAAATAGACTTATTTATCTCGTGGGGACCAAAGAACATAAGAAATAAAACGAAATTTTGGGGGGGAAAAGGTAAAGAAGGCAAAAAGATTCGGATTGATTTGATCTGGTCGGGTCTAATTTTAAGGTATCCTCGTATTCCGAAATGGATATGGGAGCTCCATGGACTACAACACCCGGTGAATTTTAATGAGTCCAGTAAAATTTGGTATCCGAGTCTATTTAATTTGTTATTAGTGTAATTTTTTAATCAATCTTTACATTTTATTTACTGCATATTAAAATTTAATAAATATATAAACTTAGTTTTATTGAATTCTATTGGCGTAGAACCACTTTTTAGAATTCAAACCTTAATTGGGTAAATTGATTTGGCCCTTGAAGTCCATGGACTTCCAACCACCGTTTGTTTATGCGTTGATCAGGAAATAAAAAGACCAAGAAGCATGGTTAGTAAAAAATATTAATTTGAACATATTTTTCTAGAAAACCAAAAATAAAACCAAAAGTAAAAATAAAAATAAAACCAAAAGTATATATTCGAATGTGTAATAGAATATAATGATACAACACATATATACCTATAATTTAGGATACAGTTTATTTATATAAGTATTATTTTCATGCCCTATCTATATTGTAAATTTTTTTTAAATTTTGGCAGTAATCATTAAATTTTTTTTTAATATCATATTAAATATTTTTTTTTTCTATTTGTAAAATATTATATCAAACTATTATATAAATAAAAACACAAACACCATTGTTCAGTCCAAATAATTTTTAATAAAAATATTGTTTGATTTTCTTTTTATAAAATATTATTTAAATTAAAATACAAATTAAAATTCTAATTTCAAATCAACAATGTATTTGTATTTTTATAATATACTCAATTTTTATTCAAAAGATCAAATAAAAATAAGGTAAACTGTTTTTTAGTCTAGTAACTGGACCCCTTTATCATTTTAGTCTTGTAAATGGAGCATGTCGCAAACTAGTCCCATAAGTGAAAAAATTTCGCTGTTTTAGTCCTCCGGCGCCAGAGACGCCCGCGTGGTTCGCCGGAGGTGACGTGTCCGCCAAGTGTTCCATCAAGTCAGCGGCATCTGGCTGACACGTGAATTTTTTTATTTTTTATTTTTTTTAATTGGACCAAATAAAAAAAATAATCTCCGGCACCGGAGGACTAAAACAATGAAAATTTTTCACTTATGGGACTAGTTTGCGACAGACTCTACTTACAAGACTAAAATGATAAAAGGGTTCAGTTACAGGACTAAAAACAGTTTACCCAATAAAAATAATACATGTTCAACAACAATGTATTTGTATTTTTAAAATATACTCAATTTTTATTCAAAATATCAAATAAAAAATATAAATATCACATCAAACATATATCTTCTATTTATTTTTTATAATTCAAAAATCAACTTAAACGTTCAAAATACTTTCGAATATATCTAAATCAAACATAATTTTTAGTCAAAAACTTCAACAATGTAAGGCCAGGCTGATAACGTATATACCAAAAAGCAACTTGGCATATACAATAATGTCCATCAATGTGAGCTACACACTCTTCATATACATACCTACTTCAGTATGGAAATGAATGAAGAACATGACTTGTAGTAGAAAACTAAGCACAATGACATATTCAATAACCAAACATTCATTCCATTAATAGAAATCTCAAGCTTCAATATCACAAGGACAATCTTGTGCCTAGTTTAGTTGGTGCAGTAGATGAATTTGTCGATGAGTTAAAATATACTACATTCATCTGCCTATATTTACCTTTTGTCTGATTGTATTTAATACTCCCTCCGTCCTAATACAATAGAACTATTTACCATTTCTCTCCGTCCCAAAATAATACTCTCATTTCCATAAATAATCATATCACTATAAAACTACCTTTACTTTTTCATTATTATTACGCAATTGCCACTACTTTTTACACTAATACACTGACAAGGGCAAAAAAAATTTTTACCCATACTTTTTACCCACAACCAATATAATATCAATGTTCCTTAAATCCCGTGTCAAACATAACCCAAACTATAGTTCTGGGACGGAGGGAGTATTAAAAATATTTTTATATTTGTATAATTTTTTATACAAATGTCGTTATATTAGTATTATAAGACACTAATATAAGTATTTTTGTCATTTTTTAAAATTTGTATTATGTTTTGATATAATAATTAATATTTAAAAAATCAATATGCAAAGAGTAAATGTAACCTTAGAGCCGGATGAAGAAGGTATGATTTGTTTTTAGTTTAACTTGTCATACTAAAATTTTATAGTGTATCTTATATTATATTTAGAACACAAACCGACTAAATTCAATATTTGAAAAATAGTGATTATATATTCTCACATAACTATATATGTTATGTATGGAGACAACTTGCAATAAAAATATGAATAAATGAACATCTATAAAAAGGGGTTTTGGCTCACATTTATTCATAAAACAATTTACAAATTAAACTTGGAAAAATGGTTTACAAAATTTCCCTATCTTTTCTTTTATTTGTCATCTCTTTGTTTGTTGCCACAAATCTTGCACATGGCCAAATATTGAGCCAAGTGATCAACATAACGGGGCAGCTTTGTTGCACGGCCAATGGGACATGTCCGGGGCCTCCTATCGCTAATCAAACTGTTCGTTTAGTTTGTCCTAATTTATTTGGCGGTAATACGACAACTGGCCAAGGTGTTAGCACTACGAATGGAACTTTTACTATTAACGTTACAAGGATACTATTACGACTCTCACTTATGTCGTGTCAGGTTATTGTTCGACTCCCATTGTCAAATGAAGTTTGTCCCGCCCTTTCCACCACGACTGGCCTACTTAAATCGACCCTTACAATTGTCAAAATTATTCGCAATTTTCTTTCTACCATTGTAAGCGCTGTAGCTCAAGGATTTACAGTGTCGCCGGGTGCCTAGATCTCCATATTATGTGATGGATGATTCTCTTCTTCACTTTTTCATAATTGGAATAGTATTGTTGCAGTAAATTATGATTGTGTATGAAAATGACGAGTATATGATAAAGATGTTATAAACATGTGTGTTCCAAATTCGTAAGAAGAATTTGTTATCTTGTGATAATTATTAAGTGACTTATTTGAATATATATCTTACGAAAATTTGGAATTTGTTATCTTGTGATAATTATTAAGTGACTTATTTGAATATATATCTTACGAAAATTTGGAAAAAATTAAAAAAAAAAAAAAGAAAAAAAAAAAAGAAAAACCAAAATTTACACACACACAAACATAAATATGAAAATTTATTGACCTAATTTGATCAAAATGATCTAAGTCAAGCACAAATCACCGCTATTTTCGATGGATATTACAAAGAGAATACAAATATATATACTTTTAACTATTGATAATTTTGATTCTAATTACTCACAAACATAACATATTTATTGTTTTCGTTATAAATTTTTGTAGATACTTATCCTATATATCGTAGGTGCCAAAATACATCAATGCATTGGCTTTCTTATGAACCACATTAATTAGAAAGAATTAAAAATGGACGATGATTCGGTGCTAACGAGGAATTTATGTCAACACCTTGCTAATTCAATAACAAGTGTTTCATAAAAATAAAAAAATAAATAAAAAAAAAGATCTAATTTGTGAACTTGTGGTTACAAAAATTAATAACTATGAATTATCAAAAATATATCTAATGGGTTAGTGATAGCAAAATTACATGCTTGAATATTGCCAACATATTTTCGATCAACTAGTAATTGTTTTGAATAGTTCTAAATTAATAAAATTTAAAAAATCTATAAAAGGACTAATTATTCAGCCTTATCATTCTTATATATTTTGTAAAATCAGAACATATTTCATTCTCATTGAATAAATATAGCTGGTTGGCAATGGCAAGTGTTAATAGACATAATCAATAACTTGGCCTATAGCCTACATTTACCAAACTTTTACATCAATATTGAAGCAACTTGCTAAAAAACAAACCATCTATAATATACATGTTTTGTCCCACAAAATTACCAGAATAAATCTACAAATTAAATAAATTAAAGGTAAACTGTTTTTTAGTCCGGTAACTAGACCCTTATCATTTTAGTCCAGTAAGTGAAGCCTGTCGCAAACTAGTCCCATAAGTGGAAAATTTTCGTTATTTTAGTTCTCCGGCGCTGGAGACACTCGCGTGGCTCGCCGGAAGCCACGTGTCCGCCCGGTGTCCCACCAGGTCATCAACACCTGGCGGACACGTGGATTTTATTTTATTTTTCATTTTTTTAAATTTTTTTAATTTTATTCGTTTTTTTTATTTAGTCCAATTAAAAAATTTTATTTTAATTTTTTTTAAAATTAATTTTTAAATTTATTTTTTTTTAATTTTTTTATTTGGTCCAATCAAAAAAAATGAAAAACAAAATAAAATCCACGCTGACTTGGCGGACATATGGCCTCTGGCGAGCCACGTGGGCATCTCCGACGCCGGACGACTAAAATAACAAAAAAATTTTACTTATGGGATTAGTTTGCGATAGACACCACCTACAGAACTAAAATGATAAAGGGATCCAATTACGGACTAAAAAAACCGTTTACCCATAAATTAATGTAAATATGACTTCTATTTATCGCATCACCTTTCTCTTCTCCGGCGTCCTCTTGTTTTCCGCGGTAACAAATGTTGCACACGGCCAGTCGATCATCAAGGTGACCGGCCAACTTTATTGCACGGGTAGGGGAAGTTGGCCCGGGCCTCCACTCATATGTTATAATATAACGGGCGTTAATATCACATTTTGTGACGGTGTCACCAATGCAAATGGAAATTTTAATGTTATCCTTACAGAGTTGGTCTTTAATACACTCTCGATGTGTTCATGTCAATGTTGTTAGATTTAAAAATTAAATAGCATAACAAATTAGAATTAAATGCAATAGATGACAGACAAACGTGATTGAATTATCATATCGATCAAATAATTTAATATTTAATTTAAAATTTTAATTGTATTAAAAAAATTTAATACAATTATTTAATTCAATAATATATATATATATATATTCTATTGTATAAACATATTTACTTAATTGAAATCAATATAATATATTATGTTGAATTATATTATGTGTTATTAGGATATGTATTATAGTTTATATTAGCATATGCTATCAAAAATATATTGTTTGTTATATGTATATACTGATCGGATCAAATGAGTACAATAACTACTCCTATTACATATATATATATATATATATATTAATGTACCATTTTTTTTTTGTTAGTTAGCATCAAATACAGAGGATCTTTAAGAAGATATTTTCATTCATCTAGGCTCTCTCTACTTGCATAATTTTAAATGCTTTAATAATTGTTTGCACAATTTTTTTTTATATGATTTTTAATATATATATATATATTATCCTCTTATAAAATTCAACATTTAATATAAAAATATTATTTTTTATATTTACAAGACGATTTTTATATTTCACGTAAAAATAAATAAATCAAAATACTAAACAAACAAATCCACTTTTTAGATCGGAATATATTTTTTTCTAACTAATTTATTAGTAGCATTTGGTGTTTGAAAAAGTTACAATAACTTATAGAAAAAAATAACTTAACAATACAAATAAATATATTTTTTTATTTTATTTGTCCAATTTATTGAAATCATAAAATTTGATCGAAAATTTACACAGAACGTACTCGAAAAAGAATAATCGTGAATTTTCACATTATCAAAAAGAAAATAAAATAAATAAAAAAAAATACTAGATTACTTAGGTTAGGCACTATTATCTCTTTTGTTGTAAGTTGAAATTGTTAATACTTTATTGTTATACATAAAAAAATGACATGACTATAAAATGTATAAAGTAACAAAAGTACATACCATGTTAAAATTCAAAAATAAATGAATCTATTTTTACTAGTACTATATATTTTATTATAAAATTATATTTCAACAAATATATAAATATATTTTAATTCATAAAAGAATAAAATCATATATAATATTATATATTGATATATAATTAACATAAAATAATTATACAAAAAATTAAACTATTTAAATATATATATATATAAATTTAATAAAAAAATAAAAATAAAATGTTACAAGTTATCGAATTCCAAAATATTTGAAAAGATATATATAATGAAAAAGAAATCGAAAAGATACTGCAAACTATAACGAACGGACCCAACAAGCTAGGGCTTAGGACTTGTACAAAATTAAATTTAAGTATAGATGACAGCGACTAGATATAGCGTGTATTTGTTTGGAGATTTGTATTTTTTTTAAAAAAAAATATTTAATAATAAAAAATTTGAATTATAATAGTTATATGATATGATATAAATAGATAATAATATGATATTTTGAATGTAAAATTAATTTTAGTACAACATAAAATATATAAAATAGGTATTTGATTTGATGTTACAGAAAATTTTTTTTTTATAAAAATATTTGTTACAATGACCTTCTTCGTTATTTTTATTTTATTATTGTCTTTTCAATTTTTACTATAACAAAATCTATTATATTTAATAAGAAATACCGTTATCAAAATTTATTAGCTCTATAACAGATTGTTATCTTCAACAAAAATAAAAAGAATAAAAAGAAAAATTATATACCTTCCAAAAAAATTTAAATTATAAATTTAATTATCTATAAATATATTTAAAATTTATTAACCAATTCCCACACTTTATTATCATATTTTAAAATTATTTGTTATTTTCTATCTTTTTATATTCAATTCAATAAAATGACTAGTGAAAATAACGATCATTCCAATTATCTTTTAAATTAAACTGTTGAAAATGAAAAAATTTTAAGCAATGGATCAAATCAAACTTCGTTTGATAATCCAAATTTTCAAATACCACTTGTAAGTTATATTGTTAATATATTTATTTTATACATTTTTATTACACTACGATTCTTTTGATGTTTATTTCTAACTAATATATACGTTGATTTATTCTGAACAATTTTAGTTATTAAAATTTATATAGATTAATATTTAAAAATTAGAATATAATATTATATAAAAATATTATTAGCTAATAAAAATATATAGAAATAAATTATTTAAATATATTATTATATAATAAAAATATATAAAAATAAATAAATTATTATGAATTTATAAAATAGTAATAATAATAAATTGAAAGTAATTTACAATAACAAATCATAAATAAAATAATTTGAATATTGAGATGGATATAATGTGAATGAGATATATAAAAAAATTAATATAATAAAAATAATGAATATAAGCTCTAAATACAAAATTTATGGACAATTTAAAAAAATCACACACCCTATAAATGTAACATTATTGATTCTTGTGTTCTTGCAACTTAAGTTTTGGGACAAAATGCAAACCATCTACCAATGTGGTTCGAAGAATCGAGCCGACGAAGAAGTTGTCGTTGATATGGATGGAGCATTGCTCATCGATTCCGACCCATTTCCGTATTTCGGGCTCGTCGCTTTCGACGTTGGTGGGATTCTAAGGCTCGCTTTGTTGCTAATGGTTTATCCGGCAGCGTGGTTCTTGCGCCGTTTTGTGTCCGAATGCACGAGCATTCGGGTGCTCGTATTTGCGACATTTGTAGGGGTAAAAGTGTCAGATATCGCGTCTGCAGCCAAGGCTGTGTTGCCTAAGTACTATTCGGAAGACTTGCATCCGGAGACTTGGCGCGTGTTTTCGTCTTGTGGGAAGAAATGTGTCGTGACGATGAATCCTAGGATCATGGTCGAGCCCTTCTTGAAGGGCTATTTGGGTGTCGATATGGTTCTGGGCGTAGAGATATCGTCGTGGATGGGATTCGCCACGGGTTTTGTGGATACCCGTCGTCGTTATGGCTCGTCGCTTGTTGAGTCTTTGTTGGCGGCGGATATTGCAATAGGTTGTCCGGGAAGGGATCTTCCGTCGATGAAGATGTGCAAGGTTTTGAATTCGTAGTACCCTCTTTGTAACTTTACTCTGTTCGATCATATCTTTTAAATGTTGTTTACTTGTAATCAGGAGAGATACATCGTACCATACGAATCAAAACAAGCGATACGCCCCGTGAAACACGAGGACTTGCCAAAGGCGGTAATGTTGGAATATGAAGTCTCATTATATCCTAAAATCTAAGGATATGATTTAAATATGATTTGAATATTATTGACATAAGTTTAAGCTATAAATTGATATGTATTCTCACTTTAACATGTGACTGTGTGACTGCGTATTCTATAGTAAAATTCATAACTTGGCAGTGTCCCAGACGTAGATAATTCTGATCAAACTAGATAACCAAATTATTGTATTCTTGTGTCCTTCTTTGTCTTTTCTTGATTTCTTGAGTTTTCTCGCAACAGGTAATATTCCACGATGGCCGGCTTGCTCGTAAGCCTACTCCATTGGCGGCCTTATTGATCCTTCTATGGTTCCCTATCGGCCTCCTATTAAGCGTCGTGCGCGTTCTGGTTGGTTCGTTTGGCTCTGTTTTATCGTTTTACTATACAATTCAACTTCTTGGATGCCGAATCAAAGTCAAAGGTACCCCATTGTCTAAAATCCAAAATTCACAACGATCAGGAACTCTGTATGTTTGCTCCCACAAGACAGTCATCGATCCTCTATTTATCGCCACCGTCTTCAAGACCCCTCGTACCGCAGCTGTCTCGTACTCGGTGTCGAGGATCACCGAGTTCCTTGCCCCTATGAGAAACATTCGTCTCACTCGGGATCGTGCCAAAGACGGAAAATTAGTTAAAGATGCTTTAAGGGAAGGATGGAACTTGGTGTTGTGCCCCGAAGGCACGACTTGCCGCGAGCCTTATTTGCTTCGATTTTCTCCGTTGTTCGCCGAATTAAGTGACCATATCGTCCCCGTGGGGCTATCGATAAACACGGGCATGTTTTATGGGTCGAGCGTACGAGGTTATAAATGGCTTGACCCCTTTTTCTTCTTCATGAATCCTTTGCCGGAATACGAGGTCACCGTTTTGGATGAGCTGCCGGCACACCAAACGTGTCGCGCCGGAAAATCGAGCATCCACGTCGCGAACCACGTGCAAGAATTGATCGGGGCTGCCCTGAAATTCAAATGCACCAATCTTACGAGGAAAGATAAGTATCGAATGTTGGCCGGAACCGATGGTGTCGTCGGACAAAAACCCGCCGGAGTTTCCTTAACGGGCTGAGGCTGTCCTTTGCATGAAGCTTATTAGTGAATGTGAAATGTGCGGCAGCTTGAAAGAAAATTTAAATATTATTATAATAAAGAGTAACAATTTAAGCTTATATTGTGATTTTATTTACTTATAATTTTATATTATTTTCACTATTATTTATTTTATCTTTTTATTTAAAATAGTATTATCAATATATATATATATATATATTATGTAAAATATACTTTCTACATTCCAAGATAATTTTTTATTATTTTTATTAAAGATAATAATATTTAATTAATTAATAGTACTATGTTATAATATTATTCTATTATTTTTATGTAATTAGTAATATTAATGATTTTAAAATAAATTTATTATATCGTTAATTGATATCATTTCGTAAATAATAAATTTTTTTATAATAAAGTAAATAAAAAAATCGTTTATTTATTTATAATTAACATAAATTAGTTTTATAAAAAATATAAGAAGATAGATAAAAATAAATAGATTTTGAACGATTTAAATATAATATTATATATTATGTAATTAATTAATTAAATTATATTTTTTATTTACATTCTTAATAAAAAATTTATTCAAAATAAAAAGATTTCAATTACTATAAACAGATTAAAGTAAAAAATATATTAATTAAAATATGACGGAGACCGTATTAGTTTAGTTATGGCCAGCAGTTAATATTGTGGAATTACTCATTTAATATTATGACAAAGAAATCCGTCTATTTGCCGTTAATGAGTTATATAAATTAAAAAAGATTACGTGTTAAAACGGGTATTAATTAATTTCTCATTACCTCACCCAATTTATTTACAATTACGTGTGTCTATATCTCTCTATAAATATTAATCCAAATATTGAAGAACCGTTGGCTGAGTTGGATTTTGAAATAATTTTATGAGAATTTTATTTGATTGGATATATGAATTATTGGGCTCTAAATGGGCTGGCTCATTTATAACGAATTATTGGGCTCTAAATGACTTAGCCCAAATTGTGTAACAATAATTAATTAATTAATTAATCCCCACTGGTTCCATTATATATATAAATGTATTGTATGTATTGTACACACCCAAACCATTTGCAAAGTTTTACTTGGAACATAGCCAGCAACCCAATCCATTTCATCAACTCCACTTATAATATATAATTTAATTGTGTATAATCCCCATTATATATCATGTTAATTGGATCAACACCATTGAAGAATTAATCTAATTCCTTGATCAAGTTCCTTCTTCATCATCTTCTACAACAATGGAGCTTCAACGAATCAGGGCCCTCTCAATTCTCCTCGTTCTTGCTACCATCGTCTCTTCCGCCGCCTCAGCTCGACTTCTCGACCAGACCGACATACTTCCCGGCGGTTCCGCCATTCCCGGAGGCGGCACCTCCGCCACAGCTCCAGCTGTAGTCCCCGCCGCCGCCGCAGCAACCGCCGCCGCACCTGATGAAATCAACCCCGCCACCGCCACAGCCCCTGCCGTTGTTGCTGCTCCCGCCGCCGCAACCAACACCGCACCTGACGAAAACGACCCCGCCACAGCTCCCGCCGTCGTTCCCGGCGCCCCCGGCGCCACCGCCACGGGTCCTGCTGCCGGAGCTGCAATCGGAGCAGCAGCCGGAGGCAATCCAGCAATTCCGGCAGGCGGCGTCGGCGGCGGCGGCGGCGGCGACCACCCGCTGACATTCTTCATGCACGACATTCTCGGCGGGTCCCGGCCGTCGGCGATCGCCGTGACCGGAATCGTCTCGAACCCTGCCGGAAACGGGCAAGTCCCATTCGCGAAACTCCAGGGCGCCGTCCTGAACGTGAACAGCGGCGTTCCGACGAACAACGCAAACGGCGGAATCATCGACAACAACAACATCCCGTTCCTGACGGGGCTGGGCGGGTTTCCGGCGAACGTCGGCCGGACCAACAACAACGGGAACAACATAATCGGCGGGGTCCCGGGCTTCCCGGTCCTGAACGCGGACCAGTTCCCGTCCGGGACCACGCTCCAGAAGCTGATGTTCGGGACCATGTTCGTGTTCGACGACGAGGTTACGGAGGGCCACGATTTGGGCTCGGGCCTCGTGGGCCGGGCCCAGGGGTTCTACATCGCGAGCTCGGAGGACGGTAACAGCCAGACGATGGCGTTCACCGTCATGTTCAAGAGCGGCGCGTACGCCGACAGCCTGAGCTTCTTCGGGATCCACCGGACCGCCGTGGCGGAGTCGCACCTCGCCGTCATGGGCGGCACCGGAAAGTTCGTCAACGCCAAGGGATTCGCCATGGTCAAGACGCTGCCCGTCGGAATCAATCAACACGTGACCGACGGCACGGAAACCATTCTCGAAATCGTCGTTTATCTTGCTTATTAATTTTATTTTAATTTCTTATATATATATATATATGTGTATGGTCTGTTTGGTTTTTTTTTTTTTTTTGAAAAAAAAAAAATGGGATCTCAATCTTGTGTTGTAATTTGTATTGTATAATTTGAATTGTATTGTATTTGTGACTGTTACTGAATTATTTCGGTGTATTATATTATTTTAAGCGTGACCCAACCCAACGTAACTGAAATTGGTCCGGCCCATATAGTGGCCCATATAGTCTTGATAGCCCAGACGTGCACTAGTTCACGTTAGCCAGTTTTGACTAGCCGAGCCGACCCATCGGACACAATTCGTGGTTTATCTTTTAATTAAACACTTAATATTTGTTGGGGGCAGACTTGCTATTAATTTGATCGGGTCAGCATATTATACAAAAATATACTCGTCTGCCCCTTTAAAAGGTTATTTCGTCTGTTTTAAAACAAACTTATTATTTTTTAATTTAGTAATTGTACTATTTACTAACATAATAAATACTTTTTCAACTTACAATTTATTACACAAATGTTATTACTTTTATATTACACAATATTAATAAAGGTATTTTTTTAAATTTTTTTTTACTACAATCCAATATAATACTAATTTTATAAAATTTACATGCAAAAAGTAAACGTCATCCTTTCAATGGGCAGAGGGAGTACAATATATTTTTGTATAACACAATGTATATTGTGTTATAAGATAACATATATTAAATTATAACATAATATATGTTGTATTGTAAACATGGTATACTAGTATATACGTCGTCCCTTAACAAACTATCTATTTTTCTATTTTAGTTCGTTCAATAACAAAGTATCAATTTTTTTTTAGCAACTGTACTATCTACATAACATTACAAATACCCTTGCAACTTACAATATATTACACAAATATCATTACTTTTATATAACATAATACTGATAAGGATATTTTAATAATTTTTACTTTATTCTTACGATATTAATATACATAAAATTCCATAAAAAAAAATAAATGAATATTTAGTTATGAGACAAAAAAAGTAATATATATTGATTATTTTTATGTGATATGTTAGATTTGATTGGATTAGCAGAGGATATGCAGGCGATGTATATAGGGTGTGTTTGTTTGTGGTTTTGGATTTTGGATTGGGATTTGAATAGTAAAAATTTTAAATTTGAATAGTTGTATGATGTGATATAAATAGGTGTTGATGTGATGTTTTGAATGTAAAATTGATTTTTAGTATAATATAAAAAATAAAAAATAGGTGTTTGATTTGATATTTTTGGGGGGAAAAAATAGGATGAACAGTGGATATCCTAACAAATCCCTAAAACAAACACACCCATAATATATTTGTTGGATTGAGTATTGACATATTTGAATTATAATTGTAGACTCTTATTCTATGATTAGAAGATGACATTAATTATGATGATGGATATTATTGTGGCTGCAGAATTTACGTTAAATATATCCTATTTACGTACCAACAGCAATTAATTAGCGGTAGGGTTAGGGTTAGGTGTTAGGGTGTCCACTTAATTAATTAATGGGTCGGACCCTACCCTACCCTGTTGCAGTTTATCCATTATTGACGAACGTGTATTAAATAATTTGGTCGCACATACAGTAAAGCTTTGGTTGCACTTCAACTTGACCATACCATATTAAATATGCTCTATATTTCATTTCCTTGGACTATTTTATTTTCAAAATAATTATTCATATATCTCATGTTTTTCTTTAACATTATTCCCTTTTTGTAGAGTTTATTTATCTTTCATCACTGTTTTTTCTTTTAAATAAATATATTAAAATGATATTATTTAAAATCTATCATCTAATAAAAATAATAATAATATATATATGCATATGTATTGTGACTTACTTTCGAGTACAGTAAAGTTTCTAAAACAGTTCCAACACTCCAAAAATTTAACATATTTCAAATCTAAAAAACATCCTAAAATAAGTTTTTCATGCAAATTAAATTCTGTACAGACATCACCTATTTTTCAATGCAAATAATTGTAGCCCCATCCACATGCCCCTTCCAATTGTATTGAATATTTAAAATCAAATGAAAAACAATTTTATTTTATTTTATATATATATATATATATATTTTTTTTTTTGTGATTCTAATTGAAGTTAAGAATTCTGGAGTACCAATTCCATTACATTTTTATTATTAATAGGGACGAAATTTCGTTAGCTACGTGATCTTTAGGAACGGAATTCCGTTACAAATATACTATTTTTTTTTTTTTTTTAGTGAACTAAAACCAATTATGCAACCAATAATTGGAGAATGAGCAAAATAATTAATTGATTGGGTCCCTTAATTTTATTTTAATTTATAATAATTAAGCTGTTGAATCCAAACAAAATACACCATAATGCACATTAATAATCAACTATATAAGTTCATAAAAATGGTTGCAGCCCCGTATTGGTGTCACTATTAAATTAATCAATCGAACTAATTAAGACACGTGCGTGCATGCATGCAGACGTCCGTACATTTTGTAGACACTCGATATATCATACTCTCTCCGTCCCATGTAATATGGGTGTATTACTGTAGACACGAGAATTTAAGTAAAGTATAATTAGTAAGTAATTAAGAAGTGTATTAGTAAAAATAATTATTATTTAATAAAAATAATTATAAATTAAGATTAAGATAAGTAAATAGTTTAATTAAAATTAAAAAAATTATAAAATTTAAAATGAGATTAAAGTGCATAATTATATTTCCAAAAATAGAAAAGACAAGTTATGTGGGACGGACAAAAATAGAAAATAGGGACAAATTATGTGGGACGGAGGGAGTATTTTACATATATATATATATATATATTATATTACACACACCGCCATTTATTAATTATAGTATATCATAAATATAGGCAAGCACACTTTTATACTTTATCGAGCCCCCCCTAAGCCAATCAAAATCGAGTACCAAAATATATATAATTACAACGACGTGATTTAACACTTACTGAAAGTATCATATAATGTGCAAAGTTAAAATTAAAGTCGCCAAAATTTAAGATGAGAAAAGCTTGGTAGGTACGTCGTACTAAATAAATAAATCAATAAAGTAATAATTTCAACCAATATAACTGAAATAAGTAGCCACATAGAGAGTGAAAAGTTTTGAAAAAAAAAATAAAAATAGTCAGTAAAATTTTTTGTTAAAAAAAAAAAAATTGATACGATATTAAAAAAAAATAGTATAACACACGGTATAGTATAATACAAATTTTGCCTCTTAATCTATTCAATTTTTTCATTTTGGTCCGTCACATAAGAAAGTATCCATTTCATTTGTTAAGTAACTGTACTGTTTACTTAAGATTACAGATACTTTTCTAATTTATAATATATATTACACAAATATCATTATGTTTATATTATAAAATACTAATAAAGTTATTTTTATTTTTTTACTTTTATTTCTATTATATCTCAATATAATACTAATATTTTTAAAACTCTCTGTATAAAACAAACGAATAGAAAAATACGATCATAAAAAGTGTAAATCTTTACAACATATATAATAATGTTGATTTGTTTGGGTCAGCAAACTAACCGACTGATAAAACAGGCGGATAGGAGATGGAACAATGGGTTGGGTAGACGGTTTTGAGACAAGACACATTATATATGGAGTAGTAGTATTACATACAGGTCCAGCTGTCTGTATGTATGTATGTATGTCACTTTACTACTACTGTCTACTGTGCAATAAAATTTGTGTCTGGAAAGTGGTTGAATTATTGATCCATCTTCACACACACGCACTACAATGATGTCAAGCAACTAATTCCATTACCTTCCATGGGGATGACCACCTCACCTCTTTAATCCCACCATTTACTCACCATGCTTCAAATACAATTTATGTACATGCTCATTTTTACAGGGACAATTGTGTATTCACTTAAAAGTTGTTAGTTGAGCCAAACTCTCTGCACTCGTATAATATAAATACAATACATGAACTAACAACTGATGTAATTTTATACAACACAATCAATATTTGATTTCAGCACACCACATACTGTTATACAACACATTTGTAATTATGAATCAACGATACAGATACAACATATGAACTGACAGTACATGTTATAGTCTTATACAATACATATACTAATTGATTTCAACATACCACATATTATTCTACAACACACTATAATTATGAAGCAACATCACCTGTCATTATTATACACACCATGTGTTGTATATAATAAAAGAATGTGTTGTTTGTATATATTATGAGTGCTGATTTGAAAAATGATTAAAATGGTGATTTTTCCAATTGACAACGTTACGTATAAGTACATAAAAAGTGTATGTCCTCTTCTTTCTTGAGTTTTGGTCGCTTTATTATTACATATCCAGTTACTCTGTTACATACTTGAAGTGTCTATTTATTGCAACTAAGGCTAAGGCTAAGGCCGAGGGCATGGAGCTTGTAGAAATCCTTGTCTTCTCGGTCCCTTTTCTTCTCCTTTCTTACAAGCTATGGCGGTTTCTCGACTGCCGCCGGAATCGGCAGCCGTACATTCTCGACTACGAATGCTACATGCCGAAAGACGATCGAAAACTCAACACAAAACTCAGCGGCGAAATCGTTCTACGGAACAAAAACCTCGGCCTCCATGAGCACCAATTCCTCCTCAAAGCCATCGTCAATTCCGGCATTGGCGAAGAGACTTACGGCCCGAAAATTGTGTTCGATGGCCGCGAAGCGTCCCCGGTGCTCGACGACGCGCGGTTGGAAATGGATGATTTCTTGCACGATAGCATTGGGAAGCTATTCGCGAGGACCGGGATCTCACCCTCGGAGATTGACGTCCTCGTCGTGAACGTATCCATGCTTGCGACGGTCCCGTCGCTCGCGTCGCGGATAATAAATATCTACAAAATGCGCGACGATGTGAAGGCGTACAACGTCACGGGTATGGGGTGCAGTGCGAGCCTAATATCGATCAACATAGTTCAAAACGTGTGCGCGAGCCGCGGCAACGTGCACGCCCTCGTCGTCACCTCCGAGTCCCTAAGCCTCAATTGGTACTCGGGGAACGACAAGTCGATGATCCTCGCGAACAGCCTATTCCGGACCGGAGGCTGCGCGATGATCCTAACGAACAAACCGTCGTTGCGCCGCAACGCCATGTTCAAGCTGAAAATCCTCGTCCGGACGCACCACGGCGCCCGCGACGACGCCTACAATTGCTGCCAACAAAAGGAAGACGACAAAGGTCTCCTCGGATTCTTCCTCGGCAAGAACCTCCCGAAGGCCGCGACGCAGGCATTCATCGAAAACCTCAACGAAATTGCGCCGCGGATATTACCGATTCGCGAACTTCTCCGATTCACCATCGTGTCGTACTTCCGTAAGCTCTGCCGGAGGCAGAGCAAGGCTGGAGCCGGCGCCGGCGCCGGCAGGGCGGGAATTAATTTCAAAACAGGGGTGGATCATTTCTGCCTGCACACCGGCGGGAAGGCGGTGATCGACGCGATAAAGCAGAGCCTGAGCTTGACGGAGCAGGAGGTGGAGCCGGCGAGGATGACGTTGCACCGATTCGGGAACACGTCAGCAAGCAGTCTGTGGTATGTTCTGGCGTACATGGAGGCGAAGAGGAGGTTGAAGAAGGGGGAGAGGATATTTATGATAAGCTTTGGAGCAGGGTTTAAATGTAACAGCTGTGTGTGGGAGGTGACGAGGGAGCTGGAAGGGGAGAATAATGTGTGGAAGGAGTTCGTGCACAGGTATCCGTTGAATTTGAAGGAGCTTGCGAATCCTTTCTTGAGCAGGTATGGATGGCTGCGGGAGAAGGATCCTGCGACATTTTCGCTGCCCCATGATTATGTTGTCCCTGACTGACTCTGATTCGTCTTAACTGATTTGATTTTGTGTTTTTGCTTTGCTGTTTGATGGTTGGTGTTCTTGGTTGTTGTTGCTAGTTTGTAAGATTTGATCCGAGGATATAGGTAATAGATTATTGATATATTGTTTATGTATCTGTGGTGATATTGAAGATTATAATAATGCAAGAAGTTAAGGGTTTAGTGTTTTGGGATTCACAGAAATGGGCCAAAGATGAAGCCTATCAATTGCAGCTGTTTGATGGTGTTCTTGATCTTAAATTTTTTTTAATCCAGGACATTGGTATTTTACTAATTTTTGATACTTAGGTACCAAATGGAGTGTGATTCATCAAATGTGAATTGATGGGTGGGGTGGGTACATAAATTCAAGAATTATCAAAGGCTAGGCAAGTGGGCCGTACATACTTTTGAAATGGGAACCATTTCAATTGGCTGTCCGAAAGAAATAATTCTGCGGTTTATGGGTGTGTTTGTCAGATAGTTTGGGTTTTGAATTTAATTTTAAATAATAAATTTTTTTAAAGGGATATGTATACTATATAAACAGATATTGATATAATATTTGTAAGCGTAAAAAATATCCTAGTGTACGCGCATTTATTAATCGTTAGAGCACACATCCCTCGACTAGACCCAACTCAACATTCGTTCCTCGGACACAAGCCGACAAACCGCTGTCTTAAAATAAAATAATTCTGAATAATAATATAATAATAATTGACAGCCAGTGGACAGCTGTCGTACAACTGGGCCTTAATAAGCGAAGGATTAAGACTGTCTGACCGCGTTAATTCTTTTGTTTTGTTAATTATTAAATAATGTTCCACCTTCTAACATCATCTCCAATCCACTGCATTTATGTAGCGGGTTGTATATAAAATGGGGGGAGGGGTTCCAATTCAACCTTAAATTCTCCCCTCCCGATTTTTCAGATATGCACTGTATTACTTCACTCCAAACCCGATTTTTCAGATATGCACAGTGTTACTCCACTCCATTTTTGGAGTGGAGTTTTTGTAGTATTTTTTATATTTTTGGTATTTTTTGGATGTATCGTGTAATTTTAATTTTTTAGTAGATAATATATAATTTTATATTTTAAAAAATTGTATGTAATTTTATTTTTTTTAAAAAATAATGTATAATTTTATTTTTTAAAAGTGATATAATTTTAGTTTTTGGAAAGTAATATAATTTTATTTTTAAAAAAATATGGAAAATTTTATTTTCTAAATTGATATATAATTTTACTGTTGAAAAGTAATATAAATTATATGTGTATAGATCTAATGTAAAAATAAATTAAAGTTGGAGTGTAATTTATAAATATGAAAAGTTATATAAAATAATATAAAAGAGGAATATATATGGAATATACTTTTTAGAGTAAAAATTGAAATTTATGATTGGAGTAAAATTACTATATAGATCAACTGCATTTTTACTGTAGTAACTATAAAAATAGAGTGGAGGATTAGAGATAGCCTAAATAATGTTAATTTTTTGGTACTATTTTAAATTATCCGCCGGCTATTATATTATATTATTGTTATAATAGTATCTATCTTATTTCATTTTCATAATCAGTTATAAACCAAGCTTATATTAATTACTACTGGTTAGAATTGTAACAACAAATTTTCATCTAGACCAGTTATAATATAAACAGCGAAATAAATAAATAATAATTAGGGAAAATATACAGCGTATAAACAAATAAACAACCCGTGTGTATATTTAAAAGTTTTTCGATCAATTTTTATTATTCATAAATTTTATTTTTTAAAAGTATATAACATTTATTTATATCATATTATATAATTATTTTTAATTTAATTTTTTTACCATTCAAAACATTCGAAACAAATACTCCCTCCGTCCAAAACAAGGTGTAACATTTATTTTTGGCACAAGTTTTTAAGTGGGTAATATTAAATAGGATAATTTATAAATTAGGTGATGTGATGGAGAGATAAATATATATTTTATTTTTTTATTTGGATGATGTGAGATAATAAAGTGTGAGATGAAGATTAAATATAATTAATTATTTCCTATTTTAGAAATATTGCATGATGTTTGAGACATACCAAAAAGAAAAATATTGCGCATTTGGGACGGAGGGAGTACTACTTAATAGACAAAGTCTTGTATTTGCACTAAAGTCAAAATCAGGTTTGACCAATGTTTAACGTTAATGTTACATTAAGCCCTGTTTGTTTTGACCTTTTTTTTTAAAAAAAATTAAATATTATTTAAAATATATATATATATATATCACTAAGTAAACATAATTAACAATTATGTCCAAAAAACTGAATTCCCCATTGGGAATATTTCACATGAAAAGTTGATCATGTCCATGTTCTTGATGAATGTTAATTACACCAATTTTGATGAATAATTGGTGAGTGGGAATCATGTGTTTCCTGTCTTAATTAATTAATATTATATTATATTATATTATATTACGATGTTTTGACTTTAAACCTCTACCATGTGATGTGAGTTTGTAGTTACTCTAATTTTCTTTTTAATAAAAAAATAATTTATTAATATCCAGTTTAATGTTTTATTAGATGTAATTGTAACATGTAACTACCGTTGAATTATTAAATATAAAACAAATAATAAATGAGGCGTCTTTTTAATTCTCACCAAGAAATTTATTTTGTGTTACCTGACAAATTTTTCCACTGTCAATGCCCCAATTGATGGGTTTAAGCTACTTTAATGGCCGCTAATGGTTGCAAACGCCATCTTCAACTTTCAAGGTCAAACCTTACCTAAATCCTTCCAATATTACTAGTACTCAATTCATCGTTTTACAGCAAGAACTTGTTTGGTTTGGTTGCCCCGCTGTATCAGAGCTAGCTAGCTGTACTGCCTTCTCTAATTTCATCGAAGATTCCGCCAAGGCAAACCTAGGGTTTCCCATTATTGGAGCTGATCGAGATCTCAGAGGTGAATTCCTTTTCCATTTCTCATTCAAAACGGTTAATCTGTAGCCCTGCTGCCTGCATCTGCAATTAGTTTTATCTTTTTTTCCCTGTTCATATCCGTGTTGTGTGCATCTGAGTTGAAATTGGGGGCGACGATGGAGTCTAGGGTTTTCCGATTCTCCATCTGGTGTTTATTGATGTTGAATCTGTTGTGCTGCTGTAATGGATTCGATCCTGTCGATAAGTATTACATAAGCTGCGGATCGAGCAGCGATGTTCGAGTGGGTAATATCACTTACCTATCGGATAAATCTTCTTCGAGATTCCTCTCGACTCCTCAGGATATTTTGGCCGATAGTCAGCAGAATTCCATCACACCATCGGAGGATTCACCGCTGTTTCGAACTGCAAGAGTTTTTACAGGACCGTCTAAGTACACTTTCTCGATTAAGAAGCAGGGCAGGCATTGGATCCGCCTGCATTTCTATCCCTTCGTTTACCAAAATTACGATTTGAACACTGCGAGCTTCTCTGTTTTCTCTCAGAAAACTACACTTCTCAGTGATTTCACCCCAAAGAATGCTTCAGTGAAGGAATATTCCGTGAACCTCTCCACCGGTGACCTTGTGATCGCCATTTCGCCGTCGAAAAGCTCCTTCGCATATGTAAACGCCATTGAAGTGGTCTCGATCCCCGACAACCTCATTCAGGACGATGCGTCGCTTTACAATCCTCCGGGGAGGTTTAGCGGGATACCTTCTCAGTCTCTGGAGACGATGTTTAGGATCAACATGGGCGGACCGTATGTGTCGTTGGTGAATGATACATTGGGACGAACATGGCTTCCGGACAAGAGTTTCTTGTTGCAGCCGAATCTTGCGACTAATAAGTCCAATATCAGAGCTGTTAACTATCCCAATGGAGGGGCTAATTCGGATTCAGCTCCTCCGACTGTTTATGGAACTTGCACGAAGATGGATTCGGGAAGTGATCCCAGTGCTAATTTCAATGTGACTTGGGGATTCCAAGTGGATCCGGGATTCCAGTACTTTATTCGGTTGCACTTCTGCGATATCGTGAGTACTTCTTCGCTTGATCTGTTGTTTAATGTTTACATCGATACGTTCCTTGTTGCTCCCGATCTTGAGTTGTCTCAGAAAACAGAGGGGCAGTTGGCTACTGCGTATTTTATGGACTTTGTCACCCCAACGATCAGTAAAAATAACCTTAGTGTAAGTATCGGCCCGTCTCCTATGAGTGCTTCTCCCGATGCATTTCTCAACGGGCTGGAGATTATGAAAATGAACACCTCCAAGAACAGCCTTGCAGGGACATCTATTTTACCATCATTTCCAGCTTCGAAGAAAAAGTTGGGTGTGATTGTGGGGGTGAGCGTAGGAGTGCTCGCGGCTTTAGCAGCTATCGTGATTCTGTTCTTCGTGCACAGGAAACGGAAACTAGAACGGCTCAGGCATTCGAAAACGTGGGTTCCGATATCAGTTAATGGTGGGGTTTCTCACACGATGGGAAGTAAATACTCAGCTGCGACGACTCTTAGCGTCGGTTCAAGCTTGAGCTACCGTATCCCGTTTGTTGCAGTTCAAGATGCGACCAACAACTTCGACGAGAACTGGGTGATTGGCGTTGGCGGATTCGGAAAGGTTTACAAAGGTGTTTTGCATGACGGCACAAAGGTAGCTGTTAAGCGAGGAAACCCGAGGTCTCAACAAGGAATGGCTGAATTCAGAACTGAAATCGAGATGCTTTCTCAGTTTCGTCATCGCCATTTAGTTTCGTTGATTGGGTACTGTGACGAAAAGAATGAGATGATTCTGGTGTACGAGTATATGGAAAACGGCACCCTCAAAAGTCATCTCTATGGTTCCAATCTCCCGAGTTTAGGATGGAAGGAAAGACTCGAGATATGCATAGGATCGGCAAGAGGGTTGCACTATCTCCACACGGGCTACGCAAAAGCCGTCATTCACCGCGATGTAAAGTCCGCGAACATATTGCTCGATGAGAATTTCATGGCTAAGGTTGCCGACTTTGGACTGTCCAAGACCGGCCCCGAGTTCGATCAAACCCATGTCAGCACTGCGGTCAAAGGAAGCTTTGGTTATCTCGATCCCGAATACTTCAGGAGGCAGCAACTGACCGAGAAATCAGACGTGTACTCCTTTGGGGTTGTCTTGTTCGAAGTTCTTTGCGCCAGGCCTGTGATTGATCCTTCACTTCCCAGAGAAATGGTTAACTTAGCTGAATGGGCGATGAAGTGGCAGAAAAAGGGGCAACTAGATCAGATCATAGATCAGAATCTTGTGGGGAAAATCAAACCCGACTCGCTCCGGAAGTTTGGGGAAACTGCGGAGAAATGCTTGGCTGATTTTGGGGTGGATCGACCCTCCATGGGAGATGTACTGTGGAATCTTGAGTATGCTCTTCAGCTTCAGGAGGCAGTTGTGCAGAATGATCCCGAGGAAAACAGCACAAATGTCATAAATCATCTGTCTCCTCAAGGGGGCGAGTTCCATCGCAATGATGATGATACGAGCGCATCTGTCGCTCCGTTTGAGACGTCGAGCGTGGATGATCTTTCGGGTGTTTCGATGAGTCGGGTTTTCTCGCAGCTGGTAAAGTCTGAGGGTAGATGATTGGAGGTAGAGACATACAGACGGTATGTAATGTAAGTTGTGTGTTGGGTGGTTCCTTCTTTTTGTAGTCTTCCCTCATTTTTGTTTTGCATTGTTGTGCTTCGTTTTCTTCTGTTCTGTTTATGTTTATCTGCTCTGTTGCATATATATACATAGATCGATATATGACATCCCCTTTTATTATATATTGTGGAGTACTTATTAAATGAAATTAAATTGAATGTAGTGAGATTTACATGATTATTAGGAGTGAGCGAGTGAGGATATGCTATCGTGTTGAACATATACTTGGTTTGTTTGTTTCCATTGGATATGAATTATGATATCGTGTTGTCCCGTAAGGAATGGCCCGGTAATGTGGGGTTGGACTTGTGACCGTGAGGTCATGTGTTCAAACCCCCCGACGTCTCAGGTCACCTGCCACACATGATTTGTCTAATGTGACTTGTCCGTTGTGCTTAGTTTGCAGCAGGGTATTGGGTTTATCCAGTGCACGTAGTGCAAAAAAAAATATATATATATCTATATATGATATCGTGTTGAAAAGTTTGGAGGGTATTGGAGTTTTGGAATTTTTGAAATAATACAAGGTTAGAAATTGATGTTAGATTTTGGGAGAAAAAAAGTTTATTTAATGTGGTATTTTTTAAAAGTAAATAATGCCAAAATTGAAAATTATTATTATTATGTAAACAAAGCATAAGAAAGGACGAAATTATAGGCGTGTCTCTTGTGTGCGTGAAATAATTATGGCGATGAAACCAAGCCAGGCCAGGCCAGGCCGAAACTTGCATTTCAAGTGTTCCATAATTATAATACAGTGTCTTGTGTTATTATTAATATTTTATCCATCATTTAAATTTAAATTTATTTTTCTTTCTAAATTATCATCACAACTATATATATTCCTTTATTATTAAGAACTCATAAAAAAAAAAAAAACAATTATTATCAATCAAATGAGTATAGAATTTAGCAACACAAAGAAGTATTATATCTGTTTCAGCTAATTTGTTCATTTTAGACGGAGCACAAAGTTGTATTCCCTCCGTCCACTTACAATATATACATTTATTTTTGGCGCAGTGTTTAAGAAATAATAGTATTTTAATTATAATGAGTAGTTAAAAGTAGTGTAACGACATTTTTGCCCTTACTTTTTAATAAGGATATTTGTGGAAAAAATAAGGTATTTAATGAAATGTTTACTTTGTAATGGGATGTGTAGAATATTAGATGCCCGATCCTTAAAGCGGAAGCGTACCTGATGAAGCCATATACAAATCTTGGGTGATTAAAGGTTTGGTCTTCCAAGATCAGAGAGCCGGCTTCTATTCTGTCCTTGACGGGTGAGGAGCAGAAACTGCAGGGAGAATCAGATCTCTTTTACGGCGTGCTGATCATGGGGACCTAACCCTAGCCTATTTATAATAGGGCAAACATAATTGCAATTACAATTATGCCCTTAATTAATATTATTAATTTGTCACGTCACCAAAATAATAATATTATACGGGTAGCTGCACTTTCATTCCATAACAATCAAACCTATCAGTCAATAATTAATTATATTAATTAGATCACTTAAATAATAAGACTGAATAAAATAATGACTTTAACAACATATTCGATACACATATTTGATCCCAAATCCAACAATCTCCCACTGGATCTAGTATGTGTCTGAATGAACATATTGTTCCTTATGAGCTCAATTTTCAGTCATTATAAAACAAGGCTTGCAACAATCTGATCCATCAATCACAGCAATATAGGACTAAAGAAGCATTCGCCGTATCAACAGCTAAACTCACAGTAATCACAAATATCAGTGTAATCAAATGACATAGATCAATCATGGAACGTGCAGAGAGAAAATTACATAAGTGTGATCTAAATATGTCAATTTTCTACTGGTCCAAACTGAATGAGATCGTAAATTACTTAATCATAATGTCCAAAACATCATAACCGAAATAATGATCAAAAGAGTATAAAACAAATATCAAGTGAAGGACAAAAGAATGTAAATGCATACTCCCACTACAGTGAAGCTTCCTTAAATTGTAACACACCCATATGAGCAGTATGCTCATGGAAGACCTTAGGCGTTACACCTTTAGTTAGGGGGTCTGCTAACATAGATTTCGTCCCTAAGTGCTCGATCGAGATATGATGATCTTTCACTCTCTCCTTCACAACTAGGAACTTAATGTCAATATGTTTTGACTTGGATGAACTCCTATTGTTGTTGGAGTATTCAACGGCTGAATTGTTGTCACAGAAAATCTTGATGGGTTTTTCAACCATCGGAATGATTCGCAGCCCAGCGACAAAGTTCTTTAGCCAAATCGCTTGTTGTGATGCCTCAAAACACGCCACGAACTCAGCTTCCATCGTGGAACTGGTAACGAGTGTCTGTTTGGCACTGCGCCAAGCGATGGCCCCACCAGCCAACATATAAACATAGCCAGATGTAGATTTCCTACTATCTTGGCATCCTGCAAAGTCGGAGTCAGAGTATCCAACGATCTCCAATTGGTCTGACCTCCTATATGTGAGCATGTGATTACTGGTTCTCTTCAGGTATCTCATCACCCTCTTGGCTGCCTTCCAGTGATCCAATCCAGGATTACTAAGGTATCTGCCTAACACACCGACTATGTACGCAATATCTGGACGCGTACATACTTGTGCATACATGAGGCTCCCAACTGCCGAGGCATAGGGGATTTTTTCCATCTCCTCAATTTCCAGATTTGCTTTAGGGCATTGGCTGAGACTTAATTTCTCTCCTTTAGCTATAGGGGTATCTCCCGGCTTGCATTTCTGCATGCTGAATCGCTCGAGTATTTTATCAATATAGCTCTTTTGAGATAATCCGAGAATACACCGAGATCTATCACGATATATTTGGATCCCTAATACAAAAGATGCTTCACCAAGATCTTTCATTTCAAAGTTACTCGAGAGAAATTTCTTAGTTTCGTGCAACATGCTCACATTATTTGTGGCAAGCAAAATGTCATCCACATACAAAACCAAGAAAATAAACTTGCTCCCACTGAACTTATGATAAACACAATCATCAACCACATTCATCTCAAAACCATATGAGAGAATTACTTGATGAAACTTGTGATACCACTGTCGAGACGCTTGTTTGAGCCCATAGATGGATTTTCTTAATTTACAAACCATTTGCTTTGGGTCACCGACCTCAAAAGTTTCTGGTTGTACCATATAGATCGTTTCATTAATGTCACCATTCAGAAACGCCGTCTTAACATCCATTTGATGGAGCTCTAAATCAAAGTATGCCACAAGAGCCATGATTGTCCTAAAAGAGTCCTTCGAAGAAACCGGAGAGAAAGTCTCTTTATAATCAATCCCCTTTTTCTGAGTATAGCCTTTAGCTACAAGACGTGCCTTATACCTCTCCACATTACCATTTGCATCCCGTTTGGTTTTAAAAATCCATTTGCAACCTACGGGTTTTGCACCTTCTGGCAATGGGACAAGTTCCCAAACTTTATTGTCTTGCATTGACTTGTACTCATCACGCATCGCATCAATCCATTTATCTGAATAAGGACCCTTCATGGCATGATAAATATTAATTGGATCATCCTCAGTCATGCCATCATTATCCTCACTTTCTTGAAGAAATGTCACATAATCATCCGGAATGGCATTTCTCCGTTCTCTAGTGGATCTACGCAATTGCGTTGGCTCTTGAACTGTATGTTCTTGAGTTTGTTGAGTTTGTTCCATAGGTATAGGTTCCTGTTCTATGCGAACGGGTTCCTCAGTCGCACTTTGAAACTCTATGGGAGCTGGAATGACTGTTAACTCATGAGGTGTTTTATCAATCACATCAGTGATTTCTTGATCCTCAAAGGTAAAGTCTAAAACTGTATTTCTCCCCCTAAACTCAACATCCTCAAAGAACTTGGCAGTAGCCGTCTCAAAAATAGTTCTTAATGTGGGATCATAAAATTTATACCCCCTTGACCGTTCCGAGTAGCCAATAAAATAACTGCTTACTGTACGAGGTGCTAGCTTTGGTTCATTTGGTCTATAGGCCTTCGCCTCAGCTGGACAACCCCACACCCTAAGATGATTTAAGCTAGGCTTGCGCCCAATCCAGAGTTCATAGGGTGTTTTGGCAGTCGCCTTAGTTGGCACTCGATTAAGGATGTAGACTGCTGTCTTTAATGCTTCTCCCCATAATGATGGTGGCAAAGTAGATTGACTAATCATACTTCGAACCATATCCTTCAATGTGCGGTTTCGTCTCTCAGCAACACCGTTCATGCTAGGTGAACCGGGCATGGTGTATTGAGGGACGATTCCACACTCCTTAAGGAAGTCAGCAAAAGGACCTGGACGTTGTTCACCCGAGCCATCATTTCTGCCGTAATATTCTCCTCCACGGTCAGATCTGACAGTCTTAATGCGTTTGCTTAGTTGATTTTCAACTTCAGCCTTAAATGCTTTGAACATGTCCAGTGCCTCAGATTTTTCCTTAATAAGGTACAGATGACCATATCGAGAATAATCGTCTATGAATGACACAAAATATTGTTGACCGTTCCACGAAGGAGTGGGAAAAGGCCCACAAATGTCTGTATGTATCAATTCTAAGACATCCGTAGCTCGATAAGCACCTATCCTTTTAACCTTGGTTTGTTTACCTTTAATGCAATCGACACAAACGTCAAAGTCTGAAAAATTTATGGAATTAAGGATTCCATCCTTAATGAGTCTTTCAACTCTGTTTCTTGAAATATGACCTAAACGTTTGTGCCACAATAAACTAGAGTCATGAAATTTTCGCTTAGTACCTTTTGATTCCATATTAAGTGCCTCATTATAGGAAACCAAAATATCGAGCATATATAAACTGTCATTCACCATAAAAGTACCAAAACCAACCAAACATGAATTAAAAGACAACTCAACTTTATTGTTTCCAAAAGAACAATGATAACCGAATTTGTCCAAATAAGAAACAGAAACCAAATTCCGTCTAAATGACGGTATAATAAAAGTGTCTTGCAATTCAAGAAAATGTCCAGTACTCAATAACAGCTTGAAAATGCCCACGGCTTCCACCTCTACTGAGTCCCCATTTCCAAAGTAAATGCGTCTTTCAGCATCAGTTGGGTTTCGGTAGCTCAGGCAACCCTGCATTGAAACACTGATGTTAGTAGTTGATCCAGAGTCTAACCACCAAGTATTTCGAGGTACTGAAGCTAAATTAACCTCAGAACAAACCAAAGTAAGAAACGTACCCTTCTTCACGCGCCAATCGTGAAACTTAGTACAATTCTTCTTCTCATGTCCAGGTTTCTTGCAAAAGAAGCAAGTCTTTTCAGGACGAGCCCGAGGAGCTGGAGCTGGAACATGAGCCTTAGCAGTCTCAACCTTAACGGCCTTATATTTTCTCTTCTTGCCGCCTGCATCCCTTGAGGTATCCACCATATGTACCTCTTCAGTCTTATTACGCTTCATTCTTTCTTCTTCCTCAACACAGTGAGAGATGAGCTCATTAAGAGTCCACTTCTCCTTTTGACAGTTATAACTGACTTTAAACTGATCGTATTGAGTAGGAAGTGAGAGCAAAACCAATAGGACTAACATGTCCTCTGAAAGGTCTAACTTAAGTGCTCTCAACTTAGAAGCAGTATTAGACATGTTCAGGATGTATTCCCTTATATTTCCTTTGCCGTTATACTTCATGGTAATGAGACTCTTGAGAAGAGTACTCATTTCCGCCTTATCGCTTTTGGTAAAGCGTTTCTCAATTTCGACAAGGAAATCATTGGCAGTAATGATATCATCAGATATCGTGCCCCTAAAGATTTCTGGAATGCTTTTCTTTATGATCATTAGACTAAGGCGATTAGACCTATCCCACTTCTCAAACAACTGCTTTTCATCTGCAGTGCTTTCTTCCGTAGGAGAAGGGGGTTGGTCTATCCTTAATGCCAAGTCTAGATCCATACAGCCCAAATGAATCAATATTGATTCTTTCCAGTGCTGATAGTTGTCCCCAGACAGTATTGGGACTGAATAGTTAGAAGATACCAAAAGATTCGATCCTGAAGATAACAAGGAATTAATATACACATAAGTACTCAAGTAGCATAATGAAACTCAAAATAAAATAATGCAATCCCATCTCAAGACACTAAACGCAACATTAATGTTTAATCTTTGGATCAATGCCATTAACTGCAAGCAGTCATCTTGTTGCAATAATCATATACGGACAATAAGGTAATGTCAAACAGTAACCAATCTTTGGACTGATTTACTATTCACATAAGTTAAATCTATATAATTGTCCCATACATATTATCGCAGATGTATATTTCATTCTGTCAATTATCGACTGCCTTTGGGCCGAAGAATAATCACATGAATTAAAATAAACATATAAACACTTACGTTATCAAGAAAAAATTTCATATAAGAGAGGTTACTTTGGCAACTTCAAATACTAGATTTTCACCGTCAAAACGCAGCAAACATTATTAATGAGTTTCCAATTCTGATGGTTGAAATATTTGCAATATAGGCAAAAATTAATTTCTAAAGATGCATACATTATCAATTTCATAAATTGTTTAATAACAGCCATGAAAAAAAATAAATAAATAAATATTAATTATATTAATTAGATCACTTAAATAATAAGACTGAATAAAATAATGACTTTAACAACATATTCGATACACATATTTGATCCCAAATCCAACAGGATGTCCCAAAATAGAAATATGTATAATTTCTAATTGGACAGAAGAAATATTATATAATCGGTAAGTATTTAAAAATAAAAATAATTATTTTTTTAATTATAAATTAAAATTAAGATGACTGACTAATTTAATTAAAATAAAAATAATTATAAACTATGAATTTAAAATATAATTAAGGTATATAATTATATTTTAAAAAATAAAAAATTATGTGGGATTGACCGAAATACAGATCTTGTTCATAGTTCCAAGTTTAAAATGTTCAATATATATCTAAGTATCCTTGTGTGTCTTGTACTTAATGAAATTATTGATGTTATATTGTTACAATTCACTAAGACTAAATTTGATCTATTTATTTATTTATCTAACTAATATGTAAAGAAAATAATGTATTATGATATAAATTTATGCCAAGTCATGTAAATATTATGCAAAAACCTTCAATGGGTAATGATGAAGTTTATGTTTCAACTACACTCTTAACTTAATCAATAATATATAAAACACAAGTAATTAAATATTAAGTTCATGACTTCTTACCTATATGTCTACTTTATTTATTTATTTATTTATTTGTTTCGAATATTTATTTATTTATTTATTTAAGTATAATATATCGTTGATAATCATATATAACCTCCAATAGTCCAATGTACGGATATCATTTCAATTTTTTCAAGACTTCATAGCCAATAAATAACAAATTATAAGAAGCATTGACTATATACTATTATTTTATGTATTAAAAAATAATAATTTAGCTAACCATGGGTCAAATATCATTTTTTATTTAATTAGCAACATAATTTGTTTAAATTTTATTATAATATGTCGGTTAAGCTAAGCATTGACTTAATCTTATTGAACAATATTAGTTATGATGTGCAATGCACAATCATATCAATTAAATCAATTTTCCCAATACTAAACTTAAATTCTTTTTATAGTTTATAAACAAAACCTATCAACACTCTCCTCATTAGGCCATACTTTTTTATTATATTAAATGAATTATTGTAAATATATATTATATTCAAGTATATGAATTAAAAATGATTACATTGAAAATATATATATATATATTTTTTTTTTTAAAAAAAATAATACATCAAACGCACACATAAATTAATTTAAATAAATAAATATATAGTGGGTTGTTCAATGATCACTTTATTGTGCACTAAAGTTTGTCGTATTAGAAAGCAAATTGAAATCTTCCACAAAAAATACCCATTCTTTATTGCGACCGTAAAAGGTAGTTTGTGGTCATCCTCGCCATTTTCACTTTTTGTCACAAAATAAATAATTTAGTCAACTAATAAATGTTTTTCACAATTTTCTTATTCCATTAAAATTCTCGTCATAAATTGATCCTATATACAATATACACTTAATTCTAATATTAAAAATAATTCATAAGATTCATATATATATTTCGTTTACAAAATTGAATTATTTGTCTCCTCATTTGAAAATTTATCGATAGTCCTTCGTATATAATCCAATTTTCACATTATATTATTGTTTAATTCGTTACATAGCTAAATAAGTAGAATCATAATTTGTCTTTAGTTAGCATATTCTGTTGTTAGTTACAATGTCTACACATTGTTATTACAACTTTGTGTCGTTGAAGCCACACTATCAATTAATTAATTCATTAATCCTAAAAAAACATATCCTCTTAAAAATTTAATATTAATAAAAGTTTCTTTAATTTTAGCAGAAGCACATTGTAATAAACTTTACATATATATATATATTTATTTATTTATTTATTTACTGTTAACCAACAAATATATGTAACACGATAATCTCAAAATCAGTGTATACAAATCGGACACACACGGCTATTTTATACATAAGTATATATATATATATATATAATTATTAATTATATATCTGAAAAAGGAAAACAAAAAATTAAATTAAAAATTTATATTTATATTTTTTGTAAAAAAAATAAAAATCGCCGTTAATTAATTGACGACGTCAATCTTGGTGGTGCAGGCCAGGAGTCGCCGGAAAACTGAGGCGAGGAAGGAGCAGGAGGCGGCGCGTTTCTTCCGATCCCGATCTCCGTCGTCTCTCGACTTCCTCTTCTTCTGCTTCCTTTTTCCATCCTTCGCCGGCAGGCCGAGACAATTGACGGCGGGTTTCTTCCGGTGGTCGGAGGCGGCGGCAGCGGCGGCGGCGTGATCGTCTTCCCTGGAGAAGGTGTAGCTCCTGAGGTAAAGCTGCCGGCACGAGAAGCTGTCGACGACCCTCGGGTGGCCGTAGATTCTATCTCCGGCGCCGGCGCCGCCGTCCTTAGACGACCTGCTCATGGAGCGGACGAACTCGAAGTCGGACTCCGGCCACTTGTAGAGGTTGACGTAGGTGGCACGGACGGGCACTCGGGCGTCGTCGACGCAGCGGGAGATGCAGACAGACGCCATGGAAATGGAAGATCGATCGATTGAGCTCCAGCAGGCAATGTGCTGTGCCCTTTTTATGCCTGAGGAAGACAATGATTCAGCTTCGTGGGATGATTTGGGTCTGGGTGTACGTGAACCAGATAGAATCTTTGCCGTTAGATGATATTTCAACGGTCTGGATTCATTCTGGTTCTGGAGTCCATGGACCTGTATTAACTTTGTTATTATCCCATAGTACTTATTAGTATAGGAGAGGTCTCAGTCTCACCGTCTGAAATTTATTTCCATATTTTACTGATATGTAAAACTCCTATGGCACGAATTTTTAAAAAAATGGATAATTTTTAACTTAAAAAACAAGAAAATATAAATTTAAATAACATAAAAAATATTCTTTTAATTTTCCTTTTTTTAATAATTAAAGCAATATTCATCCCCTCTATATATATATGTTTATATATGGTGTGCCACTTTATGTGGATTATATTTGAAGCTACAAACATATGATTGGAAATGGTATAATTTTGGGGTCAAATATTATGATAAATAATTAACAATTATTAAAAAGTAGAAATTTTTATTGGCTCATTTTCATCCATTGACTTTGGGAGATTATTTCTGAGCAAAATGAATATTCAACTATCGCCCATAATTTATTGTGTTTGTTTATATCTTTGTTTTCTTTTTTGCCTTTATAATGCATAGTAAACTTCTCCCTCCATTTTGGAACTATTCATTTGTCTTTTTCACTATATTTTTTTTAATATTAATATTCTAATTTTATATAGTATAAATAACTATATATATAAAACACTAATAATATTTATGTAATACATTATAAATTATAAAAGTATTTTTAATATTAGGAAAACAATACAATTACTTAAATATATATATATATACATATACTTTCTTTTAGAACAGATCAAAATAAAAAAATAAAATAAAATTATGAAATCATACATATATATATATATATATTTTAACTAAAAAGCTATATTCATAAATTATATTTCAAAAAGATAAATTGAAAAAATATAACATCAGGGATATTTTATTTCCTAATACAAAAATAATGTCCTTATCAAACTTTCATAAAATTAGTTGGGTGTGTGTGTGTGTGTTTTTTTTTAATATTATATTTTAGTGATCAAGTGACATGTGTTAATCACTTTAAATTTTTCAAGAAGTACCGAGGAGTGAGTCAGCAATTGAGATAATATTCAATTTGTGTGTTGTGATCACAACTTATTTTGCTGTAATTAAATTAACTTAATTTAGTGGTTGTATGTATTGTTTACTCAAAAGAGCAAACCTGTTGGCAAGAGCATTTCCAATAACAATAGTCCTATACAAATGTCTTAATTTAAATAAATTAATCAAGATATATATATAAAAAAAAAACAAGAGTTCACTTTTAAATGATTGTGTCTTGTGCTGATTATACAATAAGTTAACATCATTGTACTAGTAACTTAGTTGATACGTAATTTTACCATAATCAATTAAGTACTATATATACATATATTATTATTATTATTATTATTATTATTTTTATGATGTGAGAACCCAAGGCCATTATCAAATGCGACCACCGGCCAAACTTAGTACTCTGCAAATCAGGCTCGGGAAATATAAATATATATATATATTATTATGTACTACTAATTTGGTTTTATTCACAAGTGGTTAATATCATTTGCTTTAGGTTGTCAAAATATTAGGGTGTGTTTATTACTATTTAAATAAAAAATAATATTATTCACCATGCCATTTTATTTTGTAAAACATCATGATGAATATATTATTTAAATCAAAATTCAAATAAAAAATTCAACTTGAGACAAAAACAGAACAAACTCTTATTATGCATGCGAGTGCGAGTTAATTTAGATAGAATAAGCATGTGGAGTAATGGCAATCAAACATTAATCTTCCATAGGCTTAATTTCTAGCAAATGAATGAACGAGAAGCTCTACATACATTGATATATATATACATACATTCATTCCATTCCATTAGTCCCTGCATCAGTTAATTTATATGAGAGAAATAGGCAAAGCCAACATATTCCATAATGGAAGCTGTGAAATGGAAATGATGAAGACACACTATGCATATACAACTCTATCTATACTACTAAATATCCAAAACAAACAATCAAACCTGGCTTATTGTTACTAACAGTTGAGTTGAGACCACATTATATAGATATGTAATTCTATGTGAAAGAATATAAATAGAAGAAACACACATTCTCACTATTATTACTATTACATATACATACACAGATTTATATATAATCCCTTCCACCAAATCAAAGAGACACGCCAGCACGAATGATAATTGATTATACGGTAAGGTAAGGTAAGTGAATACCTTTTAGAACACATTCTTTTGCAGATCATCCAGTTCCAGGTCTATATCGTCGTCGTTATCATTTTCTTTCTGATCAAAGATGGGGGCATCGAGCACAGGTGGATCCTAAGATAGATTTGTACAAACATAAGCAAAGCTAATTAACCTCATTTATGAATAGATAACTAACAGACTGCTCTCAAAGCTTAAGCTAAAAGGAAGGAGGAAGCCACATTTTTTCATTTATTTTTAAACAAATGCGATGCAATAGTCACAAACTCCAAGTTATTAGCCAGAAATTCTGTATCATTACCATGCATCGAACAAGAGCCCAGTTGATGCCCCGGAAAAATGGATGTTGCTTCACTTCATTCGCGCCTTCTCGTGATCCTAGCCGGTTTTTAGGATCTCTGTGCAGTAGTCGATACATCAACTGCTTTGCTTGGAGACTTACCTGTAACGAATCAACTATCAAAGTTCTCTTCAAGTCATGAGATCGATATCTTGTGTTGGAATCACCAACTGTTTTATGAAAAGAGTGTTCTACATGCGAAAAAAGGTTTTTATATTTAAATATAGAATGGTGCATCTTCCTATCTATCAGCCAAAGGTTTCAGGTAATGCAATTGTTTTGACAATCTACATTACCTCTTTACTTCTTGGAAACTTCAAATCCTTCTGTAGAATGTTTGCAAAAGTCTTCTGTCTTGTCTTCCCCCTAAACGGCGTATACCCATATACCATTTCGTATATGAGAATGCCTACAGAGGAACAAGATTAATTCAAACTAGTCTTAAAATTTTTTAAACATGAGAGCAACAAGAGTGGCAATTGCTTCTTATTCAATTCTCTTCCATACTTACCTAGAGCCCACCAATCAACTGCACTAGTATGGCCTGCACCGGTGATGATTTCCTGTTTTAACACGAATGACCTAATTGGTCAGCAGAAAATCTTACACCGAAATGAACCATAGACTTCGAAAGAGAAGCATTTCTACTTAATTTAACTTGACCCCTGCAGTGCATAAATACTACATGCAATTGTCTTTGTAAAAGGGATGATGTCAGGTGAGTAGAATATAACATCATGTATAGTTCTGGTGAAAAAGATGCTAACTGGAGCTATGTACTCCTCGGTTCCAACAAAAGAATTTGATGCTCGCATTGGTTCCGCCACAAAGATTGGAGCCTGTTGGCCTTTCTGACTTTTTTGGTTCTTTTTCTTTTCATTTACCTCCGGAATCAATAGCTGTACAACACAGATTTTTATTATTGACCACAAGTCATCTCATTGCAGTTTGAAGGTATATAAGTTTGTAGTGAGGCATGAAGGCGTACCTGTGGCTTACAAGACGTCAAGCAAGACAAATCAAAATCTGTCAACGCGATATGCCCATTGCTCTGAAGTAAAACATTTTCTGGTTTTAAATCCCTGTAGATGACACCTGCAGCAACAAATGTGTCATACATATATATATGAGAACCTAGAGAAGATACCACAATTTCAATTTAATGAGTCAGGCTCTACCTTGACAATGAAGATATTCTAGTGCCACTATGACTTGAGCAGCATAGAATCTAGGAGAAATCATGATTAACTTATGTCAGGTAACTTCAAATTATGATAATCAGAAAGAAACATGGTAGAAACTAAGTTGCACCATTTCTAGCATATTTTGCACACTATTTACATACCTTACAGCATCTTCCCTCAGAACTTTTGTGGGCTGCTTGTCAAGAAGAAGGAAGAGCTCTCCACCAGGGCAGTAATCAGTTATCAAACATATATGAGTTTTGGTCTGTTAAAAAATTAGAGAGATCAATACCCAAATAGTCCAGGTAAGATACAAGCAAACAGTTTTATGAAATAAATATTATTAAAGATATTTTAGATTTGAAATTACAGGAGTCTATCAAGTAACAACAGCACATGCAAGTTCAGAAAATTATTTAAATCATATCACCTGAAAGGAAGCATACAGTGCAGGAAGAAAAGGGTGGTCCAACATATCTAGGATTTCTCTTTCTGCGCAAGCTCGATGTACCTACATAAGAAAATTAATAAATTAAATAACTAAGTACATATTATTGATTAAAATTCTAAGTAGTTAGTTTATTTATAATTTGCAAATATAGGAATGGAAGCAGAGCTAGGACTGTTATCCTTGGTTCTTCACAGTTTCACTTTTGTCCTGGTTCCAACTGGTTCTCAGTTCTTAATAAAACAGTGGCCATGTCTAGCTGTGGCACTGACTCTCAACCAAATCGAAAGAATTCAGCTTCATACCTTGTTTCGGTTCAGCATCACACCCTTGTCCATTGCTTTCATGGCGAAGTATTGCCCTGTTCCACTTAATTCTACCAGATGTACACTACAAGAAGGTCAATTTTATTAAATCAGTCAAAGCACTTTTTAGTTGTGCAAAACAATTTTTAAATACATCAAGCAGAGTGAATTTTAAATTTAGTTGAAACGAAAATTATGTTTTAACGACAGAGCAGATGATGGACTATTAATGGGCATCATCATAATAACCTAGAAACTTGATTGGGTCCGTATGTCAATCACAATAGAAGAACATCATACCTTCCAGTATCACCAGATCCTAACGGTTTTATTGGTTTAAAATGCTTCAAGCCCAACACTCCCTCACTATCTCGAATCTGCAAATGCAAAATGAATAATAGTGATAAAATAATTGAGAATAAGATGGCTACAAAAATCATACAACTTTCAAATCCAACATAGTCTACAAGCATGTCAATGCGCATCTGTTGACAGTGAGGATCAAACTATCTAAGCCCACACATAATCCCTTAATCAGATAATACATGATAGTATTGTTCAGAAAATATAATTACTTTTTAACTTCGGATACACAAATTTCTAGGTGGCAAATAAGATGTTAACGCACAAGCAATGAATATCATATATGAGAAATAGATATCCAACCATAGGTATGTTTGGAGCACATCTATGTTTATTTAGGCAACAAAAAAATTTCCATTTAGTTTAGAACCATATTAGATCAAATAAGTGAGTCTAAGAAATCCACCTGTTGAATAGCTTTCCATGAAGGGCTATCCTTTCTATGGGGCTTCGGATGAACAATTTTTGAATGATTTTCCCATAAGTCCTCGGGTTTCTGCAGTTTGATTCAAGAATCATGAGTTCTCATTTTCTGATACACGCAAAAGCTTTCAACAGATTAAACTTGATTCTACCGCATTAGCATCCGGTAGTTCTCTGACTGCATCATCAACATTTTCTGCAGTTTCTTTCACCTAAGAATGAAACAATATCAGTATTATCTCTTTGCAATCATACCAACAGTTCCACAAAATAGAGCCATAGTAAAGGTGGTCACCAGTTTGGCACTTGCTTCTGCTGTGGCCTCGGGTATGCAATTATGAAGTGGCTCAACGTGTTCGCTTCCATCAAGTTGAACCCCAATAAAGTACTGCACTTCTCCCTATTCAATCGAAAGAAGGAAAATAGTTACAAAATCCATATTCCACTAATCCATAAGCAGTAATCCTCGAATAGATTGCAAAAGGAATCTGTCTTGGATACATACCTTTTGATCACGCATAGGCTGCAAGTGAAACAAATTCCAGAACTTTTTACCTGTGATTTTATAAACAGACATTTTGCAAATCCAGTTAATGGAGAAATTCACATAAGCCTATAAAACATGAGAAAAAAATAAAGTCATTCATGAAACATACCCGTTTTGGTATAGTTGATTAGCTGGACAGTGACCTCTGTTTGGTTATCGATTGCTGCTCTTATTTTCCTAACAGTTGCCGGATCAGTTTCCGGGCCTTGGAGGAATCTGCAACAACAAATTTTACTCTTGGACTATAGTAACAGTGAAGCAACTGAATCAAAATGCTCTGCCCTCAAAGTAAAACTATTTCCATTGGTATAGTCAGAGTCACTCTGCAGTTAAATACTAAAATTGACCACCCAAGATTGTATTTCCATGAAATCACATGGAATCCTTCTGACTTAAGATTTCATGCATAAACACACGCAGTTTTTCTATTATCAATTTAAGGTTTGATTAAGTAAAATCAATGCAATATTAGAAAGCAAAAGAGAAGGAAACAAATCAAGATTCATTTTTTTCAGGGGAATATTTGCTGTAAGCAGCCTGTAGAGGCTTCGGTAAGAAATTTTAGAATTTTTTTGGTAAGAGCCAAGACAAGCCTATTAGAGGCTTCAATAAGAAATTTATCAAATATTTTAGAATGAAGACAATCTTAACTTTATTAATTCTGTTGTACCACATACATATTAAAAAGTGTAATAGAATACCGTGTATAATATATAACACATGTATAATTCAAGCATCATATATAGTATATAAATGAAATAATTGCAGAAAACTTATAGTGCAATTTTATTTTTTCATCGGACTTATCTTGCAAATTTTAATCACAGGGAGTGGGCGTCTAATTGGATGTTCCGGTTTAGGAAATGCCTTTTTACTATATAAACCAATTGAAATAAAAAAAAATATAAAGGGGCTTTTTTTATAGCAGTATATAATTATATGATCTGTTAACTTTATATATAAAAAGTATGCACTTGCATCTTTCTAGATATGTTCGATTTATCAATAAAATAAAATTAAAAGGAATTAAAATATTTTTTGAATTGGGTATCCCACTTGGTTATACATATGCACAATCAAAATTCGCAAGTGGGTTGATTCCGATCACGACCCAAATTTATCCTAAACCCAAAATTTCAAGAAAATCTATTCGGGGGATACCCAAAATGCCAAAACCCTAATGCCCAAGCAGGATCAAAATTCATATCATGACAGTCATAGGACTCAGAAAGCAAATTCCAAGAACCAAAACAAACCTGCAATTTCTACCCAAGATTTCTTCTCGGCTGTACTCTGTTAACTCCAAGAAACTATCAGACGCAAATATCTGGCAATTGTACCAACAAAATATCATCAGAAGAACAAATTTAGATCACACATATTTCACCAATTTCAAAGTGCCAAAAGAGAAGTGATGTTTAGCACACTTACAATGGGGTTATCAGGCAATCTGGGATCGGTGATCACGAAATTCTTCTCTATACGTTCGAGAGTGGTGGCCAAATCAATACCCTTCCTCATCTCCTTCTTCCTCACTTTATCATCCACACTGTCCGGCCTTCCATCGTCCTCGCTCTCCGAGGAATCCCCATTCCGGTTCTCGTCGTCTTCGTCCATTAGTTTGAAATTTGGCTCTAGATCCTGTGTACTGCTTTTGCGCTTCCCCTTTTTCAAAATCCTACGGATTCTCGAATTTAAACACTTGAAATCGTTTCTATTGAAGGAAGGGTTTTGAGTAGAGTTGAGAAAGTTAATTACCCCATGAAAGAGCGACGAGTGGCCTTCTTCGGCGGTTTCTCCTTCTCCGGTAGCTCGCTAATTTTCTGCATTGACGTTCTAGTGCCGGCGTGTGAATGCCGACGAGGCGGTGCGGAGCCGTCGGAGCTACGGCGGGTTTGGGGGTCGAAGATTTCATGTTCGTCGGATTTGCGGAGAAAGGGGCGATTGGTGGATTCGCTGAGCGCCCTTGCGCGGGGCTTTTTAACGGCGTCAACTAACTCCGTTACTGAATTTGACGCCCGTTCCTTCTGCCGCGCTGCGACATTTCATATCATACACATATAATATTTAAAAAAATATATACATAATTTTATCCAATTCATAAAACTCACACTAAAAAAATTTCGTAAATTTGTACAAATTTTTAAATATTGATAATCAAAACATAGAAAAAAAAAATTGCAATAAATCCCAAATAATAATTTACCGTCGTAGCGGATCAACGACTCGGGAAGGCCGTTGGGCCGTGTCATTTTCTCCTTAGCTCCTTCAGTGTGTTTGCTCACTTCAACCTGCATGCTGCATGCATGCATGAAATTACGTATTTACCCCCAACATTTCTAGCCATTGCAATATATAGTAATCCTTCACATTCACAGTGGAATAATATATCCAAGTTTAATTGAATAATGAATCAATTTTATTAATTCCAGCTCATATATAAATTATTATATATATATATATATATTCTATTGGCAGGGATAGAATTGATCCCCTCACTTAATCTGACATGACTTGTGCATGTTAAGAGGGACCATCATGCACATTCACATTTGGCCCACTACAATTGAATAAATTTGTAATTAGATGAATGATGGTTAATTAAGACCTAATTAATTTAATAGTAATAGTATTAATTTTACCCAATGTATTTGAGGACTTTGCCAGTCTCATCTTTGATGGGAGCAATGGTGAGAAGATTCCAGAAGGGGGTGCCGTCCTTCTTGTAGTTGAGCAATCTGCCGCAGTAATTGGTGCCGTTTTCCAGCGCCTCCCTGATCCTCGCCACGTCCTCGGGATCGGTGTCCTTACCCTGCAGGAATCGGCTGCAGCTCCGGCAGATTAATTGAAATTGAATTTGAAATTTGAAAAATTAGGGTTTATGGAATGGAATTGGGGACGACGGAGATTAGTTAGATTGGATTACCAGTTCCGGCCGACGACCTCCCGGGAAGTGTAGCCGGTCATTTTGAAGAACCCGGCGCTTGCGTACATGATTGGGAAGTCGGCCTTGGTGGCGTCGGACACCACGAAAGTCTGCTGGAATGTCGACAGTGCGTCCTTCAGATCTTCCGAAACTCGAGGGAATAGGCCGCGCTCCTTCCCTGTAAGTTTTGATTGATTGATGATGGTTTCAATTGGGGATTTTCTAATTATCTGTTCATTTCGATTTGAATGTGAAAATGTCGATTTACCAGCTCCGTCGTCGGAGTAGTCGCCGGAGCTGCGGATGGAGTTGCCGGAGTCTCTCCTGGAATTTCCGGCGGCAGCCTTGTGCTGCTCGTCGCCGGAGGTTCTAACCTTCACCCCCTGCGGCTTCCCCGTCTCCTGGTCAGTCTTCAGGACGAGCCCCCATTCGGCGGCCCTCTGAGCTGCCGCGCCGGCCTCTCCGGGAGGAGCTCCCTTAGCCGGCGACTTCTGCGCTTCGTGATCGTTGAATATCTCCGCTATAGTCCTCGTCGCCGGCGCCGGCGACTCCTCCACCTCGTTGAGGGCCATCCACGACGTAATTCCGTCGGCATTCGGTTTCCCGGGTTTGGGCTCCGGATCCGGGGTGGGGCTCCCGGACCATGCCTGCCACGTGGACGGGTGAGATTGGCGGAAGACGGGCTGCCGAGAATTCGCCGGAGAAGAAGCGGAGGACGAAAACGACGTCGGATTGAAGACTTCGAGAGAGCCCCTCTGATCCCTGGGCAGCGGCGGAATCAGCGGCTGCGGCGCCGCCTTATTGCGCTGATTCTGATCACTTTCCATTTATCTCTGCATCAACATTTATTGAACAGAACATTCAATTCAACAAACAACCATGAAAAATTATATAGAGTTGCAGAATGCAGAGGCAATTCCAAAGACAATCGACCGATCAAAGTGGATTTTAGTGCACAAAATGGTTGGCAAAATTTTGGGACTTTTCTTGATATTTTATATATATATAATAAAATAAAATAAAAAAATGTTGAGATAAGTGATAAGAACCTGACTGGAGGTGTCAGTTGTCACTGCACGCACTTGAGAGTAACGAAACGGAGGGAGAGATATAGACGGCGTAGACGAAACCTGAGACTGCCAGTGAATCGGGAAGGGCAAAATCGACATTTCGGGCAGTTTTTGTGCGTCCGTTAGTGGGGAGAGCTCTTTGCCGCCACTCATTGGGAAGGGCATTTTGGTCCTTTGGGATAATGGCGTTTGGATAGCAGAGGATCTTTGTTGGATTCTGACAGTAAATTAATTAAGTAATAGTTCTCTTGTGATTTTAGACTGTCAATTTTGTGCTACTGGGAATTTTTATCAGATACTATTTTATTCGTATAGTATGTTTATTTGTTGTGTTTAATGAATTTGAGGTTGTAAAACATTTGGAGACACATGATGGGCATAAATAATTTGCTGGCAAAATTGTAATGTGGGTAGATTTAGTTTATAGGCAGTCCATGATAAAGACCTAGAACCTGTCACAAGAACATTAATATTACAGAATTTCGATAATATTACTATATATATATATGTGTGTATGAGTCTGTAATTTATGTATGTACATGTGGAGACATGATTGTCAGTATTATATTTAAGTTTTTTTTTTTTTTGTATTATATTTAAGTTGGCAACAGAAGATCGATAATGTGAAAACACCAAACCTTGGGACAATATTGAAATCATTTTAATTGCATCATTTATAACTTCTAATAATGTATCAAATCCATATTATTTATAATAATAATAATAATAATAATAATACTGATGAATCTTGAGAACTTTTGACATCGGATGACTCTTTTTTAATTGAAGAAATAAATAAATAAAAAATCATAATCATGCATGCATGGAATTTTCTGCACTTTTCACTTTTTATTGGATTCCCTTTCTTCTCGAGTTTTTTTTTTTTTTTTTGTTAATAAATAACTTTAATTATATTTAGGTAAAATATGTAGATAGTGGACAGGGACAAACAGGGGTGGACAAAAAAATTGAACTCAATCACCGAACCGTTGAACTGAACTGAATCGAACTGAACCGTCGAACTGAACTGAATCGAACCGAATTTTCGGTTAACCGAGCAAATTCGGTTCGAATACAAATGCTGTATATTTGATATTTGTTCGGTTCGGTTTCGGTTTTTGATATTTTTTCGGTTCGGTTAACTGGTCCGAATATATTTATATATTTATGTTACTCCCTCCGTCCCATTGAAAGGTTGCCATTTTCCGTTTTCGTCCATCTCAAAACAAGGTTACCATTTCCTAATTTAGTAATTGTACTGCTTACTTAACGTAATAAATATCATTTCATCTTACAATATATTACACAAATGTCATTAATTTTATATTACACTGTACTAATAGGGGTATTTTTGTCTTTTTACTACAATCTAATATAATACTAATATTTAAAATTCTACGTGCAAAAAGCAAACGCCACTCTTCCACCGGGATGGAGGGAGTATTATATTTTAAATTTTATATTAATAATTATATTCGATTCGGTTTCGGTTCTGCTACGGTTCGATTTCGGTTCGGATATTTGAAATATTTACAAATATTTTGATTTAATTAGAATTTTAATTATTTTTTAATACTTATTATTTTTTAATTTCGGTTTGGTTCGAATTATTTGCAAATATTGCAAATATTTTCAATTAACCGAAAATTCGGTTAACCGAAATTTTCAGTTCGAATATGGTTCACAATTTTGGGTATTTGTTCGGTTCGGTTTGGATATCAAATACCTGCATATTTGCAAATATTCGAACCGCGCCGACCCTAGGGACAAAAACATGAAGCATGCAATAATAAGACAATTGCAAGATAAATTTGGAGGAGACTATATGGCATTATTTCTACGTTCTTGGATCAATTGGGGCCACAACATGTTACTATATATATTGTGTATTTTTAATACTTTGTAAATCATTACGACAAAAAAAAAAAAACAAAAAAAAAAACATTTTATTTTGCGAATGCATGAATGTATGTTGCCAAAAGTAGAGCAGCCAAAGCAGCTGATTTTCTAAATTGTTCCCACTTTAAGCGATTAGATCATGTGGAGTGATTCCAATTTTGGTTGTCAATTTCACAGCTATAAAATATATACATATATTAAAAAAAAATACTCGATGTTCTAAGCTTCAAGATCTTTTTCATCAAGATTCATTATTGTAAATAATATTTTACAAAAATAAATAAAGATTGCCCTAAAGAACAGTAAATCAATATCCCAATTAAAAATTGTTTTTATATTATAATAGTCACTCACGTGGTTTTCGAAATATAAAGCTGAAATTTGTAATTAGAAATGGTTAAAAAATTAGATGAGAAAAAGCATAGGCGTCCCAACTAAATTGTTGGTTATATGAACCAATCAATAATTAAATAATTAAATTGTTGGTTGGTTACACAATCATATATTATTATTTATTTATTAAATGCTTTTGCTTTCATTGAATTCTCTTAAGGGAAGTGGGCGTGTGCGATGTAAACTAAGTGATGATTCGTCACTTCCTCATATGTGAAACGTTTTAAGACACTAATCAATTATACCATATTCAGCATCCATTTATTGCCTAATTGACTACTGTTCCCTACACATTATTATTATTATTATTATTTATTAATATATAATCAAATTTAACATCACAATGCCAATTAATGTATTGAACTAGAATTTGAGATATTATCTGCCTATCAGTCACAACTATTATTGATTTCGGCACGTAATTTCAACTAACATAGTTGTCTGTCAAGTCCCATATAGTTAGATCAACTACAATGTCTGTAAATAAGATTGGCTATTTCTACAGTAATAACACATCCATAATCTTTTCAAGAAAGGGAATTGAATGTAATATTTTTTAGAAAAATAACATAAAAACAAAAAAATCAGTCATATATGTTCAAGTGCACTTCTTCAAATCGTAAAGGGCAATAATGATTTATTGATATGTGCAGAGTACATCTCCTAAGTCCTACCCACAAAGATGAATAATGAAATAAATCAATAAAGTTGAGATTTGAGAATGGGGTGAAATGATGAACTAATGGGACCTATGGGCACGTGAAATGGTCCATCTCTCTCTCTCTCTCTCTCTCTCTCTCTCTCTCTCTCTCGATTATATGGCTCGACTGTCTGTCTTGCTTGCATTCAATTCAAATCAGCACATGCTGCCAAAATTCCATCTCATTCTCTATCACCATTGCTTTCCACTTTGCATATTCACTATTTTTCATTCCCATTCCCACCCTACTTTCCATATCCTCTTATCATTTTCATATTCATCTCACTATTCTATTTTTAAATTTTTACTTTTTTCTCATTTTTGGCAAATTTACTACCATAATCCTATAACATGTCAATTTACATTTACTCTAATAGAAACACTCAATGATTCTTCACTCAATATATTCTTAGATAGCAAGTGACACAAACACAATCCAACCAGCAATCACATCCAAAACCCACTGAAGAAACAGTATCAATATAATCCGACTAGCTGCCTAAAAATATCTCAAATAATAGAGGGCATAATTTTATCTCTCAAAAAGGTAATAAAAAATAAAATAAAATGAAATATGGAAGAGCAAGATTTCATACCTTCTATCCAGCAAAGCAAGAATGTGATCCTTATCTTCTTCCTCCTTTATTGACAATTATACATGGTGGCTATGATAAGGAAGTCTTGAAAAAGTAAGCTGTCAGCTATCTTTGATATCGAAAACCATATATCTATAAATGTAAATATTTCCATCATTACATACTATTGCAAGAATAATATTATTATTCATAGTATGGAAAGCGTAGTAACAAGGATATCAATTATGAACATTTGAAAATTTCTATGATTGAAACTAGGAGCAAATTTTATTAAACTCAACATTACATCACCTCCAGTAGAAATAATAAAATCTTATCCATTAAGGGCATCGCTTGCGAAGTGAAGATTAAATAATAAATTCCACATTATCCAACTTAGTTCGAATAATACAGAACTACACAAGCAGGGAGTGCATCTAGATGAGCAGAAACATAAACCCAAATTTATAGGAAGTATATGGAATACTAAATTACAATGGGAAAAATATATCAGGGGAAAACAAGAAAATAAGTATTAATACCAGTACGCAAGTTATGCATTTTGCTTTCAAATAACATAAATTTTTGATTACTTCGATACCTTCTTATTTGAGGAGCACTTTTTAGATGAGGGACACTTTTTAGATGAGGGACCCTTTTTAGATGATTTCTTGAAAGATTTCTTGTTAGGTTTCATCTTGCCAGAGGATGATGATTGCCCACCTTGTTTTCTTTGCCCCTTTTCCTTATTCACATTGTACATGTTAACAGCCTACAACATTGATACAAAACCAAAAATTAACCAAACCATGAAGCTGAAATTTTAGAGAAAGAACATGATACAAATAGCCCACGAGAGAGAGAACCTTTTCTACATTGAGTATCTCACGTGAGCTTTTGGAGATTTGTTCAAAACTTTCTCAGTTTTCTGTCTCTCCATGGCACCCATTCCCAACCCTTCAACCACTGGTAGGAACTGCTTGCAGATAAATTTTAGAATTAGAAAATCCTTGGCCTGCTTACTTACTATTAAACCTATAAACACAAATACATGTATATTATCTTACCATTCAAAGCTTAATGGCTGCATAGGGAAGCAAGAAGCACACACCATTTGGTAACATTTTGTCAAATTTTCCACCACTTGCTGTTGAAGTTGCTGCAATTCCAGCAACATTTTGTAACTCATCCTTGCTAATTTTCTTGGACTTCTCTAGGGTCCCTTTATGGGTAAAGCAGTGGTGGCCAGTTGAACATGGCTGCAAAACAGAAATTTAGCTTTCTGCAGCAAGGTTTCAGCTATTTCCTGTAACATGCACCATGGTTGACAGAGCAAAAATATGGAGGAAAAGAATGACACTCAACACAGGTGTATACATGAATAATACCTCAGCCACAACAACAATAAACATAACGAATCAAGAAGTATCACAAAGTGAAGGATAAAGTACCCTCCTACTCAGAAACCATATATTAAACACAAGGACTGATCCATGTTGGCTATATTGAAGCTCGGATGGAAAGAAGATAACCTTGGCAGAGCACCAACTTTAGCAGCCTGTTTCAGATTATTCAAGTGATTTTTCTCCCGTTTGTTCTTTTCTTTACGTCTCTCAGACAACAGATACTTTCCAGGTTCTGGAAAAGAAACACTGATTATTACAAAAAACTGATGGGATCAATGATTAGTGGCAACTAAATTTACAAAATTTTGAAGCAAAGAATCTGCTAAATAATAGTTGTTCATAATTATGTTATAAAACAAGCAACACGATATGTATCAACATATAGTTGTGGACCAGAATAAAAAAGAACAAAGATACTAAATTGCATACCTTCAGTACTCTTGGCCTTGACGATTGGTACATCATTGCCATCATTGATGCTAGCATAGCCATGACGCCCGTTTCCAAGTGTCAGTTTGCAATATCTTTTCATTAATTCATTAAAAATACATCAGTCTTAATATGTCAGATGCAAACATTATATAGCCCACCAACTAATTACATAAAGTAGCTTTAAATCCATAGCCGATGATTTGGTTTGACACAAAAAAAATGGTTCTATAACTCAAAACACCTGTACTCATTTGTTGGAAACATATTTTATAAGCAACTAACCAAATGAGAGAAGAATCTCCAAGCTAGGATGTATGTAGTCAAAAGGTTAAAATCAAACAAAATTACCCAATCCACCTCCAGGCTTATCTTTCAAGAACATTCACATGTTTACATTCATCAACAGTTATATCACTCTGTTCAAGATCATATCAAAATTTATACGTTCTTATCATTAGTCCTAAAATTAAACATGGATATAATTCAGTCACGTCTTCCAACCATTCTAGATTACTTCCTATTAAAGAAAATATATGTTTTAAAATAAACTAATTATCATACCGTTGGCATGACTAAAAACAGGTTTTATTCTTCGATCTAAAGTCTCTTAAAAAATACATCCACACATAGCCAATGAATGCTTCAACTGATAATTCCCAATATTAAAACGGGGCAACAGCGAGACAGATACACCCAAAACATTTACGAAAATTTCATTCTAGCACCAAAAACAAAGATAAAATAAGTCTGCGAACCAACAAATTTCAACAAGAGTAAAAACAGAAACGTATCAGAAGTAACTTGGGATTCAATACTTAACCAAGATCCTATTCAAGAATACGAAGCTACCTTCACTGTATTCAATCGGCGTGATTGAATTTACCTCCCCTGCATTCAAACGGCTTACAGTTCCTACTCCCCGAATATGAAAAATTAGAAACAGCACTCAAAATGAAAGCCTGTATTTTCGGTGGTATGGTTCTGCGCGGTTGTACAATTTACAGATTCAATAAAAGGATGCTCGGAGAAAGAGCGACGACAGAGGGTTTGGAACGGCCGGTTCGCTAGTTTCAAGCCGGCGGTTCAAACCAGAACCGCGGTCTAATCGAAATGGAACCGATTTTGACCTAATTGCCCGCCTATATAAAAACAGTTCTCACTCTTAACAAACTTCACAGTTAATTTTGCAGAGAGGCAGTTACATATCAATGGCGGAATCCTCCTCCTCCTCCTCCCCCTCCCCCTCCCCCGCCGTCGTGAAGTTGAAGCTGATAATCGATATGAAAGCCAATAGAGTCGTCTACGCGGAGGCTGGCAAGGACTTTGTGGACTTCCTATTCTATTGGTTCTCTTTCCCCCTCGCCACCGTCGTCGGTCTCCTGAGTAAGGAAAATATTTGGTCAGGCTCCTTGACCATTCTCTACAAAAGCATCGAAAATCTCACCGAGTCCTCTTTTCAGCCTAATCGAATCAAAGACATCCTGCTCAAACCCTGGGTGCCGCAGCCCTACTTTCCGGCGGCTCCGCTGTTGCCGGACGGTTTTGAGCCGCCGGAAAGGACCTTCTACACGTGTGCATCTTCTTGCCTCTCATTGTGCCGACAAGAGGTCGCCGATTATCGGGGAGCACTTTGCTCTATCTGCGGCCGCGCGATGATGGGGACTCTCAAGTACGTGGAGCCGCCGGAGGTAGCCCGGGGGTTTGTGTCGGAGCTTGATACGTATACGGTGACGGACAAATTGGTGGTGGAGCGGCAGTCGTCGACGAACTCCGGCGCCGCCGTGCTCGGCGAGCTTCAAGTTGAGGAAAGGGTCGTTCAATTGGGCTACCCCGAGGTTAATTATATATATATATATATTTAAAATTGAAATTGAAATTGGTTTGATTTGCATTGATGGGATGACATTGACAGGCTATTAAGGTGCTGAAGGCTGCTCTGGGGTCGAGAATGGTTCTTACAAATGCGTTCTTGAGGGAATCATTTTAAGAGTAGTAGAAGAAGAAATGAATGGATCTTGATCTTGGTTACGTTGTAAATGACACTTTTGTTCATTTTCTTGATCATTGTTTGAGGTAGGCTTCATATATAGATAGTGATGTATTTGTTTATCTCTGCTAAAGAAGCAATCAGTTTTGGGGTCTTTGGAAAGGCTCCACGACAGCATCCTCAACCTCGGCGAATCATGTTTCCAGCGGGCGGGCCGGATCAAGGCCCGACTATTGAAGCCCTTGATGTTTGAGCCCTACTGCGGGCGGGCTGCCTTGTTGCCGGACTATGCCGGGCCGAATATTTTATATTTTTAAAAATGGTACCACAAACAAAAAATAATTAGATTAAGATAAAATATTCGGCCGTGGACGTCCTGTAGAATTATACTATAATAACAGGACTGTATATAATTTAACACAAAAATATACAGTCTTGGGATAATATGACCGGAATATACATTAGTTATTTTCGTTAATTTTTTTAAGAAATTATTTATAATGAAATTAAAATTAATAAATTTTAATTATATTGAAATTAAAATTAATTTTTTTAATAATTAATTACTTTATATTTATCTTGTCATATAAATAAAAAATAAATAAATATATATATGTCTTTTTTCTTATATCATTCAATTTTCAATTCATTTTTCTTAAAACTAATAAATAAAAAAAAGTTCCCCGTAATCCTAGTGGCTCTTGGTATACATATATTCCATTAATTATTATCTATCAGACACCTCATTAAATAGATCAAACCTTGAAAACCCCAACAGCCATCGACCCCTCCCTCCAATCTGCAGTAAAATATATACATATATATATAAAAGAAATGATCGAACCCCATCTTCACCAATTCTCATAATCAGCAGCAGCAATGGAAAAATCAACACCATCAGCAGCAGCAATGGAAAAATCAACACCATCATCAGCAATGGCAAAACCAACCAGTGTGAGTGTGAATATGAAGCTGATGATCGACAACAAGTCGAAGAGGGTTTTATTCGCAGAGGCCAGCAAGGACTGCGTCGACTTCCTCTTCTACATGCTGTCGCTGCCCCTCGCCAACGTTGTCTCTCTGCTAAAGGACCAAAAAATTCTGAGGTCTTTGCAGAGGCTCCACGACAGCATCGTCGACCTCGACGACTCATATTTCCAGCTGCCGGAACTCAACCGGGCCGCCCTACTGAATCCGCCCATGTCGGAGCGCTACCGCGGCCGGGTTACACTGTTGCCGGAAGATGCTTTGCCGCCGCCGCCGCCGCCGCTGTCTCAGAGGAACTTCTACAGGTGTTATAGATGCACGAGCATTAGTTATTTCACAGATAACCCACAAGAAAAATGTCCTAATTGCGGCCGTGTTATGGCCACTACCATTTTGTATATCAATAGAAGCGGCGGCGGCGGTTTTGTTGGGTATGTGAAGGAGGTGGTGAGTTATATGGTGATGGACAATTTGGCGGTGGAGCCCATGTCCCCCATTTCCTGTATTGCCTTGCTAAACAGGTTTGATGTAAAAAATGTGGGTTTCTTGGAAGAAAGGGTCGTTCAACTCGGCATCAATGAGGTTATATATATATATATATACATATGTATATAGGTTTGAAATTGGATGTTTTTACAAGCTAACTGCTTATTAGTTTGATTTAATCTAATTTAATTTGATTATCAATATATATTTGTTTTTGGTTAATGATGTCAGGTAATTGGTGTGTTGAGGGCAACCATGCAGCAATCGGAGGCGGTTCTTACAGAGGTCTTCTTGAAGGATAACAACAAGAAGAAGAGATCTTGCACTAGAAGTAGCACGTGCTGAAATTAATTATCACGGGTTTCTTCATATATCACCCAAATGTTAAATTCATTCTAGCAGTTTTCTTCATATGCCAACATGCAAGTGTTCCCACAACTAGAGGAAATGTGTGTTACTTTTTATTAGTTTTTTAAAAAAAATGCGGTTAGGGTTTAACATGAAAATAATGTTCGAATAGATATTTGTGAAAGAAAAGAAAAAAATAGTACAGAATTGAAAATTTAGGATAAAAGAAACATTCCGGTTTTCAAATTTTATATATAAATAAATAATAGTAATAAATTAAATTATAGAGTATAGATGTTCTTTAAATAACAAAAATAAATAAATAAACCAATCAATGAAACCAAATTATGTATTACAAATTGTTTTCAAATCTTGACTAAGGAAATCGATTATTCACGAGTTTAAGCATATTTAAAGTTAAATATGTAATAAATACTAAAAACAAGTTCTTATGAACAAACAAAATCAAGAGTTGCAAAGTAAACCATACACTCAATATATAAATATTTAAAATGTGCTACCTAAGTCCATTTAATCCATATAAAACCCTAATTCTACCTCTTATCAAATCAATGTATAAATATTTTTATTTCTTGGATGGATCACAGAACAACCCAATTTCAGGATATGAACCAAACTTTTAGTTAATATTAAATGAACAGATCAAAGGCCATAAGATAATTTCCCAGATCAATCTCATACTGTGTTTCTGCCATAACCATGGCTGTACAGTACAGACAATGAGAACAGAATTCAATCTATCAAATGGTGATGGTGTATACCTCTTTCATTAAACAAAATTACCCCTATCCACCTCCAGGCTTTTCATCAACAGTTATATCACTCTGTTCATATTCAAATCAAAATTTATACATTCTTATCATTAGCCCTAAAATGAAACATGGATATATACTTTCAGTCATGTCTTCCAATCATTCTAGATTACTTCCTATTAAAGAAAATATATGTTTTAAAATTAACTAATTATCAATTATCAATGTAACGGTATTTACCTAATTGCCCGCCTATATAAAAACAGTTGTCACTCTTAACAAACTTCACAGTCGTTTTTGCAGAGAGACAGTTACATATCAATGGCGGAATCCTCCTCCTCCTCCTCCTCCTCCTCCCCCTCCCCCTCTCCCGCCGTCGTGGAGTTGAAGCTGATAATCGATAAGCAAGCCAATAGAGTCGTCTACGCGGAGGCCGGCAAGGACTTCATGGACTTCCTATTCTATTGGTTCTCTTTCCCCCTCGCCACCGTCGTCGGTCTCCTGAATAAGGAAAATATTTGGTTAGGCTCCTTGGTCGATCTCTACAACAGCATCGAAGATCTCTCCGAGTCCTCTTTTCAGCCTAATCGAACCAAAGACATCCTGCTCAAACCCTGGGTGGCGCAGCCATACTTTCCGGCGGCTCCGCTGTTGCCGGACGATTTTGAGCCGCCGCAAAGGACCTTCTACACGTGTACATCTTCTTGCTTCTCGTTGTGCCGACAACAGGTCGCCGATTATCGGGGAGCACTTTGCCCTATCTGCGGCGGCGCGATGATGGGGACTCTCAAGTACGTGGAGCCGCCGCCAGAAGGGCGGGGGTTTGTGTCGGAGCTCGATACGTATACGGTGACGGACAAATTGGTGGTGCGGCCGCAGTTGTCGCCCGAATTACGCGCCGCCTTGCTCGGCGGGCTTCAAGTTGAGGAAAGGGTCGTTCAATTGGGCTACCCAGAGGTTAATTATATATATATATATATATATATTTGAAATTGAAATTGAAATTGGTTTGATTTAATTTGATGGGATGACATTGACAGGCTATTAAGGTGATGAAGGCTGCTCTGAGGTCGAAAACGGTTTTTACAAATGCGTTCTTGAGGGAATCATTTTAAGAGTAGAAGAAGAAATGAATGGATCTTGATCTTGGTTATCGTTCTAAATGCCACTTTTGTTTTCTTGATCATGTTTGATGTAGGTTTCATATATAGATAGCCATTGTACGTATGTTTTTTTTGTATAGATGTTACTTCTTTGTTGATTTGAAATTTTCAAGTGTATAGATATATGTGAATGTGATATATCATTTTCTTTTCTTTTGAAAATGTGTCGAAACCGCTAAGCTAATATTTCTTTCGATGCTGTATTCAATATGGGATTAGTGGGTGCGATATATATTCCCTTATCGACCAGCCATCTCCCTCATTAATTAATTAAACTGATCAAACAGTACTCAAACAGCCAGTAAATTAGTTATAACATATAGATATATAAAGGAGCTAGAGGATCGATCCTTATCCTCATCATATATATATCGATCATCAGCAATGGAGAGTGTGAGGTTGAAGCTGATGATCGACAGCAAGTCCAAGAGGGTCCTATTCGCAGAGGCCAGCAAAGACTGCGTCGACTTCGTCTTCTACATTCTGTCGCTGCCCCTCGCCACCGTCGTCACTCTCCTCAAGGACCAACAAATTTTGGGGTCTTTGGAAAGGCTCCACGACAGCATCCACGACCTCGACGGCTCATTTTTCGAGCAGCCGGAACGGACCAGGGTCGCCCTATCGAAGCCCTCCATGTCCCAGCCCTACTGCGGCCGGGTTGCCCTCTTGCCGGAAGATTCCATGCCGCCGCCGCCGTCTGGAAGGACTTTCTACATGTGTTATAACGGCTTCTGCTGTTATGTCACGGATAGTAGAGATGCAATTTGTCCTGTTTGCTCCTGTAAAATGACGATCAATTGTACGTACGTCAAAGGAGGCGGCGATTCTGTTGGGTATGTGAAGGGTGAGGTGAGTTATATGGTGATGGACAATTTGGGAGTGGAGCCCATGTCCGCCATCTCCTGCATTGCTTTGCTAAACACGTCAGGTAATTAGCGTGTTGAGGGCAACCATGCAGCAATCGGAGGCGGTTCTTACAGAGGTCTTCTTGAAGGGTAACAAGAAGAAGAAGATTAAGTCATGATCTAGCAGCACCACGTGATGAAATTTATTATTATTATTATTATTATTATTATTATTATTATTATTATTATTATTATCGTCTATCATGTTTAAATATATAAGTATGAGCAATCGATCAAATTAAATTAATAACTATTTATATACTAAATATTCATACATAATCGAGTCCGATCCGAACCCAAAACATTCTTAACTCGAATTGAACCGACCTGAACCGAAACCTGAAATTTATTTTGAAATAAAATCTTAGCTAAACCCTGAAGTGTTAAACAAAAGTTTGATTTAATTATCAGCATGGATTTAATTATACAAGTTTTGTATAAATTAGTAATAGATAAAAATATATTTAGATAGTTACTTTGTCCACAGAATTTCCAAATTCAACAGACCGGTTTGAGAAAATTTTGCTTTAGATTTATTATTAAAATAATGTATGGTTAGATTTTTTCAGAAATGGAGAATCTAATTATTGATATTATTTTTTTATTACTAGTATACTATTTTTTTAAAATATATATCTTTATTTATTTATCTATAATGAATTGAAACTGATTTTATAAACAAAAATGAAGAGTATTAAATATAAATAAAAATATTTGGTTATTGATGGGATAAAAATAAAAAGTTGTGAGTGCATTGCATGTGCACTAAATATTTAATTAAATTAATATATATTTATTAAATATAATCTTTTATAATTTTATCTTTGTCTCAAATAATTTATCTATTTTTTCTATTTTGATCCATTCATCCTAATTATTTACTAATGAAAACAATAACTAATAAGGAGAACAAATTAGCTAGATGGCAATATCATTTTATAAAATAAAAACTTTTTATAAATTATAAAAATATTATAAAATTAAAATAAAACAAGAAAGTTGAACTAAATTGCAAGAAAAGAATTATAAGGGTGTGTTTGTTTGAGGGATTTTGTGGGATTTCTACTATTCCCACAAAATTTTCCTACCAAAAACATTAAATCAAACATTTATTTTTCATTTTTTATATTATACAGAAAATTCAATTTTACATTCAAAACATCACATCAATTCTTATTTATATCACATCGTACAACTATTCAAATTCAAAATATTTACTATTTAAATCTCAATTCAAAATTCAAACTCTCGAACAAATTGTATTATGCAGTCATGTGTCTAAACTTCCTAGTCAAATTGGAATACACAGCAAAAGTACATCTCCCAGACACATCTGCAAAGATACTTGTTTAATCAGGCAAAGATAACCTCACGGTGACGTAAAGATTGGATTTGTGACCGACGCTTCAGGTAAAACATATTTTCTTTTTTTTTTTTTTTCTTAAAGTATAATTGAGTTGGCGCATAGATTAATTAACTAGATTAATTAGTTAGATTAGAAATTAATTATTAGTACATGAGTTTTCTTCCTCTCTCGTTGTCTTTATCTTAATTATCCTTCTTTTATTGCCATTTTCAACAATAATCAAAATTAATCAATCTATAATTACTATTTATATACGTACATATATAAGTGTTCCGCCGTTTGATTCGGAAATTCCCAACAACCTTAACGTAAACGAAACAACGTACGATCCACCAATTAACTCCCTCGTCCGATCAAATTATTATTCACATTCAGATCCATATTCTATCTCTCTTTCTACTAAACTCATGGTAGCCACGCCATTCCCCTCCCGCCTTCCTAATGATCCCCTCCTCCTCCCACCGTCCTTCCTCCATCTCCGCCGCCGGCCACCACCACCACCGCGTCTCCCTCCCGCTCTTCCTCCTCCTCCTCCTCCTCCTCCTCTACTCCCTCTACTCCACCAAGCTCCTCCTCCTCACCCAGGACTGCACCTCCATCCTCCCCCTCAACTCCCAGTTAGACCTCGCCAACGCATCTATTTCATCCTCCCAGGACCCGGATCTGGTCCCGGACCACGATCCCCACCGGACCCACCTGAACCACATCGTCTTCGGCATCGCCGGCTCCGCCAATCTCTGGGAAACCCGCAAGGAGTACATCAAGCTATGGTGGCGCCCCGCCGAGGCCCGCGGCGTGGTCTGGCTCGACACCAACGTCACCGTCTCCGACGAGGACCGCGCCTCCCTGCCGGAGATCCGAATCTCCGAGGACACCTCCGACTTTCCCTACAGCCACCCCCAGGGCAGCCGCGCCGCCCTCCGGATCTCCCGCGTCGTATCGGAAACCGTACGGCTCGGCCTCTCCGACGTCCGGTGGATCGTGATGGGCGACGACGACACCGTATTGGTCGTGGACAACCTGATTAGAATCCTCAACAAATACGACCACACCCAATATTACTACATCGGCAGCTCCTCCGAGAGCCACATCCAGAACATCTTCTTCTCCTACGCCATGGCCTACGGCGGCGGCGGCTTCGCCATCAGCTACCCCCTCGCCGTCGAGCTCGAAAAAATGCAGGACGACTGCATCCGCCGCTACCCCGGCCTCTACGGCAGCGACGACCGGATTCAGGCCTGTATGGCGGAGCTCGGCGTCCCCCTCACCAAGGAGGTCGGATTCCACCAAGTAAGCAATTCAATTCAAATCAATTCGAAACCCTAACCCTAACCCTAACCCTAACCCTAATCCTAATCCCCAATTCAATTCTTGATCATATACAGTACGACGTGTACGGCAATCTCCTCGGCCTATTGGGCGCCCATCCGGTGGCGCCACTGGTGTCGCTGCACCACCTGGACGTGGTGGATCCGGTGTTTCCGGGGATGAGCAGGGTGGAGGCGCTCCGGCGGCTGTTCGAGTCGGCGGAACACGATTCCGGCAGCATAGTCCAGCAGTCGATCTGCTACGACAAGAAAAGGAACTGGTCGATCACGATCTCCTGGGGCTACGTCGTACAAATAATAAAGGGCGTGATGTCTCCCCGGGAGCTGGAAATGCCGACGAGGACGTTCCTCAACTGGTACAAGAGAGCCGACTACACGGCCTACGCCTTCAACACCAGGCCGGTGGCGCGGCAGCCATGTCAGAAGCCGTACATGTTCTACCTAAGCTCCATCAAGTACGACGAGGAGAGCGATCAAATCATGGGGATCTACACTTTCCACCGCGACAGTTATCCCTATTGCCGCTGGAAGGCGGCGCCGCCGGATCAGATCAAGTCCGTCATTGTCATGAAAAGGCCCGACCCCAACCGCTGGAAGCGAGTAAGCAATGAATGCAATTATTCATTAGGGTTTAATCAATCACAGATGCTGATGATGATGATGATGGTGATGTGTTTTGATTGTTGATTTTGTAGTCGCCGAGACGGGACTGCTGCAGAGTTTTGCCTTCGGGGAAGGAGTCGATTCTGTTGCTGTCGGTAGATGAATGCAAAGACGGCGAGATAAGTGCATTGTAGTGTTCTTGATCGTTGCAGCTTGCTGTGGATCAGCTCAGAGGCGGCACAGTTAAACCACAATCTAATATATATATATATATTCATGCACCTTGTAGCTAATGGTGAATTAATGCCTACTGTAAGTTTAAGTAATTGTGCCTTAGCTTTGTACTGATTGATTTGCACACATAGTCTGGTCGATGTGCTTCTTGTCTGTCTCTGTAGATTTCAATTCATTTTGATATTTTGGGTTCTAAATGTAATTTTTTCCCCTTTAATTAGTTGTCTCCAAATTGCTCTTCTTTCTTTAACATGAGCTAAAAAATAGTTCATACTTTCGCAATCGTTGATTGGTTGTCTAACTACAATTATAATCATTTTATTTGATATAATTATATAAATGGATTCTAATTCTTTTTTACAAATACTTTTATTTTACCATAATATCATTTTTTTTAATTACACAAAAAAAAAAATTATACTTGAATTACTTTTATAATTAAAATAATATTATTTATAAATTCGATCTACGCCAAAAATAATATACTTTTCAAATTGACAGGGTGGGTATATCACTTTCCATTTTTATCAAAAATAAAATAAAAACTCATTCTGCCTTACAATTAATTTTCTTAACATATATATATATATACATATTCAATAGCTTTGATTATAAATGTGAGCACAATATAGTCTACCCCCGTGAAAAGTATATATATTTTCTTTTTACAAAAAAAATAGGAAAAAAATGAATTACCAGCCTCGATATAAAAATTCAATCCTGCCGAATTAATCCATTTACACAGATTTGTGAGTTTTAGAAAAATTAAATAACTTCGTGACATTTTGTGGAAAGAAATTAGTATTTAATATAATATTTTTGAATATATATATATATATATAGATTTTTTCAAAACTTGTGAAGATATTTATGTGAACGGAAACGCCGCCGGCGGACTAAATTTTGCATCTACAAAATCAATGAACTCAATTGATACACATTCAACGGTTTATACTGGGACTATTTTTTGCACAGTGAAATTTAAATTGGTACAAAAAACATACTCCTCATCAATTCATAATCAATCTATCCAATATATTTTACATCTTGCCTGAATAACAATAGTATTGGATGAATAGATAATATTATTAGAAGGTGTACAATCTATCTTTGAAAAACGTTCAAAAATAAAATAAATTGGGACCAGCTAGCGATGAATTTCGATTTAAAAATATATATATATATATATATATTTTACCACATTGCAATTGCAAGGGTCAAAATTCATGTAATTCAGCACACAAGGCATGCAATTAAGCAATGCGCAGAACCTCGATCGAGTATAAGTAATTAAACTCAAACCACACATGAATATACACAACACATTACATAGGAATTAATTATATTGCTTTACCATCAAAGCCAAAGCCAAAGCAAGGAAAACTAATATAGAATTAGCAGACAAAAGAAGAGTCGTACCGCCAAGTCACGCCGTCGTCTCGACTTAGTGTCCGGCTGGTTCGGGGCTCTCCTCAATTCGGCAGCAGCCGGAAGTGTCCTCGGTTCCATCCGAATTGTGTCTGTGCGCGGAGGAAGGACTCTTCTCAGGCTGCCCTTGGGCGGGATGGATTTTCGGGTAGTATGTTTGGGAAGACAGGTAAGTGAGAGCTGTCACGATATCGCCTATCTGAGGCCGCAGGTTCGGCTGTTCTTGGATGCACATTGCAGCTATTGCTAGCACTTGGTACAGCCCCCGCACCGGGTACTGCCCTTCTAGAGCCTGATCAGCCATCTGCCGGAATTTCTTACGATCCCTGAACAATGGCTTTGCCTGCATGCATGCCAACAAAATTAAGATATAGCTCTGCCTTTTTTAACGGGAAGCAAAGAATTTGTAAATAAGAGAGAAACAGAGATACTAACCCATTCAACTAGATTTTGCTCCGGACCAGTTTTTCGACAGTCAATGGCTCTCCTGCCTGTAACAAGCTCCAAGAGAACAACACCGAAACTATAGATGTCGGATTTGAATGTCAGTTGGCCAGTCATTGCATAGTCAGGAGCACAGTATCCGTACGTCCCCATCACTCTAGTGGATACATGAGTTTGATCTCCGGAGGGGCCTACTTTGGCTAAACCGAAATCAGACAGTCTGGGATGATAATCCTTTCCGAGCAAAATGTTGGAGCATTTTAGATCACGATATATAATAGGTGGCGTCATCTGGGTGTGCAGATACTGTAAGCCTCTTGCTGCACCAGCTGCTATTTGCATCCTCTTGTTCCAATCGAGGTTCTTTCTGTTTGATCGACTGCCTGTAAAGGGATATTGCAATTACTCTTTAGCTATTCCATAAATCACCATGTAATGTGTTGTTTTTCTGTTTTTGAAAACCAGTTGGGAATGAATTTGTGTTACTTACCGTGTAAATGATCCTCCAGGGAACCTAGCGGCATGTAATCATACACTAAAAGCCTCTGATCTCCCTCGGCGCAATAACCAATTAGTTTAACAAGATTTGTGTGCTCGGCGTTGCTTAATGTCAGAACTTCAACTACGAACTCCCTAATACCCTGAGTCCCACTGCGATCCAGTTGTTTGATGGCCACAGTCTGCAAGTTATCCAAGAAAATAAGATTAGACTAACCTCAGCAATTTATGTGCAGATCACAAATGATCTATATAGCATAGATGAAGAAATTTGATTACTCTAATACAATGGCTGACCTCTTTGGTCTCCTTCAGATGACCTTTATAAACTCTACCGAAACCTCCCTCACCCAGGAAATATTCTTCATTGAAATTCTCCGTTGCATCAATCAATTCGGCCAATTTAAATTTCCTTGCTTGGAAGGTGTTCATCTCTTCACTAGAATTAGACTGCCAGCCATCTGAACAATCCGAACCATCCATCTCCGATGCAGTGTCTGTTATGGATTGCGACACAATTTGAGGTTTCTCCTCTGTGGAATTAGACGAAGCATTTGAAAAATCTGCAGTCCAATGCATAAGGAGAAACAGATCAGAACAGAAAATTACTCTGATCATTCCAAGGTCATAAACAAAAAAAATAAATCCCATAAAGTACAGATAAGAGATGTTGCAAAACCAGCTGATCCATTCCTTTTCAGATTCTCGTCACTACAATACCACAGGAGTAGAAGGTAATACGGCAACAAAGTGATTGTTTGGGGTTTGGATGTTGAGTTGGGATTTCAATAGTAAAAGTTTTGAATTTGAATAGTTGTATGATGTGATATAAATAGACGATGATTTGATGTTTTGAATGTAAAATTGATTTTTAGTATAATATAAAAAATGAAAAATAGGTGTTTGATTTAGGGTGTGTTTGTTTGGGGGATTGGATTAGATTTTTACTATTTATCCCATTTTTTTCTCCCAAAAATATCAAATCGAACCCCTATTTTTCAATTTTTTATATTATATTAAAAATCAATTTTACATTTAAAACATCACATCAACACCTATTTATACCACATCATACAACTATTCAAATTCAATATTTTTACTATTCAAATCTCAACTCAAAATCCAAACCCCCAAACAAACACACTCTTGATGTTTTTGGGGAAAAAATTTTAGATAAATAATGAAATTTTGTCAAAATCCATCAAACGAACAAAGCAATAAGAACTATTCAAGGACAGGCGAGATTATATTATATTAAATGTTCCCGTTGTAAATAATGGGAAATGCCAAATCCCATTCATTCATACCTGATGAAGTAGAGAACATACAAATTAATTAGAATCCAGAACCTAACCATCAAACATATATGGATGAATGGATCCACCCACAACCATCCAAATTACAATCAACCGAAAGTCCATGAATTCAGCATTCAAACCAACAAACACGTGCGGATGATGCATGCATATACAAATTTAACATCACATCGGAAAAACAAGGCAAAAATATCATGTAAAAACGATTGAAACTGCACTTAAAATTTATAGATCTACGATCTACAACACGGAATTAGATGTTTGTAAACGAGAATGGAAAAAACGACCAGGCAAATCCATAATTTCCTCGTAAGAATGATCACATCCAAGCATAAATCAATTATACGAACCTCGAAAATGCAAGTCAATCACAATCCAATAACCGATTATATCGCATTTTCCACATCAAACGCCAAAACGTAAAATAATTTTACGAAAACCGAAAAAACGAAAATCCTATACCAAAATTCGCTCGATCTCATATACCTGAGGATAGCGCCAGCGCATGATCCTCGTCTCCCTTGCTCTGATTATTGTCATTATTCTTCCTCCGCTTGTATTGTCTCCTGCTGCCGGATGATTCTCCACTCCACGGGAAACAGCCAATCCCCATGCCTCCCCCTCCTCCTCTTCTCACTCTATATCTATCTATATGTATAATAATAATAATAATAATAATAATAATAATATACACGCCTTCTTGATGAATTCCCTGTTCCTCGATCGGCTAATTCCACCGGAGAACAGGGAAAGGGGAGGCTGCAGAAAACGACAAAAGTTGTTCAGCAACACAATGCAGAGGCGAAGGAATGAGAGCTGAACGCGGTACCCATTTGGTCTTTTGCCCGCTTCATTTTCCGCCTTCCAAAAGAGGTTTTATACTCCGGGAATTATACTCTGCATTCCGGGTCACCAGAGCCCAACCAACCACCGCCCGCCACGTCATCCCTCAACAAGCGTTAGCCTCACGGGGGAGCTCTTCTTCTTCTGTCACATGCCTGTGACGTATAAAGGCAATTGGCCTTTGATGTGAAGTGTATCCAGTGTGGGCAAGAGCACGGTAGGATGGCGCCAACTAACTCAATTTCCAATCAAATCAGGACGCGTGTCGGATGTTGCTTAATCTGCCAGCAGGTGATTACTGTAGGTTACGGTCGTCCTAAATTGGGTATGGAGATATCAGAACGTTGATTGAATGGTACGTTAAATTATTTAGTATAAAAAAATATTTGATGTTGTTTTAGTCTATTTACAAATATACAAATTTATATTTTTCAATATTAAATTAAAAATAATTATTTTTTTATAACAACTATAAATTCTATTTTTTATGAATATTTTTATTTTATATAATATTATTACTTTTATATATTTATAATTATTTTTATATTATTTTTAATTATTCACTAAAATTAAAATACTATTATTTATTAAAAGATAAATTATATAATTTTATTTTAGTAAAAATTGCACAAAATACTCTATTTATTGCGTTAAACTCTCTCATATTTAAAATTTTACATTAATACACATGCTGTTATATAAGTTACCATTTATTAAATTATACAAAAAATAAATATATAGTTTAAAATGGACTGAGGTAGTATTAATTGATATCATAATATAATCTTAATCGACCTAAACGCATCCTAGATATATTAAAATGTGATATTCTTGTAAAGATTAGTGAAAAATTTATAAAAATGTATAATTAGAGAGCAGAATATACAAAACGGGATGTCACATACTATTAAAATTATTTTATGTAAAATAAAATACTCAAAATATTGAAGTTTATTTGTATTCCCTCTTTAGTTTATTCCGCTCGTTTCCTTTGCGCGCTGCTGGAAGTTCTTTCTCCTGGAAATGGCGAACAAGCTCATTAGGGAAATGGGTCTACCTGGATCAATAGCCAACGTCTTCGCCGCTCGTAACATCATCACTGCCAAGGTAATGCTATTCTGTTGCAACTGCTGTACGCTTCAGTCCTCGAGTATTTCTTCGATGATTCATTGCCGGCAATATCTTTCTGTCAATAGTGTTGTTAAGGACTGTACGGCTTAGTGATTTACGAGTTCTATATCTATCATCAATGTGATTATCCAGATTTTGGGTTCTTGTCCTGAGTTTCGGTGTATTATGCTCAGTTTAACATTCACCCATTGGTTTAACGCGTGAGCTTACTTGTTAAATTTGAGGGGATGTTTGAATTGATTGCAAGCAATTCTGAGGGTGAGGTGAGGTTAATGTTCACAAAAATTATCCGCAAGTTAATGTTTGTTACTTTATCGCTTATAGGATGCACTATCGTTGAGTGAGTTTGAGTTGATGGAACTGTTGGACATGGGACTGGAAGAAGTGGCATTGGCAGTGGCGCACATTAGTGAAATTTCATGCCCACCCTATCAGACGGTACATTTATGATTAAGAATTGTGGAATTTGGTTATTTTGTTTGTCATCTTATGATGCACCCAAGCACTATCTTAACTATCTTTGGTTGGTGGTGTAAGGCCTTGTCACTGCTAGACCAAAAAAACCAAAATGAGCACTTCACGGGCCATTTACCAACGCATTTAAAAGGACTTGATGCAGCCCTCTGTGGTGGAATACCATCTGGTGTTGTGACGGAATTGGTTGGTCCTGCAGGAATTGGCAAAACACAGGTATTAGTTCACTTTCAGGACATCTTTCAACCTAATACTTATGCTACCTTTTTCATATTGGTTCTTGTATAACCGTGCTTGTAGATATATTTTGATAATGAGCTTGCCAAAGTAGCTTCCTTGATATTTATTTGACTAAATTCCAAAGGAGCTTGCCAAGAAGTACATTTCTACCTAGAGAATCTGTCACTCATTAGCAGGACAATTGGAGTTTTAATTGGTTTTGTTGTTTCCAAAATTGTTATGCTACTCACAATTCACTAGCGTAGTATCACATTTTTTCTTCTTGTAAACATAAAAGACATGAAGCTACTATGCAGTATGATGGTATTCCTATGAATATTATAATTATTTTGTTTATCATGTCATTAAATTCAATCCAGATAATAATACCGGATTTTATATTGTACGGCTTCCATTGTGAGTGTAAACATTTGTAATTACCACAATACACTCTGTTGAAGCTATTAACCATAATAACTCAAGGTCATTAAGGTACTCCTGTGGTTAAACTGGTTGCTTTGATCCTCATTTTAGATCTAGGCTTAATAAAAGATGTTAGAAACCATAATATGCTCTGTTGTTTCACATGAGTTATATGGTGCTGCGTAATTTAACCTTGTTCTCACTGTTTCTCTCCCTACAGCTCATAAAAATGTATGGAATATACCTTTACTGTTTATTAATTTGAAGGGTCCGTTTATTTGTGGTTACCTCAATCACATCTTTTTCGTTTTTGTAAAATGTTTTACTAGGAGCAATAATTTTCTGATTGAGTTCTTCTTTGAAGTTCAAAATAAAAAATTCAAGAAATATTATGTCAAAATTTCCTAATGACAATTGATATACAAACAATAATCTCATCTTATCTTTTTTAGTGTTTTTTTTATAGTGATCGATGGTATAGTAGCGAATTCACTCCTGTAATTCCTTCGGTTAATGATTGTAGCTTCTATATATCTTGTTATCTCATCTTACCCTTTTGAACTTATAGTTTTGCATGAAGCTTGCTTTATTGGCATCGTTGCCTACTTCGTATGGAGGCTTAGGTGGCTGTGTAATGTATATTGATGTTGAATCCAAATTTAGTTCAAGAAGGTACCTATCTAATAAATAGTTATTCTAAACCAGCACAATGCCTAAATTTAAGTAGGGTATCCCTGTCTTGTAGGATGATTGAAATGGGGATTAGTAGTTTCCCTGAGATATTTCGCATGGAAGGCCTGGCTCAAGAGGTATTCACATTAAATTCATTGTGCTGCTAATGTTTGTTTTCCACATTTTCATATATATGGTTTGTCTTCCACCTTGTTGCTATAACCATTTGCTTCATGAGCACATTCCTCTATTAGTCTTTTATTGTCTTTTCCTCAAGTGAAAGTGCACTAATAGATGCAGCTGATGCATCTTAGAACACCCATGGACTTGAATCTCGTTCATATAGAACCTGATCAACTCCATCAAGCACCCACCATCTATTTTCATTGTTCCAATCTTTGAAAACTCAAGCCTTTAATTTTGAGGATAAATGCATTATCTTTCTTAAATTTTTTTACAAATAAATGGAAACCATTTTGTGTAAAATGCTACATGGATTAGCTTAGAAAGGAAGGGCTTGTTCAGATGATTGTGAGGCTATTGGATGCAATGCAAAATGTTCTGATTCATGAATGACCCATTTGATCTGATCCTTTTGGTGGCAGATGGCTGGTAGGGTTCTAATTTTGCGACCAGAATCATTATCTGATTTCACTGAAAGGTAGAAAAGATTGGTACATGTTATTCCTCAGTGCATTTATTAATTTAATGATTGGTGAAGGAAAGGAAATGCCTGAATGCAGAACCTGATAAGTTGAAGAGTGCGTAAATAGTAAAATAGAAGTTAGGCCTATAGTCACTGATTATGGCTTATTCCTGGACTGAGAAATACAAATAGATAAATTTTCAGGGAGAGGATGATGATCCCATGGATTTAGTTTATCGGCAACAAAAAGTTTCATATATATATATATTATACATATACATATATATAGTTGAATCCATTGCTTTCAATTTGATATTTTAACTAAAATGGCATTTGAGATATGTCGGTTTTCCCAGTTTCACCTGGGTGTACTTTGAACCTGACCTAGCCGGAGTGCTGAAAGATGCAACATTGCAGTTTCTTTGTGTGTGGAATGAAAAGAAGCCGGACTAATAATTTGACTAATTAAGTGGCTAATTATTATTAGTTTGTAATATCAGAAGAGAAATGTCAACATCCAGTTATTCCCAAACACCAGGGACAGCATGAAGAAACATGCTTCAATATGTTCAACATGTTCATTAACTTGTGGTTGTAATCTAATATTACTGTTCATATCTTTGTGGTCTTTATTGTACTACAATTGCCTGCAACTATGGACGGTGAACTTTTTATCTTCTAGATATTTCTTCAGTTATATCTGCAGGTTGTTATTCATTTTGGGACAAGTCCAATCTGCGCTAGTCTTGGTACTTGATCAGAAACATTCTTCACAGAGCAAATCCATCAGATAGGTTCTGGAAAAAAATTAGTTTGCTTAATAAACATTCATTTTGGGACAACATTATCTTGAATGTCAAATATATTTTCATGATTCCATCTATATCCCGTTCGGCCACTGTGTGTATATGCATAGTATGTAGTACCCATTTCATTACTACTTCTCTAATACGTGCATTTTCATTTGTTAAAAGCTTGCAACAAATAAAGGTTTCACTCCTCCAGCATCATGTAAAACTGCTTATTATTGACAGCATGGCAGCTCTTATGTCTGGGTAATTTCTTTCATCTTTGATACTGTTATGCATGCAAGGTTTAGTTAACTAGTTTTATTGAAGGAAATAATCATCACACCAAGAATTTAGCACTTATAACTATATTCTGGTGTGATGACATGCAATTTAGCACTTATAAAATGATGACATACAATTTATACATTTGCTACTTGAACCTTAATAGAGATCGTATAGAATCACATGGGAACCTTGATCCACATTATTGAATTGAATTTTAGAATTAAAATTAATCTCTCCTCCTAGTAACAATTAATGCATAGAACTACAAGCCTAAATTGCTCAAAGCCTAATTTTTCTTGAATAATTTTTTTCTTTAAAACCTCAGTTCAAATATAACTTCCATTGTAATTTGTTATTTATTTATTTATTTCTTTCAAGTGTACCTCCCAGTAGTTTCTGTTGTGTTAGCTTTAATTTAACTTAAATTCTTACAAACTTGTCCACAGTTAACTTGGGTGGTAAGTTTGTATTCATCACAGATACTTGTAATGTCCGAACGCCTATGTGCTTAGAAGATAAAATGTTGCACATAGACATTACATAAAGGAAGTCATGAAAGCACAATGGTCCCGTTGCCCCCTTCAACATACAATAATAATTCTTAAGAGATCATATGTATATCTTTATCCACCCATGGCTCATTGTTTTGTAAACATATTATTTTACTATTCATTTAAGTCTAAAGTGTTTCCTTTGCAGAGAATATGATCAGGGAGCTCCTAGACACCACCACTTAGGTTGGCATATATCATTTATCAAGTGAGACATTTTGAATACTTTAATTGAACTGTTGTTTTGTTTTCGTATTTATAAATATTGTCTCATTTTAACTTCAGGTCACTAGCAGAGTTTTCTCAGATTCCTGTGGTGGTGACTAATCAAGTGCGATCTCAAGGCCATGATGAAGTTCCCCAATATTTATTCCAAGGTAATGCTCTTGGTTAGAGATAAAGCTCCCTGAGACTGACCAAATCATCAGGAGAACTACTATCTAGATATAGAAGGTCTATGCTTGTATTCTCTCCATATTCATGTAACAATATTTTCTAAAACGTTTTGCACGGTAATGGAAATACGTAGGAGAAACCCATGCTTGGCCTGATTGAATAAGTCCTTTAAGTAAAAATGAAACCAAAGATTGCCTTTCCTTAAGTAATTTATAGTGATTAATTCTTGTGAGGTCTCTTCTGAACTTCTGAAGAACTTTAGTGAATTGTGGTGCAGTGCAGTGCAGTGCAGAGATGAAACTGTAGAGGATCCTCCCAAATTTGATTCTCATCTTGTTGCTGCTCTCGGGATTAATTGGGCTCATGCTGTCAGCATTCGTCTTGTGCTAGAATATCGATCAGGTGTTGTTGCTTCATCCCACCATGAGCAAATCTATGTCAAGACTTTTCATTCAAAGACCCTATGCAAATTCATACTTTTAGCTTACATTCCTTTCATAACTATTATTGCGGCTTAGTTTGTTTTTTGGCCGTTACCAAATATATGAACTTACTATCTCAATAAAATAAACAATTGAAATATTCAAACTTAACCAGGTAGCTCACTAAGAACGCACATGATATCTATTATTGTTTCAATCTCAATTAGATGCTTCAAGTTGAAACATTTTGTTTACGAAAATACAATTACCTTTAATATTTGCAAGTAATTTTTAGCTGTGATCTCGATGGATGTTATATTGTGATGATTCTTCTGTAGATGAAAACTATACATTATCTCTACAAGTTGTGAATCTATAAAAATAATAATAAGAGAAAAAAATAGGATATTGCTTAGAGCTAGCTTTCTCATCAGTGTTTTTTTTTTTTTTTTTTTTTTTTTTTCAACAAGATTGAGAATCTTTCTAATATCATGTGAATCTTAATTACCTTAATGAGTTTTCATCAAATGGTTGCTAACTGTTTGTGGCATGCAGCACAAAGGTTTATAAAGATAGCAAAATCGCCGAAATCACCATCTGTAGGATTCTTTTTCAACATAACGGCATGCGGGATTTCATTGCTGAATGATGAGAGCACAGAAATACTTGGGCCGGAAGCCAACACAATACACAGTCAAGGTCTAATAGAACTGCAGATATGAATAAAAACAGTTTTTTTTTTCACCATTGTTCTATGATGTTCTCATCATAAATTTTAAGCATGCAGTGTATTGTTTTATATCCATGTAAATTCTTGCGTAGAAAATTAAGTGATGCTGGGCATTTAGCCACAGGGCCATCTCATAAATGTTAAATGATCACTTCCTAAAAACTTAATCTGGTGGGGAATTGTATCATTTCTTTGTGATTTCTCTGTTAATTCCTTCAAAACATGCATTATGTTTCTCCCTAACCCTTCATCTAATTTCTTCCATATAGAATATGTTTACTAGTTTGCCTATTATTACTGATTCAGTAATTAATTTAGTTTACACATACATGATGCAGGTAGCATAATTAATTATTAACACAATGGCCGTTTGGAGGATGAACACTGGAGGTACCGAGGTATCCAACCGGCTATTGTTCTTTTGACACCTTTAGATAACGTTAATTGAATCGTGTATTATTTCTGAACAATTTAAAATATCCATATTGCATAAATTTTACGATCTCTATAACACAATCCCAACAAAAAAAAATAAAAAATCATCACATTTTACTTTAGTTGTTTCCAAAACCGTACCCTATTGACTGTAATATAGGCATTTCATCAACTCGTTGCGTCTGCAGGCTTTTTATGTTCATGTCCTATGCAAGTAGGTGTAGAGCCCACGCAGTATGATCCGAACAACAGTGTACAGAAGCAGATAGAGCTGGTAATTTCAATCACAGGTGCAATAATTAGTCTCCATGTTTATGATTTTGTTTGAATATGCATGCAAACAAGTGGTTCATCGTTATCTTCCAAAATTTATCGAACCTCCTCTCAACTCCTCATTGTTGAAAATAACAAACTTATTTTCGTAAACTTAAAACAAAATGTGGACTCCTTTACACTGTATCTGTAGCAGTTATTAGATTGAACAACCAGAATCAAGTTTCACCAGAATTATTTACCCATTGCCATACTTTAGATGCTTTCGGCACATATTTAACTTCTTCACTAGATAACAGATACGTGCACACACCTGTATCTACCTCTACCTCTGCAATAAATGGCTTTGAATTCAGTTAGTGATGAAATGGATTTACAGAAAGTCTGCTTAGTAATAGTGATGGATAATGGACCTGTCTGTCTGCTCTTTAACAACCACAGAGGACCATATTAACAACTGGGGTAGGGGTGGGATTCCAGTTTGTGTTGCCCTGATTCCTTGCCTATTTAATGATCTATACAAGGAATTCGACACGAGATGTACCTAGGAGTTCTTGATACTTATGCTACATGTGTTGCAGTAAATGTTTGTCTACATGTACGTTTCGACTCGTTGTTGTTGCTTTATATTTGTGGAAGTGGCCACTTTACTCCAATATCAATTAACCCAAATTTGAGCCTTTTATTAAGGGTGTGTTTGCTTGGGGGTTTGGATTTTGAGTTAGGATTTGAATAGTAAAAATTTTGAATTTGAATAGTTGTACGATGTGATATAAATATGTGTTGATGTGATATTTTGAATGTAAAATTGATTTTTAGTATAATATAAAAAATAAAAAATAGGTGTTTGATTTGATATTTTTGGGGGGAAAAATTGAATGAATAGTAAGATTTTGCACAAATCTTACAAACGAACACACCCTAAGATTCTTCTTTGGTATCTTCTGCATTCAATTCTAAGACATGTTTTGTCCCTTTTCTACTGGTCAGTCAAGAATTTTATTTGTTATATATATATATATATATATAAGTATGATTTATGTTTGTTTTGGGTTTCCAGGCTCTTCTTTTTTTGTTCGGAATGGAAAAGTACCTGACGAATGATTCCAGCTATCATGAACTAATAATAATAATGATGATAATAATAATAATGGGTTTGTCTTTTTATTATTGCAACTAATAATTCCTTTCATTGTTATAATTTGCTACTACTAAATCACTTTATTACGTTAATTATATATGAATAATTGATTTTATTTTTGAATGTATATATGTAAAGTATTACTATATGCCCATTCATTATAGGTTAAAAAATAGATAAATTGGATAGAGGTACTTTAGCCATATTTTTAATTAGTAATCAATAGTTTCCTCTATTTATAAATTAGGCTAATTAATGTATTCTAAATTATTTTCATGATATAGTGTTAAATTAATATTTTATATTTATAAATTCTGCTAATTGAATATAAACTATTTCTTATTTATATTCATTTGAATAAAAGTGTGTAAATAGATGGACCAATATATAATTTCATCTAGTGTCACTTTTTAGCTAGTACAATTTGCAAGTCGTTACGTTTGGTATGCATTGTGATTCGAGGAGTAACATGTGAGTTACTAAAAAATATATATATACTTACATACTAACTTATACCAATTAAATTGAAATGAAAAAAAAATTAAAAAAAAAAGGCCAAATCAAATCAAATAATGCAATTATATTGGAATATATTATTTTAAAAAAAAAATTCTTTAATTCATAGTCAAAGCTCAAATGTTAGTGTCAAAGCAATGGATAAGGCTTTGAAGCAGAAGTTTACACGTTCACAACCTATACAAATTAAATGTAATTAATAAAGGTTTCCTTTATGCATAAATATTATTATATAAGTTGATGGTTATATAAAGTAATAATATTTTAAAAATATATAAGCCAGTGAATAAAGTGAAAATAATTTTTTAATATATTTGAATATGCAAGTAGCGGTGATATAATTGTAAATAAATAATATTAAGAAGTATTAAAAATATTTACTATAAATTTTTTTTAAAAAAAAAAACACACATATTTTGAAGAGTGTTATTTAATTTATATTTTTAAAATTTTTTTTTTAAAAAAAAATAAATTTATTTTGTATTATTATTCCAAATTAAAATAATTTTCCCATAAAAAAATTTATTTGCGATATAAATTATATTTAACATTTATTATAATTCGAACATTTCATTTCATAATACCACAAGCTACAAACAAATATAATAAGATTTAGTATGCATCGTGACACTATTATTATTATATCTGTACTCATATTATGTCAATATATTCATTTTTTCAATCACATTTTTAATTCCTTAGAGGTGATTATTTATATAGTTTTAATTCTTTATAATCATTAGTGGCAAAAATTAGGAATCAGACTTAATCTTATTAATCAAAATTACCCATATTTTAAATTACATATATATATATAGATATATATGTATGTATATATAAGGATCCTTTGGCCTGGGCATCACCCCTCCTCCATTAACACAAGTGCAACTACCCACCCCAACCCCCTACCCCCCTACCCCACCCTACCACCATTACCCCCCCTCCCTTTACCCTGCCTCTGCTGCTGCCTTCCATCCTCATCCTCAACCTCAACCTCGACCTCAAAAGAGATGTTTGATCTCAATCTCAGCGCCGATCACATCGCGAAGGCGAATTTCACCGCGGAACCTTCAGAATTCCGATCGCCGGCGACGTCTCTCTCCTCCGCCGTGAATGGCGGCGATGGAGAGACAAGCTCCAGCAACGACACGCGCTCGGCGTCGCCGGTGACCCGGCAGCTATTTCCGATGACGCGACTCGGCCGGTTGGATTTGGGGAGACAGACCGGTGGAGCGGTGAACCGGGTGGTACAACAAGAGCAGCACCAGGTACAACGCGGTCAAGCGAATAAGAAGAGCCGGCGGGGCCCACGCTCTAGAAGCTCCCAGTACAGAGGAGTAACTTTTTATAGACGTACAGGCAGATGGGAATCCCATATTTGGTAATATTTTCAATTTTCCTTTCATTATTACTATTATTGCAAATATCTCCCTTGGTTTTTTATTTATTTTTTTTCCTTATATTTCTATTTTCAGGGACTGTGGGAAACAAGTTTATTTGGGTATGAATTCCATTTTAATTCTGTAATTATTTAATTATCTTCCTTTTTTTTCATTACTATATTTGAATTTTTTCAGGAGGATTCGACACTGCTCTTGCTGCCGCTAGGTATTTAATTTCGTCAAGGTTTTTAAGCTATTATTGCAAAATAGAACTCTGTTCTTGATCATAAATTATTATTGTTTTGATCAGAGCATATGACAGAGCAGCAATTAAATTCAGAGGCATCAATGCTGATATTAATTTTGATCTATGTGACTACGACGACGACATTAAACAGGTCAGAAATTAAAATTTTATGCATAAATTAAATTCCTTTTCCCTATGATAATAAAACAGTCGAACACAATCACAAGTGTTGTCTTTGTTGAGTCACTGTAAATGTGAGAATTTTACTATAAAAAAACTTGAAAAGAATATCAAAGTGAGCACTATTTATTGTGCTAATTAGAGGGTTCAATAATTTTGTGAATAATATGGAACGAAGGAGTGTTCTTTGGTGTGAGAAATTGGTTGATCTTAACATAACATGGTGTATGAAAGCATGGCGTAAACATATTCAATGAAATGATGGAATGAATGCAGATGAGGAATATGTCGAAGGAGGAATTTGTGCATATACTCCGGAGACAAAGCACGGGATTCTCGAGAGGAAGTTCCAAGTATAGAGGAGTGACACTACACAAATGTGGCCGATGGGAGGCCCGAATGGGACAATTTCTTGGCAAGAAGTAAGTCAATTTGTAGATGTGAATATATTTCTTGTATGTGCTATGTGGTACTATATCATGTATATAATATATATTTCGTGTGTAGATTATATAATATGTAACTAGTTTAAGCTTATGGTCATTTACAATGGTATTAGAGTTGGGCATTCTGTGTTGTTTGTCTTTATATCATATATTGGTAGGCATTTTTCCGGTATGTGAATGCATTAGCTTTGTTTTGATGCATTTGTATTTTCTTCTAAATGTAGGTACATATATCTTGGGCTATTCGATACTGAAGTAGAGGCTGCAAGGTCTCGACTAATCTCAAACTCGAATTTCCTTTTAATTTAAACTATCATGTATTGCTACCAACTGCAACCTCGTTTTTGTACGCCAACAGAGCCTACGACAAGGCGGCCATCAAGTGCAATGGGAGAGATGCAGTCACAAATTTTGAATCCGGCACTTTCAATGGCGACAAGATGGAATCACAGCCACACATAGAAGGTTGACAACAAACAATACTAGCTGCGAATATGCTTCAAATTTTTCTTAACAATTTCGATAAGTAAGTTGTTCAATTAAAGCAGATGGATTGAGGGGTGTTGATTTGAATTTGGGGATGCCAACAGCTTCCGGCAGCTGTAATCCTTATGATGCTCAAGATTCGACAGCGTTTAAGGTAAATAAACATGGATTGGTTTTGACACCTTTTATGTACTGAAATTGTATTGTAAGAGAGATTCTAAGTAGCAGCTTCACAGGAAATTCACCAGACACCGCCGCGAGCAAATGCAGCATCATCAGGATTCTCGTCGCAGGCTTACTCCGACTCGACGGCGTCGCCATATTCGACACCTGTTAGTTTCTGTTTCTCTTCTTGCAAAAGCCCATCCCAGATCAGGCAATTCTTGCCTTGATGATTCACCTTTGTTTATTATTATTATTATTATTATTATTATTATTATTATTATTATTATTATTATTTTGTTTGTTGATCTGTTGACCAAGATTGTAGCCTCATGGTGTAATTTTTGTTGGTACTGATTTGGGAAAATGGAAAGAAAGGTTTCATAACATGATAAATAGTACCAGGAATTGATGGCTCAAACATAGAATCCTACGCCATTTGAGGTTCCTAAGTTGGCCTGTGATGTAGTATTACTGCCTCCATCTTTAATTTGAGATATTTTAAAATTCATGCAACCTTTTAATATCTATATCTACTTTTTTAATATCATTTTTAATCTATTTTATAAAATTGTTTCAGATAAAAAAAAAAAAAAAAAAAAAAAAAAAAAAAAAAACAACAACAATATGATCAAAAAAATATTATAATATAAAATAATATTTGATGGTAAGAATCCACATAATACACACCAAAATTGATTAATACTCTTTATCTGGACTGAAAGTATATATTTGTTTTTTTTTTTTTTTTTTTTTTTTTTTTTTTTTTGCTGTGTAGATAATAAAATATATAAAATGAGTACAAAAAGAAAAGAAAAATCTCTTTTCTAGTTAGAAGTATTTTTATAACATTACTTTTATTATAATAAAAAAATAAATAATTTTGAATAAAACAGACAAAAATAGTAGAATAAATACATTGAATCAAGGAGGAGCCTAAAATTATGAGCATCAAACCGACAGCAAAAGATAATAATTCTGTGGTTGAGAAATAACTACCTATGAGCGCCCTAACTCTCCCCCTAACAATTGTATTACGTAAATCATGTTCAAATAGCTAATTTTGGAATAGTTCAAGAAAAATATTTATCCATATAATATGTCACTTCTATGAATCAAATCTAATATGACAAGAGTAGTCATTGGTATAACATTCAATGATTAATACATAAAGATTACTTGATTAATAAATCTTCTTCTTCCATATAAACACACACACACATATATACATATATACTCCTACAAGTCTAGTGAGCCATAAACAGAAAATACATCTTACAGATGTAACATCCTAACAATCATGTATATTTTATATATATATAAACTACAAAGTTTATAATGTATTAACCATATCGAATCTTGATTGAAACGATACTTGTGTAAAATTCACTCAAAATTATCACCTGGTAAAATATTCCAGTAAATTCGAGATTATGGAGACAACATTCAATATACCACAGAAAATGTTCCCATTCACCCTAATCCTACCACTTTGATGCATGCAGGTAAGTTGCAAGTCTGGACCATTATCAGATCTGTAACCTAGTTGATAAACAGACAGAATAAAAACGACACTCACACACAACAGCACGGCATCAATGAATGGCTGTTGAACAGATAAACCAAAATGCTTCCAATACACAATTCTCCAAAATATCCATCCTACTACATCATCATCATCATATATATGTGTATGTGTGTGTATGCAAAGAGAATGGAAATTTTTGAAGATTATGGAACACGAAACAGTGCTGCAGCACATCAAGTTGTATTGGAAAACTGCAATGTCTTATCTGATACCTTCGGTTTGTTCTTCCGTCCTCCATTAGCTAGACAGACCCCCATCCCACTCAAATGTGCATATTTAACTTTCCAGCTACGGTTCTCTCTAAAGATCCTTTTACCTAAAAACAATGCCGAAGATAAGTAAAAGAATGGTGTGCGACAAAGATGCAGAGAAGAATCAAAACCTACCTGTTGGTTTCTGGACAAACAGTTCGAGAAGGTTTGGTCCTTCACCAACCAGCAAGTAGACCTGTCAAGACTAATCATGGCTCACTCCCACCTCGTCAACAAATCAGAGTATTTTGTTTTTGTGATCACTTCCCCATGCCATTCTCTAAAGTCCATACAACAGCCTGTGATAGAAATTTTTTATGGTACAAATCATAGATATAATATAATGGCGATTTGTCATAATCAACCCCATTCACCACTTACATCACAAACCAGCCATTCCAAAGGGACTCTTCAAGTTAAATCCCATAAGTCCCATTGTACAGGTTGCCTGAACTGGGAGTACGGATCTTTGAATCTTCGTAGCCACCATAAAACTTGTTTAATCCCAATCTTTCAGTTCTGAGTAGTTCTGCCATACCAATGTGATTTCCACCCTGGATCTCTCCCCATCCATCCAATTGCCCATGAGAAGTTAGTCCATTCCTGGACTGAGTAAAGGTGAACTGAGAAATCGGAGAAGCATTATTCATCATCTTTTGCTCCAAAAATCTAGAGTGAATTCCATAAGCATCACCAAGTGATGAATAACCATCGCCCACATCAGGAAATCTTTGACTTTGATGGGGAGGAAGTGATCTCAAAAAAGATCGGAATCTTGCTTCTTCGTATGTATTTAATTGAGAAGAAAGGCTTGAATGTACATCAACACTTGGGCTGTTGAAGCTACCAGGAAGCATCCCTTTGCCAACAGCTAATATAGCAGGATCCATAAACTCAATATCCCCGTTAGTAATGGTATTGTTGCCAGCTAGTGACGGTGCCTGGTAATGATTGCTCAACAAAGATGAAACATCAAGCATGTGATTTCCTGCAAAATATGAAATAAAACTCTTATGAAAAGTGAGAATAGTTTAAAACATAAACCAAATCTCCCCAGCAGAAAAAGATGCTCAAACTAACCAGAAGCTGTCCCCAAATTTTGGTCTATCCTATCATGAGAAGCAAACCCTGGAGGGGGTGGCCTACTAGGGGCTGAAAATCCTGGAGGAGCAGATATATGGGATCTCGAAACTGCTAAAAGAATTAAAGGATATGATCATTAATATATTAAACTAAAAAGAAAAAATAATAGTAACTTCACATTGATGAGATTGCATCTGCAATCATTTAACAGAAGAGAGAATGGTTAGAATCCATGCTCATCATTGCATAACCAAAACCTGATGTTAATTATCTAAACGGCTGAAAAGAGCTTTTGAATGCAAACGTGAAATCCAAATTCCCAAAAGAAGCAACTCTGCCCCAATTCTTCTCTAATTTACTAAGCTTAATCGTCACTGGAAGTACATGCGCATGTATGCAAAAGATGTGTAACAAGAAAAGAAGTCAATTGTAATCAAGTCTAATAATTTGGCAATAGCTTTCATCATTGATCTACAAACTCCCAATATGATTAAGACTACACTACAAAGGTACTTCTAAGGAGAATTAGCTCCTGACCAAATTTAGGAATACAGCAAGCATGTAAATACGCACTATCAAACTCCCAATTCACAGGGAAAACACAGCAAAATCAGTTATAAAATATCTAATAAATCAAGTGACAAGTAATAGAAGATGTGAATCCTTAATAACTTACCAGAAAACCGATTAGAGGAGCCGTCAGAATGACTTCCTGGATAAAGACCTGAATCCGGTGCATTTATAAAAGGAAAACCATTGCGATTGACAAACTTCTCAAGTTGTAAGCCATTTTCGCTGGAGAGATCATTGCCCAAAGAGTGCTGTATCAAGCCCCTTTCAAAGTAATCCATAGATTGTCCATGATCAGGGATTTGGTTTTTGGGCTCCTCTTCTCTAGCAAATGAAAATCTTGATTGATTGCTATTTTGAATTTTCAGTGAACCCGATGCTCCAAAACCACCATAGAGCTTTTCGGGTTTACCAATCAATGTAGCCAGGTTCTGAGGTGAATTTACTGTCTCATCCCATGGATCAAAGTCTAAAGACAAAATATTTGATATTATGCTGCTCTCACCAATGTCAAAAGCACCACTGGCTGGCTCTCCTTCATATCTCCTTAGGGATAGCCTCTCCTTAGACAACTTCGAATGGTCAATGTCTTTAACCTCGGGACCATTGACTAATGGTGTAGTATGTCCACTTGGAAAAGTAGAAGCTGAAACTATCAAATTATTATTTCTATCAACAACCTGTCTGTCCAGACTAGTGCCGACTGAACTGCCAACACTACTAAACTGCGACAAAGAGGTATGAGGATACTTTGACATAGGAGAGGTATGAGAAAAATTTGGCTTTATAAAAGAGGCAATCTCTGGATCCTTGAGCCGTTGTTTATCAAAAGCCCAAATATCATTTTCTGTTTCATGCAGATCTTTTTGGGTTTCTTGAGTCGGCATTTCTAATCTACCATCAGACTGTGCATAAGTCAGCCTAATCTCCTCACCTGTATGCGGAGCCATTCCAGAAGACACTGGTTCCCCAACATGCTTAGTATCACTGTTCTCTATAATCTTTTGTTCAGATATACCCATTGATAAAATGTCAGAGCATATTTTCTCCACATTTCTAGCTGGTGCATCAATAGAATCATTGTCAGTAGCACATCCACTAGATGTTACAGAAGACTCAACAATACTTTCACCATTAGGTGGCACGTTGGTGGAAGCAGAGGAATGCAGTGGTGTACTAATGGACAGATCAGAAGAATGAACGGTGGCAGAACTTTCCACCTCAGCAAGCTTCTTGTCTATAGGTAACTCATCTGGTGGCTGTGAAATTTCAAATTTTCTTTTAACAAGAGAGATGGGGCTTTCCTCATTTGGAAACATTGTCTTTCCAGTATCGTTGGACAATGAAGAACTTTGCATTGGACTTTCAGCCACGGTAGAGCATGACACCTGTCCACTGGACAAATCTAATTTCTGTTTATGTGGCCCGTTGGAATATTGTTGTACACTTCCAAGCGATGATTGATTATTGGAAGCACGAGTTCCCCTGATTGTAACAACAGTCAGGAAAAAGCAACAATAAATTTGCAGTAATTTTAAATCCAAAAGATGGCATACCATGAGGCTCCAGCAGGAAGCGCAGCAGATCTACCAGAGCTACTATTTGGCGGCGAAACTCTAGCATTGACTGCGGGATTCTGCTGATCAGGAAAAAAGTTTGTAGGAGATTAAAGAGGCAGGAAACTAAAACAGTAACCACCGTGTAAAAATAGATAAAAGGAAATAACAAACACCATGTACAAGACTGCCTATGATCAAATAATCCGGTGGTACAACAATAAGATCGCAATTGCTTTCATCAGAGAAACGTAACATCAAGAAAAAACCTTAAAGCAGGGTTCTAAAATCAAAATCTAAGTATGAACCATGACATAAATAAGACAGTTGACTCAGAAACAAGAAAACCTTACATTTGTATTTACATTAGGTTTAGGAATAGGCCTCCCTGAGGAAACAGCATTATTGCAGTATTCATCTGCCGGGGGTGGCAACACATTTCCTGACCGCCTCTGTGTACTATTTGAGGAACCAGTAATCCGCTGAACTCTGCAGCTTCACAATAATTATTGAATTGGATTGGAAACTTGATAAGTAAATTGACTTGAAAGGTAACAAATAACATTTATATCAGTAGATTGAAAAAAAGACATTCAGGAAACAATGAGTTTAAATGGTAAGGAATGAACAGTGATGCATATATCCAAGTGGATCTTGATAATAGCTACCTTGAATAAGCAGATATTATTTCATCTTTAGTAAAACTGTCTTCTTGTGAGCCAATCTCATGCAAATATAGACAGTCAGGATTGCTGCATGGCTGAACCAAAAAAAGTAGCTCCTTCATAAGCAAATATGTAGGTGTGCAGTACATACTGTGGACATGATTAATTGTCGCTCTAATTTGATGAAGAAACTGCAACTAACTTACCATGTTTCTCAACCATGCATGACAGTATTTAGTAGTCCCAAAGCATGCCCTGCAACAAGGCTCTCAAAAGTTATCCAATATGCAAAAAATCAAACCAGCATTACAGTCAAAGAATGCATCTGAAACTCACCTCAAAGATCTCCCTTCTAAAACAAACCCATGCACTGACTGGATACATCGAACAGCTTCGTCTTCCCTTGAATATGTTATATATCTGTATAAACAAAAATATTTAACAGAGAGCAAGACAGAGACAGAGACGATTAGAGATGTTCAAATACAAGGTATATAATCAAATGCTGGACCTATAGGAGAATTTTGGAAATGTCTAAACCAAAATATATTAAAAAAATCACAAAGACAACTAAATAAACTAATCACCGAAACTGGAATAAATCATGTAAGAAAATCACATAATCATGGCAACAAGAATATAAGGTATGCAATAAGAAGCTCAGGCGTGAACAGAACCTCTGTCCTGAAATTTTGAGTATCAAAACTTAGTCCTGCATTATATTTCATTTTTTCATTTTCTGCATTAAAACTGTAAGCTCTATTTCAAAACTGCAGGGAAGGACCTAATCTATCAAACAAGATTTACAATTTTCTCACAATGCAACATATGAATTCAGGAATTTGGAACTTACACACTGCATGTACTATTTGCAGAATGTTGTATGGCACCAGTGGATGTCCGAGATATCGAAACCTTAAGCACTTTTCCATACTGACCAAAATACTCTTTGCGCTGAAGAAGCTGCAAACCAAAATCAATGGTAACAAAAACAAAAAAATAAAATAAAATGGATAAGGGTAAGGGTAAGCCAAACAAACAGAGAGGCACTTACATCCTCATCTGCAGAAGTAAGTGGCAAGCCTACAACATATACTAGATTCTTCTGGATAACTCGCACACTAGCTAGTTGTTTCCTTCCTTCTGAGGTTTTGCTCTTAACCTTATGCGATTTCTTCTTCTCCACATTCGACTCTGAAACCAGCCTGTTTCAAAAATCCGATATCATAAGATACTTGCCAAGTAGCAGCATATTAGTAGCATCCATCCAAAACAATCAACACTAAAATCAAATTACCTTCCGCAACTTGCAGCTGTTCCAACAATCTTCTCTTTGTTATAAGGAGTACGACATGCTGGACAGCGCCCTTCTGTCTCATCTTTCTCAGCCATATCCATTATGTGATGCCAACACCAAACACAGATCTACATGAACAGCAAACTTTTACATTTCCACAACAGTAGAAATTCTGAACACAAATGTAGAAAGCAACACAAAAGGACATGCTACAATAGGACATGAATCACACTTAAGTACCAAGAAAATTAATCCCTCAAAAAAAAAAAAAGCAACCACTTATAACCATGCACCCCGCAGTTATCAGTTGTGGTTATGGTTTCATTAAAGTCAATAAGTGACTAAAATAATATTGCAATTGTGTTCGTCAATAATTCTGTTAACAATTAACATCTTGCTTAAAAAATTTGACAAAAGAAGCTTAAGTAATACGATTCTGAGAACTACTACCCCAGCTTTTTACTACTATGATATGGCAATCAATCTCTTGGTCACTGAAATCTAGAATTTTCTCTTCAAATAATCAAATATGCTTCCAACAAAATCCATACCAGAAGTAATACCATATAAGTTTTAATGGTATCTGCAACTCGATCTGATTGTATCTTTCACATTATAAGCATGGAATATAGGAGCCAGACGAGGAAAAAGGAAAATTTACACACACAAGTGCGCGCACACACACGCAAAAAAAAAAAAAACTCTGAAGCTGAAAAAAAGGAAAAGAGACCAGCAACAAAAGTACTCTTTGCTGTTTCATATAGCCAATCATTGATGGAGATTTACATCAATAGGTGGGTACCCCAATTCAGTCAACAAAATCAACGGAAAGACTTGCACGCTGAGGAGCCAAATACTTGCCACCCACATTCTTATTAAACTAACCATCAACATATAACTCAACTAAACTAATCATCAACATATAATTCAACTCCTAGTCTCCTATTCCGAAGGTTAGCGACTCAGTGGTGATGAAACAATGGTAATATTGAAAAAGGAATCAATACCTCATAACCGCACTTGCAAGGCTTCAACTGCTGATCAGTCAAATCCATCTCCTCGGCACAGAGGGGGCAGGTTTTATCTCCTTCATCACTCATGGTTACCTAAGAATTTCAAGGATGCAAACAGCTTTCAGCAAACTAAAATACTAAATATTGCCCAAATTAATTGAAAGCTAGCACGGCATGCAATGAATAATCAATCAACACCGCCAAGATTAATCATTTTTCGGGGAAAAGGAAAATTGTAAAAAATGGACCAAAATAAATAAAAATCAAATCGGAAACTGGGCAATTACCACCGCGGGGATAAAAGTCGCCTTCACCTGTACAATCCAAATCAAAGCCTCAAAAACCTTTATCCACATAACCCAACACAGCCTTCGTAATCAAAATTCCACATCGACCAGTAAATCTAGACCAATTCAACTAATTACTAAACCGACCGAATTAACCTAAATTCCAGATGAAAACAACAATCCAGATTAAGCTCCACAAAGAACAATCGATATCAATAGCATGCCCCAAAAAGCACTTAATAGCGTAAATTCAACTCGAGCCGAACAACGAACCGATTAAACTCATCCAGATGATCAATAAAAAATTAATCAATTCTCACTACTTCTCCCAAAAAAAATTGGGGATCTAATCCGAGAATGGGATTAAACTTACAGCAGATAATTGGATCAGGTCGAAAAGGATCCGAAACGAAGTGCGATATAGAGATATATAATCGATGTGTAGATACAGAGGAGAGAGAGGGAGATAGAAAGAGAGCCACAAAGACTGACGATTTCAGAGAGAGAGAGAGAGAGAGAGAGAGAGAGGCTTAGAGTGAGAAAAAGTGAAGGGGCAAATTTTGGGCAAGGGGTCCTAAAAAACAAGGGTCCGTTTCCGGGCCGGATCATCGAATCGGGCCGGAGTATCCATTTCCTCCGATTCAACGATGTTCAGCTACTAGATAAGGTCCCGGGAGTACGAAGTCCTATGCGTGTAGTAATCAATTTGATTTTTTGGAATTAATTAATTAAGAAAATTACGTATAATTTAAGGTACTAACGTCGGTTGCTTCCTCTTATAGCGTCTATATGGTGTGCCGTACGATTATACATTCTATAATTGCAATGGCATCAAAACAAAAAAAGAAAATTTATAGTATATATATATATACATCTTAAATTTCTTACTATCAGTTTTTTATTTTCTACTAAAAAAAACAATGTCACATCCTAACATTATTTTTAGTTTTTTTAAAAAAATTTAAATAGAAATTTGTATTTTATTTTTTTGTAAAAATTATGTTGTAAATATACACATATATATATATATTCAAACTATTACTACCCAATGATCATTCAATTCCAAATTAAAGAACATCAAAGTCAATCAATTTTAAAACATGAATAAACAAATTGAATGTTGCTTGAGAGTAGATTTTTAGTGTTAAAAAAAAAATAAATAAATAAATAAATAGAGTAAATGAATATATGTTTAATTTGATTTAAAAAAATTAAAAAAAAAAAAAAAACAAAAAACAAAACAAAAATTGTACCTTCACCAAGCAGATCTTGAAAGCTTTTTTATCAGTAATTGAAATTTTTTAACATGAATGTGGTCATTATATATTAGTTCTCTTGAAGCTATTTAAGTATCTTATTTTAATAATATAAGATTTTTGTAGAATATTTTGGCAACCTTCATTTATATTGTTAATATTTTATGGATAATTACTAATTACTATGATCAGATGTGATATTTATGATGCTATTAATCTAAAAAAATAATGTGTAAAATATATGATACTATTACAATGTAAAAGGAAATTTGACTACCTGTAAAGGTAAACAAAATATGATTAGTAAAAAAATGTAAATTTAATTAAATTATATAACATCGACAAGTATTTATGTGAAACAAAAATAATTTTTATTGTATTTAGTTTTATTATGTCTATTTTTTTAATTTGTTATTCTGAATCTGATATTAAATACAAAATAACCTTTCGATATTCAACGTATAACCTGTAAGCATGACGTTAAATTGTTCAGTTAGCTTTTCGTTTTCACGTGTATACATTTTAACAGATTTCTTTATTTAATAACTTGGCGACAAGAATGTACTTTTAATATATCTACAATAATCGAAATATCACTTTATTGGTCCGAATATTTGCGTAACAATATTAGTTATTTATGATCTAAAAATACAAGATTCGAGTTGAATACGTCCACTTCAAATTCTACACGTGTAATTTGTTATTTGAGAATGTATTAGGTTTGTTTGGTTGTGGTTTAGAATTGATTTAAAATGAAGTGTTAGATTCGAATTTTTGTTTACATACTATTTTGATATGATTTTTTTTTAAAAAAAAATAGTGTATTTTAATTATAAAAAAAAAAGAAGAAAGAATAAACTAATTGTACCTATAAATGTTATTTTATTTGTGTAATTTTACCATCAATTTAAAATACTTAAGAAAATATAAATACAAATTAATCCATAAATCATTCTTGAATTTCTTAAAGATAATTGATTGTCTTCGGTTATTGGAGAACATTCTCATTATATATTTTATTATTTTTTATATTAAAATCATATTTCAAATTATTTATTTATTTTTTTTTATTTTTTTTTCTTTTATTCTGCGGCATCAAACACAAAATCATCAATCATCTAAATAAATTTGGTAGGCATGTTATGACTCAGATCTTTGGAGTTTTCTTAAATTTGGTTATTACGCAAATTTTATTATTATTTTTAAAAGAATACTTTATTTAATAATATAGAATATTATATATATATAATTTTTTATTAAAAATTAATTTAAAATATATTTAAATATTTTAAAAATGTATCTTATCCTTGTCTGTTGTTTGAGATTGCACTGAAAATATTTTGTTTGATTTTTATATTTCAACCATTATTAGCATAATATTTTGTAAGAGAACAATAAAAATTCTTTGAGTGAATGTACACAAAGGTTCTATTCTCATTGTATTATTTTTCACTTGCAATTCATAAAAATAATAATTTAATATATAATATCTTTTTTATAAAAAGTACAAAAAAAAATATATATAAATACTCATTACAAAACATTAAAAAAAATCAAATATTCAACTACATTTCATTTTTGTTTGGGGATTGAATTTTAATCCACCTATTTATCTCATTTTTTTCTCTCAAAAACATCAAATTGAACATCTATTTTTTATTTTTTATATTATACTAAAAATCAATTTTACATTCAAAACATCACATCAATACTATTTATATCACATCATACAACTATTCAAATTCGAAAATTTTACTATTCAAATCCTAACTCAAAATCCAAACCCCAAACAAACACACCTTTAGTATATTACTATATATTTGTTGACTAATGGATGTATTTGGTTTGATTTTTAAATCAAATCACTGTCATTTAGTTTATAATATAATTGTTAATAAAAAAAAATATATTTTAAAAAGTTATATTAAAAATTATTTATATTAAACTTAAAATTTTAATTTTAAATGAAAAGCAAACAAATCAGTATTATGAATATAAATGGTTTGTTGGTGTGAATGCTTTATAGAAGCCCAAATCAGCCCGCATAATAAACCATTTATTGGTTGACGTTATTTTTCCTTGCAGATCAGCCCACAATCTTATTTATTATTATTATTATTTTAATTTTTTTTCTTCTTTAAACTAGATATTGATTTGAATTTTTGTTTAGATACTATTTTATTAGATAAAATGATACTCTTTTTATTTTGGAAGAAGAGTGTTGTTTGTTTTTTCATATGTAAATATTAATATTATACTGATATAAAGTACAAATTAATTAAAAATACAAGAAAATATTACTATTGGTATTATACAATATAAAAATAATAGCATTTTATGTAATAAATTGTAAATGATAAACGTATTTAGGGGAAAAAAATTTTTTGGTCATAATATAATAAAAATTCATCAATTTTGGTTCCAATATAAAAATCTTATCAATTTTGGTTCCAATATAACCAAAATTTATCATTTTTTGTCCCAATATAACCAAACTCGTTATTCTTGGTCCCAATATAATTTTTTTATCAATTTTAGTCATAATATAACTAAAACTCATTATTTTTTGTCATAATATAATCAAACTTTATCTTTTTTTGTTCCACCGTAAACAAATCGACGAAAAATGCTGACATGAACTTGCAAGATTGTGCAATTTCTTTAAATATAAATATAAGATTTGATTTTTTTTCACGTCGGCATTTTCCGTTGGTTTGTTGACGGTGGAACAAAAAAAATAAGATTTGATTATATTGAGACAAAAAATGATAAGTTTTTGTTATATTGGAATTAAAATTGATAAAATTTTTATATTGAGGCAAAAAAATGATGAATTTTGGTTATATTAGGACAAAAATGATGAATTTTGGTTATATTGTGACCACAAATGATGAATTTTAATTATATTGAGACTAAAGATAATTTTTTTTCAAATATTTATTATGTTAATAGGTAATACAATTACTGAATTATAAAATAACACTCTTATTTTGAGATAAAAAAAATAAAAAATGATTTTTTTAGATCGGAGGGGATAGTACAATTTTATTAAAAAACATGTGTATGAATAATATTGATGTCAATTTGAAATAAATAAACGAATCAAATAACCAATAAAATCTCAATTTTATAGAAATTTAACAAAATAATAATCCAGACTATTGAAATAGTTATTGATTACACCTATATATTTTCAATAATTAACAAAATTTCCAATTTCCAATATACCAAGTGCTGAAAATTAATTGATATGCAATATTATATTCATCTATTCCGACAATCAATATTGAAAATTATATCTTATACCAAATATAACTGTGTTCACACAAATAATTTGTTTGACTCACATTTTTTAATACTATGATTAATAATAGTTTACATAAAAAAAATATTTTAAATTAAAATATTAAACAAGTATAATAATATTTTTTTTTCAAAAAAATTATATCAAATATTTGAAATTTTATTATTTTTAATAAAATGTTCAAAACTCTAATAATGCTCTACAATATAAGTATACAAATGTTTTTCACAGCTCATATATAGTATAGTACTCCATATTTTAAAAATATTATATTGAATATATATTTTTCTTGTAAAAATATCATATAAATTACTATTTTTTCTATCATATAATTTTATGTTTTTTTTTTAAAATTATTTTTATATTTTCCTTAGTATAAGTACTTTTTTTTTTTTAGTTTTTATTTCTGTTTACTATAATTTTTTTTTTTATTTTTTACTTTTATTTCTAAAATTTTATATCCAATCAAATGGGTATAAATATAAAAATATTAAAACTATATAATTTACTATAAAACGGACCTGGGTCCAGCCGGCGGCCTGCACGTTGCAGCTACTTGCCGCATGGTTTGACGTGCAACGGCCATTTTTATTTTATTTTTGTTTTTTTAATGGGTGGATTCTTATTTAAGATAGTAGTAATATTTATTTAATTAATTAATAATAAATTATTTAATTATTATATATATTTTTATATAATTAATAATATATGTATTATATAAGATTAAATGAATTTATATTATTGTTTAAATATATTAAAAATTGTTTTGCAATAAAAAATTATATTTAATATAAATATTATTATTTTTTAAAATTTTTTTTATATAAAAATAAATAAATTTATTTATAATTAATATAAATTAATTTTTATAAAAAAAATAAAATTTTAAATATAGATAAAAATATGTTTTTTAAAAAATATAAATAAATAATTTTTAAATAAATTATAAAGAGTGGATGAAGTTATATATTATATAATTAATTAAATTAATTTATATTTATTAAAAATATTAATTTAATAAATTTATTTAAATTAAAAATATCAATGAAAAATAGAAAAAAATAATATTATTTATATGTTTTTTCTTTTTATTGGAATTCTTATTTATATTTTATTAGTTAATATTATTGTCCACGAATAATGGAATCTTTGGATAGCTCACTGCATTCACACTTGGTCTTACTTAGTATTAATTGAAATGTCTACATTACCCTCCAAGTGTTCGCGCGAGCTTCGTTTTCGGATCCAAAAAATTTGAGGGTATTTTGGGGATTCCGTGTAAGCACACAGAAAAGTCTGCAGTCATGGTTTCCCGCTTTCCACCTTCTCGCCATTACTCTGTTTCTTTATTCCTCACCTAATTCTAACCATTTTTCACGCGCTGTGGTGGCCGCACGATCGAATCGATCGAACGGTTCAGAGAATTTCTTCCAGAAAATTCTCATCCTTCTCTTATATATAATGCATTGGTATTGACTCAGCTTTCGCATTCTCCGCTCGGTGCTTCTGCTCGCCACACTCTCCTCTGCCAGTTGGTTGGTGATCTCTATTTTCGATCTCGTCTCGCCGATCGCGTTGGTGAGTGGATTTGCTATTAGATTGGTTTTTTGGAAGCCTTCATCGGAGGTGTTTTTGGTTGCATTTCGCTTTAGATTTGTTTCGTTTGGAAGCGTGGTTTCTTGGTAGACTGCTACTTTTGTTTTTATATGCCTAATCGGTAGTTTTCCGTGCGCTGATTGAGTGGATCTGATTGTACGCAGCTCTGAAAATGGTGAAGAGCTATCCGTCCGTGAGTGAGGAGTACATCAAGGCCGTTGACAAGGCCAAGAAGAAACTCAGGGGTTTCATTGCTGAGAAGAACTGCGCTCCGCTAATGCTCCGTCTTGCGTGAGTTTTGCTGTTGCTTTTCGTACCATTTTTTTGCTTTGATACGAGATGAAGGCTTGTTGAGTTGATTTTGGTATGGTTTAGTCGTTGTTCTTGTCAACATTAAAATAAGAGACGGATCGTTTGACTGCTTGTTATGGAAATTATATAAAAATGGTTTTCGATCACTGAAAACTCTTGTATATTACTTTTGATATCTATAGCGTTTCAAGTGACAAACAAATACGGGTATTTGGAGGCAGTGGCTAAATTATTAGTACGAGTTATTTGAGTTTGATCTGATAGTCAATCTGTTTTTGGCTTCTTACAAAATGAAGGTGATACGAATCGTTTCTGAATCTGACGAATTTGGCTGATTTTTAATGTATGAATATATGGCATTACTACCATAAAAATAAGTTTGATTTTTGTGAAGTGTTAAAAATGGTAGATATCGTAACTCCTGATGTTCCTCCACTGGAAATATAATATCACATTTATGCCCCCTTGAATCGCATAAAATTCATATAAAAAAGTGTTTTCTGTTTAAACTCTTGCATATGCTTAGTCTGTTTCTGTGGGATAGGTCTGATGTACATATTCGATATAACAGTGCATCCTCGGATCCTCTTCAGAGTGATGCTAGTATTTTACTAATATTGTGATGTTATTGCTCTGTTTTCAGATGGCACTCTGCTGGTACATATGACCAGGGCAGCAAGACTGGAGGTCCTTTTGGAACAATGAGATTCCATGCTGAGCAAGCGCATGGTGCTAACAATGGCATTGACATTGCTATTAGGCTCCTGGAGCCCATCAAGCAGCAGTTCCCCATCATTTCCTATGCTGACTTCTATCAGGTATTATTTAATTGAAAGTACACTGCCTGTAACTTGTTTAACATGTGCTTTTATTACATTAGTTGGCTGGAGTGGTTGCTGTTGAAGTCACCGGTGGGCCTGAAGTTCCTTTCCACCCTGGAAGGCCGGTAAGTGGAAATCCCACTTTTCAAGTCAGATATCTTCATTAGCAATTTTTTTATCCTGTATACGTGTGGACATGCTCTTTGAAATTCATAACATGTGTCTCGACTGAAATCAGCTGAGATGTTTACTTAGTGATGCTTTTTATCCCTTGTACTGTTTTAGTGTTTGGACTGTATGCTAATTTCTTGCACACTCATATTGATGTTTCTTGTGTTATTTGTAATTTCAGGACAAGGAGGAGCCGCCAGTTGAGGGCCGATTGCCCGATGCTACCAAGGGTAAGTTAAGAGTTTTCTTGTTTTGCCAGAGTTTTTAGCTTGAGATTAATATTGTGTGGTAACAATCATAATATTATGCAAATCTACTTATTGCAGGATCCGATCACCTCAGGGACGTCTTCATTAAACAAATGGGCCTGTCTGACCAAGACATTGTTGCACTTTCTGGTGGCCACACCCTGGTCTGTATTTTCTTATTCATTAGAATTTGGGGAATGAATTGAATTGAATTGAATTAAGTTTAGATGAGATATTTATGCAATTATTCTCTTTCATCCAGGGACGATGCCACAAAGAACGTTCTGGATTCGAGGGACCTTGGACCGAAAACCCTCTAATCTTTGACAACTCTTACTTCAAGTAAGAGACAGCGCACACACCTTTCATCCGACTTGGGGGTTTTCTTAGAACATTCAATTTTGTACCTGCACTATTTCTGATTCGACCGTGTGGTTGTTAATAGGGAGCTGCTATCAGGCGAGAAAGAAGGGCTCCTGCAGCTGCCATCCGACAAGGCTCTTCTTACTGATCCTGCCTTCCGCCCACTCGTCGAAAAATATGCTGCGGTGTGTAGATCACCAAATCATATTGGCTTTATGATAATCCTATTCTCCCAGTCATGGATGTTCATTTACTCGTGTATACTGACTGAATGCCTGTTTTGTTTTGATTCACTCACTCTAGGATGAGGATGCCTTCTTTGCTGACTATGCAGAGGCACACTTGAAGCTGTCCGAGCTCGGGTGAGCATTTTTTTGATCAAATTTATTCATATTTGCAAAGGTGGTTTCTATCATAATTTATTGAATAAATTTTTTGTTTTTGGGTGGCAGATTTGCTGATGCATAAGCGGGGTAGGGTGCGTACTGAGAGCCTCAGGTGAGGCAGGGAATGTTTTGTCATATTTTCCATTATGGATTGGAAACACTAGTATTGATCTTTCTGTGCTTAACGATGGATGGATGGCTTTCGTTGGATTGATCTTTTTGGTACCCCCACCTACATACATTACATTATGTTATGTAGAAGGAAACTTTTATTAATAAATTTTGCATTATGGATAAGCAGCCAGCAATTTATTTTATTTTATTTTATTTTTTCTACATTGCTTGGGTTATAGGAGTAGTAGCTAACTTGATGAGGATATTTTATGACGGAGGAGGGAGTAATAATGATCTCTTGCTCCCTGCCATGCATCGTTGGTATTTAATTTTCGCAAAAAAAAGGCTTGAACGAAATTTACGAAAGAGATGCTGAAGGATGGCATCTCTTTTACAGCTCAAGTTGAGTTGTTAAAAATCGACTAGTTCGCAGTCGACTCGGTTTGTTTATATTTTTCTATAAAGGAATTGAACTTGGGTAACTAGTAATTCAATTGAGTTCTGATAATATATTTACATATTAATATTACATATGCAATTTTTTTTTTTTTTTTTATATTAAAATGTAAATATTTTTTATTATAAAAAATTATGAATAAAATTAAATATATTTAATTTATATATTAAAAAAATATATAATATGGATAAAATTCAAATATTTGAGTCAAAGTTGAGTCATTATTTTGATTCAAATTTTTGACAAGTTAAGCCAAGCCTGCATAAACCGTAATTAGCAGATTAATCAACTGTAAGTATATGCAGCGGGTCAGAAGTTATTTATGATTGATTTTGGTAGGGTAGCCAGGCAATGGCTCTGCCTCTCATACATAATAATAGAATAGTAGCCGCTGGGTAGCTAATGGTTCTACTTCTAAATCAGTGAAACAAACAAAGGGTTATTTATGTGAGGGAAATATCGCAACTCTTACGACCTAGTTAGAATCGGAAGGGGCATTATTATTATTATTATTATTATTCGTGAATTTTGTGCAATCAAATGGCCCGATCTGATTGCTTCTTTTTTTGACCTGCAAAGTCACAAAACCTTGAATTAATTAATTAATTAATAATTAGTTTATGGACGTGACTGAGAATGAAAAAAGTTAATAGAAAAAGACGTACCGGAGACCATGGGCTAGGCTCAGGTTGAGACTTGTCAGGAGGTGAATTCTGCACTGCCCCACTCTTCTTGGTGAGGATATCCTGTATCAAAATTATATATATAAACCTTATATAATCAAAACATGCAATTCCAGATTGGAGAAATAAAATTACCTCTCCAGCTGCTTCCAGGGCAGCAAACCATTCATCAGAAAATGGAACAGCATTTTGTGGAAGAACAGACGAGCAGCAGCTTTTCGTATTAAGACCATCCCCATGCATATCATTTCTGTCAAATTATATTATAAAGAGTTCGGATTCAGAACAGTTATCTGTGGAGAAGACACAAAGGTAACAAGGAAAAACATGTGCTAAGAACACTTACGCCGGTGCCAATGCAGCTTCCACTTCAACAGCACCCAACTTGGGATAACTGTTATTGTCTTCTTTCGGTAAACTATTTATAGTGTCGGAAAGAGGACAGATATTTTGAGAATCTACCACTGAATCAGTAATGAGGGATTCACAAGTCCCATATGCATCCTCACAACAGTTATACTTTGAAGGTGATCCCAAAGCAGGACTACTTGAGGTTTCTGAAATATCTTTGTCGATGTTGCTTTGATCTGACTCATTCTCTTTATATGACACAGGCAAAGTCAGCTGATTGTTTGCAGAATCATCTAGTATAACCGACACCTGCTCTGCAATTTTTTCAGTAGTATTTTCACTGAAAACTTCATTACTCTTGCTGATGGAAGGCAAATCGATACAGTCAGTTTCTGGTCTCTGAGGACCCTCATGAAGGCTGTTAGAGAAGTTAATATTGGTAGGACTATCAAGCGCATAGTTAATGTCATCCTCGTGTTTCCCATTGTGGTCGGAAGTACTGTAATTCACATTATTTTGCCTATCAGGTGATACGTAGTCGTCAACTGAATTTAAGTATGAGCTTGCAAGAGCTTCTTCTACAATTTTACCCTTTTCCAAGCTGCAATCCTGCTCGTTAGCCAGGGACAAAGTGCTCAACTTAGTGTCAGCCACCTTACTTCCATCCTTTTTCTCTGGGAATGAAAAAGTTAGTTTCTCAATATCTTGTTCCTCGGGGCATATTTGATTCTCAGGTAACCTCTCACTACTATTCAATTCAACATTTATCTGCAACTCTGCTCCAGCTTCAGGGCAATTATTTAAAACCTTGCAACCTTTTCCAAGCTCTTTAGTGTCATCACCAACCTCTGAAATCAAATTGATGGCACTCCTAATTTCTCTTGAATTGCCTGCAGCATTTTGTATGTGGGGCTGTAGGGTAACTAAATTCCCTGTTGATACACCAGAAACAGAAGTATCTTTCGAAAGATCTGCATGTAGATCCTCTGATCCTAAATACGAAATTTCAGATTGGCTTGTCCAGCATTCTGAAGCATCTAGGCTTCCACTTTGACTGCACAAATCAATAATTTGTTGGGAAACTCCCACTTGTGCACTTTCTTGCTTCACCATGTCAAGACAATAGTTTGCAGTGCCACCAGTGTTAGCCTTGTGGCGTCCATGGCAGTCTGATCTGCAAACATCTTCCGCATCACTGTTTATTACAGATATCTGCCCTATGTGCACGAGTGTTTCTTTACACTCTGTCCCAACAATGGCACCATGATTCAAGATCAGATGATCATCACATGCATTATTCTCTTCAGATGATTCATTATGTGACAGAACTGTTTCAGATTCTCGAGCGACATGTATCTGTTCTGACCATACTTCTGGTTTTTCCCTTCCACTTTTACATGAATCACTTTTTTCAGTATAACAATCACCATCTCTCTTTAGAAAAATCTCATTTGCTCCTTGTTCTTGACTTTTGGTTTGTAAAGGTTCTTCAATACCCATGTCCTGAAATTTTGTCTCCTGTTCAGATATCTTCTCGATTTGATTTTTTCTTGGTATAACCGTAAAGATGCAATCCACAAAAGAATTGTTGCCTTCAAAAAGCTTATCACATAGTATATAAAAGTAAAATAATGAAGAAGGATCTTCATTCATACCTTCTGCATAGGAGCTTGATCAGCAACTACTTTAACTGATGCAGCACCAACATGAGATGATGCCACACGAGGCAAGCTGGATTTTATGTCCTTGCAATGAGCTGTGATCTGTTTTGTTTTATTATCTATTTCTGGGGCGTTTCTCAAATTTTCTTTCAACCGAGAATTTTCATATCTCCAAGAGCCATAAATATCTGCTTCTGTACCCCTTAATGACACATTGCTGAAGGCTGAAGGTATGGTCTGCATTAGCACAAGAGCATCAACAAATTTTCAAAAGCAAGGGAACTTCTATAATGATGATTGAAATTGGGAAACCAGATACCTGACTGAAAAACGATAAGGATGGCGATGGCATTCTCAGGCCAGATGGCTTCAACGCTTGATTCTCTGGAGGATGTACACTCCTACCAATAAAACGGGCATTTCTAGGTAAGGGTACAGCAGAAGTAGCCAACTCATGTTGACCTTCAGATTCTTGTGTTGGTTGGACTGGAGTAATCATCTTTGAACCAGAATTATCTGCTGCTAAGTTAACCAGTATTGGACTCATGTTGATGGTTGAATGCCTCCTGTATGATGAGTTGCCCTGTAAATTCTACAATTCATGAAGCAGTACTTATAGAACGGCAGAAATGAAAAAAACCAAAGAAACAACAAAACACTGGAAATAAATTCAGAGATGGACATTGCTGCTGAATAGTCAGAAAGTTGAATTTGATTATCTACCCAAAAACTGCTACCTTCACAGATTTTTAAAGAAAGTTCTACTTCTTACTGTATTTCCATCTGAATAGAGTGTCGGTTGTCGAGATTTTGATCCATTTTGTGCTTTCTTGAGATTTTCACAGGGGCTCTTTAATCCTGCATTTCACGGGATGTCAAAGTATGTAATGGAATTACATAAAAGAAATTCTGCATGCCATATCCAAATAGTAAAATTGTACATAGCATGATGGTACTCAACCCCAGGTTCAAATTTTCAGAAGAGATGGTTATCTCCTCAGGCCATCACATTGAACATAAGCAAAAAGGGTGCAACTAAAAAAATAATGCAGTACATGCATATACCTGGTTGAGTGTCCAGATCGTGCTTCACATGATTCACCTTAGATGAGGTTTTTTTAGTTGTTTCACAAGCAGGACTGAGTCCTGACTTTGAACCAGGAACTTTCAGCATTTTAAATTCCTTCGCTGAAGCTCTGCCAATGATTACATTTGCTGGCCTTTTTAATGTACAGAATATTAAGGATCATTCAATTGAAACTTACAAGAGGAAATGAGTACAGATTAAGAGAACACTAGTGCAGTGATTAAGCTTGCTACAACTGAAGGATATGATGATGAAGATATAGGTCGAGGAATATCACCACAGCTGGACCCTGATTTCTTGTAACCAACTAGTGTTGGAACTTTGTTTGAAGTCTGAGGGATCGTAAACATTCCAAAATTAACCATTCACCCTGCATAGAAATATAGACTAAGGAAAAGGGCCCAGAATTGCTGACCGGACAAGCTGACGCAATATAGTTTGAGGATGATGAATCAAGCCTTAGTGATGATCTTTCCTTCTTTATGCCTTTTGTCAAACCTCCAGTTTGCAGTTCTGTATATATATTGTTTTGGAGTTTCTGCATCTCAATTGGTCCACTTGGAAACCGAGAACCAACAGATTCATGTTCCTTGACATGAGACAATCCTTCTCTACAAGATGCACTACTAATGACAGAGAGTTCATGGGGATCCAAAACACCTAAAAAGTTAGCCAACAAGCCATAGTTATTATCTCTTGACTAAACAACATAGAATGCAGTGTTAACAAATATTATAAATGAACAATTTTAAAGAAATGATAGAAGTGAAAACCTTCTTCAGTGAAAAAGGCTCTATCCCATGCGAGGCTTTTTCGCACATTAAACCCACCCCCCTTTTTCTTCTTTTTCATCTGTAGAGGTTCCATAGCAAGCTTTGGAGTTTCAAATCTGTTTATATTCATATTTTCTTTGAAGCGGCTACCTTCATTTGATGTAAAATGAGGGCTGTTTTTATCTGGAATGTTATCTACGGCCTCTGCAACATAAAATCATGGAGACTAAATTAAACCATTATATTCATCTGCATTAATTTTCCTTCCAACATGATCACGCATGCAATGCTTTTATTATTTGCTAATGTTGTGGCTATGGATCAATTAGTAGCAAAATACACAATGCATATATCTAAACCGCTGTAAAGCAGAATCCTGTTAAAACAGTAAATGGCATTGCCTTCAAAATCATTGGTGGAAAGAGTTCCATCCAGAAGACAATTGCTGGTTCTCAAATTGATTCTTGCTCAGGCAACCGGACAGAACAAAATCAGCTTAGCAGGCTAAAACCATTTCCCGTTTGTAAAGGAAGATCAGAAGACAAGAACTAATCTTCCAAGAGGCTATTTCTAAGTTTAATTGAGAAAATACATTGAGATGACACAAAGAGGCATGCCCAATCAACACCCCTCAACTATGGAAAGTTGGAAAAAAATCCAAGTCGTCCTTTCAAGTTTCGATAATACACTCAAGCAGACCTAAATAATTTTTCCCCTACAAAATCATGGAATCCAACAGATGTTCCATTCAATTCATTACATAAAAATATATTTTTCATTCAAAAAATTTCAAATCCAAAACACTCAAAAATATCTAAAACAACATAAAACACAGACAAACACATTTCCATTCCCATAATTAGCTTTTAAGTAAAATTTATTCTAGTAAAACAATTGCCAATATCTGACTAGTATATTATCATCTCTAGCCCACTGCACATTCATCTACAATAAATCCCTCCAACCACAGCAACACTTCATCATTAATAATGCTCATATATATGTTACTACATTCGCATAGGTCAAAAACATTTGATAGAATTGAGAAGAAAATAAACTAAAATCAACCTATTTACAAATTACAATTTTCTGTCGATGAAAAAACAAAGATAGGAAACTAAATTGAAAAATAAATAATTCTATAATTAAAATAAATAAATTGCAAATGCTCTTGCGCTAGGTTTGCCGCAGGAACAGCGCAGCACTATTTCCCTCCTCTTAGCCACCCTAATTGAAACTCCTTATCACATTATCAAGCTAACAAGCAAGCTTTCAAACCAATGTCCATCGATGCGATTGTAAGACCGTATTAAACACAAAACTCACTATCCAGACGAAACAGAGCACATGAACCTAAATAGTGGTAGAAAACATTGCAGCACTACATTCTGACAAATCCGACAGATTGAAAACTGCAAAGCATTGGAAGAAAACGGAAAATAATGAAAAAAACAGAATTCTCACCGACGGATCCATTTTCAAGAGCGGGGCGCATCTTCTTCCTCTTCTGCTGAATGAAATCGTAAACAGAAATGACCGATTCATAAGATTGATAGTTGAAAACCGAAGTTTACCAAGTTTTCAGATGCTGCGATCTGAGAAGACGACTTCGCGATTAAATTTTGAAAACGAGGCCAAAGCGGGAATGAAAATCCATACCAATAAAATAAATAATACAGTATTTCAGAATAAATAAATAATAGTAATTGGGTGTTTTTGTTTTGGTTTTTTGTTCAAATAAATATATTTTGTTTATGTGATGTACAATAAATTGTATATATAATATTTCAAAAATATATATATTAAATTATTATTTAAAAAAAATATTAAATATTTCAAAACTTGTGCTTTTTATTTTATTTTTAATATCACATAAAAAAATATAAAATAAAACAAAGCTAAATATATTTTCTAAAAATATATTACATATTCTTAAATTAACTTATAAAGAATGCCAACAAAAAAAATTACAAAAATATTTTTTCAAACATAGCTATGAAAGCTTTTGTAATTTTCTCTCTTTCTATACACTACAATTTATACACAAAATACAACTATTATTTGTTGATATTTAAACAGAGAATTGTTTAACAAAAATATAAGTAGTTTAAATTTAGAAGACCTTTTTCAAGGCTAGCTAAGTCTTTTATCATGTGTTTGTTTTGTAAGATAATTTAAATATGTATTTTTAAATTTGAAATATCTAAAATTGTATAATGAATATACGTGGTATATTAATATTATTTTTTAAAAAAAATATATATATTTCTGTTAAAAGAACACACCCTTTAGTTGTTTAGTTTTTGGTAAATACAAAAATTTAACAAAAATTTAGGAGTTTGTTTGTTTAATGAAACACTTTGAAAAGATATATAATACATTATTTTTTTTAAAAAAATATATTTTTGGGAAAATATGTTCTTCACAAAAAGAACACACCCTACCTACGTAAATATATAATTAATAAATAATTAAAAAATATATTTAGGTTGTATTTGTTTGGGGGATTAGATTGGATTTACACTATTCATCCAATTTTTTTTTCCCCTTCAAAACATCAAATCAAACACCAATTTTTTATTTTTTATATTATAATAAAAATCAATTTTACATTCAAATCATCACATCAATATTTATTTATATCACATCATACAACTATTCAAATCCAAAATTTTTACTATTCAAATCCCAACTCAAAATCCAAATCCCCAAACAAACACACCTTAAGTAAAGATATTTATATATAAACATTAAAATAAATAATTAATTTAAATAATATTAAAAAAGTATAAATTATGAAATGTAAAATACGATTACAATATATAATTATTTTTCTAAAAGTAAAGAGACAAATTATGTGTAACAAACATAAAAAATTACATTATCTATGATCACCATCTTCCTAATGATCTGTGATTTAATAATTTCAATATTTACTAATTTATTTATCTTCGATGTCAAATCATATATTAAAGAAAAAAAATTATATTATAAAATTTATCATTAAAAGCCCCAAACAAAACTACAAGCTTCCATTTCTCAAAGTGTGAATTTGTTGTTAATATAAAAAAATATAAAATAGAAAAAATAAAAATAAAACAAAAAAAAAAAGAAAAACAACCTAGAATATAATAAACACAAATAAATTTTACATAAAATATAAATAAATTAATGATACAACTATAAAATTAAAAAAAAAAAAAAAAAAAAAAAACACAGTCCCATTAGAGCATATGAATTCCTTGCTATACATAATATACCACCACAGATAATGCCTAACAAAATTTGTTAGAAGAAGTTCACATTTGTAAAGCCTTCTTCAAGAGTAGCTAATATTACATTCCCTTGGGTCACCCTCCTCAAAATGATCAGAACTTTCTTGGATCCGATTTTGTGCTTCTTATCATAATTTTTTAACTAAATTACCTTGAATGCTGCTCCATTAATGACTTTTTAATGCAAAACTTAAAATAAATTTCTCGAGTTTCAATAGAACAAGTACCTCCCAAATGTAGGGATTCCAAAATGGAGCTTTTGTCATTCCTTCCTATACACAAAATAACAACCACAATTTATTGTTCCTTATCACACACAATGGCTAAGACAAATAAAAGAAGGTTTAAATAGAGAGACCTTTCTTCGAGGCTAGTTCATATCATATTCTCTAAGATCACCCCCGTCAAAATGATCCCCTGTCCTCGCTTCCATCGCCCAAAAGGCCCAAAAGAAAAGCCTCCCCTTCATCGTCGCTGTCACTTTCAACATCTTCCATGTTTAATCTCTCTCCAACGATGCCCAATTGTTCTTGCCTCTCGTAGAGGCGTAGGGCGTTTATGATCGCTTCTGAAGGGACTGCAGCCCGTGAGCGCACCCGGCCTCTTCGATTTACTTCTAGTATCTATTCAACCACATAACAAATTACAAATTACAAATTACAAATTACTAGCCATCCATAAGAAAATTCAAAAAGTATTTACATAAATACTTTTAGAACTTTTGACATTATTCAATAACAATAACTTTTTTTTTTAAAAAAAACATATCAAATACTTTTTTCTCTCAAAAAAATAATACATCAAATACCAAAGTTGCATTCTTCTGTGGGTTTTAACGGATGTTATTACTATTCAGATTCTTCTTTCCTCCAAAAATATCAAATCAAACAATTATTTTTTTTTATATTATACTACAAATTTATTTTACATTCAAAACATCATATCTAACATATATTTATATAACATCAAACAACTATTCAAATTCAACTATTTACTATTAATAAATCCAAACTCAAAACCCCAAGCCCACAAACAAACACACCCCAAACTTTTTACTATTTTAAAAAATTTTCTAAATTACAAAGATTCTATCCAACTGGAACCAATATGCATAGATTCCTACGAAATATGTAGATTCTATGAGTATACATATGTATATAATGATTATACAGTGGTTTGAAGGCTATTACCTTGTCGAGATTGTCAGGGAGAGAGCGGACATACGACGAAGATGGAGACCAAAGCTTTATGCTCTTGCCTAATCCAGATGTAGCAACAACTGGAATAAGAGGATGAGACTCGACTTGGTTCACAATTTCCCGATCACCGCGCATCAAGCGGATGAGCTCCCCACCCTTCTTCTCCCAAATGAAAACATGACCACAGTCTGAGCCGCTTACAACGTATTCACTGTTCGGGCCTAAGAAATTCACTCCCTTGACAGTTTTCACATTCAAGTGCCCCAAATACTCTTGTGGCTCGTCCGGCTTGTGTGAGCCTTCGGACTCAGGAACCATGCCCAATCCCATGTTCTTTTGAAACAAGTAGATTAGTTCGCCACTGTATGAGACGAGTAGCTCACTTGAGCTAGAGAAGCATATTGCTGTGATGGAACCAGTTTTTCGGATAAGATGATGAGGGCAGAAGGTGTCGACGGGGCTTCCCTTTTTAGCCGAGCCATTCAATTGGCATTTTCGAATATCATAAATACGTGCATATACATCACCACCTCCTAAGGCAAAGTAGGTGGGATTTCTTTGATCGATGTCTATGCTGTTCGTGTCAATAGCACTCGAAGAGTTGGTCTTACCTCTGAGTGACGAGCAGTAGAACAGCTTGGTAGCAGAACAACTTCGTAGATCATACTGCAACAATAAATAAATAAATGTGTGTGTATCTACAATAAATGATGTCAATCGCACAAAATTTGCGATCAAACAACTTAAAACCTGTAAGATTAAATTATTAGAAATTGAACTATTACTACGATCAAGTTTCACTTACAGAAATAAAATTAAATTTTACTAAAGAGAAAAAAACTTCTTATGGATTGAAAACTACTTTGCCAAAATTTGTATTGAAGATTAGAGCTCTGAAAAGCTTACATGTTGGACTAGTCCATCCTCTCCACAACTATAAAATATGTGAGGATTGCCCCTCTCCACAGCAAGAGAATGAGATTGGCCTTGGTGCTCCGATAATTTCTTTGTTTCCACCGAACCATTTTCCAATAATTGTCCGAGTCGGACCTGTACAAAAAATCAAGCCCTAAGATTCAAAACATTCGAGTGTCTTGCTTCTTACTATATACCAAAGATGTGAAAGGAAATATCCCAACACAAAACTAGTGGAATGATGCAAGCCTTTAAACTTAATCACAACACAACATTAAAGTTACCCACAATTCGATCAGCTATCCTCATTTGTCCACCTATATTGGATCGACTTTACTTTTATCAATTTCTTCCCAACCTGTCTCCCATTTGTCATGCATAAATAGTAAGAATATGACCCAAAAACTTTATTGGTTCTACATCTATTGCTACTTTTGTTCCAAAATTTTGATTTCATCATGACTCATTTATATATTTTAATGGAAGTCACAATGTTTGTACAAAATTGCCAAAATATGACGTAAAAAGGAGCTAAGCAGCAGGACATGCGGGACATTAAATGTGAATTTTGTAAATCTACAAAACCAAGTTATGTTAGTAAAATTTTCCTGACCAAAATTGCAAGTTCTTCAATGATCTCTCATCAGGTTTACTAAATATTACTGCATACTAATTTCATCTAGGAAATATAGAAACAGATTTCTGGAGTCATATCTATTAAATAAATACCTGTGAATCAGCAGATGCCGTCACTATAATGCGATCATCTGTGTATGGCATGATTTTGGCATGGAATACATTGTCCTGGTGCCCCGACATGTATGACAGTTTCAATTTCTTGGTGGCCCAGTCCCACAGCTTTATGTCCAGGTCATCAGATCCCGAGACAATGGTGTCACCGGTGGAATTGAATTCGATGCTATTTACACATCCTTGATGACCTTTCAATTTCCCGAACAAATCAATGCGCTCAATTAGGCTCTGCATCAAAGTACATATACACATAAATGTGATTCATTCTTTAACAAATAAGAACTGAGATATTGATTTGGATGCTCCATGAAGTAAATTCAAGAGAATATTGACATCACAACTTGCCAGATATCTCGTGATAGCAAATTCAAGCAAGTGTTAGCATCATAAAGGTCGAAATAGATCAAGTGATGCGAGTCGGTGTCACCTTCCAACAAATACACAAAATCTCAAGATTCCAGTCCACCAAGTGTAATATTCACACCACACAATCATTCAATGGAACTTACATTAACCACCAATCTTATTGGGTACTAAAATCAACAAGAACTCTCACTATTCCTTTCATTAAACAAGCACGAATTCAGCATCCAAATGGCTGCAATGAACACATAAGCACAATAAAACAAACACATCATTAAGTGAACCTAACATCAGCCATCAATCTAATCCAATCCTACTATCAACAAATCATTAAACAGAGAACATATTCAGCATCCAAACCATCAGTTAACACTTCAATCGATCCATAAACACGATCATCGAAACGATCATACCTCAAAACCGAAGAAAAGAGGCAATTCCAACACAAACAACAAAATACATCACACATTCACAACCCTAACAGATAAAAACCTTCGAAATTTGTCACAATTTTACACCCGATACAGATTATAAACTACACACCAAACTAAACAGTGAGAACGTGGTGTCACCTGGGAAGCATAAACGCCCCGAGAGAAAGTCCGGGGAGCGCATAAACCCATCTCCCGCCTGAATAACTCAACCAACCAGTTTTCAGCATTGCTGCGCAATTCGTCCATATCGTCCTGTGGAATAAACAAAGATTAATAAATTGAAGGAAGGGGATTCTATAGATGAAGTTCCATAGGTTGCAGAGACGCGCAGTGAACAGACAGTAGAAAGAAAGATAGCATAATATTCGGCGGTGGAGGGGAGTGTTTATGCATATAATTGGAAGCCATTAATGATCTGAGTGTGGTTGATATGATTGAGTGTAGCGACGACGGAGATGACGCGGAAGAGGGTTCCGAGAAAGGGCGTGATTTACGAAACTGTTTCATTTCTATGAATGTTTGGATTCACATCTAGAAATAAAAATAAAAAGCAGGTTTCGTATATAACTATTTTAAAATAAAAAAAAATAAATAAATTGAAAGTATCAGCGTGCTTTTGTCGTTTGAGAGTATTTTTCTTTATCTGTGATTAATGGAAAAAAGAGTGGTTGTTTTGGATTTTGATTTGATGAAATTTTTTTTGACGTAAAGTACATAAAAATATGAGTGTGGTAATATATTATTTTTTCATATAATTTTTTTATTAAGAAACAAATTCTAATACTTTTATTTTATATTTTTTTTAAAAATAAAAAATAAAATATACTTCTTCATTAAAAAAAAAGAAAAGAATATTTTATTAAAAATGTGATATAGATAGTTAGGAATATTTTTAAAAATTTAGTGAAATAGTAAAGTAAATGAAAAAATAAAATGAATAAAATTAATAGTATAGATTGTAAATAATTATTGAATGGACGATAATAATTAAATATTGATTTATTAATTTTGTTAAAATTAGTAATAAAATAAATTTAATAGAATGAATGAGTAGTATTATATACTTTATGTGAATATATAGTTATATACACATATACTTGTGGGTTTTTTACATTATTTTACTATTTTAATTTTTTTTATTTTTAAAAAATATTAAATTAAAACACTTATTATTTATTTATTATATTACGATTAAAATTTTATTTTACGTCGAAATAATCACATCAACACGTATAGATCCGTACATAATTTTGAAAGTAAATAAGCAATTCAAATGGATTGTAATTTGAATAATAAAATTTTTTGAGTTTAAATAATTATATAATATGATCTAAATAGGTATTGATTAAATGTAAAATTATTTTTTTAATATAATATAAAAAATATAAAATAAAAATTTGATTTGATATTTTTTTAAAAAAAAATAAAATTAGTAAATAATAGAAATAATAAAAAAAAAAAATTGATAAGAAAACTCATCCTTAAGAGTCTATCAATAATACTAGAAAATTCAAACTAAAGCTAATATTTGCTCTATTCAAAATCACTTGTTAGCGTTAAGATCCTCGTGACTCTTGTCCTTCCTGAAATATGTAAAAATATATATATATATACTCCCTCCGTCCCATTATTGAAAAGTTATCATTTTCTATTTCAATAATTGTACTACCTACGTAACATAATAAATACCCTTTCAACTTACAATATATTACACAAATGTCATTACTTCGTATTTTTATTTTTTTTTACTACAATCCAATGTAATACTAATATTAAAAAATCTACGTGAAAAAAACAAATGCTACCCTTCTAATTCTAATGGGACTAAGGGAGTATAATTTATGTAAAAATTCTAAAAATAAAATCTAATTAATTATAGACTTTTTTGAAATTTAAATTGACTTCTTTTTACAGCACAATTCTCATAATCCTCTATAAAAATATATTATTAGTATATTATTTTTCACAAAATATAACATTCAAACCATTAAAAGCAAAATACAAATTCAAACCAAGTGAAAAATTCGTACTTAGTGCATGGAGAGCTTTCAACCATCTTCATATTTAGCTTCAAATGCCACTTTTTTGCTCCAACCTCTCTATCAATAGGTGCTTTCAATAACAATTTTTGATCAAATAGACAATTAAAGTGAAGCAGCTCCAAAATTTAGATAAAATAAAACATTAATGGTTGTAGATGCCTAAGTAACCTGTCTCATCAACCTTGAGACAAGTGAGTTGTAAATTGGCACAATAATATTTTGAAATTCTTCAAATCCTAAAAATCGTATAATAAATTAACGATACAACTACATCACGACCGCGAGCAAGCCAAACAACACAAGATCTTCCATTCAGCAATTCAAATACACAAATCAATACTTCCAAATCAATACTTTGTCTTGTAGCTTTTTGTAAGACAAAAAATCAAAATCAACAATAGGAACCAAAGCAAAGGTACACATGAAACTCAACAACCAAGCTGTTATTAGCAAGGAAATATAACATGAAGCCACAAAAAAGAAGCAAGGAAATAACATGAATCCACAAAAAGAATCTTGTGAAATATCGCGGTTAATTGTGCTAAAAGGTATAGATTCTTCTACGTACATATATGTACCTCTTTACAAGCGAATCCTTGTATCCCTATTCGCACAACGAGAAACAGGATATAGGACAAAGCTAGCTACAAGTTGTCCCCTCCCTTTAAATTGCATCTAAAGAATAGGTCTCGACTTACAGTTACATATCTATCAATCTAGTAAGTATTATGTTAAAAGACAAGAAGTGAGAGACACTGTATTTATGGTCCTTCATTGCTGCAAAAAATTTTCTACATTCGGCTATTTCATCTCAAAAGAATTCTTGAAAAAAAAAAATATATATATATATATAGAGAAGTTGAGAAAAGTTACTAGTCATCATCGTCAGTTAATGCAGCAAATGAGAATGGCCTGAACTTGTACCCATCGCCACTGTAGAACTTGTTCTGAAATTCGATCCAATGAAGACGCAATGCATGGAGGAAAGCACTAAGAGACTCCATCATCAGCAATATAAATGCTGTTGCGAAGGCAAAAACTCCCAGTCCCACTAAGCGTATGATGAAACTTTCATACCTACAGAGTCGACATCAGTGTCAAGGATTTATAGAATTACTTGGAAGGATAATAAATAGGTCTTGCAGTAGAACATGTGGAGTAATCAAATTCTCTTTTATGTACTTTTAATTTACCATGCGGCACTAACAGAAATGGATTAAACAGATATCTCTGAAGATCAACAGTAATTCCTATTCTAGTGTCACATCTACTAAGGATTTTCAGTTTAAGGTACAATATTTTGCCGCCAAGTGTCTGTTTTAGAGAGAAACTTTTCCAGACAAGATTTCTTAGCATGAAATACACATACAGCTAAGGAATGTAAGGAAATAATTCTGAAGGAAACAATTTCTCCGTCTCAAAGTAGTTCCTGTGCATTGTGTATTACTTACCCCCAGGAGAGGACCAGAACCTTCTCGAAGAAAACAGTAGATAATTCTGAATGGGCCAAACTGAAATAGAACAAGGCTAACAGTTAATAAACATACAATAAAAAGCATAGAGCAGTAAGAAAATTGTGTAACAGTCGTAAAAAGTCTTCTACCTCAAAGCCCACAGACGAAGATATGATGCAGTATTAGAAACTGCACCCAATACAAACTCAATAGAATGTATAAGCTGATGCACAAAGACCTCAACAAAATTGAATTCATCTATGTCTGGGTGTCTAGCAGAATCAGGCTCTTCATCATTGAACACATCGGAAGTTCCAAGAACTCCATAAGTGCGGCCTTGGAATCTCTTACAAATGCATAACAATAGTACAGTTAGTAAAAGGTTGCTTGAGAGTTGAGACTCTGGAAACTATATTATAAGGTGGGAAAAGTTGTGCTTAAAATTGTAGAAACCGGAGCAAACAAGCAGCAAATAAATAAATAAAGAGAGCCCATTTGGGAAAGGCTATTTAACCTGTAATGTCTTGTTTTTAAAAAAGCCCTTTGAGTGTTTTATAAAATAAGATTAGAAAACATATAAGGTGTCTGCTACTGACTAAGGTTAAAAATATGTAAACTCATGGCATAATGGCCAGGATAGTATCACATTAAAATGACCTAAATAATCATTCCGTATTTATTTAAATAAAGACTATCGATTATTTCAAAACTTCTACAAATATTAATAAAAACAGAGCATTTTTCTGTAAAGTTGAGAGAATTAGAATTATATTCTTCTTAAATATCATCTGTTAATGCTTATGTTAAAAAAATAGATTGAACTAATAGTGTTTTTTGACAATGTACATATAATGACTAATAAATTTGAATACTTATTCAGATGTTTCTATTTGTAGGCAGATAGGATTTCTGAAAATATGGTTACACTAAAAATATATATAATATTAAGGGATATTATCTTTTGGAAAAGAGTTTATAAGCTCCAGAAAAAACAGTTGAAAGGTACTATATTTTAGCTTACAGAAGAGGGTTTTCTTTTGCTATTTTATTGTTCCAAAACCAATACAGTAATAAACTCTTCTAAACACCATACCCCAGGGGTAAAAATTCAAGAGAATTTTTTTTGACACTTCTCCAGAACCGGTGGAATGAAAGAAGACACAAGAAGCAGTGGAAAAAGAACAAATATGATGAGTGCAGGCAATACCTCAGTATGACGTCTCTTTAGAATAAAAGGTTTAGGAAAGAGCATCCATGGGACAGCAATCATAGCTAAAAGCAACAATATAACCTGTCAATTTTATTTTATTTTACTAATATCAGCAATTGTTTAAAGTAAACTTTATTTACTGTATACATTACTGTAATAGCAGAGCCAATAAGTCAAAATGCAGAATCATAAGAAGGTTGCAAAAGAGCATGCCTGAAGTACACTCTGACCCCAGAACAGCTTATTTTCACCCAAGTTCTCAAAAGGACTTAAGAACATATAGATCATCACATGATAGAGGTCTGCTTGAGAACCAGTACACCATTTAATAATAATGAGCAGAGATAGATAACCAAAAAGGCAGTTGAGGAATATCATCTGTGGTATAAACTGGTACCTGATAAGGAAGCAAAATGGATTAGTCTACACTGAAATTGGGAAAATGTGAGGAGTGTTGGGGCGGGGGTGTTCAGAGAGAGAGAGAGAGAGAGAGAGAGAGAGTACTTAATATCAAGTGGGTTGTTAAAATAGCGTGCATTGAAATAACTTAATATAATTCCTAAGTTCATCTGTGCCACACCAAACAGAATAGACATTTTCATCTTGAGGGAATTCAAGAAAGGCAGCTCAGAACGGCTTCCTCGCCAACTTGGATCCACACCAAATGGATATGTAGCTCTATATTTGATTAAACCAACTGAACGGGCATCACTGTTATAGCACAGACAAAGAGTGACAAAATGAGATCCTTTTTTCCATGCAACGGAAGGAAAATAAATAAATAAACTAAAAAGTAGAGTACATTCTTATAGGTTGACAGTGAGAAACATAATTCAGTGTGTTTGCTTGTGTTTTGGGGTTTTGGATTTTGATGTTTTTTAGGTGAAAATAGTTGTTCGAATATGATTTTTGAATGAAAAGTGTGCTGAATTTGATGTTTTTGGAATGAGATTGGTAAAATTAATAGTGCAATAATGGATTTGATAACACAAAAGGGATGGGTTCCTCCAGAGAAGGAGAGACTATCATTTACCCAATGGAGAATGACCTTATTTACATAATAAATAATAATACACACACATACAAGAAAAGGGTAAACAAGCAAAGATAGATCATGCATCAAAATAGGAAATAATTCAAAGTTAACATGAATGTTCAAATCCCAATAATTCTAATAGTATGGAAAAGGAACACAAATCACCTCAATAACCAAGAGAACAGTACTGATAATACCTGCATGTAGCATCCCGGCATCTGTATGCCGAGGGACCAAATATGTGGAAAGGAACTGAAAAAAATTCATTGTATATGAAGCCGCAGTAAACTGAAAACAGAGACATCAAAAGAAGTACATAGCGACCACCAAATAGCATCTCCATGAAGCTGCCAAGTTTCTGAAGCAATGAACATTCGAATTACAAGAGAATAATGATGAAAATAACAGGAATTAATAAGTAACATATACAATCAGTACATATACATAAAGCGCTTGCTTACTTTGATTGATGAATTAAGTATGCAAAAAAGTAATGTAAAAAGAAAATTAATTAGACTTGAGATTGCCATCCTGAGGTTCCCTAGTAAAGCATATGATGGGATTTTACTAAAAATTCTAATTTATCTTTCTATTCTGGAAAAGTAATTGTGCACTTCCAATTTCATCTATTTGGATTGAGGTATCTAAATCCATTCTTAGTTAACATAAACAATGTCCTTAGAAATGCTACAATGAACCAATTACTTATTTCATGGCTAGACCTTGATTAATTGGACACTTTCTTCAATATATTGGGAGGCAATTAAGCATCATTGATTACATTCAAATGAGCTTGAAAATTTTACGTTTCTATAATGGAGTTGCATAATTGCCTGAAGATAACAATAAGAACTTTGGTTATGAAAAGCAACAGCTTTTATGTTTATTATTTGATCAATCAAGATCAAACAACATGGGTGTTTTTTTTGTTTTCTTTTTAAAGAGACAACTTTATTACGTCATAAATTTATAAAACATGCGACAGAAAACAAAGAAGAGGAAAAAAAACTTGAGACCTCCAAATTCAAAATACGCTCAATATATGCATCGACCACTAGTTGTCTTGGCAGAGCCATTGTTAAAAGAAAACCACTACAAATAAATTCAAAATTCCAAAACATACCTGTGAACTAAACCTTTTCTCACGGGCTATAAGGTATAAAGCTCCTAATAGTAAGCATATACCATGACCCCAATCCCCAAACATCACAGCAAAAAGAAAGGGAAATGTAACAATCGCATAAACTGCAGGATTTGCCTCCTGATATTTAGCAACACTGCCAAAATAAAATTTTCTTGATCAGTACCTAATTGTTTCACAATTTAAGCACTTGCTAGTACATGTAGATATGCAAAGATCACAACATTACTTGAAAAACTCATTTCTTTTGAAACATAGCTAAAATAATTAATTGCTCCAACCAAAAAGCAATAGATCATACATATTAGATGCTGACAGCATTTCTATGGCAGTTATTAAAGGCATAACCATAAATCTCTAAACTACTCCCCACCCTCACCCAACCCCGAACAACACTATAATCTCATTTTCAGGTCAGAATATCACATGGAGAAGCAAGTTCAAAAGGCCATGTTTTGGTTGCAGTAAGAATTTAAGAAATGCCTTCATCTCAGGTAAGAGACCATCTGGATGAGAAGATAGATGATCTAATTAACAGACTATATATATATATATATATATATATTATTCTTCACCAATCAGCATAGCTAAAAACAGGAACATTCAAGCATCAACTTGAAAGTAACACACATTTGACTGTTATTCTACCCATTCAAAAGTCTCGTGTATAATAGTTGAAAGCGAAGGTTCAAAAAGGATTACCGTAAAGTTTGGAAAATCATATGAATTTCTTTCCCAGAAAGCCAAAATGGGCATAAAGAGGAAATTGGTTACACACTGACATACCCATATGCATCAACGATTTCTTGACATGGATTAGTAAAATCATTTGTTCTGAAGTACGTTGGGGGCAACTCTGTTGAATCCATCACATGAAATATTATACCCACTTGTGAATTACTATCAAAAGTTGCACGTTGCAGAGCTTCTTGAATCTGCAATAGCATCAAATCTATGCTTTACAGTTACTTGGATAACATGCAATTACTATAGTTTATCCAAATTTAGAACATAAAACAGCAGAAATGATACCTTATCTTTTGCGAATACTGGACACCAACCTTCACCAACCAGACACTTCTTTGTGACATCAAAATTTAGCATGTTTAATGTATCATAAATAGCCTTTTCTCTTTTCACCTAAAAGGAAAGTTGCAGGCATTGAGTTGAATTTATTTGAATGAAAGCAGTGATTTCAAATCAAACATGGAAAGAAGAAAATCTAGCAGTACCCTACCATTATAATCCACTTAGTGAGATGAAAACCAATAGAGTTCAGAGCGGCATCCCGATGGCGTAGACCAGCCTCTAAGGTTGTTTCCAACTCAGACAAGCGTGATAAAACCTGTAAATTGGAAACTATGAGAATATCCTGCCTTGAAATCACCAAAAAAAGTTTAGGGCATGCACAGCTATGTGATAATTCAATCTAGTGCATTGAGTTTGCCTTTAATACATATTGGAAATCTAGAGCATTGAATAGCAAACCCACGGATATCAAGTTCTAATTACAGTAACGGTTACATGCAGAGCATTCAATCTTGGGGATATGTTGATTCAAAATATGCTGCATCAAACATATTGTGATGTAAACAAGAACTTTACTTATTCCCTGTGGCATTGATAGGAAATGCATATAAGCACGAATCTCTTCCAACTGGAAAAAGTTTTTGGATAATTTTTTCAGTACCTCTCCTGTTATTTGTCTCCTCTTGGTTAAATCTTCTGGGATTGGATAGCAGTTTGCACCAAAAGCTTCACAAATTTTAAGGATCTTTTTTCTTGACTGTTCACCGGAGAAGAATACCACAAAAACTGTTTTCTCAACCTGCAGGTTCAAGTACACAAAACGCACTTAAATCATATTGTAATTGACAGTTACTAAAAGGCATAATGAAATGGAACATAATTGTAATTTATTAGTAATGGGTTGTTACAAAAATATGTGAAACTGGATCAATGTAAAGGGTTTTTTAAATATGTAAAATTCATTAAATCTTCAATCATCTTTAAAGTGGTGTCATGGCATCTTTTGAATTATTGATACAATAAAACAAAAAAGTATATAGTCAACAACTACCATTTCATTTGTAGCAGGATCCACAATATGATCATCAGTCCTTGCCTGATTGAAAAACATATTGCCTCTAGTTGTGCGAAATAACATCCTCTCAAATCTCATAATGTTAGATTTGCAGATGATGCCACTTATAAATTTTACTCCAGATTGGTGTGATGTTCCATGTTGCATCTCCTGCAATTAGAAAGTCTATATAAACACAATACCCAAAATTATTCACAAAATAAAAAAGTAATCCCACTACAAAATATTATATTGCCCATTACCTGTTCAAGCAATGATCCTGCGTCTGCATAATCACTGTTTATGAAGACATTTTCTTCTAACTCAGTCTCCTGGGTTGCAGAGCTTCCCCCAGAGATAAGAAAATCACCTGCCTGAAATCAACAACTACAAAAATAAATAAATAAATAGAAATGCTATTTGATACTATTTATAGTGGCAAAGTATATGGGCTTCTTTCCCACTTCGTCACTCCATTTTTTGCTGAGTTCAAGGTTTTCTTTCTTTTATCCAATTCACTGAACAATTTTAATGCATTCACCTCTTTTTTATGTTTCTGAAAAGAATACTGGCAAATAGTTCACCTTAAAATAGTTATGAAAATGCTATTTCAAAACCCTTATTCTCCAATGTACAGTTGACAAAGGTAAAAGATTGAACCATAGATTTGTGCTCAATTTGTATCTTTGTTGCTTGACAGAATGACAATCTTTATGTTCAATTAGATGAAGAGATGTAACGATGAGAATCATTATTTTTACTTTGTTGACTTTGCAATTCAAGGGAAGAAGCCCATTATCTAATTGTTGCTTGTTACATGGTTGCTTGTTTGTATACACTATAGCACGGTCTGTCTTTCTAAGCTGTCAATCATAACCACTAAAATCTGAAATCTTTATCAACACCTTCAACAACACTTCTTCTTTAAAGGTCATTCATAATCATAGGAAAATTTTTATAAAGTTAAAAAGATGCAGTATTTTATGATTTTATCTTGAAATTCTATATTTAGTGGGCATAAAGAACATAAGACAATAACACATTCCCAGTACCTTCTGCAAAACCATTTTAAATTCAAGCAGCTCGTTGTATGTTTGCTGCAGTTTCTCACTGTTGGCATTCATTTCTATTAACTCATGCTCGTGGTCTGAAAGTCGGGTCTAAATTTCAAAAGATTGGAAAAAAAATTAGGTTTACATAATCAAGATACGAATAATATTGACGACCTAGTAAGAATAATAGTAGTAGTAGCATCACTACTATACAAGAAAACTGACCTCCAATTCTTCTAATTCAAAATCAGGTTGTGAGGATGGAAGTGAAGATGGAAGTAGACCAGCTTTTTGTATCTGGTCTTTAAAAAAGCGCAATTTTCTGGACATCTCAGCACATCTTTTAACCTATGAACAATTAAAAGGAAACAAAACTTCAACTAGTAGTAGGGCAGCAGGAGCCAATCAATTTCTCCAGGCCAATCTTTTAACATCTTTAAATTGTATTTTTGGAGAATAATCAGCATGTTTAGAATGTAGTTAATAGCCTTTCCTCTTTTCATCTAAAAGGTAAGATGCAGGCATGGCATTGAATTTCTACAACTCCAAGCAGTGATTTCCAACTTGAAAGAATAAACAATTCAAATTATAACCTACCATATAAATTATAATACACTTAGATGAAAACTAAAAGAGTTTGGAGACATTTCTTGATGGTGTGGGCCAGCCCCCAAGGTTGTTACAACTCATAAGAATTAATCTAAAGCTGTCTTAAGATAATGTATACATGCATCTTAAGAAGATCAAAATCACTTGCAAAATGAATTACATAGAAACCTTTGACATTAATAAAAAATACAAATTTAATAGCTCTATACATAATTTTATTTAAGTGCATCAATTTAGCATTTCCAAACCCATTATATCATGGTTAGAAACAGCATCAGTCCTAATCATGCAGTTGGAAACATAAATTATTTTATTCCATCACACTGAAAATGGTCACTATAGTTTGAGTTTGATAGAAACGAAATAACCGTTGTCAATACACAAGCATCGGTCGAACTCCACTTTCTTTTTAATCTTAACTTCAGACACTTTTCGAATTTGCTTTCTATCAGAGTTGGGCTAAACAGTAAACTTAACATTAAACCAACCTCTAGTGTGATTAAACTAGAATGGCAACACCACCAAACTAACTAAAGTTTACTGAATATAAATTTCAAGTACTCATGGCAAATTTTGTTGCCTAACATCAATATGAAATATCAATTTAGAGTAACATGTCCAGGGCATCTTAATATTCCATGAGAAGTATAATTTACAAAAATATCACTAGATACACGCCATTCCAAGCTAAAGATGCACCAGCATGCCGGACCTTTTTTCCTCAATATAATCTATAGAAAGATCTATGCGTTCAAACACACCGTCCTCAATACACATAAAATGAAAAACAGAAGAACACAATAATACCTGATTTACAAATGTTCTCTGGAAAGGGCTTTTGTCATCGTTTAACTGACAGTAAATATAACAAAGTTCAGTGCATCAGTGTGTACCAGAAGAATATTAAATAAATACATTTGCATAAACTAGAGGAGATTTTACTTAATGATTCTCAAATTAAACATCCAACGGATTGAAGAATATGATATTAAACCACAAGAAAGTGCTCTTTAATTGCAGTGAAGAACAAATCATCATATACAGTCCTGGTTCCTTCCATATCAGTTCTTTTTATCTATAACACATCTCAGAAACTGAATTGACTGCCTGCTAAGGAACTATCATAGCACATCTTTCAATAACCTATAGCCACACTCTTCCATTAAAAAAAGAAAAAGAAAATAAAAAAGAAGAAGATAGAATGGTACTTTTCAGACAACTGAAGCAAGGATCAATCATCCCTTTGTGAATTATTTACATTTCTAGCACCTTACTGATTGATAAAACACTAAATTCGGAACAAATAGGTCAACCCGAACTCAATAATTAGTGGGGTAACATAGGTGGGGCAAAATAAGTATCACTATCCACACGCTCCATCGCAGTACTATCATAAAATGTTCCCCAATAACGAACACTCCCGCCGTCTTTCTCAAATCAACGATTCAGGTACTAAAATCCGGCCAATAAGGAACACATATCACAACCATATAGACAATGCAACTGAAAATAAACAGTTAGAAACAAAATTCGAGATCTGAAAGTACGTACGTCGCGGAATTGAAGAAGACCAAGCTGTCCGAGATAGGAGACGGCGCGATGCGCGGACTCGACGGGGATAATGAGCTGCGCGAACATCATCTTCTCCGAGCGCATCAGATCCATGGCTGGCAAATTGTTCACGTAGTCCATCATCCATCCACCTCAAATCAACGCGACGTTGGTTGATCGATGCGATTCCGACCGTAGCAACGAAGGTGGAGAGAGGAATTGTACAGATTTTCAGGCAGGCAATTCGATTCGACGGCAGCGGTGGTGGCGAAGGTCACTGTGCCATAAAAAGCTGACTTGGGAAGGGAAGGGAATTTTGGGTGTCGTTTGCGGTGGTTATAATCGGCTACGGTCGGGTGCAGGATTATTAAATGTTCCCGCAGTTAAGTGGCTTTCTTGATTGCGCCTTTATTAATGCATTCGGAAATAAGAAAACGCGACTTGTTATGGGCATGTATTATGATGTCTTTAGGTTTCTTTTTTTTTACATACATTTGTAATTTTTCAATAAAAACAAAATAAATATTATAAAAATCTTTATTTATAAATTGAATAATATATATTTATATAAAACATATGCTCCTTTAAAGTATAATTAAGTAATTTAAAAGTATATTATTAAAAATAATTATTGTATAATAAAATTAATTATATTAAATTAATACTTCCTTCGTATCAAATGGGTGACATTTATCTTTTGCATAATTAAAAATATTTTTTTACAAATATTTTTCTATTAATATTATAAGACACTGATGATGAAAATAATTTTTAATTTTTTCTTAATTTGTATTTAAAAATTAACACACTAAATAAGATCCTTTAGAGTGGAGTTAATATTAAAATAATTCAATAGTATATTAATATTAAAGATTTATAAATTATAACATTAAAAGTATAATTAAAATATATATATAATTATATTTAAACAAATAAGATAGAATAAAAAAATTTATGGTTCTGTATATACAACACACTTTCTAACTCATTCGACACTATTTATTTTTCAAAAAATATTACAATCAAATACATTTTTTCTCTCATACTCATTCGACACTATTTATTTTTTAAAAAATATCACATTCAAATATATTTTTTCTCTCATGAAAAATAAAACGAAATAAATAACATAAAAAATGCACCCTTATCACTTTGTGTCATTGTTTTTGTACTCTTTTCTTTCTTTCCTTTTTTTTTTCTTTTTTTTTTTTTTAATCTGCCATAACAAGATACATTTCATGGTTTATAAAAAAGTGCAATACAATTGTTTCCTTTAATACGTGTGTATTTGGTTCGAAATAAAACTTAAATTACTATAATAAAATATAAGAGTATGTTATTTTTTTAATAAAATAATATATTAAAAATACCTTTTGAAATTAAAATTCAAATCAATGTCAAACAAACCGTTGAAAATTAAAATCACTTTTCTAAATGCATTTATACAAAACCGATTTTCAATTTTGTATCATAAATATACTTTAATGAGCGGACAATGTTGTTTTGATATTTATGTTGTTTGGATAGAAGTTACAATGCTGTTATTACTTCTAGTACTTATAAAATGCAGTAAGATTGTCGTTAGTCTCAACTGTCAACATTCAACGCTATGTTAATTTAATATATTAATTATTTGATCATTAGTTTAGATTTCATAAAACAATCATAATAATAATTTAATATTTATGTGCATCTTTTTATTTTTTATTTGAAAGTATTGAACGAGTAAATTATAGTTTATATCTAATTTTTATTGTGCTTAATGAATACTTCCTCCGTTCTTTTTTGCTTTTTGCCCGTAGTTTTAAAAATATAGTATTATATTATGATATAGTTGGCATTTGTGTAATATATTATAACTTGTAAGAGTATTTGTAACGTTAGATAGACAATACATACAGTACAGTTACTAAAAAATGAAATAGACACTTTATTATGGGACGGACTAAAATGAAAAAAATAGATACTTTGTTATATAGGACGAATTAAAATGAAAAAATAAATACTTTGTAGGACAGAAGGAGTATTAGTTATATGTTGTCTCTTGCTATAAATATTTGCAAACTAAACGTTCAACGTGCTGCGTTTCTATTTGTATACTATTGCCTAAATATTTAAAGCTATTTATAACAAATAATATTAAATTAATAATACTATTGCCTAGAAATAAATCCAAGATGTTTACTGTCTGTCAATTGACATGACAAAATACAACAACAACACACTTAACAGTAATTTATCAATAAGATGGCTAAATATTCTTAAAATTACAATGAAGACATGAATGAAATAGTTCATGATCAAGAAGACATCATTTGAATTCTGCATCATCATAGAATCATATCAAAGTCCCTACCAAAGCTTGAAAAATCTCAGGGTATGTTTCTTTACCCAAAAAATATACATTTTTTTCTCTAACAAAACATCCCATCAATCATGATTGGCCTAAAAAAGAAATTCGTATCATTTTTTTGTTCCACAGAATTTGATGCTTCAACAATTTAATAAAAGAATTGCAACAACGCAGAATGATATTAAGCCGCATCCCTCCAAATGGCGAAGTCATTTTGCTAAAAACCTTGCTCTCTTAAAGTTTAAAATCGAACAGCATATAGAGCGATGCATCGTACTAGTAAAAGTAAACTTGGAGATATCATATACAACATTAAATACAAAAAGGCTTACTTCTAGCACTAAGATTAAATTATACTGTTCCTCAGGCATTTGCCAAGAGGATAAAGAAACTTACGATCAGCAACTAGAAATAGTTCTCATATCATCTAATTCGTCTTTGTCTGTCACCGTGCAAGCCTGGCCTAGCTTCTGCATCACAAGTCAGCAGAAATACAAGTTCCAGCATTAACTAAAATGTACCACTTTTCAGATATATAATGTGTACAAGGGATGGGAACGGCGTTTCTTGTTATGTTTGTGATGTGCTAAATTCCTTTTAAAATATGACAAAGGGATAGAAACTGGGAACAATATTCGAAAATACAAATAATAATGGATGGGGATTGCCAGATAAATGACTTTACAGTTGACGCATAAGGTTGATATTTATTTTTGTTTTACCTTGTTCAATGAAGAATCATTTTGCTTCTCTAGCTCACGCATCATATCCATAGTCATCCCAAACCATTCATCGATCCAACCAAAACAATTCCGATGACTTTCAAGGAAAAGTGCTCTTTCAGCCTGCATGAATACATGCGATATATTTGATATAGAAGCAAGTTCAATCAAAGAGGATAATCAAGATAAGTAGCAATCCTCAGATAATACCCTTTTACACGGTTGATCGAATGTGTATGAAGAAAATACAGACACTCATAACTTTTGAATTTCATATAGTCAGATAATTTCATTGTCATTTAAAGCGTATTGTTACCGCAAGAAGAGCTTGTTCAAGTCTACTACCAAATCCCCAATATGGAGCATCTATGGTCACCAATTTGTACGCCGTCGAAACTGGAGAACAATTGGCCTGCACTAAGCGAATTACATGTCAACAAACCTCTATGACTTGTTACATGGTGCTACTCAATTAACAATACAGTGTAAATTCATATCCAAGCACACTACGATGGCAAAAATAAGTATTTTCTTTGCTACACAAAACTAATTTCAAATCCATAGCTGGGTTGACAGAACGGGTATTCTTTGAAACATGTTTCTTGATAAGGATTGTGCCACTGTCTAACCGGGCCCCAAAAAGCAAATTATTAATAGTCATGAAGGAAAATTGTGATCACACTTGAGATGAATTAGACATAGCTTCTGAAGTTCTGATATTTGTAGTCGTAGTTATTCACTGTCTAGTACGCACAGGCACAGCAAGAGAAAGTCCTTTTATGCATTTCAGAGATCTATAAGATTCATATTACTAGTCTTCTTTGCCCAATAATGAATAGAATCAGTCACGGATTTATCAATTCTCAAAAATTCTAATCATGTGCTCAAAAGGACATGTAGAAGTGTAAGAATTAAATATCACAAGAACAGGCCTTGCATATAAAACCTCATTGGGTAGACGCCTCCTTTAAGTGTTAATTCATAACCAGACCTACTTATCATCCAATGGAAAACCACTATACATATAGATGAGATTTTAACCTGCCATCCATCCAATAACGGACCACGATTAGTTCGAGCTGACTGGAACTGAGAAAGATCAATATTGCTACTGCCAATGACATAACTCCAATAATCATTTGCATTCGATGCTATATCAAGCATTTCCACCTGCCTAAGAGATAACTGCTCTTCAGTAAGGCCATGTACCTGATTGTCATTGTTCCATGAAAGAAGTAAATGAGAACCTGTTAGATATAGCCTTTTTCTACATGGACTGAACCTCCATAAAATAAAAAGGTCATTCATCAAACTTCCTCTAAAACTAGTTTGAGTAATGCATGAACTTACATTTTCAGATTCACCGCAGTCAGCTTTGTGAATGGTTTCGATGGTAAGAATAAATCTTGTGAAATAAGGGCACTGAAAATAAGAATCATCATTATCAAATCTTCCGAAATTCAAGATCAGAAGAATGTTGTAAAACTATAGTTCATTTACCTTGATAACTGTTTGAGGGAGCAAAATCCAAACCAGTGAACAACGAAAGAACAAATGATAAGAGAGAGAGAGAGAGAGAATGATCAAAAGACAATATAGCTTGTCAGCATTATCTTGAAATTGTAAATGTGTGGTGACAGACTAGACCTGTTTTACACCTTGGGAATGCATTCCAAGCTTCTTCTTGCATCACAAGTGAGTCAGTTGGAGCAAACCTAGTCAGCCATGTAGGGGCTTTGCTGAAAAGACCAAAATCTTAAATAAAAAACTAGTAAAAAACAACAGGGAACAACACCTTGCAACAAAAGACCATAATTAATGGTAAATAGCAGGAATGCATGGTGCAGAATACAGATTCAATAAAGTTCTACTATCAACATACATCATCACTGAAAAAAAAAAATCACCAGAAGAAAATCAAGCACACCAAATTAACCAGAGTGCCCTAGTGCTCATTCGCTAGAAGATGAAATAGAGCAATTTAAAACATGTTCAAACCATCATGTTTCCTCAAACCTACCTTTGAAACCTATAAATCTTCGATGTGTATTGACCTTTCCCAAAATCTTCATCTTCGAAAGGTCTGTTCTCCAAAACCTCCACCCCTTCTGTCCCTGTGGTATTCTCTTGCTGCATTTTCATTACCATATATGTTTGAGCTATTTGAAACTGCAAGTGAAACAAGAATCCTTCATTTCTTGACTACATACTGAATGACTCCTCACAGGGAAGTCTAACATATTAAAATGCCAAACCAATGGCATTAACGGCCTACCTCTTCTAAAGATAGTGGCATAACAACCCGACTTTATAACAAGCCCATTCCAGGAGGATCAAGAGTCAAGGAAAACAATTTACAAGAATGAAATCCCAGGCATATGGACGTAATACAATTTACTTCACAGAAACCATAACTTGGTTGGTTAACAAAGGAATATCATCAATCCTATTTAATCTCAAAAATAGAATGCATCAAACCAAATAAACATACATGCACTTTTACTTCCCTTTCCCGGCATGATTTAATCTAATCAATAAACAATATATACATTCTTTATACTACACTAAATTCGTATGAGCTGCAGAGAGTTTAAAATTTTCGTATTTCTGGATGTCATGTGATGATGTTAAGACAAGTTCCAGCAGGTATATGATATGATCAAACAATTTAGTAACAAGAACCAAATAATAAAAAAAAAAATATAGAAATAACATATATAGCTACAAAGATTGGAAGAATCCAGGAAATAAACACAATCCACGATCCAGAGCAATCAGTGCATCAACGAACCATAACTATCAGAAGCAAAATCAATTCACCCGGTGCCGAAATACAAATTCCAATAATGTGACGTAAGAAACTGTCCACAATTCAATGGAAACAATCTCATTCCATGCAAAAATGCCAAATGCATAAACGTGACGCAGAGAATACACAATCGAGACAAACGTAACCGCAATACAACAACCAAAACGAGCATTAAAGGATACAACTCCCTCATCTGAACCATTTTGTATAACGGTAATCCGGGTCTGGGTTCAAAATCGAAGGATAGTAACGAAAGTGCAGGCAGGCACCGCAAGGGCAGAAAAACAATGGAAAGGGGTGGAATTTGGGGAAGAATTGGAGGAGACGATAGATGAAAAAACAAACCCAAAACGAAGAGAGAGAGAGAGAGAAGGAACAATTTTGTTCAGACATATTATTAGGCGGCGAAGTGGAAAGACGCGTGCCGCTGCTTGGAAGATCTGACGATTCTTTTCTTGGTAAATAAAATTTTAATTCAATTGTAAGGCGGTTTCAACGTTAGACTAGACGAGGAGCATGCCATGCCACACGGCCAATGGTGGACTGATGTAAATGACAAATCTACCCTCGTGGAAGCTTCTTTCGTCGAAACCCTGATTTACGCCGTCAGATCAGATCCTTCTTCCTTCCTTCCTTCGGCGCACCGACGGAATCGAACACCGGCAGGCGGCAGGGTGGCGGAGGGGAGAAATGGTGAGCAAGACAGAGGAGGAGCAACTGAATAGTTTGGAGAACCAAGTGGAAAACGGCGGAGGCGATTCGTGGGAGTATCTCAGCCTCGTTAGAAAGCTCAAGCTCCGCCGCTCGGATAAGGTCCTGAAGCACGGCGTGAGGATTCTGAACGACGCTAAAAAGCGATCTGCTCTTGGCCCGGAGGGTATGTGGTAGATTCCTGCGTTTAAGTTTTGAATCTGGACGTGATTTTTGAGGGGATACGGTAAATCTTTTGTGTAGATTTAGGTTGTTCGTGGCCTATAGGATTGAGTTCTGAGATTTTTGCTCTTGCAATTACTTGCAGTGGAGTGGGAGTAGAGTAGGTGATCCGACTTTAATGTAATGTTGTCTCGTTGGAGATATCTAGGAAGGATATGGCGAGTGATTGAATGTGTCACTGAACTAAGATCGTGCCTCGAAATTTGGAGCATGCCATTGTCCTTCGAGTTAGTGGTTGATGAAGCTCTTGGGGACGAAAGTTTTTATAATGTTCTAAATGTACATTGCGCAAACAGATCTTATCCTCTGAACTTGATTATTGGATTGCTATTTTTCCCTCTTTTCTATTTGCTTTAACAGAAAAGGTTTAAAGATTTCAATCTTAATGTATACCTCGAAACTTCTATCTGTTGTAAGATAAACTTCTAATTTGTATAGGTACTGAAATTTCTAATCTAACTGGGTGATTCTTTTTGGTGGATGATTTCCATATTCTTTATTCTATGTTCATTTTTATATGCAGAATGGTGTGGGCAAATTGAAATGATTATAAGTTTGAATATAATTTGTTTGTATGATGCCTCTAATATTTGTTATTTTTCTGAGCCCTTCAAAATTACAGTTGAAAAGTTGTTTTTGGGTGGCTCAAATGGCCTGTCTCCTAATGTTGTTTTTCGCTACGCAAGTGGATTATCATGTGGTGTTTCCTGTTATAGTTATTATTGATTTTGTGATGCTCCTTGACCAAGAGAAATGGTTAAGCAATTTCATAGGACTTTGTAGTTTTTTCATTGATTGATGCATCTAGTTAATTAACTGAAGCATGTTGCTTGTCTGTTTTAGTAATTTGGTAACAACCCTTGTGTATTTTTCTGAAATCATGAGCTCAGAATAAATTTCTTCTTGTGAAGGATAGCATCGAATCTCCGTACACTTTTTATCATGGTATAGAATAATGAAATATCATATTGACATATTTCCTTATTTAATTCCATGGATCATGCAGAATGGACTCTATATGAGCAAGTGGCCATTGCAGCTATGGACTGTCAGCAACTTGAAGTGGCAAAGGTAAATTCTGTTTTCCTTTTAATGTTCGTTACAATGAGTGAAATTGAGGAACCATATCCTCTCTGTTTCTAATTTTTCTCATAGCATTGAAGTTATTTTAAATATTTAATTGAAACTTAATCTTCATTCTAGTTTTCAAGGAGGTGAAGATACCTTACTAATTAAATTACTTGTTGCCACTAGAGGAGATTTGATGGTACCTATTCTACAGGAACTCCAATAAAGTCTAGCTTTTGGTTCCTACTGATGTGATTCTGTGTTTGTTGGATTCCATACATTGTTTTTCAATCATAATGATCAAAGGTTTTGTAACTGTTTTTATCTGTTCTCTTTCAGTTTCTGGCAATACGACTAGTTTCATATTTTACAATTATCTCATTTTTGTTTGTTTGTGCATTTTTTTTATGTATGCCTATGCAAGCTAGCAGGACCTCCAAGTATCGGCATTGCTCAGTTAATTTAGGTTTCCCTTTATATTGTCCGTGTACATATGTAATCATTTATAGTATTCTTGCATTCTTCTACTTTCGGGTAATAGAGAAGAGATGTATTTAAACCAAATATTCTATGTAATTAGGTAGTGGCAATTAGGTAGTTCCTCCCTGTTATTTGTGTAAATCTCAACATTCTTGAATGGGGCTGATCTTGATGTTTTCTGTTACTCTCTTTTCAGGAATGCATCAAGTCCTTACAGAGAAAGTTTCCAGAGAGTAAACGTGTTGGTAAGTTAAACAATGAAAACTATACATATACACACATCCTTAATGCTTGTTTGTAGCATGCTGCAGTAATTGTGCGTACAGATTATTTCGGTTTCCCAAGTCTGAGCCTGTTGCAATGCTTAAAGTATAAGATTGCATGATCAGTGTGATTGGGTAGGGAGAGGCCATGTCTGAAATAGTCTGTAATAGTCTTGTAGATTATCTATTTGCCAACAATGTCACATAACAACACAAATCTTGAAATGGAATTGGGGTTATTATATCAGCCAGTTTTGAAATAGGTCAGCCAATATCTGAAAACATAGAGCCAATGTTGCTTATATCCTCTTTGCTTTTAGGTTTCCGTTTTGGAATTACAAAGAACTTTCTTTTTCAGAAAATTAGCTGTGGTACAATGTGTTTATATATATATATATACACACACATATGGGATTGGTTTGAGATCTCCCAATTATTATAGTTACAATTTTTTGCTTGAAAGCAAAACATTACTCAGTTGGGCACATAGAAGAAGATTTGATATTTGCATAGGAGGTGTTGGGAGATATAACAAATGAACAATGATCTGTGCAAAATTTTTAACTGATTAAAAGGAATGGAAAGACAATATAACAGTGTTAAAGAACAAATAAAAATATAGCAAATCAAATAGGAAACGGAGAGAGGGAGGGGGTGAGTGATGAGCGAGCATGATTTTAGACTTCCATGGTATTCAGTTTGACTTCTAAAGGATTAAAACCAGCTTGTAGTGGTAGGTTTTGTTCAATATTTATCATCACAGGGGAGTTTACCAATATCAAAAGGTTGTATTAGAAAGAGTTAAACAATCTAGATAAAGCAAGCTATAGACAGTTGATATCCTGGAGAAATGTATGACCTGAACTCAATTGAAGACATTCTGCGATGGTTAAAAATTATGTTTCTTACTTTCTTAGAGACGTAGATTTAACAGACTAAAGAATGTGTGAGGAGCAAGGGTAGTGGCAGATGTGCTTTAGTGTGCTGAAACTTAAGTAGTAAATGTAAATGATTGTGCAAGTCAACAGCTCAAAATTATAGACATTCTTCAGATAGGAGAAGTTGGTGCAGAAATTAGAGTATTACAGTGGGATTTCTGGGGCTATGAAGCAATTTTAGCATAAATTCGTAAATTTAATGACTGAGATCGCACTTTTATAGATCGAGATTACAGTTTTATTGAGAAAAAAATAAGTCATCTTTCTAAGGTAATCAAACGATGCTCTAGCACGACTTAACTTCTAACATGATTCTGGTCTGTTTGCTAGAAAGAAAAAGTTAACTTCTTAACAATATCGTTTGTTTTCTACAGCTAATATGCGGCAGTCAATAACAGATAAACATGTAGGATTTTTCACCCAAGAAAAGTGGCTGTAGTAAATTGAAATGATAATAGCTGTCTTTATCGGCTGGGATCAAAACAATATTAAGTAATTTTTGTGTTTTATGCTTTCAGATGCTTCTGTGCGTCGTCGGCATTGAATATAAGTAGAATTCTTTGGCATACACATTTTTTAAGACCATTTGGCCTTGCAGGTAGGTTGGAAGCAATGTTGCTTGAAGCCAAGGGTGCATGGGCGGAGGCTGAAAAGGCTTACTCGAGTCTCTTGGAAGACAATCAGTTTGATCAGGTGAGAAGAAAATTTTAATTGTATCCTAATCATAGTTGTGGAGAATTAGATTCAGTATTTGTTTTTACTCTGTAATCATGTAAAAGGAAAGATGTGTCTGCACGCACGTGTTACACGCACATAATTAATTTTAGCTGGAATTCCCCACCCTTTTTGATCCATTTAACACATGCAATTTCGTAATCAAATATGTAATATACATCTTCTTGTAACTAACTCTGCAGGTAATACACAGAAGAAGGGTAGCAATGGCAAAGGCACAAGGCGATCTTTCCGGGGCAATTGAGTGGTTAAACAAGTATCTTGAAATGTAAGAAAACCCTAAAAACCAACCATTTTTAATTTCTTTGAAGAACTCCCAACGATAATGATGGATGCTTGTTTGATCATGATCCAGATTCATGGCAGATCATGATGCATGGAGAGAACTAGCTGAGATTTACGTCTCTCTACAAATGTAACTTCTGTTCTTTCTTTCTGTTTTTTATTCGTCTGATTTGATAACAAGAATCGAGGACGGATAGCTGATGCTCTATATTATGTTTGTTACGAGTAATAATTTCTCATATAATCGAACATTTCCATTTTATGCGGCTGTCATTAGGTATAAGCAGGCGGTCTTCTGTTACGAAGAGCTGATCTTATCTCAACCTACCATTCCATTATATCACCTCGCCTATGCTGATGTAAGTATCATCCTGAGCCTTCTGTTTTTTTATTCTAATTGTTGAAAAGATACAAGGGCTTAATTTTCAATTTGTATGGATCATATATTTGTGATGCTGGTAAACATATAGAAGGAATTGCGTGACAAAAATAAATAAATAAATAAGCAGACACTATAAAATGAGACTCTTATAACATCACTGTCTCAAATAGGTGCTCTACACAATTGGAGGGCTCGAAAATCTTCATGCCGCAAAAAAGTATTATGCAGCAACCGTAGATTTGACCGGTGGCAAGAATATCCGAGCCCTTTTTGGCATATGCTTGGTAAGCTAATTGCATTTGTTTCCTAATCTTTTTAATGGCTATCTATCTATATTTTCTTTCTCTGATGAACCTTTGTTTTGTTTCAGTGTGCTTCTGCTATTGCACAGCTGACGAAAGGGCGGGGCAACAAAGACGACAAAGAGAGCTTGGAGCTGCAATCCCTGTCGGGGATGGCATTGGAGAAAATCTACAAGCATCAATCCCCTTCTAAACTTTCACTCCTCAATTCCACTTTGAGAAGCTTGAAAATTTCGTTGTGATCGAAGCCCTATACGGTACACTTCGACTTTTCCGTTTATTTGTGTTTCGAAATATTTGCTTGTATTAAAGACACATCTTAATTTAAGAATTTGTTATGTCGTCAATGGAGAGTTTGAGACATTTTGGGTTTAGAAGCTTTCAATTTTTGTATGGCAAAGAACAAGTGTTGGATTGGAATCTTTGGATGTAACATAACTCTTCAATGTAATATTTCCTCAGTCCATTTTACAGAGACCCAAAAAAATAAAAAAATATAGCAGATTTATATTTACTAAAGAAACAATTATTTTGTAATTAGTCAATTCAAATAAAAATATATATTTTATGTGAGTAAATAGAAAATATATATTTTCTTCATCTTAATTCAAAATAATTTTTTTTTTATCAATTTTCGTGTGTTCCATTTTATTTTTCTATTTAATTAAAAGTAATATTATATTATATTGGTTGAGTATAATAAACAAAACTATTGTAAAATATATATTAGTACCAAAATATCCTAATTTTTACCACTATTGCACATACAATTTATACATATAAGTCAAAAACCAAGAAAATGTCACTTCTATAAAATAGTACTATTTCTTGATCATCTACGAAATCTAAAGAACCCATTTGACAGTAATATTTTTAATGAAAAATAAACATATCATATGCTCGGAGATCAAAGTTCCATCTAGACAAAACATGTGAAAATAAATTATGTAAAAGATGGATCATGAATTCAAATCTCAATCAAGGAGCCTTAGCACAAGTAAACTAAGCTGCAACAAAACCACAATCAACGTCCGGAACAAACCCTTTCTCAACCATCCCCTCCTTAATAATCTCAAAAGTCACTCGATTCGGCACCAATCCTTTCTCCAACATCTCATTCACAAACTTATTCGCTTCCTCCAACTTCCCATTCTCACAATAACCCTTTATCAACACATTGTACGTCGCAACATTACCCTTCATCCCTTCCTTCTCCATTCTCTTCTTCACACCCAACGCCGCGCCCACGTTCCCTCCCTCGAAATACCCCGTCATCAACGAATTGTACGTCGCCCGATTCGGGTTCAATCCTCTCCGCCACATTTCGTCGACAAATCCAACAGCCCTCCTCATTTCACCTTTCTTACACATCGCAAGGATCCTTACGTTATAACTCGTAACGTCCGCCGTCAACCCTTTCTCCTCCATCTCGTTTACGAGCCTCTCCGCGGCTTCTCCGTTCCCGCCGCTGTAGTAACCGGAAATTAAGGTCGTGTACGTCGTCACGTTAGGACGGACGTTCTTCTCCACCATTAGATTGAACACGTCGACGGCACTCTCGACCTGCCCCGCCTTGCAATACCCGTCGATCAAACAATTGAACGTCGACGCGGGGAAGTCGACCGCCGTTTCCATAACTTCCTCGAATAAATCCTTAGCCTCCTTCAACATACCCCTCTTCGAAAATGCGTTGATAAACGTATTATACGTAACAACGGTCGGTTCCAATCCCGCTTCCGTCATTTCTTCCCTCAATACCATCGCTTTGTCAAACTTTCCCTCACCGCAAAATCCATTGATCAACGAATTATACGTGATCACGTTTGGCCTTAAACCTTGCTCCTTCATCTCCTTCAACATTCTTTCGCCTGCAACTAAATTACCGTCCTTACAAAACCCGTCGATCAAAGTATTGTAAGTGATCAAATTCGGCGAAATTCCTCTCTCAATCATCTCCTTAACCAAAGCATCGGCCTTATGCATTCTCCCCGGCCCGGCCCGTTTACAATGCCCGTCGATCAGAGCATTGTATGTCACCACATTCGGCGCTGCCCCGTAGAGCTTCATATCCTCGACTACATCACCGGCCTTGTTCAACTTTCCGGCTTTACACAAACCATTCACCACTGTATTGTATGTGATCGTATTGCGATCCATTTTTCGCCTAATCATTTCCTTGTACACATACTCCATTTCACCTGTTCTATGTTCCTTCGCCAAAGAACTCAACAATGAGTTACAGGAAACAACAGATAATTTGAAGCCATAGCTCCAAGCTCGCCTGAAACCTTCCAATGCTGTGTCTACCTTGCCATTGTAGACACATTCAAGCAATAACATGTCGAATACGACGCTAGTGGCGCACGAATTGTCGCTTGCGGTTAATAGAGCATTGGAAACCCTAGGAATTGAAATTGTGCTGTTTTGCTTTACAAATAAGTGCAATAATGAGCGTACCTTCCCGTACCGTTTCTCGTTGGCTAGACGGATGAACAGCTCTGCGTAGTGATCGACGGAGTGAGTTACCTCGAAAGCGTGCTGCGACCATTTGAAGAAGGATAAAATGTGGCCGGTGTTGAAATTGGGGAATTCGAAGAGCTGGCGGAGGAATTCGCTAGGGCTGGAGGATTCTACGACGGATTTTAGCTGCGACCAGTTTTGATCGGAGATGAGAGACGAAATTTGGGAAGGGGAATTTTGGTCTGGAACCAATATACGGAGAGTACAAAACGCGCGAGGCAAAAATGGCGCCGGAGAGGTTAGTCGTCGGAGGCGGCGCATGGATACAATCAGGGGGGAGCTACATAGGAACCTGGAGAGTCCGTCGCCTTCCCCGAACACGGCTATTGCTCCTCAGTCTCTTTGGCGAAGTAGAGTTGAACAGGAACTCAGAGGTCCGTTGCCCCCGAAAACGGCGGTCGGCGCGGAAACAGGTAAAGAAGGAAAAAGAAAAAATCAAAATGAAAGAAGAACGGGGAGGAAGAAGAAATGCAGAACAGGCGACGTAAAAAGAAAAAAAAAATTGAGAAGAATGGGGAAGAAGAAGCTGAGGTGGCAGGCGTGAGGAGCGGCGGGTAGATTAGGGTTATCATTAGTAATATTTTTAATAATATAAAGTTAAATTAAAATAATTTTTTTTTTATTATTTTTTATAGTAAAATAAATGTATATATTACTCCCCTCAGTATCACATACTATGTCCATCTTACCGTTTCTGTTCATCTAATTACATCCCTTTTAAAATACGGTGTCTGCAGTGTAATAGACAGGTATGTGTGGGACGGGGAAATAGTATATAATAATATAAAATAAATAATACTAGTAATATGATAAGTATTATTTTTGTATATATTTATATTTTTAATATTTCTTATATAATTATTATTTCTTATATTTTTTCATCAATCAAATTTATCTCAAATTTCTAATAAAAAGTAATAACCAATTTGATTTTACTTATTTTATTATATTTTCATTAATTACTTAATAATTTTTTATAATATTTTATTTTATTTTTATATAAAATTATTATTATATAAAAAAAAATTTTAAAATACAAAATTGATTCAATAAAATTTACGAAAATCGTGAAGAGTTTTTTCTACTTCCGAACCGCCCCCATCCGGAAGCACATAATTACTGTTTAATGTTTTCCCGCATAAAACAAAATATGAAAAAAGTGTTACTTCACTTAATTAAAACCCCGATCCCTTCTTAACCTTTGAACTTGAACGGTATTTGATCAAGTGGTAACATATCATATCTATTTACAGCTTGTTTAAGAAAACTCCTACACAGCATCAACTACTCTCCCTCAAATTTTCCATATAGGAACAAATCAACATTAGTACCACTTATTACCAAACAGACTGAGGATACAACATATCATTTCAAAGTTAAAACTAGTAAAAGTATACTTCATCCATCAAACACAAGCACAAGTTTGAATTCATGTTAGGATGCGCAATGGTCTAGACTCTAGAGTGAGAGTGAGAGGAAGAGAGAGAGCAAGAACACACACCTCCACCCAACAGCTGATCTGTTTTATTCAACAATCTGTTTTGGTTTAAGCTTCAACATGTTTACAATAACTCAACTCATCATGTTAACTTACATTCCCCTTACAATTATTATTCATTCTTCGGCTTCCGGATCGACCCAACGACCGTGGTCCTTAATCAGCTGGATCAGCGCATCCGTAGCCTGTTCCATCGCAATGCCTCTTTTCACCACCGTCTGCATCCCATCAAACTTCCCGTTAGTCTTTTCGTCAAAATTCTCGAGAACTTAAAGTATGTATTTATTCCTCATAACGTGTCGAAAACAAATAGTTTATTCACTTGTGTCTTAACTTCGATTTTCATACAACATAGTTTACAGTTAATAAAGAAACTAGCCTAGAGTGTGTGTCAATTATTTAGACTCTATGTTTCTCAAAAAATATATAAATAAAAAACTCAATCAAAATTGAATAACAGTACCTTCCCGACGTAAAGGTCGATCTTTCCGGGAGCACCGCCGACATATCCAAAGTCTGCATCCGCCATTTCTCCGGGCCCGTTCACAATGCAACCCATGATGGCAATCTATACGACAAAATAAGTTTCAGTTGCATGATAAATATCGCGAGTATGTAGCATTTTTCAACAATTGAAAGAGATTGTGTGCTCACCGAAACTCCGGGCAAGTGAGAAGTCTTTTCTCTAATCTCGGCGCTGATTTCTTGCAGATCAAACAATGTTCTTCCACAGGACGGGCATGAGACGTATTCCTGATGCCATCGTTCCCAAATTGCGTTACATTAAACTTCTATAATTTCACTGTAGTTGCATTATTAGTGCTTACCGTCTTTGTGTTCCTCATTCTGCAGCCTTGGAGTAAATTGAAAGACGTATCTCTTAGGAATTCGAAGTCCTTATCCGGAGCTTCCAATAGGATCCCGTCTCCCAGTCCGTCGACCAGCAGCGCTCCCGCATTTGACCCTGCACCAATGACTAAATCGTCCCTGCACAATGTGCAAAACACCCCGGGCATGGTTAGATTTCGAGATCCTGAATAAGATAACAGCAATGGTTCGAATCATATGTGCATACCTGTGGATTTGTTCGGGGAATTGTATATGGTGGATTACCGGGAAGTTCAACGAGTTCTCTGAAAGATACTCGAAAAGCCTGCAAAAATTGAATGGAACATAATTGGATAGTGTGTGAAAATGTGTATAGATATAGCAAAACAATTATTCGGTGAATTTGTTTTCAAGCGAAACATCTAAATACTTTGTGATTTGTAATTGTTAATTTTGAAGTCTAGAATGTACCTCCTGGCAGCATGAACTCGGGTAGTTTTCTCTTCATCGGATGGTAGGTGATGAAGAATCATTGTGGCATCAACGCTCTTCAAGTTTTCCAGCTCGTCTTCTGCTTCGTCGCCACGGACAGTGACTACCAAACGTGAACCTGAACGAGAACAATGGACTTAGTGTTGAGTAAAAGTAATCTCCATAATTCAATAAAAAACTATTATTACAAATTCCTTTGCTATTTTTAGTACAAAGATTTCACCTTCTGGGAGAAGCTGATGGGCTCCGGTGGACAACTCCTGGAGCGTTACCATCACCATAGCGTTTGGCAAAGGTTTTGTCAGCTGCTCTGTAAGAGGAGTTATAACTCCCATACTTATGTCGATCAACCGCTTGAGAGCTAGGCGCTGGTAATAATGATAGATACAAGATTATTTGAGTCAATATTGAATTGTACGAAGAAAGAAACAAATGGAAGAGGCTTACAGCTTCTTTATCCTCTTGTGGCGGGAGCTCTCTCAACAAGATTGAGTCTACAGTAGCGAGATCCTGCGGACAGATACAAATTTTCTTTTAAGGATTTCCTAAAAATATCAAAAATCAGATTATATGTAGTGATTTTTCTACGGAGCTGGTTTCAATGGTTCCGTTTGGTAGCTCTTGGTTTTAGATGAAGCCAAAGCCATGCATAGCAATGATGAACATTCAAACCTTGAATGGCATTCCAACTGCAAGTTTTGCTGCTAGAGATTTGTACAGATGTTCGGGCACCTGAAGGAGAAGAAAACCGACATTGTTTCAAATTCGAATTTATCCTACGAATATGGTGTTCTAAAGAAGAAATTGTTAAGGAGCATAATGAAATGGAAGCATGCATCTCAATCAGCAATGATAAAAACCATATAAACAGAAAGTTATCATGGAAGGAGACCTTTAGCTGATCCAGAGAAACTGACATCAAAACAGAGCCATCCCGATGAAGTACGCCACGATAATCAACCTCATCGCCCTGTAGTCAAACATCCATTTTAAGTTCCAACACTCTTTAAACTTGTATCTTACAACATTAAGTTTTTCACTGACCTCCTTTTGAACAGGAAGCTGACCAGTTCTACGCTGGAAATCAAAATAGCGTCTATTCTTCTCTTCGAACGGTGCCTGAACGATTTATGTGGATATAAAATAACAGCTACTTATACAAAGTTGAGAGTGGAGGCTAACAAGTAAAACAAGAGTTCACTAAATGTAGCAACTGTACCACTCCTTTCTGAAGCTCAGAACTTCTCATGCCAAGGTTAGCCAATCTTCTACAAGGATCTATCTCCTTCTCAGGAGGTTCAGTTAGGGAGACTCGGATGGTATCGCCTAGACCGTCCTGCATAATAATAAGCTTAGCTCCTTGGACCTCAAGGTATATATAAAAGCTAACGGTTGGATGCCTTACTGGCAAAGTAGAATGATACAACCTAGAAGCATTCTTGAATCTTGATCTAAATTTAATTAATGATTTGGGACAAGCATGATTCAAACTCATTGCTCACAAACTTATGTTATGGTGAATCAAAAGTAAGTACATAAACTGAAAGAAACTCTACAAAACAAGAACAAGAATGTATACCGTAAGGAGTGTGCCAATGCCAATGGCAGATTTCATCCGCCCGTCTTCACCCTCACCTGCTTCAGTCACTCCTAAATGCAACGGGTAATCCCATCCCAGAACATTCATTTCAGCAACTAAAAGACGGTATGCCTGAACCATAATTACAGGATTGCTTGCTTTCATTGAGAATACAAAATTATGGAAGTCCAGTTTCCGGCATATTCGTGCATACTCAAATGCAGACTCAACCTGTTGCAGGGGTGACAAACTTGATTTTACTTAAATGGTAAATCTACCAGAGGTACAAGAGTCTCTTTAAAGTGTTGAAGCAGCTGCTTACCATTCCCCTCGGTGAGTCCCCGTAGTAGCTCATAATTCTATCTGAAAGACTGCCATGGTTTGTCCCGATTCGCATAGCACGCCCATATTTTTTACACTTTTCTACTAGGGGAGTAAAAACCTATACAAAGTGAAAAATATAAGGAAAATTTAAGAGAAAATTATATCACATCCAATACAGTCTTACAAGGTTAAAAGACTAATGTATCATTTGAACAAGTTTGTACTACAAATTGTAGAAATCCATATAAAAACAAAACCAAAAACTTAAAACGGGCAAATTGCCATGAAGCTCGGGATACATTTCACAGTAGGTAATGTATGATAACAAGAATCGTTGTCTATACAGGCTTATGACCGTAGGTGATCCTGTAGAGCTGAAATCTTTAAAGTTATAAAGCTCTACCAGTTACCTTCTCGATATGCTCAAGTTCTTTTTGATAATCATCATCTGTATATTCTAGTGTCTCGAACTGGGCTCTTCTGTCAGCTGAAAACATTCATTTTTTCCCATTAAACTCCTTAACACAATGTTAGCTTCTTGAAACGAAAGGAAATCTATGAGAATGGTGGCGGGTAGGTACCGAAATTTCCTGGATTAACACGAATTTTGTCAAAGCATTCAGCAACTCGCAGGGCGACAGGCGGGGCAAAATGAATATCCGCAACCAGGGGGATGTTGTAGCTGCATAATCATAATAACTATATGATGAGCACTTGCGATCTTAAAGCGTATATAACATACGCCTTAACTCAGACTCAATATAACACATACTTCTTCTGAACAAGGGAATTTTTAATTTCAAAACATGCATCTGCTTCTTTCCTCCCCTGCACAGTGATTCTGACAATATCTGCTCCTTGGTCTGCTATTCTCATCACCTGCAACATAAACGATTAAACACGGAAATTGGAACAGAAACAATGCTTGAAAGTAAATTATTCGATGGATAAACAATCACTTCCATTACAGGGATCATTGTTATACTCCATGACCACCTTGCTTTTCAAATTGGAAAGAAATTCTTTACTTAAATGAACTGAACTAATAATGTCTATTAAACTTGATAGAAAATCTTAGAAATCCAAAAACATAAATGACAAAAATTCAAGAATAGTCTTGGAACCTGCTCTACGGTTCCAGCAACATCCTTTGTATCTGAGGTGGTCATCGTTTGAACTCTGATTGGATGCTCACTACCAAGAGCAACATTTCCAACCATCACTGTGCGGGTTTTTCGCCTGACAGTTTTGTGTATGGATTCACAGTATTTCTGCCGTGGAACTACATTCGAAAAGCAACATAGTAGAGCATAATATCAGCCATCACACACATGAAATGAAAAATCCAATTTGCCCTTTACTTCCGGCATTCAACTTGAGCAAAAACCATTTGATTTTAAATAGAAATCTGAGAACCATATGAAAATTTTGACGATTTTCTCAAGTGATACAGAGAATGTATACCCAACAGTCGGCTTCCTTCTGATGCTGGCTCGAGTTCAACAGTTTCTGACCCAGGATTTGCTGAATTTCTGATAACAGCAACCTTCGTGCCGCGGCATTTCACCCTTTGCAAGTCAGAGATTCTAACAAAATCAGAACATTTAGCAAATCCCAGGCGCGGGTGATCTCTGCTTCTGAGACCTGTAAATGAAGCAGGAACAGCTCCAGTCGCCATTGTGAACTGTACGCTGTCTCAAACTCCCCACCTACCAAAGCACCACAAGAAAACATCAATTCGTGCATATATACATACATACATCTAAAATATATGTACATAACAAAGCAGGAATGATTTTAGCGTTCCTCTGCAGAAAAAGCGAAACACGAACTGTAATAAGGGATAAGAAAGTCAACAAAAGTTTAAGATCGCTTCCAACTTCCAACTTCCAAGTTCATGTTATATTTATCCATGTTTTCATTTCTTCGTATGCTCTCCCAAAACCACAACTCAGAATTCCAATCAATCGGTCAAACTACCCTAATCAACACACACAGACAGTACAACGAGTAAAAGATACAGACCAATCCAGTGCTTGGTCATACAATCAACCATCCAGGAAAGAAAAGAGAGAGAGAGAGAGAGAGAGAGAGAGAGAGAGAGAGAGAGAGAGAGAGAGAGAGAGAGAGAGAGAGAGAGAGAGAGAGAGAGAGTCAAATTCCCAAGCAGCAACCAAAATCAAGTCGATGTAGAAATTCGCTCAAATCAAACACCGATTGAATCACTCAACACAAACAATTTCACAGAAACTCACCAGTAAACGCACTCAAACAGCGGAGCTGGAAATGATACCACGAAGACGAAACCACCGACACAGTTCCGGGCTACAACCTAGAGAAGAAAACGTAATTCAGAGTGCGAATAGCCGATGAAGATCCAAATCCAGCTAAAAATAAAATAGACGAGTTTCGGCAGAAGCTACACGCGATCGGCACGAGCTGACAACACTTGCTGGATTTCACGAACCAACAGGTATAGAAAAATGCGTCAAGTTCGTCACCGCAACAATTGCAGGGGTTGGTGGCCACTGCTTTGAATTGTTTATCAACCTCAGCAATGGCGGGCCTGTCCTCTGTATCTATACACTGTATGTATTCTGTTTTTCTGAGCAAATTAACGAAAGATTAGACTGCATTAATATTATTGAATCTCATTACGCCAAATATTTCATGGTTTTTAATGATAAATTAATTAATTATGTTCTTTTATTATTTATTTATTCATCTATCTAGTCTGATTCGTAATTATTTTCTTGATTTGGCTGACAATGTTTAGTATTATTTAATTACTTAATAATCTGTTTGCGTATTAATGATGGCTGACAAATGAAATAGGAGTAATAATAATAATGTCCAGTAGGCGAGTAGGTGGCTAACGTGAAGTAGGGCAGAGGGGTCCACGTAAAAATAGGTGAATTTATAGGGACTCAAACGCAAAAGGATCATTGGAAATTTCAGCCCACTAGTCACGAGGGTCGTCTCGTGTTTTCTTGCGCATTTCATCTGGTAGGACATAACAATAAATTATTACTCCCTCCGTGTCACACGGTGTCTGATGGATATAATTAATAAATAATTAAGAATATATTAGTAAAAATAATTATTTTATAATATAAACAATTATAAATTAAAATTAAAATAATTAATTAGTTTAATTAAAATTTAAAAAAATAAAATTTAAAATGAGATTAAAGTGTGTAATTATTTTCCAAAAAGAGAAAATGATATGGTATGTGGGACGGACAGAAACGACAACGTATACATGATATCTGAGACGGAAGAAGTATTATTTTATTACTCTTTTTCTCGGTCCTAAAATTATAGACTTAATTTGTGGATAAAAATACGGATAAAAGATTTTTTTATTTTGGTGAATGTATTAGTGTAAAAAGTTGTTGTAATTGTGTAATAATAATGAAAAAATAAAGATAATTTTAGATTGATATGGTTATTTATGAAAATAAAACTATTATTTTAAGACAAGCAAAAATAATAAATATGACTATTGTATTGGGACGGATGGAGAGAATATTATTTTATTTATTTTTTATTTTTATTGTTAGAATCCTATATGTATTTTGGATAAATTTTAATTGAATTTAATAGTTTGCTAAGTAAGTCTACCAAGACAAGTAATACTATATCTGACAGACAAAAATTCGAACCGCTTATCATTATGAATTTGATTGATTCTATATGAGTTTGCTTTATATATATATATATATATTTTAAATCATGTTATAATGTTTTTTATAAATATTTATCATATTTTATGAATAGAATTATAATCAACAATCACATTACCTAAAAATTAAAATACAACCTATTTCAAAAAATATAAATAAAAATAAAAAAACAAAAAATTATATCACCGCTGCATTAAATTTTTTTTATAATTTCCCATGTATTTGGATTCAGTGTTATTGATCTTACCTAAATAAAACCCATTTAATTAATTGATAATATTAATAAATTCAGAGTCAATCGTGGAGTATAACAAATGTAAATAATAATAATAATAATAATAATAATAATAATAATACCCCTATAATTGTTTATTGCGTTGCAGCGAGCGATAGAAAAAACAATAAATTAAAAGTCATAGGTACTGTAAGGCGCGACAGTCTAATTTGGACTGCAGAGTGACGATATTGGACTTGAGACTGTACTAGCAAATAATAGTTTATCCCTCGTAATACTATAGTTTTATTGTATCGGAGACGAGATTTAAAAAATATTAATTTATATAAATAGTTAGTAAAAAGTAAAGATAAATATTTTTTTTTAATATATTAATATAAAAAATAGTGACAAATATGTAATAATAATGAAAAAATAGGGATAGTTTTATGATAATATGATTATTTATGAAAATAAGACTATTGTTTTGGGAGGAACAAAAATGATAAACAAAACTATTGTATTGGGACGGAGGTAGTAATAATAATAATCAACAATTATAAATTTTACCTTCTTTAAAAAATAAGGCAAAATAGCATAAAACCACCGTGTGTTTTTCCAAATTTGCTGAAAACCCCCTGTCGGTCCAAAAATTCCATAAAACCTACTTGTAGTTTTTAAAACGTTGCAAAAAAATCCATCCTCCGTTAGGATTTAACGGCGATTGCATCTCATGCGCTCATATCGCAATTTTTGTACGAAAATTGATATTAATACATCTATATTCATCTCTTTCACTTTTTTTCTTCTCGTATACACCAGCGGACAACAGATGATTGATGCCCTGGGCGATAGGCTGTGGAAGACCGGGATGAATACAGACAACGGCAACTGGACGGCGATGAGCGGTGGCTGTCAAACTGGAACAAATTCTTTCTCTTTTGGTAAAAAAAAAAAAAAAAAAAAATTAAACAAGATGTCAAACAAAAAATACCAAACTAAAAAATTTAAAAAATCAATACACTCATCAAAGTGAGTTTGCAATTGTGTTTTTGTGTTGGGAAGAATTAAGAACAGAATAATTTTTCTTCGCCATCAATGGCGGAAACTAAAATCATGGGTTGAATTAAACAAAAAAAAAAGGACTTTGGCCTTGGAGCGTGGGTGGCCAGCGGTTGTCGACAGCGGCGCTACTACGGTGTGGCGTCTGGTCTTGTGCGGCAGCTTGGCTGGTCAAGGTGATTACGGATTTTGTTTTTAGAAAATGGGAGAAATTAATTTGGAAATTTAGAGTTTAAAAAAAAAAAAAAAAAAAAAAAAAGAAGAAGAAGAAGAAGAAGAAGAAGATGTCGAAGGAGGGGAAATAGAGAAGAAAAGTAGTTGGACAAGAAGAAGAGAGTGCAGGGAAGAAAACTATTGAAATAGTGATAACCTGTGATGATTGTTGAAAAGTTGAAAAATGTGGATGTGGTGGCTAAAATCATGATGGTGTAGCGACAGTTTGCGTCGGCGGTGTTTGGGCGCATAGTCGAAGAGGCTGGACGGTGGTTGAGCACCGGCGGTGGTGGAGGAAGAAAACGATGGTGGATGGTGTGGGTTGTGAGGGGAAGAAAAGATGAGTAGTTGAAAGAGAAGGGAAGGGGAATGATAGAGAAAGAGAATTTATATAGAGATATAACGGTCATTCTGTATAAAAATTTAACATCGTTAATGCAATTTAGAAAGAATTGACGAGTATGCAACGTTTTAAAAATCACAAGTAGATTTTATGGAATTTTTGGACCACTGGGGTTTTTAGCAAATTCGAGAAACCAAAGGGAATTTTATGTTATTTTGCCAAAAAATAATAATAATATACTTTTACTATCGCAATATCCATTTTTTTTTAGTAATTATATTATTTATTTAATATTAAAAATATTTTTCACCATTTACAATATACTATATAAGTATTATTATTTGTACATTATATAATACTAATTCTAATTGTGTTATTTTTATCAATTTTAAAATTTTACATAGAAAAAAAAAATCAAATACTTATTTAAGAGGCGGTGGAATAATAATTTTAACAAGAAAAATTCGAGCTCGGCATGGGCTTATTTATGTTTAGAATGTATATTTAACATTCAATTCTGAGAGTTTTTTCTTTTTTTTTTTTTTCCTTTTTGTAGATATGGTTAATTTTATTTCAAATTAAAATCATCTCTTTCACATAATTTTTAATAAAATATTATTCGAATTTATTTAATTTTTATCACACTTATTTAAATATTAATTTCAACATCATAATACGTAACTCTGAAATTTGCAAACGGTAACCTATTTAATTATATACACCTTGCATAAAAGTTACATAAAAATAAAATAAAATAAAATAAAAAGTAATGGGATAGAAGGATTTAAGAGGCACGTGAATATTCAATATATAGGAACAAAATGAAAGTCAATGTTTTATTTATTATCCTCGAGGAATGCATGGGAATTAATTTATTTAAAAGGAAAATAAATATAACAACGACATTCAATTAATTAGAGCATTATTGGCTTTATTGTTTAAATACACATCTCTTTGAATTTTTTTATGTTTTTTTTAATTAATTTGAATTTTAGTTTATAGTACAATGTTTTGATATGACAATTTGTGCAGAAAAATATTTTTATTTAAATATATAAAAATCAAATACTAGTAAAAAACATTATAGTTTTTTTGGTTAAAAAATAAAATCATTTATTTTGACACAAATTTTAATAATAAATAAAGTAGAAAAACTGTGAAAAGTGATAAGTAATTTTTTATTTTTTATATTTTGCTAAAAAATTAATTGAACCTATTTCTTATAACAAAATAAAAAAAAAATATGAACCTATCGTCTTATGACAAAATAAAATAAAATAAAAAGGACACATTATATATTGGAGTTTAATTTTCTTAGACTTTATTTGTCCAATATATATATTTTTTTAATCGGATTCATAATATATTAATTATCATTTCATAAAAATTGACATTCAAAATAAAATATTAATTTTTATATTAATGATATAATTTTTTATATTTCACATAAAATAAATAAATAATCATATCAAAACACTAAACAAACAAGTTTTTATTTTGTGCTTTTAAAAAGAAAAGTTTTTATTTATTTAGAAAAACACATCTGTTTTTACAATAAAGTGATAAATTGGGATAGTTCATTAGTTATATTATATAAGTATTATTTATTTATTTTAACATATAGGTGACGTGACATATGTAGGAATTGAAATCATATTCCAAAACAATATGATAGAGCTCACATCATAATGAATATAGTTAAAAAAATAATATTATTTCCGTCCAATTTAAAAGTAAATATTTATTTTTTATACAAAGTTTTAAAAAATAATAATATTTTAATTATATTATGTAGTTAAAAATAACTTTATCATTTTTTTTTAAGTAATAATGTGATGGTAAAGTAAAAATATTTGTAAAAAAAATAAATAGTATTTTTAAAATAATTATTTTTTAATTATACAATTTAAAATAAAAATATGTATACTTTGTAACCGATCAAAATGAGTAATAAACAAAATATGTGCATCATTTGAACGTTTTTTAGATATAAATTTAAATATATCAAAATAAATTACTTCATCGGTCATTCAAATCTATGTTCACTTTTTTTTTTGGTTGTCATTGAAAAATATTCTAGTTACCTTTTTAAGTAAAAAATTATTACATTTTTGTACATTATTTTATTATAAAAGGAAAAAGTAACTATTTTTACTCATTTTTTATTAAAACTTTTATCCAGTCAAATGAGCACACATTTGCATAACATGTGAGTATTACATACTCTACACTGTAGTATTAAAAAAAATTAATGAATGTCAATTCATAGATACTTGAAACAAAATATCTCCAACCATATAGAGCAATAGTATGTTCTCTAATCAAAATTTTACTACATACAAATTTTATTTTTTTACTAATTCATATTTGTAAGCAAGATAATTCTATATGCGATTTTCCTACAAATTTAAGAGTGTGCTCTTCTACCATTTCCCAAAAAAATACAATTTTTAAAATAAATTAATATATTATAAACACTCGTTATTTTTATATTATTTACACAATTTTTTACCTCACATATAAAAATATTTCTTTAAACAATTTCACTAAACAAACACATCATATGACAAATATATCTTTGAGTTTGTTAGTTCTAAACAATATTATCTTCAATTTCTTCAGTGATCTCGTGAGTACGAGAAGACATCTCTGCAAAATTCGATATTCGTCGGTGGGATGATTCATCTGGAGAAATAGAAATACTCTTACTCGATGGATTTTCCCGAGGGGAATTTGAATTGGAATTTGCCTCGTTCTTTCTCTTATGTTTTACATTTTTATGCCACTCTTTTATTACATGAATAGTGTGTTCTTCTAATATCGTACTTTTATACTGAGAACCCATCTGCATTACAAATATCGAATATTATTATCATAATACAAAATTAAGGAATTGTCAATTTAACAATATGAGTTCAAATTTGGGAACTATTTATACAACACTTATGCTTTAATATAAATATATGAAACTTTTTAGTTTTTATTACAAAACTAGTATTAGAAGTTTATTATATAGAATTTTGTGCACAAAGATAGGATTTCTATCCAACATTTGACTAACACAACAATGGATTATGTTATCCTCCATCTGTCATGCAAATCTGTGCTCATTTGATCGGGCACGAAAATTAATAAAAGTGAATAATAATTATTTCTTTTTTATTTTATAGTAAAAAAAAGTACAAAAATTAATAATTTTTTTACTTAAAAGAGAAACGAGAATAATTTTCGATGACAACCCAAAAAAGAAAGTGAGTATAGATTTGAACGACGGAAGGAGTAATATTTATAAATGTTGTGTATATAATTAAATTAAAACAAATGTAAATTTCCAAAAAAACCAAATTCTATAAAATTTAATATGCTTGTAATATAAATGTATTTACTATATATGTGAAAGGAGAAAAATAAAAACTGCAACTAATATACAATAGAAAAAATATGGATGTTGTTTAGACAGAAATTTTAGAGTTTTTTTTTTTTTGAAAAAAATTAGAAATAATTAAAAATTAAAAAAATAATATGATACTTTATATTTATATATATATATATTTAAAACATTACTAAAGCCATATATAATAAATAACTGTGACAATACCTGTGTAACAAGAGCATATAGAGGAAGAGTGATATAACTACAAATAAACTGAATAGTAATCCTGCAATAAATTCACCACACATAAATTATTTGAGTACAATAATAAATTTACTAAAACAAAATATCTATATTAAATTAAATAATGTACTTACGCTAAGACCACTCTGATAATAATAATCTCTATATTGTCGTGGTAACAAGATTTAATTCCAAATTGCCACTATATAATTTCAAATACAATAAACATTAGTTAATTTCTCTTAAACATGTGTATTGAATAAATAAAAAAATAACTTAGTACAAAAAAAAATTTAAAAAATTACCGTGACCCATACAACAAAAGCGGTCTCGAATGCATTCTGTCACAAGAAGACCCAAAAATAAATATCAAAACAAAATTCTACACATATATTTTTGCATGTACGAATGAATTAATTACCGTAAAAAGGATAAAATGGAGTAGTTGCAAAACGAGTTGGGGGCGACTAAACCAGAAGAAATTATCGTTTGGTTGCACCAAAGGTGCGCCTTTGATTACGGTGCTTTGTTGCGTTATTTGCATCGCCATTCTTGCAACTATTACTTCGAGTTTAGTTCCCACGAATAAAACAACCTAAAATAATAATATCGAGTAGTTAAATGCAAAATTATTAGAAGGATTAAAAGCAAAGTTACATATCTACAACATTTATTTAACTATTAGATAGATATACATATATATTAGATATAAGTAAGAATAAAATTGTAGTTTAGTTAAAGGTCTTACTATTAGGGGAAGAAATGAGACCCAAAGATATGCATTCCAACCTACACGAAGTCATGAAACCCCAATATTTCAATTTAATGGTTAGTGAAATAATAAAAATTTACATGAAAAAGTTAGTTACTTTTTGTAAGAATTATTAGTATTTCATGTTTGATAGTAGTATATAAAAAGATATCGAGTAGAACCCATGATCTCACGGTCACAAATCCAACCCCTACACCATCAGACCATCCCTTACGGGATGATTAAATAGATATCTTAATAACATAAGGAGTGAATATATATAATGGACTTACCGTGAACGTCAACTAGCAAGAATATTACAACCACAAGCCACAATATTGGGCTGTAAAAAGAAATAAGTGTTAGGGATAGAAAATAAATAAATAAATAAATAAAATGATTTTATGATAATATCTGGTGTGTACCTTATCCCAACAACGGCTTTAAAATCGTCTTCCAAAGATCGTTGTATATATTTTTGAAAATTGAAAGAAGTATTTGCCGACAGATGTGCCTTTTATTGCAATAAAATGTCACAATACCAAATATATATATATATATAGGTCATTTAGAAAAAATACTAACAAAGTTATTTAAATATGTAGGTGTGTAGTTATTTATACTAACCGTAATAAATCCATGGCGCAAAGTAAGGTAGTCTACTTTAGCTACGGAATGAAAGAATTGTCGGAAAAAACATTTCTGCATCAAATTTAAATAAAATTACATCAATATAATCGATTTTTTAATTATATAATAACATAAATTTTATTTTTATAAATGTTAAGAATTGCACGTACTATCCATAATTGGGGTGTCGAATTTGCCGCACATGTGCTCACGTGCCGCCTCCCAAATGTTGTTTGTCTCGCAAATCTAAATCTTTCGGGATCTAATTATTTTTTTTTTTTAAAAAAAAAAAAAAAATTATTTGATAAAAAATCAAATAAAAAAAATAATAATCCAGCATTTTAAGTTGGTTTACCATTTGCTGCCATGTATTCTACACTTTGAGTTTCTTTTTCCCAATTTTTCCATCTCTTCATCTGCAGAAATGTGTGTATATATATTAAATGAAATTATTTAAAATAGAATTTTGAGACATATATTATAAAAATAAATAAATAAATACCTTAGCCCTTCCAAGGCCCATAGTGGTGACACTATAGACAATGTGCATGGCTGCCAACACAAATATGAAAATGTTCAGCTGATTGATGCCCCCTTCCGACATTAATGACGTCATTCCCTGTCCATAATATTAATTTAATCATTCACTATATGATTTATGATAATAAAATTATTATTATTATTTTCAAAGATACTCTTATTTGAAATATTGTAGTTTTGTTTCATCTGTAATTAATTTTGGCGACGAATATTGTAATTACTATAAAAACACAATTAAATAAATCTAAAAGTATTATCAAGATATTGGGCCTTATGCCCATATTAAGGCCCAATATCAGGCCCCATTCCAGCTGTACTTAAATAATTCCAATTAGTAATATTTTACCTCTTATTTTACTATTTTAATTTTATTTTATTTTAAAAATATCAAATCAAATATTTTATTTTTATTTATTTTATTATACTAATATCATGTGAAACAAATATTACAATTCAAAATTTTACTATTCAAAATCAAAACTAAAAATAAAAACCTCTCAATAAACACACTGATAAATAATGATTTTTTATTTAATATTTTTAATAAAAGAAATATGTATTAATATAAGTTTTATTTTAAACAAAATTGCTAATAAATACGATACAAACCTTAGAACCACAATGATCAGTTCCAGCAGCAGGTGCAGCGGCGGCGGCCAGAGCTCTCTCCCGGCGAGTTGCGCCACCGCCGAGCAGCCGCCGGAATAGCTTTCCGGTGAGCGTATCCACCGTGCGGCGGCAGGGCAGCATGGTGTCAGCCACGTGATTTGGTATGCATATTTTGGATATCGATTTTTGTGTCACCGTTAATATCAGCGACATGAATCCCAATTGCATCAACACTGTCACAAATAAATGAAATTAAATATATAGTTTTATTATGAATATATTCTATTTGGTGAAAATTTATTAATAAATTGAATTCAATTATTTAAAATAAAAATAAAATTGAGGATGGATTCGATTAAATTACCTGATTTGAGCTTCTCTATTGCTTCATACAGAGCAACCTTTTTGTGCTTTTTGAGCCACTGAATGAATGGAAACCAAAATATCAAATAAATGTTAGTGTATTTTCTCTAATGCTAAATTTTATATAAAAATAATATGAAATTTTAATAAAATTGAAATTTATACACTTTCTTAGAAATTTAGAAAATATTAGTACTTACATGTCCAAGAAGATGTATTAGATATTCGATAAGGATGCTGAGAGAGATGAACATAAAACACACGGTTGCGAGGGCCCATGTGGGGGTTTCTTGTAAGGATCGGACTGTGGCGGTGCCGCCACCGCCGCCGCCTACTTCTCCGGCGGCCATATTGTTGGAAGGTTTTAGTGAAGATGGCAGAGCGGAGGAATTGGAATGAAATATAAGGAGAGAATTTAAAGGAAAGAAAGTCAAGGGCATGTTTTCTTGTGTATTATACTCAATTTTTATTATTATTATTTTTTTTTGTATGATTTTTAATGTTCATTACATTTTCCCTAAACATCAAATCAAATACTTCATTCGTTCCATAAGAAGAATTTTATTTTTTATTTTTGTCGGTCCCAAAACAAGTGTACTACCTACATAACATAATAAATATCCCTTCAACTTAAAATATATTATACAAATGTCATCACCTTTATATTACACAATATTAATAAAAGTATTTTTATCATTTTTATTGCAATCCAATATAATACTAATATTAAAAAATCACTTGAAAAAACAAATATTACTTTTTATATGGGATAGAGAGAGTACTTATTTTTTATTTTTTATTAAAAATTAATTTTATATTCAAAATATTACATCAACCTTTATTTATATGACGTCGTACAACTATTTCGATCAATTCAAATGTATAATATATAGTATTATATATTATATTATTGTGTATATACTATATTTTTTAATAATATTGATTGAAAATGGTATCTAAAAATTTATTGAAGCAACACACTCTTGTTTATGTACAATATCTAGTAAAATAATTTTTCCTACAAATTATTGTGTTCAAAATATACATTTCATTCTTAAAATTATATCTACTGCCTTTTTTTTACATTTAAAATATTAAGGCTCTATTTATATATATTTTTTAAAAAATATTGAAAATAATTTTTGTAAAAAAAAAACAGAACTTATCGGATACTCAATTATTGTTAGTTTGGTTTTAGTTTGGAATAGACTTTTTTATTCAAATTTTAATTTAATAATATTATTACTAATATAATATATTTTTATTAAAAAATGTGGTGGCTAAATAGAAATTTGTGTTTGAAACACAAAGAAAACACACCCGTTATATTTAAACATTTTGAAATATAAAACACAAACAAACACCAGTTCCAAAGTCTTGGATCTGATGTGAGTCGTCAAGGTTACATTATGACCAAAATAATTCAATAGTTTGGTCTGGTGAAGGTCCCAACTCCCAACTCCCAACTCCCAATCACCAATCACTCTTACTTTGACTTGGTAATAGTAATATTTTTAAAATTATTATTAATATATATAATCATATAATAGTATTTATGTATCTAGAGGAATTCAAAGTCAAGTATTCACATTAATTTTGTATTAAAATGAAAAAAATATATATGGAAATTTATGCTCTTGTAGAATATATGTGTAACTCATTAAATGTGTTTACTTTTAACATATGTACGTACTATCTCTTTAATTGTTCTGTAACACATTCCATTCCTAGGGGATACATGTCTAGATGCGCAGAATGATCATTTCATCTAAAAATTTAAATTATACGCGTTATTAATATATTTATCTGCAAACAAACGAATGTCTCCACCAAACAAACTTATATTATATTGAATATATTATAAAAATGAGTAAATCAAGACAATAAAATAGCACATGAAAAGACAAAATTTTGTTGGCTGCGAATACATATATACGATAATGTCCAAAAACAACAGTTTGAAAGATTTAAATATGCAATATTTTCTTCACATTCTAACTTGAACTTCACAAAACAGTAAAATCAATACTAGTTTTATCATTTAGAAATAGTAATTAATTATTATTGTTCATATTGTATGTCATACATATATTTTTTTTTTTAATATGAAAACTCACATATGTTACTCTTTAAATATATATTATCTTGTTTTTTATTTTTTTAAATATATATTATCTTATTCTTACAGGCAATGTGTGCCAAGATACACCAATAAATCCTTAACATTATCGTATGGAAAGGGTCGTCGATTTATTTAATTGTTAGAATGATGTATGATTATGATACAATATAATAACTATGTAGTATATATATGAGGCGGTATGATTTGTTTGTCGTTACCTTATTTTAATAAAGGTTGGTTTATTAGGTGTTTTTAAATTCAATTTCTTTATCATGTAATTTTACATTTCTTATAAATAAAAAGCCATTTTATTTTATAACATAGTATTATACTTAAATTACTGTGCAAATAGAAAAATTCAAATATAAAATTAAACCTTAAATGAAATAAGGATTTAGGGTGTTTGGTATATGTTTCAATCCATCTTTTTTCTTATTCAATTTTTATCTTTCAAGTATTATATACTATGTCCGGCCCGATGGTTCTATTTACGTTTTGCGTGTTCATCTTTGAATATTAATTATTATATCAAAATTTAGTATAAATTAAAAAAAATTACAAAAATACTTCTATTAATATCTTATAATAATGATAGAAAGACATTTTTAAAAATAATTATACAAATATGAAAATATTTTTAATGTTAAATACAACGACACAAAATGTAAATGTGACCCTTAGAGATTGATGACATGAGTATTTTTTAATACAGTACTGCTTTAAAATACTAGTTATTATATTATGACCGCAATTATGAAATTCAGCACCGTGGTGATATGATTCACCACATAATGTACTAACAGACAAATATTACACATACATATCATTTATATTAAATAATACAAATATAACACATAAATTAACAACACATGATATAGTCGTACATATCATATGTAATATTTGATTTTAGCAAATTACATACACTTATACAATACACTTTGTAATTATAAACAAACAACACCTAATATATAGAGTTCAGTTGGAAAAAAAAAATTATTTTATTTTTTAATTGAAAAATTTTATTATTCTCTTCGTCTCATAAAAAGAGTTTCATTTTCTCTTAATATTAATGTCCGTCCCAAAATAAGAGTACTATTTTCTTTTATTTAGTAACTCTACTATATACTTAACATAATAAATATTATTACAATTTATAATATAATATACAAATATTATTATTTTTACAGTATAAACAGGGTATTTTTTGTCTTTTTAATTACAAAAAAATATAATACTAATATTAAAAAATTTACGTGTAAAGACTATTACGAGACGAAAATAATATTTTTTAATATATATATGCATAGAGTTTAGTTGGATAAAATTTAGGGCTTGTTTCTTCAGCTCAGGTTTGGGCGTTTTCGCTGTGGAAACAGTTTGCTGAAAAGGCTTTATCCTTTTTTTTTTTAATAAAATAATAAAATTTTTAAAATTATAAATATACAAAATATATATATAATAATTATAATTTAATTATATAATATATATGTCATTTTGTAAAGAATAAAAAATTTTATAATACAAATAAATAAAAATTTACAAATATATATGTATATACATAATATATTTATATAAATTATATTTATATATTTTATACAAATTAATACACATCTATATTATTATGGGTATGCTGTCTACAGTTTCGCCGACCCAAACTGCAGCAGATTTGACTTTATTTATTTATTTTAAAATTAAAATATAATGTGTGTTTCTTTTGGTTGAGTTTGAGAAATTTTAGTTTGGTTTGATATTAAAACAATGTTTGATGAGATGTTTTGTGAAAGGAAAAAAATATATTTTTTTTTCGAGAAACGCATAGTCCAAATAGTAAAATTTGGGAAAAATATATATACAATATATATTATTTTGTAGAGAATAAAATTTTCTATAATATAAATAAATAAAAGTTTATATATATGTTTAATATAATAATAAATTCATAATCAAATCATACAATATAAATTTTATCAATTAAATTTAATACACATTTATATTATTTTATTCATTATTCATCAGATCAAAAACACATCAAAACTCTCAAAATCTCAACCAAACCGAAATACAAAAGAAACAACAAAATTCAAACTATCCCAAAATTCAAATAAAAACCAATTTCAAACTCAAATTTCCCCGAATCTCGTGAAGAAACACACCCTTATTTAAAAGAAGAAGGAGAAAAAGCCCTATAACTGACCTAACTCTAAACCCCACAAATTGGGCTATTTTCAATAACTCGTTAGATTTGGGGATGAGGCCCAATATTCTTCTAAGCATTTATACAACCAAATATTTTAGAGGGAAGGAAGGAAGGGTATGAAATGGAATCCAACAAATTTTATAGGGAATGATACCTTAATGTTTTTTATTATATGATTTTTTATATTTCACATCAAAAAAAAATTAATTCAAATCAAAATTTTAAATGAACAAATCCATAATATAATTAAATTATATACTTTCCATCCACCAGTAAATTTGTCATTTGTTATTTATTTTTCACATTATTTTTTAAAAATAAAATAAATATTATATTATTTTATTATACTACATATATTTAAAATACTAATTTATTATAATTCGCTTGTAAAAATCAAATAAAAAGTCTACTCGTCTATTATAGTAACAATAAATAAAATAAAATAAATGTATATGAAAACTAAAATTATTAAATTTTTTATTGATAGATTAATTTCAAACAAATTAAAATAACAATTAATTAAATAATACGAAACGAAAAAATAGCAATAAATAAATATGAAATTTGGTGAGATTATAAAAGGGAAGGAAGTGAGAGTGACAAACAAACATGATGTGTTTGTTAGATAGAATAAGGAGTGGACAGAGACAGGAGAGGACAAGACTGGAGAGGATAGGGACATTATGGTAATTTAATGGTCTTTAAAAGACTAGGCCCAATAGGCCCACCATCCAGCCAGACATGTCGGCCCATTCCTGACCAACCACTTTCAACAACACACTCCTTTTTTACATATCAACAAAATTTTGATTATTTGTATTTTAGTATTATCAATTTGCAATAATTACAATTATTTATATATGAAATTTAATCATTTTCCTTCACAGACATGACACTTAAAATTAATATTACAAGAAAAAATAAATAAAATTCAAGATTCAAAATTCAATGATTTTTAAATTTTTTTTATTTAAATCAATTTGGTTCATTAATTTGATTTTCTTTCTTGTGCGAATACGTGACATAATAAA